GTATCCAAGGAACTTTGGAAGTCTGACGATCGTGGCCTGTACGAGTATGCGATGAGCCTGACAGCTCGAGTCGCGAAGCAGGTCAAATTGCGGAGCTATGGCAGTTTTCAGCAGATCCGCCGAAGCAGAAGAAGACCACTGAAGTCAAGCCATTCCATCGAGAACTGTCCCAGGCAATAGGCCCGACAAGCCTTTTCATCCAATGTTCGCAAATCCTGGACCAACCACTTCACACCAGGTATCCCCGATGCGTGCCTTACAATCGAGAACTGTTCCAGGCAGCGGGCTTGACAAACCCATCCATCCGATGTTCGTCAATTCTCGACCAACCACTTCACGCCAGGTCTCCTCGGTGCCCGGGTTGCTGCCATCGATCCCACCAACTCATTCTACATCGTCGGATCCGGCTACACTTCTCTTACAGAAGCCGCCGAATACTTCTGGCATTGTACGATCCACGGATCTGCAAATCGTGCCCACCACTCAGTCCTTGATGTCACTACAGCAGCCAACCTTGTTAGAGCCGCGATCAAATAAGCGTCTTGCTGCTGGATTTGTCGACTCCGATTCCTCACTGCCCGAGGAACATGACACATACTCAACTCGTGAGAGCATACGTCCTGTTCCGGATGCATTCGAAGTATTCAGCTCGGATCCTGTTATATGGACCAAAGATACATATCTGGTCGAGGTAAGGGTTCGATAGATTACACTTACGTCAAATGCTTGCTATCTCCAGAAGCCTAGAAGCAACAAGCGCCCAAGAGCTCTTGTGAGTGGCGATCCTGACGCGTCGACTGTTTCTGTGCATATACCTGCTATACAGACCACAACATTGGCATCAGCACCCGCACCGTACAGGATTACGTTTCACCAGAGTCCGAAGAAGAAGACTGTTCTTGCACGGCTAGACTTTCTACAAGACTGGTAAGGCTTTACTATCCGTCTATTCCGAAGGAATTACTAACGCTTCCCAGGCTGTCCCCTCGGGACATCAAAGTCGGACAACTTACGCAAGGTCCCAAACCCAAACATGACGGCAAGGGCTCTCAACAAGGTCTCCACTTTGAGATGGTGAAGCACGGGTTTCCTCGCCAATCCTTTTTTGTCGAGCGATATAGGAAGCCCGGTACCTTGACGAGGGAAGCTGAACGGGACGCGTACCGATCCAAAATGCAGAGCTTTCCTGAGATGATGAGCGCTGCACTGGAGTTGCTTACAAAGGATGGAGGCGTCCCTACTGCAACAAGTCTCAACTTCCCTCTCTCGACTACACAAACACTTCATTTGTGTTCTGTTCGTCGTATCGTTATGGACCATGTTGCGTCGACATGGTGGACACCCCCTGGGACCGATACTCGGAGCATATGTACGTCACTCTATACCGAGATTGGCAAGACAAGCGCCTGTCTTCGGGCTCAAGTGGAGTGCTTCTGGGACATCAACTGGCGTACTTCTATGGCATAGGTAGCCTGGGCACGACTACGGTTGCTCGATTCAACGTTAAAGCCACGGCGTAGAGACCAAGACATTGTCTCGGTAGATCCGCAAGTTGCTCAGCCCGACTATCCCCTTCGCCAATGCTTTGGATGGAGCTGGCTAGACGACTACGAAGAACGCGAGAAGGACTTGGAATCGATCAAACGTGTTACATATCCTACACCTATCTATTGCTGCGAGCATGGTCGTTACGAAGTATGGCAACTGAATACGTATGATCTTATTGCCTTAGTCATAACGGCTCCTCTTGCAAGCTGATGCCTCACTAGTTTTGATATGATGCGCGTCGGTCTCGGCGATTCAAGCTTTCTGAACGACTAAGACTGACGGGACCACTTAGACGAAGACATTGCACATCTTCAATCTCGGGCGCAAGAAGAGAGTCGGAGAAAGGGCCTACTTGGCGAGAGCAAACTCACTCCCCGACTTTAGCGAGTTATCACCGCACTGCAGGATACTCGGTCTTATACCTTCGACCTTACCCAGGCCGCACCCCCTTCGTGGCGGCCACCAGCGTTCGCTTCGACGGCATTCCATGCACATGCAATCACAGTTTCCCGACAGCACGAGTACCAAAGCAGTCGAAGCCAAAACTTCTTCATTACAGACAACAGCCATGCGTGTGGCGATGGAGTCGAAGCTTGCTTGTCAAATGCTCACGTATTCCACGAATCGCGCTTACACAACATCGCGGGAAGGCAATGTGCGCAGGTACAAGAGAAGACGAATCGCAGCTCTAACAGCATTTGCAACCTCGGCGACTTTCCATACGTCTGCTATCCCAGCGTATTATCTGGACGTTTCTGCGAGCAGACGCAAGCATCGACGCGGGATCAAGTCGTCCAGAAAGGTCTGCCTCTCCTCAAATCTTAGGTCCCCCATTTGGGCCTCTGCCCACTTCCCGGCTGTGGTGCTGATATTGCTGCCGCGCAGTCACGCATGCATCGATGAAGCACCGAAGTGCAGGACCTCGTTCACGAGCACTTCACAGCTGTGCACTCTCTGGTGGTCCCGAAGATGACTCGGTTGACTCTGACGGGCGAAGCGTGGGAAACGTAGTATGAGTTGGTCGGAACTATGCTGGTAGACAGGTCCGAACCTAGTACCATAACGCATGGGACATGACACAGCAGATGAATCTCTTTTTCTCACATCACACGAAACAAGCTGGCTAGCGCTATGGGACAGGGTGACTGTTCAATGCGCTGGAGCATTTCGAAGACCGGTTGTCATACACCACTGACAATAATTAATTTTGCAGAATACCTTCGAGACTATGTCGATCTACTCTCGCACATCTCAAAATATGGGACGCGGCACGAATTCGTGTATTCCTACTATTCTGGCTTCTCGTATCCAGCCAGTCTTATCGTTATCCCCACGCTTCGAAATCCCTGAATCACTGCTTCGAGCTTTGGTAATGACGGTACTGCCGACTCCATCACATCCACTCGGGTAGGCTCTTGTCGTTTTCTTGAGGAGAAGATTGGGGAAGGCGGGCGTGGCGTCTACGGGCTCATACCAAAACGAACGCCGTCCTTGCATCTGAAATGTGGAGCTATATCGTTCTACGCCTGGTCCGAATCGTCTTCGGAACTTTTATCAATTCGATTTGCACACACATGTTCTACCAACTCAAAGTCACTACGATGAAGAGGAGAACCACATAAGGACAATGCAATGGACTTTCCGCATTCAGGGACCCTTCGTATTCTCCAAATTTACGAATCACGAAAACTCGAAGAGAAAGACCATGAAGTTCAGATTAGCAAAAGTCATTCTTCAAACCTTTCGATAGGTCCTGTGGAATATGGGATGAGGAAGCAAAAGAGTCGACACTGGGAGCTGGTTGCGGAAATTCCGAGGAAGAGTAGGCAAATTGCATCGCCTTTTGAGCCCAGGAATAAGCACACGCTTGTCGAACATCAGCATTGATAACTGACGACTTACCGACTCACCCAGCCCGCCAGTGACGACTTTTGATTGAGGACATGTTGAGCTACAATACACATGCAAATTGCTGCGCTCGGTGGGCATAGCAGAGCGTCAGCTAAAACCATCTGTAGCTGGCAAAAAACAAAAGTACAAAATCGCGACAAGAGGGCAAAAACAATCGTATCCAGAAGTTTCCGGCTACATAGAGATGAAACATCCGACGAGGCGTATTGTTGCCTCCGTCTAGTCCAGCAATCTGCCAGCGCTATCGAGCATCAGCACACGCAGCTGACGCCTTACCGACTCACCCAGCCCGCTAGATACGATCGTTGAATAATAATCTGGCAGGTAGCAACATATATGCTGGAGAAACTGGCCAATGTGTATAAAGGCAAATCGAGCAAAAACAGAAACCACCTTTGAATCTGCTCGGCAATACAAAAGTTGGGCTTGATGAGGCAAAACAATCGCTACCGAAGGCTAACGTCGGAACAATACAATGCACGCAATAGGCGCATACTATCGCCTTAGGAGCTTGATAAGTGCTGCGACTTTTCGGGCACCAGCATCCAGAATCTACAGCTGGCGACTTACCGACTCGGCCAACCCGCTAGTAACGATCGTTGTGGAACTTGATGGTAGACCACAATATCAACGCTGGACATCAGGTCTTCTGGCGAAAGAAAAGTAGCCAGAGTGACCTTGGGCTCGGACCAATTTGCAAAAGTTGGGATAGTGAGGCAAAACAATCGCTCCTGGTGAATCGTGATCGATCATTTGCAACTCACCACCCCAGGCATATTGTGTTGCCTGCAGGCAGTAGCACCTATGTCTTCGTCGAGCATCAGCAATTGCGACTGACGACTTATCGACTCACCCAACGAGCCAGTGACGATCGTTGATAACTTCGTTGCTGGCAGACATATAAATGCTAAAGAGTAGGATCCAGCATTAAAAGAGGTGAACATTAGCATAAAAGATCTTCAGCCTGGGCACAAATACCAAAAAGTCGAGCTCAGAAAAACAAAACAATCGCCACCAGAAAACTGTAGTCAATTCGAGGCACGCGACGCGTTCAGAACATCGTTTTGTCTGAACGCCTCAAGAGCTGCAGCTTCGTCGGGCATCAGCTATAGGCGTGACGACTTACCGACTCAACCAGCTCGCCAGTGATGATCGTTGACGACTAAATATTGGACGATAATATCAATGTTGTGGAAGGCTTTACCTCTCCGATCAGTCAGTCCCGCAAGCGCAAGGTTCAAGTTTGCAAAGATCATGTTGTTAATGAATTTATGCTTATGCAGCAAGGGGTTCAGATCGCATGTAAACACGGAGAAGCAGAAATCGCTAGCCAAGAGCTTACTCAGGCGACGAGCTGTACCCATTCTCAACTGGCGAAGAAGAGACACGCGTATAGTGTATGGAGCTCCCTCAGAAGCGATCAGCGGTAGAGAATTCAGGTTCATAGGATAAGTATCGACAATCGAGAGCCTCATCACAGGTCTCCTTTCCGCACTCACCTTCCATAGTTCGAAACAATAATCATTGACCTTCCGCCAACATCACCTAATCCTTCCCATCTCCTCCACAAACCCACTCACGCCATCCTCCAAGATACGACTTCCACCCAGCAAGCCCTTGTTCCCAGTACCGCTACTCCTCGTCTTCTGTCCCCAGACCTCATGGAACTTGATACTCGCATCACTTGTTGCGACCACCAGACATGCCTCACCATCCTTCTTCATTCCTGATCTCCCACCATTTGGTCCTCCGGGATATGCCACAGCATATAAAGCTCTCTCTTCACCCCACCACGGGATGCCTACCACCTTCTTGCAACTTGGCCAAGCAAAGACCGCGATACGATACGGATGCTCTGGTTGTGCGAAGCCAAAAGTTGCCGCGATTTCCTTTCGTGTCTCGCTCCAGACCAAGCTGGTGACTTGCGCGTGGCAGTCAATCGTAGCAAGAGTGGCCCCAGAAACAGCATGGAAGAAGTGGATGCAGCGGTCGTTGCTGCCCCCTCCGGCTGCTACGAGGGAAGGCTGCCAGGGCGCAAAGGAGATGGCTTTGACTGCTGCGTTGAGGGAGAACAGGTGCTTTTGTCGCCCAGCAGTGATGGCGAGAACTTCGCCTTGACCGGCCAAGGGGTCACCACTTGTGCTGCTCCCATTGAGAACTGTGAGATCGCTGGTTGCATTGCCCTGATGGTTGCCATTACGCGGGAATAGCTTCTTCGTCTCGAAGAGGTAGAGGTGATTGTCGTTGCCGCCTGTAGCGAAATACTCGCCTTCTTTGCTCCACGCAAGACCGCAGACTTGCTGAGAGTGACAGCTCAGTCTTGCAATTATAGTCATGCTGCCAGGCCACCCGAAAAGGTCCCGCTGGTCAGGAGTCGGCCATTCCACAGAGTAGTAATAGACATTACCAGACTCATCGCCCACTAGTAGCTCCTCAGTCATGACCATCATGCCTGGCTCCTTAACTGACGACCGTCTCACAGCATTGGGCCGGAAACAGACACAGGCTACAGGAGCCGGCTGCTCACTGTCGAATCGGGGGTCATGGTCTTGCGGACTCCAGAGCGTGACACGACCATCAGCTCGACCAATCGCAAGTATCGAGCTGCCACCTTCTACAGAGCTGAATGACAATGATGTGACGTGCGCACTGAACGGAGCTGTGAGGGAGTCTGGGACATGCGTCGGCACGGACCCGCGGACTTCCGACCAGAGATAGACATGAGACCCGAGTCCAACAGCCAGGCATTGCATCGTGGACGAATACGCCAATAGTGAGCAGTAATAGTCATCTCGTAGAGCAGGTGCGTCAAGAACGCGAAATGGAATTATTGGAACGTCCTTGGCCTTTGTCTTTCCTGCTTCTGTTGGTGAAGTCAAGTTGGCTGTCTCCCACGTGCCATTATTCCAGCTTGTTCGGAAACGTGGGGCGTCGCTGAGCGATCTCCGCCGCGGGGAGCAAGGGACAGGAGATGTGGGCGAAGAAGTGTCTGAGAAGAGGCTGCCCGAAGGAGAGACTTCCAGTGCAACAGCGAGCCGGCTGCCGTGTATCGCCTCGTCCTCACTCGGAGTGTGTCTGTGCAAGAAGTTTGAAGTATAATGTGGGGCGTTGGTGCCACTGGTAACTCTGCCGCCTCTGCCATTTGGCGTACTGGCCACCCCTTCTGTGACTTGTGTGCCGCCCACGGTCCAGACAGCGCCCGCGCTGGCTGCTCTTCGTTCGTTTGCAAGTCCAGGAGGAAGTGGCGGTAGCGCTGTGGTTCTCGAAGGCGGCGGTGGTCTACAAAGAGTCACAAAGCGGTCATTTCCACGAGACGCAGTGTTGGGGGCCGGGCCGAAGGGGTCGGCCAACGCGGTTCGTGTTCGCGGCGGAGTCAGATACAGATCTTGCTTCGTGGGAGTACAGGCACGAGCAGGTATAAAGCGGTCAGGTTGTTTCCAACGTCTAGCCCGATATTGTCTCGCCGACTCTTGCGTTGAAGGGGTGGCGATCTCGCTCTCTTCTGACGAGGAACTGCTCTCACAAAGTCCTGGTGGAGTAATGTCCTGCGTCGACGCGCTTCCAGAGTTCCTCCGGCGGTCCAAACTGAGGGTGCCAGGTTGTCTTCTTGTACCAGAACGGCTGCCTGTAGCAGGGGTAAGTAGCGCCCGGGTCGTGGTAGTAGTGATGCTCCTTGACCCATCCAACAAGAATCCACTCTTTTGGCATGCTTTTTGGCTTTTTCTTGCAGATTGAGCATCGGCACCACTGTGTCCACTGATGCTCGATGGATGGCTCATTTGCGCTTAGAGGGTGAACAGTCTTGTCGGGCTGCGATCGCTGTTGTTCGAGCTTTGGGCCAGGAATCGGAAGCTCGAGATGGGAACTCGCACGCACTGGCTCAGCGGGGCGTTCTGTGCCTAGGGACCCGCTCTTCTTCTTTTTAGCCCAGAGTCGCATTTCCCTGTATTAATGCTCGAAGGGACGTGGTGTGATGGAGGTGGGGCCTTGGGGCAGTCAAAATAGTGATGTGTAGGAGACGATTTCATAGCCTACCATCAGTGACAGCGTCGTGAACAATGCAAGAAGTGTGCATCTCGATGCCGCGTACGGACTTGCTTCACGGCGGGTGCTGCTGCCTCAGTGTGCTCGCCGGCAGCGGCAGCGACCAGCGACAAGCTTGTGTCCATGATCATGCGGAGAAGCAGCAGCAAGTCGAGCGCATGCTCGGCATACCGTCTCACCTTCACTTCGCGGACATTACGACTTGGAAGTAGCGATGGCAAGTGTAAGTTGTTACTCGTGGGCGTATTGGACAGGATGAAGTGAGGTTCAGGACGTGAACTGACCTCGTCTGCCCAGCACGGCGTTACGCGGGGAAGCGTGCCCGACAAGAGCGACAAGGACCGCGAAAGGGAACGCAAGCATATCGTGCAGTACAAGCAACTCGAGAAGGACGTGTTTGAGCGAGTAAGTATCTACATTGGAGCCATGGTCATTCCAGAATCGCTGACAGAGACAGATCGCCGCCCACGACTTCTCCAACGACAGCCTCCTCCTCACCTCTCGCCTCCTCAACCAGAACCCCGAATACTACACAATATGGAACCACCGACGCGTTATTCTCGAAGACGTCTTCGCCAAAGAGCTCTCCGCGCCCAAAGACAGCGAAACCCAACCTGAAGAAGCCGACGCCGCAGCAGCAGAAAAAGCCAACCTCACAGTCCCCCAACGCGAAATCCTCCTCCTCATAAAAGAAGACCTCCAATTCCAACTCCCTCTCCTCAAACAATGGCCCAAATGCTACTGGATCTGGAACCATCGCCGCTGGCTCCTCGTCACCGCGACGCAGCATATCCCTGCACATGCCACAATCGAGCTATGGAAGGGCGAGCTAGGCCTGGTGAGCAAAATGCTATCTATGGATAGCAGGAATTTCCACGGTTGGAACTACAGAAGGGTCGTGGTGGATAATATCGAAAGCCTGAGTGGGAAGAGCATGTGCGAAGCGGAATTCGAGTATACGACCAAGATGATTGAATCGAACCTCTCGAATTTCAGCGCGTGGCATAATCGAGGACAGCTCATACCGCGGTTGCTGGATGAGAGGAGAGCAGATGATGCTGCGAGAAGAGAGCTCTATGATAAGGAGTTTGAGCTGATCACCAAAGCCCTCTACACAGACCCCTACGATCAAAGTCTGTGGTTCTATCACCAATATCTCATGTCGACACTAGACGAGTCGAATCCGAAGCGGCCTGTGATCTTGCAGAATGTGGGCAATGCTGATCGCCTGCACTATCTGGATCAGGAGCTGGATAACGTGAAGGATATGCTGGGTGGCGCAGAAGATTGCAAATACATCTACCAAGCGTTGTTGGATTACTCGAGAAAGTATGTGGAGGTGGAAGCAGGTAACAAGAAAGTCACGACAGCCGAAATGAAGCAGTGGCTAGAGGAATTGAGGAAGATTGACCCGTTGCGGGAAGGAAGATGGGCAGACCTTGAGAAAAAGCTCAATTTGTGATCGTGTCAAAGGAGAGGATCATGGTCGACCCACGCATGCGATAGCTCTGCACGCGGCCATTTGAGCGCTCGCAATAGAAACCGCTGTTCGCGCGCAGACCAGTTCACACGTCACACGTGGAACGTGTTCTCTATTCGTGATATATCCCATTTCTTGGCCATCCATGCAGTATCAATGCAAGCCCATCCTCCCCGCTTGAACGCTTCACCATCTTTTGGACTCCTCAGAAAGCCAAAACTAGCAATCTCCTTTACCGCTCACTTCTTGTCGCCGGAGAGCTTCAACGAGCTCAACCACCACATGAACACAAACTGCACAATGTAGCTGTAGATGAACAAGAACTGTGTTCTCCTCGACCGTTGCGCCTTGGCAATCGTCTGCATGCCAGGGTTTCCCGGAGCGTTGTCGGAGGGTAGGAGGACGTACTTCAGGGATCGCAGCTAGAAGCCTTTCGTCAGCACTACTCACACGCCCACTCCATAATATCTCGCTTACCAAAAAGAAAGCATTGGCAGCAAAAGTGTAGAGGAACACAAGCCAGCCTGCCCAACCTCCCAGAGAAGTTCCATGGTTAATAACCGAAGCCGCTGTTATCGTCACGATAATTCCCACAAACTTGTATCCACTATACGCAATCAGATCATAAATCTGACTCTCACTCTGAATGTTCAAAAAGTATTTCCCAAGCCATAATACCACCAGCTCCAATCCCAGCACAAACACACCATTCGTGAATGTTATCCCTAGCAATTGTGGTTCGAACTTTCCATTCAGGCCCGCGAGTAATGTCGAGAGGAGGGTATATGTGATGAAGGCCATGACTGGAATGTACATGTCCGGCGAGTTGACATCTTCGCGAGGGGGGAGGAATTCGATGCTGTTGGGGTGTTGGCCGGGTTCGTTGGAGCGGACTTGTTGGCGTGACCAGGGACGGTGTCGCCAGGGGAAGAGGACGATGAGGAGTTTGGTGAGGACGTAGCGATTTGAGACGTTGAAGTAGTGTTTGAGGGCTGAGACGTTGACGTATCTGTTGAACTGTGCAGAATGGTATCAGTACTGCGAATGCCTTCTAGGAAGTGGTTGGACCTACGTTTTGCTCAACGTATTGCTGACCAGCATCTACTGCACTCTTTCCTAGCTGGAAACCCATTTGCGCTGTAGAGTCGTTCATGAAATTACCGAATGCCGGATGCATATAGTTGCCCGCGCCGCCTTGCTGGCTCTGCGGCGGTGACTGGCCTGACGCATATCCATATTGACTGTTGGCTGAGGCAGGCGGCGGAGGGGATCGCAGCTGCGGGACTGTCGAGACGTGTTGCGGGACGGGGTGGTGGAGCGGAGGCGAGTTGGCGTAGGTGGGACGCTGCATGGCGCCGACGATTAAAGGTTCTTGTGTTCAGATGGTAGAGCAGGTTCGTGGGCGGAGGTGCACGCATGCATGCACAAACATGTGGAAAGCTGGTGTGAAGATGGCCGTCTCAGGGTTCAGCTGCAGACTTTCGGCGGAAGCTGTGAAGTCATCGCCCACATCTCGAGCACCACCACCACTTCGTCGTCTCGTCCGATTTTCCCGACACCACGCGCGGCCATGTTGGACGCTTTCGAGATCGTCACAACGTCGGGCATTGTCCTCTGGCGGAAGCACTACGCTCCACTCTCTTCCAGCGTCATCAACAGCCTGATCAACGATGTCTTCATCGAGGAACGACAGAAGCCCGCCGGCGGCGACGGAGCTGGCCATGCGCCATACCGAAAGGACAAATATACTCTAAAGTATACCACACTGAAAGATGCCGGCCTGATCTTCGTGGTGGGTAAGAGGCAGCCACAGCGCATGAGAATTCGCACAGCTGATCGATCCGTCTAGGCTGTCTACCAGTCCTTATTGCATCTGTCCTGGATCGATAATCTGTTGACCACAGTGAAAGCGCTATTCGCTAAGCAGTATGCTACCGAGCTCAAGAAGCAGCATGTCTCGAAAATCGACACACGGGACTTCGACCAGACCTTCGACGCCCTCGTTCGCAAGCTCGATACTGGTAGTACCAGGCGCAGACCAAGCGAGGTGGATTCAGAGAGCCAAGTCGAGCTCACACCGCCATCGAGTTCCGCTTCGCAGGCAGATGAGGAAGACGGTCCTCCTGCTCCGCCCGTACCCCACTTCAAGAAGCCTGCAGTACCTCAGGTGAAAGATGTAGTATACGATACGACCAGCGCTGACATCACGCCTGTCGCGACACCTGATACTTCGCGACCTACCACACCACTGCACGCACCATCACACCTGCTAGCAGCAAAGGCCGGACCTGGAGGGCTTTCGCGAAAGCAAAGAAAGAAAGCAAATCAATTTAGCAACTCTGCTCCAGTGTCTTCAGGCGACGAGAGTGATAGGAGACCTAAGAGCTCGCAAGGGAAGGGCAAAGCGAAGCGGAGATGGGATGCCAGTGGTGTAGCCCAGGAAGACGATGGTGAAGTGCTGGACTACAGTGCCACGGCCACACCGAGCAATGAGGAGCCGAATGCGCTAGATGTCGACGACGTGAATGCAACACAAATGGGGAGTAGGACTACAAAAGGGCAATTTGTGCTTAAGGATCTCGATGATGAGGTGGAGGCAATTTTGGCCGAGTCCAAGCAGCAAAAGCAAGCAGCGAGTACGGAGAAAGAGGTTTCCGGCCTCATTGGTACTGCAAGCAGCAAGCTCTCTGGCTTGTTCCGAAACGTGGTGGGAGGTAAATCGCTCACGAAAGAGGACTTGAAGCAACCCATGCAGCAAATACGAAATTCGTTGCTGGAGAAGAACGTCGCACCAGAAGCTGCTGATCGACTCTGTCAGAGTGTTGAGACAGATCTTCTTAACCAGAAGACGGCATCTTTCACTTCGATCGAGAAGACGCTACGAGAGAGTATGAGCAAAGCTCTGACTCGCATACTTACACCCACCAGCTCACTGGACCTTCTCCGAAATATCAACAACACGATCGAGGGTCGCAATCCTCGCCCATATGTCATTTCGATCGTTGGAGTCAACGGTGTTGGCAAGAGCACAAACCTCAGCAAGATCGCATATTTCTTGCTACAAAACAAGTTCAGGGTGCTTGTAGTGGCATGTGATACCTTCCGCTCCGGTGCTGTGGAACAACTCGGAGTACACGTACGCAATTTGACCGAGTTGAGCCGAAGGGAAAATGTTGGCCACGTGGAGCTTTTCCAAAAAGGCTACGGGAAAGACGCTGCAGATGTGGCGAAGCAGGCTGTCACCTACGCCACGAACGCTGGAGGTGGTAATATTCTTTTCGATGTTGTGCTGATCGATACTGCGGGACGACGACACAATGATCAGAGACTCATGAGCTCTTTGACGAAATTCGGGCAGCTGGCCAATCCTGATAAGATTTTCATGGTTGGTGAGGCGTTGGTTGGAACGGACAGTGTGTCACAGGCCAGACATTTTGCGGAGCAATTCGTTGACCAAAAGGGTGTGCTGAGGAACGGGGGTGTAGGTATGGATGGCTTTATCATTTCGAAGTGTGATACTGTGGGCGACATGGTGGGTACGCTTGTGAGTATGGTGCACGCGACTGGTAAGTACTGTTCCTTGAGAATTTGTGGAGAAACGACTGCTGACAATCTCCAGGCATTCCAGTTGTATTCCTAGGTGTCGGACAGCACTACGGCGATCTGAGAGGTTTGAATGTCGACTGGGCTGTTAGTAAGCTGATGAAGTAAACGACATGCTACAGAGAATCATTATGATGAATATACATTGTGTATTTGAGGCTGCCTTCTTGAACAGCTCCTATCTTTGACACTGCTGACAATCCCATCTCAGTCATCAGCTCGCGGATGATGCACCTAGAAGGCTAGATAGCCATGCTCGCCATAAGAGAACACAGAGTCGCCGGATCTTGAGACACATTCAGCCTTCGCGACAATGTGGTCACATGGCGGCTGAACCCTAGTCAGCAAGAAGATCAATCAATGCGTTGATGGTAGACTCACGTCAACATGGTCATGCTTCCACTTCTTCAGGTACTCCATCGGCTCAGTAGTCCACACCTGATCCTGAGCCGTGGCCTTCTCCGAGCACAATTCGATGTGCACGCAGACGCAGCTCTTGAACACTCCGTTGGCCAACTGCTCCACGCCCGAGTCTTTTCCGACCCAGTACTTCGCTCTCTCAATCGTCCACTCCGCATTCTCGCAGCGAGCCGTCATCAGCGTAAACGGATCAACAGGAGGCTTAGCTACTTCCTCCGCAATTTCCGGTGGAACCACACGGAACTCCCTAATCAGACCTGCTCGCTTCTTTCCGATCTTCTTCAGCCACTTCGGAAGGCAGGGAAGTTGCGAGTTGGCTCTAGCATGCTTCATTTGGAAGATGGAATGCTTGTAGTAGAAGTCGATGGCCTCGGAGTAGAAGCCCTTGCAGGTGAGGAGGAATGGTGGAGAGCGCGACAAGCCTTTCGGATTGCCTCTCATGCGGCGAGGGAGGACGACGATGGTGTTGCTGAAGAGATATGAGTAGATCTCTTGGCGGAGTTCGAGAGGGAGAGAGGTGAGGAGGCTGTCGAATTGGGGGTTTGTTGCGCGGCGCGGGGTTTTCTTCTTTTGCGTCGGCATGGTGTCGGCAGTTGTTGATGCTGTTGTGGGATATGTCTTTATTTATATACTGGACGGAGTGATGAGCTGCGTCTGGTGTTGTTTGTTGTTAGTCATGGGGGATGAGAGCAAGATGAAGGGGGAGGAGCGGGAATTTATGCTGGTGGTGCGGGCGGAAAGAGGTGAGTTGTCCAATTCGCATATGAAGAGGCAGCAATGGAAATCACATATGCTGTGTCCCATGCTGAGGCAACTGAAGAGTCGCGGCTATGGAAGTGACTGAAGGGGGTCGACAGTTTGTGATGAGAGTGAATGCCATGATTATAGCAAGGCATGAGGTATCTACGACTACTCTTTGCATAGAACGATCTAGCATGATGGCGTTCAAGAGACGGTGATAAGATGCGAGCGCCCCTTCATCTGGCAGCAGAAGGCTCCCGAGGAGAACTTCAGCAAGCTGAACATCAATGGCTACCGTCAGCCAGTCAACTTCAACTTCAAACAGGTCAATGCCTATCAAGTCACAAGTCTGCCTAGGCGTGACCCGATTGAACTACTCGCCGCGTCACCAACTTTCTTCTCTTGCTCTGCCCCTCCCCATAATTAAACGATCGGGATGCCACTGTTGGCGCGTATTCACCGTAGCTTGGTCCGTAACCTACTCCCGTGTCGCGCCAGTCTTCCCACTCCTGTTCAATTAGGCACCAAGGATTCTGTGTAACGCTCACCTTGTGAGCCCATTCCGTGAATTCCTCAGGTGATGGGTAGGGCCAGAAACGGACACAGTTGTCGTATTTTTTCAAAAAGTCATTCCACTTGTAGACATTGTCGAGAGTGTAAACCTGTGAATGTCAGCATCCGATTTGAAACGGCTCTGTCTCAACTGACCTCAGGATAACCAGAGCCAAAGTCGTAGGCGGCAAAGGCTTCCGCACACAATCCCACTGGGTCGGACGACCAGATAGAAACATCGTCATGCCACGTTCCAAACACGAGGCGACTCTTGACTACTTCTGATCCCCACACAGGTCTGCCGTAGATGTCTTCTGCCAGGCTCCGCACAGCTTCTATGTCTTTCACACAGTCCTCGACACCCTTGTTTCCGTCCGCTTTCTGTGGGTGCAGGTTCACGGTCCTTTCCGACGTACTGGTAACATTAATGTCCTTGATCTGGGATGCGAGCTCGTACCCAATAGAGGTAAGCCATCGTTTCAAACGCTGGTTGAAAAAGATTTGGTCACCTCCACGACATGGCGGAAACGAAAATTTGGTGGTTGAGAAGTAGATGCCTATCGCTTCGTCATAGATGCGCTTGCAGGTGAGCAAGATGCTCGGAAAGGACACCTTGAGGAATTCGCTCTGAAGGTGCAACTTGAATGATTCGTCCAACTTGACATCAACATGGCGATAGTCGTGGAGGGTCAGCTCTAATCCGTCAAGAGCTAGGGCGTAGATATGGTTACGCAGCTCCGCCGGTAGCAACATAAGCCTCGAATCTTCCTGCTGTTTCGCGTGGACGAGCATGTCGGGCACAGAGTCTAGCTTCAGTCCGGCCAAGTCACAGGTGATTTGTTGCTCGTCCGATGGAGCTGGTGGAACTTCATCGGCTGACTCGAAGGATGCAAAACCATTTGACTCGAAGTCTTGGTTGGGGCAAGAGTGCTGGTGAGGATTGGCCCGGGATGGAGTAGGTTCTGAGTTCGGTTCGATGGACGCAGTCGTGGGAGTAACAGCTGCTTCTTCTTGTGGAACGTGTATGACTTGATTTGCGAGGGTGCGAGCAAACTGGTGCGCACGAAGCAGCTTTGCCCTACGGGCCAAAGTCTCGTGCTTCTGAGAGGTGCCGACTCGCGACTCTGTCATGGTGACTACTGCGCTCAGACTGGTCAGCGATTGTACTGTCTCAGCAAGGGCTTCTACTCACCTGTCGACGATGTGTTATTGCGCGCGTGTATCAGGAGCTTACAGTAGTTGAAGGTGGTCGAGCTCTGTCGCGGCTGGGAACCTGTTCTTGAAGGACCAAACTAGGGGCAACAAGTGATTGTGCGAGTGGATGGTGGTGCAAAGACGTTGCGGTGTTTGGTCAAAAAGTTGCAGTGATGGTTTAGTAGAAAGGATCGCGGTGTTGTGCACGGGTGAAGAAAGCAGAAGGTGATTGGAAAGTGCGTGGCTCTTAACTGTCCCGTCGAGGCAGGCTAACAAGCCCGCTCATTGGTGAATCGCACGTGTTGTTCACTGCTTCGACAGAGTGCCAAAAGATTGTGGCTTCATGACGCAAACGCGCCGTCCGCAGTTCGAGGATAATTGCGAGATACACGATTGGACACAAACTCAGCTTGACTCACGGAAGAGGATTCAATTTTGAGAGTCCGTACCCGTACCTGTTTCCATGCGTACAATCCTTCGAGCTCGAATCGTCTTGAAGGTGCGGGACACACACATACTATGATATGTTTCCAAAGAGTCAAGAACCACGACCGTTAATCAAGCAGGTGCCCGGTTGTCGCAACTCTTCGCCTCAATCCTACCTAATCCTCGAGCCGGTAGCTAAGCAGAAGTTTGGCAGCAAATCAGTGTCGAACGTTGGACTCGAGTCCATCTGCCGTCTTTTTACGCATCATTCGTCGACCAGCTATGACTGCTCCACTTCTAGCACGGCGCTGTGGCAGCATCTTTCCACGCCGATGTCAGAGAGCCTACGAGGGCGACTACGACAGCCACTCCCCTCCCCACATAACAGGGTGATCTGAAGGTATCCACATGCCAGCAATGACTCCAGAGCTCTGTTTGAACAAGAACTCGCGGAATTCTGCCGAAGGCGTCTCGAAACTTCCCTGGCACTAGTTAGCGATCGTTTAGGAGTACACATATTTGAACTGACCTTGTAATAAGTGCCGTAAATGTTCGCGCACAATTTCTCAGGATCGCATGTCCAGATAGTCGCAGAACTCTCGTGCAGCTCGAATTCGAGAGATGTCTTGACCACTTCCGTACCCCATACAGGTCGGTGGCAAATGCTTTCTGCCAGCCTTTGTGTTTCTGCTATTTCATCCAAGCAAGTTTCGACGATAGTATCGTAGGGACCATCTTCCTCTCTCGAAAACAGCTGTCTACCCACTTTCCATCGGTCTGTCCAGATGTGCTGTATCCGACACACACGCGCAGATCCGATTCCCCTGAGCCATTTCTCCAGATCATCGTTACGTTCGGAGGGTTTAAGCAAGTGGCTTGGTTGGTTCAAAAAGATCGTGCTCGAGTAATAGATCCCAATGGCTTCCTGATGGATGCGTTTGCAAGTCAACAGCAGAGCGGGAGCGGTCGTGATGTCGGGCATGGTTCCAAGGAGATAATGCTGGACAGTAATGTAGGGACCAGGAAGAGCTAGAGCATAGATACGGTTGCGTAATTCTCCCGGCAGCGACATGAGCCTAGATCCTTCCTGCTGATGCGAGTCATGAAACGTCTTGCACGGGTTGACTTCTTCGAGCTTAGCTGCGTGGTCGCGTTTCTTTCTGCGTGCAGTAGCTTCACGCTTCGCTTTGCGCGTAGCTGCTTTCTCACGGTCCGCTTGGCGCAAAGCTGCTCTCGCACGTTGCTCCTTGCGATTGCGTTGAGCCATATTGCTGCGCCGTTCTGCTTAGTTTCTTCGATGTAATTGCCTAGGAGCCAATCGGCTGTGTACATGTGGTAATGCGTACCTGCGACATGAACTTGCAGTTTTGCAGTAGATGCGGACACGCGAAAAAGGCGCGCTGCGATCAAGTCCACGTGAACAGATCTGTTGCCACTTTTGGAAAGTGTTTGCTTTGATGGAAAGCCAAGGAGAAGAGGAATGAGTCAGTGTCGAGCGATGAAAGTATCGCGAGGTGCATGCGGGGATGATAGCGCCTTTCTCAAAAAGAATCGCGGTGTGTGCACCGGTGAAGGAGTCAAAGGAGAGAAGAAAGGCGCCCAGCTTTTAGACTATGGCAGCCAGGCAGTCAGGCAGCGGCACCAGTGGGGCCTCGACAAACGGCGGTCTCCTTGGGTGTGCGAAGGGTCTCGATTGTGCACCCAAGCTGGCCAATGGTATTCCAGCGTTCTTGCCCTTGAGCGAGTAAGCTGGGATTGGAAGAAGGCCAGTGGCGCATAAATCCCCGATCACCAGGACATGTTCTTGATTAAATTCGGTCTTCTTGACATCCGATCTGGTCTATTGTTGGCTTTGGCTTGGCTGAATGAAAGCATCAAAACAATAATTACCTGGTGCCTTGCCGTCGTGGGGCTACCACAATGTTCCTCGTAACGAACGTGTCAGCTTCGAGACACAAAAAGAACAGAAGATGATACCCTGAGATAGGATTGAACTATCGGCCTTCAGCTCATGAGACTGTTGCTCTACCACTGAGCTACCAGGGTTCGATGAAGTTGATGACGAGATGGAGGTACGACAGTAGATAAGTGTCATGCTTGCTCAGGTCAGTCATGTTGTGACGGGTCGTGAAGGAGGACGTCTTTAAGCTGCAGATGGCGAGGCAGGAGCTACTCCAGAGTCGGCAGCTTTTCAAGATGGCATCAGCGTACTAAAAGCGTTCATTGTGTCTTGAGCGATCTGTCAGTCCATACAACTGGCACTCGATGTGCTGGAACTGCTCTTGAGCCAAGTCTTTGTACGTATGCTCAACGAAGCGGAGATCAAGCCTAATGGGAGCACGAGGTTTCGGTTGCCCCTTCGGTACACACGCTTTGGCCTGGTCTACATGTTGCATGCTTCCTGCTCCGCGCAAAACTGGCTCGCGATCTCCATGCTCTTCATGCGAGTGCTCTGTTTTGATACAACCAGCTCGGTGCGTTGTTCAGGCTTGTGCGTCCGCTCGAGCTTGTGGTAGCGCATCCGTACAGCGTCTTTGCTTATGAAGAGATGACATTGGCAGTGCTTCGGCGATAAAACTTGCGATGAAGTATCGAAAATGTTGCTGCTCCTTTGGCAAGTCAGCGAGGTGAAGTCTGAGGGCAGGGGTGGAAAGCCGACCCACGACCCACCTCACTGGCGGCCAATCCCGCAGGATCTTGGCTCTGATGTGCTCCACTACGCTCACGAAGTATAGTTCAACGAGTCCAACAAGCAGTAGCATTTCATCCACGTGCCTTGAGAAGCCTCTGCTCAGGCTGGAGTCACGGCACATGCTTAAAAAAGAATCCCAATTCCATTGTCGCCAAGAATCTTTGGACTAACCAAGAGAACTTGAGTTCAATGTTGCTATTCATATGCAGCGACTGCGTGGACTCAATTTGCTGAATTTCTAGCACGAGGTCGTTGTCCTGGCGCAGGATCATGGACAGAGGAGGAACTTCTCCACTAATCAAAAGGTATCGTCGTATCATACAGGAGAAGTCGTTATGCGTTGCCCGGCAGTAGCTGCACTACTTGACTTCACGTTCATCGATGTCCCACTTTCACGAGAGTCGACACACGCAGTGCATTGGACCTATGCGATCAAGCACCAATCTCGCGGTTGTGATCCTGCTTCCCACCATAGCCCTGAGCATTTCGCTCAGCCTTTGCGCTGCCCTCCTCTGCCTTGTCATCGACGCCGCCGTACCCTCCCTGCTCTGCCGTACCATCTTGACCAGTCGTGAAACCGCTCATGCCACCTTCTGAGATCGTTTGGCCATATCGCATGTTTTCTACCGTCTTCTCGCCTCGGGCTGCTTTTTGTTGCGCGCCTTCGCTCGTGGATGCGAAGTCCTCGGTGGTGTTCTCAGATGTGCTGCCGAATTGTCCCGTCGACTTCGACTTGGGAACTGCGTCGGTGTATTCTCCTTCGTATCTGCATTCGTTCAGCTATGCTCAGTTCACGTGCGCGTCGAAGCTCTGTACTGGGTCTGCTCGCCGCCCTTCTCAGTGTCCATGAGGTTGGAAGACATGTTGCTTTCGATCAGTTTCTCGTCGTAGTGGTAGTTTCGATTCGTTTGGTAGCGCGTGCTTGAATTTGCGAACTGGACACAGTACTTGTATTTGTTTTGGAGGAAGCTGCAGTTGAGATGTTCAACTGTTGAGCTGCAGCAACACAAGCATTGGAAGGCACGCCTCGCAAGGATGACCTCATTTGATCCACAAAACGCCACGCTAAGGACCGATAACATGTGATAGCAGCCAGAAGGCAAGAAACTCAGTCAAACAAGTCATCGTCAAGGTCCATACCCAAGAAGTTCCTGTCGAGCATCAGTATGAAGTTTAGTGATGGTTCTGGGGCTAACTCACATCTCGTAGATCCGCATGAATTTTGTGACAAAGGCTTCTAAGTGAAAGATGACCTTGGAGCCCATGCGGATTCGATGCTCGTAGAAAGCAGCCCATTTGACGACTTCCGGCTTGAGGCTATCATCCAGCTTTGGCATAAGCTTAAACGTGAGTGTCTGGGTCTTGTCAGTCTATGTTCTGCGAAGGCGAGCACCTCAATGACTTACTTTGAGAATCGTCGTAGCAGGAATGCAGTGCGTCAACAGATCATATAGCTTTGCACGAACTTGCAGGATTCTCGCCGGGCTCCTCTCCTCTATGATCTCCTTCGCGATGACTTCAATCAGCGCCTCCCAGTCCGGTGGAGGTATGGGTGTCTTCTCCGAGACCTGCTCGTTCTGAGCGTGCACGGCCTCGAACATAAGCAGCGCTCTCCTCAAGTTTCTTTTCGACTCTCTCGCAATCTTCTTCTCCAATGGCTCACAGCTTGTATACCTCTCATCCTTGCCGACCTTTGCAAGCACTTCACAGATCTCCGCCTCGGTGGGTGCCGACACTCGCACCAGCAAGCAACGTGATCGGATGGGCGCGATGATGTTCGAAGTGCTGTTTGCCAGCAGGATGAGGCGCAGGTTGGGACTGTACTTCTCCATTGTCCGACGCAGTGCCGCTTGGGCGTCTCGTGTCAACTGATCTGCTTCATTGATGACCACAACCTTGAAGCGTTGCTTTGCTGACAGGTCGACCTGTTGTGTCTGAGCCACCTCTTTCAGCAGATCTTGCACGACCACTCTGTCATAGTTCCCGACGTCTGCAGGCGTGATCTCGAGGTGGTAATTCGATGAGACGATGTTGAACTCTAGCTTGCGGTTCGACGTTGTTTGGAAGACTCTGCTGTCAATCTTGATCTTCTCAACTCCAGGACCGTATAGTGCCCGTAATGTGGCTGTGATCCGAGTCTTTTTGCCGGCTCCAGATGGACCGTAAATTAGAAGATGTGGGAAGTCACCGCTGTTCGCGAGGGCACGGAGTCGTTCTGAGAGGTCAGGATGGTATGTGAGAGTCTCAAGGGTGCGCGGACGGTGCTTGTCGACGAGGAGAGCCATTGTGGAGGGTGTTGCTCGATGGCGATTTGGCTGATGGTTAAGGTGTTCAACGATGCGTAGAGCAACGCGCCGCCAAACGCGAAGACGACGCGAAGCGGACCCAACTCCGCTTTGTCAAAGTTTCTCGTCACAACCGACTTCAACTCTCTCCTTCGCCCTACACACTCTCACATTTTCATCTGACACTACATGATGGCCGTGGGGCGTTAATTTTCACCACTGACATCTATCCTGGGCCTCACAAAAAGCGAAGCTTTGGACATTGATCAAATGTAACAGTTTCGCTTTTCATTTGCTCTCCAGCACTACGAACAAGACGGCCGATTATTAGGCGGCGAAGCAGCATTGCTGGGATTTATTTGGCCACAGCCCCGGATTGCACCCGTCGCCGTGTCGTCAATAGCAGAGTTGAAGGCCGCTCCGCAATTAGGATCGCTATACATTGATTATCAGCACAGGTTCAGATCGCAAGCCCGGCATGGGTTGAGCGTACCTTGCTCCACCGCTGGCGTTCTCGAAGTACGAGCAGATATCGTGTGAGAAGCAGTCTTGAGTATAAGCATTGCCGATAGCTGTACCGCTGCAACCGGCGCCACATCTTCCATTACAGCTGTACCTGTTGACAGTGTTAGCTTAGCGGGTCCAGCTCTGTATGCTGTTTACACTTACTCTCCGCCATTCGCACTATTGGTGCCAAAATTGCTCCCGACAGTACCTGTCCAAGAACATGTTTGTCCAGCTGCGTTCGTCCATCGCGCAGTAGCCGTCGAACCGACTGTGAGGCAAGTAACAGAGCGCTTGTCGAGTATGGGATTTGCGATTGCCAAAGCAAGAATGGCAGTGATGACCGCGAAGTTCTTTGTGCCGAACATTCTGAAGATGATGCTAAGTGGACAGATTGGTTTTCGGTTCGCACTGATGAAGCTATAGAGCTCTTTAATACTCCACGGGAAATCATCATTCCATTATTCCACACCGAATCCGATCTTCGGACACATCTCGTAGCGGTAAGTGGTGCGCATCTCGGACTCTTCTAGCAGCGGAGAAGGTGCGTACTTGAAGCCCCAGCTCGTGCCATATCTTGTTCAAGAAAGTTATTGAAGCCCGTCCACTTGCTGGATTCGATCCAAAATATGGACTTTTGCCTGTTCTTGGCCATCTTCTCTGGCGTTCTCTTCGTTCTGGGAAGTTTGTCGACGCGGTTGGCGGCGAACTAGATCTATAGCGTCGGCCGGTCGGATTCGCGATCATCCCTGCACTTTGCACAATTCGCCGGCAAGCCGAAGCATCGTGTCAGCATTTGCCTCCTATGGAGCACTGGGAGACAAGTCAACAATTTGAACAATATATTGATGTGCATTCGTCAAGCTCAAGTTCTCATATATAGCCTGCTACATAGACCACCAAATCGGCGTCGGAACTCTAAACCTTCTGAGCATCAGCAGTAGCATTCCTCGCAGTCTGGCCTTTCTTGTAATCTTTCCGCCATTGCTCCGCGTACTTGACTCCGAAGCCATGCTGGAACACTCTTCGAACCTCCTCCAAAGTCATCTGCGCACACTCCGGGAAGCAGAAGAAGACGAATATCCAGCCGATTGTGCAGAGTGCAGCATAGAATCCAAAAGTGCCTGAAGGAGTAATATTCTTCATCATCGTGAGGAATGTCGAGGAGACGACAATGTTTGGACCCCAGTTGAAGACGTTGATCATCATGGTTCCCATAGCACGGACTTCCATAGGTAAGAATTCGTTTGCTTGCCAGGGAACACAGCCGAGACCTGCGGCGTAGAATGCTACGAAGAGGATCATGGCTACCAGGACGAGGTATGCGGGCCAGCCGACTTCATCGCTTGTGAGCTCGAGGGTGCGGTGGTCGATGGGGACCCAGTTGAATGCGATGGCGGCGAGCACGAGGCAGACGGGCATGCCCCACATTGTCCAGAGGAGAAGTCTTCGACGTCCGACGCGGTCGATGATGAAGATACTGAGGAATGTGAAGATCCAGTTCACGCCAGCTACGACTGTTCCTACTGCGATGGGGTTGGAGAAGCCGACGATGTCGAAGAGGGTGGATGAGTAGTCTGGTACGTGTCAGAAATGTACGAATCAAGTTTGCAGATGTTCTCGACTTACACATGAGTGTGTTGAATCCGCAGAATTGCTGGAAGAACATGAGTCCACAAGCAGCGATGCCGGCACGGAGGTTCGCAGGAATGGTGAACAGCATAGATAGCGACTTCTTGAGAGAGATCTCCTCGTTTAGAGCCTTGGAAGAGTTGACGCCGTACTCGATGGAGAGCATCTTCTCGGCGACTTGTTGTTCTGTAGCGTTGACGTAGATGCTGCGGATGACGGACTCGCACTGTTCTCTCTTTCCATGGAACATGAGCTGACGAGGAGATCTAGATATTGTTAGAAGACGTACACAACAGGAGGAGATGATACGTACTCAGGGCACCAGAACAGGAGTATACCGAGGATAATTGATGGCACAGCACCAACTCCGATCATGTATCGCCAGCCATGGTTTACCGTATAGAAAGCCGCGTCAAAAGCATACGCGAGAACAGAACCAGTTGCGAGGAAGATCATGTCCACAGAAATCATACGACCTCGGAACCTAGCGGGAGAAATCTCTGCGATGTAGAGCGGTACGATTGTTGATGCAGATCCAACACCAAGTCCGATAGCAAAGCGGCCGACTAACATTTGTGCGACAGTGTACGAGGTAGCCTGGATGATTGCGCCGACGGTGAAGAGAACAGATGCGAACCAGATGGCTGGTTTTCTTCCATATTTGTCTGAGGTGATACCAGCAATGACGGCTCCGACGAGAGCTCCAGCGGCGCAGAGAGCGGTGATGGCTTCCTTTTCCGAATCTGTGACTTCGCGACCGCCCAGGTCGTCTCCGAGCACGACGAGGACTCCTGAGATGACACCAGTGTCGTAACCGAACAACCTGGAGAAGAATATGCGATCAGTATGATGCCCCCTATTGTGCTTGCGGTGTGATCCCGACTTACAGTCCTCCAATGGCTGTAGCTGCCGCACAGAGCCAGACGAACGCTCCAGGCTTCGTCTCTTCAATGGTGTCCAGCTCTCCAGAGTTCTCGATCGACTCGATCATGGTCACTCCAGTCTTCTCCTTCGCCATGTGATCCGACGCATTGTCGTTGACATGATTGTCGGGGTTGTATTCCGTCTGAGACGCCATCGTGGCCCGAGTCAACGTAGCACGATGATAGTGGTGAGGAGAATAAGACCAAGCAACCACTTCTTGCAAGGTTCGACGACTTGTTCGCCTGAACCAGGGAGGGAATAGAACAGGACTATAAGTATTCAATCCGTGATAGTGACATCCGAGCAGTCGTGGCAAGTGGAACTAGAGTAACGGAACGATTACAGTGTCCAAGCCCACGGGGCCCCGCGTGGCGTTACCAGGATGGAAACCAAGTAACTTTTCGCCGGGATTCCAGCGAGGAGGATAGATCGTGCACGATGAGACAAGGAAAGTCGTGTATCGGCAACTGCCCATCGCCTTAAATTGTTCAGTCTAGCCCTGACCTTTGAGTTTGCGGAAGTGGTCTTTGCCTTCCCGCCGAGGCCAGATTCTGGTTGTACCTGCCTGGGCTTTTCCAGAAGTTCCTGCAGGCTTGTCAGACGCAAGCCACAATGTGCTTCTCTCAACGTCGGTCGCGAAGGTGCGCGATTGCGGCAGCAAGTGCCGAAGTTTTGTGGCAATACATAGTGGCTTGCATGGACATCCATTGAACAGATCATACTTGGGGAGGGTAGAAGTGGCCGAAAGACGGGAAAGTTTGACCGAGAAAGTGGGAAGCGGAGCAGCGGATGTCTTGGCGCTTACTTGTCTGTGTGGATTGAAGGGCCTTAGGAAGCCTTAGGGCTCATGCAACACCAAGCCTGGTGCATACAGCTGTACGGATGACTTCAATGTGGGTATCACAGTGAATGTATCGGCATTAGGAGGAAGACAATGAGTTGCCGAAGGTCAAAGCTGGCGTGGATAGGCGATCTATCGCGGCGACAGAAGCCGAAGGAACAATGTTTTACAGTACTCCCTCATCACAATTACTTCAAATCGCGAGATTGGGTATTCCGGCCCATCTTCGCCTATCTCGTGGTTGTTGTGCTATTTGGGCGCACGAACCTCCAGTCGTGTCTTCGAGAATGGTCGGGTAGCAATACCAGACTTTACTCGCTATCATCCTCCCATTGTGCTACTAGAGCTTGCATGAGGCGCCCAACTCTCCACCCAGTCTGATTTCCCATGTCTTGAAGGAAAGCTAGACACGCTTGTTGGTCGCCTTTTCTCCGCAGACTACCGCCCCAAACGTGGAGGCAGTGGTGAGCAGTGAACCAGGTGTTCTGAGCTCGGGCATTCGACCGAGCGATGCCTACAGCACGAAGCAGATGGTATCGGACCTGTCTCTCCACGTTGCGATGCTCGTGAATGTGATCGAAAGGTCTTGCAGACGTGACGTGTGCAGCGACAGCCAGCACAAGCTGTGCGATGTGATAGTATTGCAAGCCGATGGCATGGATCGGGGCCAACATCCATATCTCTGGCAAATGCTGACCAGCTGAAGGGTTGCGGTCGCGCAGGTAGATGGGATTGAAAGTATGTGGCTTTGTGATGTCCCACTCGGCAATACGCGCTCGAATGTTGGCGAGTGCAGTAAGATCTGCAACCTCGAGGAATGCAACAGATAAGAGCTTGGCCAGGAGAAGAACCATTCTGTTCGTCCAAGCAGAATCACTGTCGCCTTGTATCCAGGTCGCGCCATCAAAAGGTGGCAGGCTAGTTCGGAGGACAGTCTGCGTGGTCAGAGATACATATATGTCTTCTCGGAGGCAGAGCCAGGCTGTAGCCTCACGAAGCCCGCCAGATGAAGCAAATGCAGACACATCGTTGAGAATTCGTGTCACACCTTCGAGGTGAAAGCGATTGTCGTACTCTAGAGTCTGTCAGAACGTGTTTTGCTGTCAAGTGCATTTCACATACCATCCATTTCTTCGTTCTGCCGCAAAATCGCAACCGCAGCAAGTACTCCTTCGCTCATAGAAAGCTGTCCGGACATTGCAGGTATGAGCAGCTGTAGGCACGCGTCCTGGTGCTCAAGGGCCTCTGCATCTCGATTCGCACGCTGTCGGTTCATATGTCGTGCCGAAAAGGCACAGATTGCGTGCCTTAGTACAGAGTCGGTCAAGGCAATTCGGCAAGCTTCAATCTCGAAAGATCTCTGCGGATCTGGCCCATCGGCCCATAGGGCCATGTTCTCCGTGAAGTTCCGCAGGAGGATGGCTTCTGACTCGGTAAGAGGCTGAATAGATTGCTGGTGTGGGCTGTGCATGTCGTTCGACTCGGTTGAGTGCAGCGTCCATGGTGATTGTGTTGTTTGTGAGTTCGTGCCCGGGGATGTGCCATTCAAGATGCCAGCATCCGTAGGCGGAGAGAGCGCCAGATCTCTTGTCGAAGTCCGATTGAGGTTCTCCAATAGCATATGCGCCACTGACTGCGTCGTGGTCGGTTCAGTGGCACGGTGAGTGCTCTGTGGGAGATTGGGCGAGGAAGCTTGGGGCGGTAGACTTTCTCGCACTCTAGGAGCAGGCGTAGTGAACCTTTGCGCATCTTTGTAAGGCGACGGCGGGCTGTCACCGTGGTAGAAGTCTATGAGTTCTGGTGTCTCGTCGTAGTAGCGGAGTTCTGTCTTGGGTTGCGTCCAGATTTGCTGAGGCGACCACGCCATGGACTGCCCCTTTCCGGCATGCTTGAACCTGATGATAGGGGTTCTTATGCAGTCCATGCCTAGTTCCCGACAGTGATGACAGCCATGTTCGGCGGCGTCACATCTGACCTTGCGGATGCGGCAGTTTTCGCAGACTTGGAGAGTTTTGGTATTGCTGCCTCTGCCATCGCCTCTACTGCTGCTCATATCGATGCCGCATCAGCAGATTGCAGGACGTGCTGTCATTCCCTAGGCCCATGTCGTCGTGTGAGTGGAGGCGGCATCGCCGAGGATGTTTGTGAATAACAGAAGACGCCACATTGAGTTGCGGTTGTCGGCGTGTGCAACGTGTCGGCGAATGCTAAATGTGCCGTCAAACTTTGAAGGCCAGGGGCACCAGTATTGACGAGACAATTGATTCTACGCCGTAGCGAATCGAGAACATGTCCAGGAGTTGGAGGCACATTCGATCAATCACAAATTTGCAAAACCTGTCTTACTTGCTGCAGACGCGACTGGGAGACCAACTATGGGGCGATAGCTGAATAGATATGCGTCTCCACACAGAGTGGAGTCTTCAACGCGCCTACTCACGATAGGCTGCACATCACAATCATTGAACAGAAGGGCTGAATGCTTGCAGACAAAAATCTATTCCAATCGCTAAGTATGCAAAAAGTACTCAAGCACAGTCCTGCACGTCACAGCAGAGCAGGGGTGAGTTACAGCCTCGCTGCCGGCCTTGTGACCCTCTCGCCAGTCTCGTCAAAGTGCAGTTTCTCTCCTGTCCGTAGCGCCTCCTGCAGGTAGCTTCCAATTCGGAGTGCTTGCACAGCGCCTGTGAGCTTGAATGGCAGGGGCTTGTCGTCGAGCACCGCCTCCGTGAACTCGTTGCTCTCGCGAATGAATGCGGGCTCGAAACGGTCCCAGTATGTTTGTCCAATCTCTTTGCGGATTCCAGTAGCCTCGTGGTGCTCTACCAGGTCGTGCACTGGGTTGGCATTGACCGTCAACTTCCCATGTGTGCCAATGACTTCTGTCATGTCGTGTTGACCGACTGCCATCATACGGCAAGCGTAGAAGTATGCGATCTTTCCTCCCCAGAACTCAACGATGCCCACGCCGTTGTCAACATCCCCGTACTGCTTCAGACCTTGGTAACGTGCACAAGTACCAACTGCAGAAACACTCTTTACAACGCTGTCTTGGCCAAAGAACCACAGTGCGAGATCGATGTCGTGTACGGAGGCGTCAACGAAGATGGATCCTGACACCTTCGAGTACCCAATGAAATAATCATCGTCACGGTACTTGTCGCATGTCTGGGAGCGGAAGACGACAGGGCGGCCAATGTCTCCCGAATCTGCCTTCTTCCACGCGTTGCGGTAGCTCTGGTCGAACCGGCGAGAGAAACCGGTCATGACTTTGAGGTGAGGGTACTTCTTTGCAACATCGAGCACGCCTTGGCTGATCTCGAGATCTGTAGAAAGTGGCTTCTCACACAGGACGTGCTTGCCTGCCTCGATGGCGCGGATGGATTGTGGTGCGTGCTCGGTGGTGATACCAGATACGATAACAGCCTCGATTCCGGGGTGTGCAAGCATCTCATCGAAGTCGGAGTAAATCTTCACGCCGGCTGGCTCGAGAGCTGATTTTGCCCAAGCAATAGCTTTTGGATCAGGATCGCAGACTGCGACCAATTCGGCTCGGGGAGTCTTCTCAAGGTAGTTGACGGCATGACGAGCGCCCATACGGCCGAGGCCACTGACAGCGACTTTCAGCTTGCGGGCCATGTTGAAAAGATTGAGGACGTGTAGGAGGGTGAGGAGAGGGAGTAGTTTGTGCCATTGCGGAAAGAGCCCATGCTGTCGTACTTATAATCTTCGGCTCAATTCGCAGCGCGTGCGGTCTCGACAATTTTCTAGAACTGCACTATGCTGATGAGACTGTGGGTTGTCGAGGGACCATTGTTGTGGAGTGCCCCAGGTTATGGAGAAGTGAGACCTGCCGAGCTTTCGGTCAGAATTGCTGTTCTTGCGGGGGGAATTTCTCTTCGCGGAAGCTGCGAGTCAGTTTGCACAAGTCCACTATGCTCCGGATTCAGAATGATGGTCCACACACCACCGCGGTTACCGACGGCATCGGCGTTTGACAGTACTGGGAGGAAGTGGAATCTTCCAACGATGAGGCACATGCGGTGGAGCAAGAGAGGTGAGGTGGACAATGCTGACAGAACCCACGTTCGCCAAGCATAGCCGACAGCATGCATACCTGAGGCCTAAACTTTTATGTACGGGCATGTCTCATGCTCCAACTTCTTCTAATATCTCTCCTCGACATGACTGATCACACTGCTTTTCCTTTCCACTTCCTGCACACGATGCTCCAAGTCATGGTTGTCAAAGTCCTTCATATTCATCGTGGGCACGAATAATGGCGCATTCGTGAACAAGTAGTTCATCTCCTCCAGCGGACGTTTGGCAGTCTCAGGTTGGATCGCCCAGAACCAGAGAGCATTGGTGAAGTTGCAGACGACGAAGAGTATGTAAAACCTCCAGCCAATGCTCTCGATAGCGATTGGAGTGACCTGGCCGATCATGGTGTTGAAAGCGAACGAAGTCATTGTGGCGATCGACACACCTTTCGATCGAGTACGAGTGTCGAAGATCTCGGCCGGTACGATCCAGCTCAGTGGTCCATTTGTAGCACTGAAGCTGAAATTGTAGACCCAGGTGATGACGATGAAGCCCCAGGATGCGGCGTTGTTGTTCGTCTGTCCAGGCGGGAACTTGGCCAGCAGGATCGTTGCAATAATGAAAGTAATGCAATTGCCTACGTTGCCGCCAATCATAGCCCATCTACGACCAGTGTAGTCGATGAACAAGATACAGCAGAACTGTGCAACGATGGCAATGACTGAGGAGATACCCTGGTATTTGAGCGTGTCGCTACCGGGAATTCCCATCTGCTCAAAAATAGCCGGACTGTCTATTACAAGGAGTCAGTGGAAGTACGACAATATACGAGACAGCACTACACTTACAATACTGGATAGCCGAAACTCCTGTCATCTGAACAGATGCCTGGATCGATACAGCGAGCAGGAGTCGTCGGAACGAAGATTTGTTGGTGAAGAGCTCGATGTATGATCTAGCTTCATGTTCCCTCTCGAAAGTGATCATGTCCTGGATCTGGTCATACTCTGCTCGGACCCAGGTGTCATGCTCGTTTCCATGAGCGTGTAATTTGGCAAGAGTTGCCAGACCTTTCTCAGGTTTGCCATGGGCGATGAGCCATCTGAGTTAAAGAACGATGTCAGTCGGGACGTTCTGCACAGCATGGTGTTGCGGATGCACAAACCTTGGCGATTCTGGGAAGAACATAATCAGGCCAGCCAGGAAGCCTGCTGGCACGACCTGCAAACCCAAGCTGATCCTCCATTGGTTGCTGCTGCTCGCCGGGATGTAAGTATAAGTCGCATAGCTAACCCATGAAGCCACCAATGCTCCAATGCCCAGCATAAACTGTTGCAAAGCCGTCACTCTTCCTCGAATGGATGGATGTGCAAGCTCTGCTTGGTAAAGAGGCACGATCATAACCAGGAATCCGACTCCAATACCAGCAATTGCTCGCCCTGCATAGAGATACGACAAGCCTTGAGCACCAGCCTGCAGCGCTCCACCGAGAATGAACACAATAGAGCCGATCAAAATTGTGAGCTTTCTTCCCAAAGAATCACCCGTTGGACCAGCAAGACCTGCACCAATGAAAGCGCCGCCAGTGAAGACGGACACAACGGCTCCGGTCTCAGCTTTTGTGGGATTGAAAGTGCTGACGAAGTTCTCTGACGCGACGGCGCCGGCGATGACTCCCAGATCATATCCATAGAGCAGGGAACCAAGAGAGGCAAAGACAGCAACCAAGAACTGAAATCGGTATCAGTATACTGCTCAGATTAGAGTCAAGTTGATCCACTGACCTGATACCACTTTGGTGGAAGCGCCATGTTGTCGAATGTCAAATTTCTAACACTCAAAACTTCGCCGGAATATGCTACAAGTGGCGGTTATTGCACTTTGTATTCGATTTACAGTCTTTGCAACTGCCGGGCCAGTTTCGAAACTAAGGAAGCGTTTTCTGTGGCGCCTTTCACCACGCGGAAGGAATATTTCCAGATCTTGGAAGGCCTTGAGATTGATCAGGACATTGGCTGGTGATGCCTACTTGTCAAGCGATATACCCAATTCAAGTAATGAAATACCGCGGTAGAGCGGAGAAGACTCCATTTCTGGGGGGAAATAGCCTTTGCCTCGGTGAAGCTCGCGCCGGGCTCTATACCGTTTAGCGAGGTGGATCAGTATTCTCCACCAGTGAACGTGCTGCAATGCCTCACGTCTCGTGAGCAGAACCTACAAGCATATGCAGTATCTGCAGAAGTTAGCATGTGAAAGAGCCCATACTACAGTGTTGCACGAAGCTTGATTCCCGTCACAGCATTGAGCCAGGAACTTGCGAGTGAGTGGGCTGCCTTTGCTGTCTGTTCAATCAGCAATCAATCTATCGCAAGTGTCGTGTCACTCTCATCGGTGTGCCATGACAACTTTCACCAAGCTGGAGGCCGGCGAACAGCCTTCGATCTCAGTATACCCGAATCGCAAGCTATCCAAGATTAACGACAATGTTTTCGGAGGGTTTACCGAGCACATGGGCCGCTGCATATACGGCGGACTGTACGATCCTGACAACCCGAACAAAGATCTGATCGATGAAAATGGCTTCAGGGTCGATGTCATTGAAGCAATGAAGGAGCTCAATGTACCCAACATACGATATCCCGGTGGAAACTTTCTGGCGACCTACCATTGGATCGATGGCGTTGGTCCGAGAGAGAAGCGACCGAAAAGACCAGAACTTGCGTGGCTTGGGATAGAAAGCAACCAGTTTGGGACGGACGAGTTCATGAAATGGTGCGAGCTCGTGGGAACGGAACCGTATCTTGCGCTCAACTTCGGAACCGGCACTCTCGATGAAGCCATGGCATGGCTTGAGTACTGCAACTCGTCTCAAGACACGCACTACGCCAACCTGCGGAGGAGCCATGGTCGCGAAAAGCCGTATGGTGTCAAGTATTGGGCTCTCGGCAACGAGTGCTGGGGCCCATGGCAGGTAGAGCAAATGACCAAGGAAGACTATGCCAAAAAAGCCTATCAGTGGGCCAAGGCGCTGAAGCTCATCGATCCTTCCATTACACTTATTCTATGCGGCGAGACGGGACACTCAGAGTGGGACTTCCACGTGTTGAAGGAGTGCATCCGATGGGACCAGCATGCTTTGGGAGCAGGTAATGTGACTGCGAGCTTAATCGATCTGCACAGTATCCACATCTACACCGCCAGCGAGGATCCAGTAAAGAATGCTTTGGCTCCGAGGTCTGCTGAAAGGGCGATAGAGATCGCGTCAGGCCTCATTGATTTGGCGAGGATCCAGAACGGCGTGCCAGCCTCCGTTCCTGGGCAGACAATATGCTTCGATGAGTGGAACGTTTGGGATCCGCAGCGAGCTCCAGGAGATCTGGGTGCCGAGGAGAAATACACGCTGTCCGACGCTTTGGCCGTGGCAGTTTGGCTCAATGTCTTCGTCCGGCAGAGCAAGTATGTGGGCATGGCTAATATTGCTCAAAGCGTAAACGTCATCTCGCCGCTGATGACTTCAAAAGAAGGAGTGTTGAAGCAGACAACGTGGTGGCCGTACCTCCTGTTCTGCAAGTATATGCGTGGACACACAATCGCAACTCATGTCAGTTGTGCAGCTTATGATGGTGAGACTCAGCCCAAGTGGCTGCAGGCTGCCTCGGAATTGCCTTGGCTGGACGTGTCTGCTGCGATCAGTGAAGATGACTGGGTCAGCTTGGTGGTTATAAATGTGCATCTCGAGCAGGACTTTGACGTTGCCCTCGATGGTGTCAGCGGGCAAGTTCAGGTATACACTGTTACTGGTAAACAGTGGGATGTTGTCAATACGGAAGGCGAGCAGAACGTTGGTATCGTTGAGAGCCAGTGGGACGCTGCTGAGGGATACACATTCTCAAGGCAGAGTATGACAATGCTGCGATGGAAAATATAGCTGCATAAAGAGCAAGTAGGTGTTGATGAAGTAGCAAGTTGTGTCGCGAGGCACGCGACTTGAGTTGTGGAATGCATAATTGCCTCAGGCTTCAGCGCTAGCGGCAACTCTAACTCCGCCAAGCCCACGCACTTGCAATTGCGGACCAGCTACGCTCGAAAACTTCCTCGAGCACAATCGCGTCCGACCACCACCGTCACCAACTAACCACAGCAGAGCACCTTGACGGTTACCAGTCAAGATGAAGCTCAACATCTCCTTCCCAGCCAACGGCTCGCAGAAGCTCATCGACATCGAAGATGAGCGCAAGCTCCGTGTCTTCATGGACCGCCGCATGGGTCAGGAAGTCCCAGGTGACAGCGTCGGCGACGAGTTCAAGGGCTACATCTTCAGAATCACCGGCGGCAACGACAAGCAGGGTTTCCCAATGAAGCAGGGAGTCATGCACCCAACCCGTGTCCGACTCCTCCTCGCCGACGGCCACAGCTGCTACCGCCCACGTCGCACTGGTGAGCGCAAGAGAAAGTCTGTTCGCGGCTGCATTGTCGCCATGGATTTGTCCGTCCTCGCTCTGTCCATCGTCAAGCAGGGCGACGCAGACATTCCAGGTCTCACGGATACCGTACACCCCAAGCGTTTGGGTCCAAAGCGCGCGACCAAGATCCGCCGCTTCTTCGGTCTCAGCAAGGAAGACGATGTGAGTACCTCTTCGAGGCTCTATTTCCTCTTCGCCAGCCCGCCTTGAGCGTGTGCTGAGTCTGAGTCTCCGCCTTGCGCGAGAACGAAGTTCTGCTCAGAAGTAGCGTGAACCGACGTTCAGCCCAATGGCCGAGCTCAGTAACTGAGGCCGAAACAATTGCTAACGTGTGTCAATGTGATAGGTTCGCAAGTTCGTCATTCGTCGTGAGGTTCAGCCAAAGGAGGGCAAGGAGGGTGCGAAGCCATACACCAAGGCCCCACGCATCCAGCGTCTGGTCACTCCTCAGCGCCTCCAGCACAAGCGCCACAGGATCGCACTCAAGCGCCGCCGCGCAGAGGCCGCCAAGGATGCCGCCGTAAGTTCAGCTTTACCAGAGAATCGAGATCATCACTAATGCAATGCACAGAACGAGTACGCTCAGGTCCTCCACAAGCGTGTCTCCGAGGAGAAGGCCAAGGTTGCCGACGCGAAGAAGCGCCGTGCTTCCAGCATGCGCAAGTAGGCGTATCAAAAATGTTAGACATGGCGCTATGGGACGGATTATGCATTGTTCTCGAGCGAGGGCCTCGAAGATCTCGTGATGAATTGAGATACCTGCTACAGGCGCACCATCCAGCGTAGATGGGTGAGTTTGGCGTTTTTATTACGTAGCTGCAGAGTCAGTACGCCGTACACCACGGCCATGAATGGACCCAGCACAAAATCGTTCTCACCCATGGCATCTCTCTCTCTCAAGTCTCGCATACTCATCCCGTTACTCCATATTCTCGTGATGCCCGCATTTGTGGGTGAACAGTGGTACCAAGCAGTGCTTCTCAGGGACAGACCTGTGCTCACCATGGTTTTGAGTCTGAGAATTTTCGCCGTGACCACGGGACTTCACTGACTATTCACTGGTGGCACGTCCGGGAATCACTCTTAAGCTGCAAGTTCAGTACCACTATCAATCCGAACACCTTTGCTGCAACCTTGCTGTCGTTGCCCTTTTCGGTGGCTGCCGATCTGCCGAAGCGGGCACTAAAGTTCTTTCCCAGCACCTGACGACAACCTTTCCGATCTCAGTTCGTCGCATCTTCCAACATGACACACCGCACGCCGCTGATTGTGCTGCATAGCTTCCGGTCGCATCAAGATGGCGACGACCAACAGCATCAAGTTGCTTACGGGTAACAGTCATGGCGGCCTGGCGAAACTGGTAGCCGAGAGGTATGTCGACAAGAAAATCTGCGGCTTTTCATATGACAGCCGGCCAGCGTCACGTAGAATGGCGCATACTGACGACGCTATGTCCACAGACTAGGCATTGAGCTTGCCAAGATCATGGTAGTGCAGTACTCGAACAATGAATCGAGTATCAGCATCGGAGAGTCCGTCCGCGACGAAGATGGTGGGTGATACTGGACTCGAGTAACGCCGACAACAGGATGACTGACTTGTACAGTCTTCATTCTCCAATCCACTGAGCCTGGCAACATCAACGACCACATCATGGAGCTGCTCATCCTGATCAACGCATGTCGAACCGCCTCAGCTCGCCGCATCACAGCTGTGCTTCCGAACTTCCCATACGCGAGGCAGGATAAGAAGGACAAGAGCAGGGCTCCCATTACTGCGAAGCTCATGGCGAATATGCTCCAGACGGCTGGCTGCAACCACGTTATCACGATGGATCTCCACGCCTCGCAGATCCAGGGCTTCTTCAACGTACCAGTGGACAATCTGTACGCGGAGCCCAGTACACTTCGATGGATCAGGGAGAATCTCGCTGTGAAAGACTGTGTCATTGTATCACCAGACGCAGGAGGAGCGAAGCGCGCCACGAGTATCGCGGATGCACTCGACCTGCAATTTGCACTCATTCACAAAGAGAGAGCACGACCGAATGAGGTGTCACGCATGACGCTTGTCGGTGATGTCAGAGACAAGATTGCCATCGTGGTGGACGACATGGCAGACACATGCGGCACGCTGGTCAAAGCTGCAGACGTGGTCATGGAGCACGGAGCTAAAGAGGCAATCGCCATCGTGACCCACGGCATTCTCTCTGGTAATGCTATTGAGAAGCTCAATGGCGGGCAGCTGAAAAAGCTGGTCGTAACGAACACTGTGCCACACGAGGAGAAGAAGAAGTTGTGCGACCGGATTCAGACCATCGACATCAGCCCCACACTGGCTGAGGCGATTCGGAGAACACACAACGGCGAGTCCGTGTCGTTCTTGTTCAAGCATGCACCACTGGACTGAGGGATTTTGGCATTTGAAAAGTTTTGGAGTTCACGAGATCGTGCGGGAGCTTCTCGGGATTGTTACGATACCAACCTGAACTGTAGATGACCTCGTTCGGACGGCGTAGGATGAGAAAATACGTGGCTGAAGCATAGATTACTGAATGTCGTGCGAAGCTCTCTAACACAAAGTCACTTGAGCACCTCGCGTCCTTTGCGATCGCAACGCAGTCGGCAAGCATGAAAGTCTTGTACGAGGATTCTCACAGACACAACATGGATTATGTGGAGACTTGGCCGGATAGAGGGTCGTACGCGTTATTCATGGCCTCCTTATGAACGTCGAATCTCAACAACTACACACGAATCAAGTCCCGCGCTTCCTCTGTTGAATATGGACGCGACCAGAAACTCTTACAGGCAGGCATTCCGTGCTTCAGTGTGTCAGAGCTTCTCTGCGCACGTTTTAGGCATGGACTGAGACAGGATGCGGACGTAGATCTGTTCGTTCGAAGAATAGTGTGCCACCACTCATGCGCATCAGGACGAGTTCGAACTTGTTGGCGACATGCAGGATGTTTTGAAGCACCCTTTCCGTCGATAATCTCAAGATCAATTGCGCGAAGTCTAAGAATGCTCAAATTGTCTGGCTCCTGGGAATATACCACATACGCAGCCTGTCGAGGTATTACATGCACAGACCGCGATTCCACTGCGTTTTTCTGATTTTCATTCGCTTCTCCTAGAGACCTCCTGGAACGCACAACTCGTTCTAATCGAGCAGGAGCCATCTACTGCCCCTCAGCCTTTCTTAAGGTCCCCATGAACCCTTTCACCCAGGAGAAATGACCAGCATTCGTCCCCAAACTTCCTCCAGCGAGCTTGCCCGTCTTCGGATCATACCAGCATCCATCTTCTGAGCTCGCCAGTCCATATTGCGCCGTGTTCTGATTACGTTCAACCCCTTCCCTCCAAGCTTTACAGATGACAGGACTATCGATCATAACATTCACTTCTTGGGAATGGAACCAGCTTTGCGTATCCTGATTCCCAGAGCCCTGAACTGCAACACTCTCATCCACGATCATGAGTTTGATATGGCATGATCTCTGCTTGAAGTTGTTGTGGATCGGATGGTCCTGATCTGCCGCGACGTAGTAATGGACTCTCAACAGCGGCTTCTCATCAGCTTGGAGCTGGGAATAGAGATAATTGGCATTCATCTCATTTGTACCGCCTTGGCCTGGGAGAAGTTCGCCTCCGTCATTGTAGCCAAGGCAAACATAATATGTCACTTCGACACCGCGTTTCACGGCGCTTATCAGTGCGGCTAAAAGTGGCTTTGCATTGAGATCAGGCGTCTGAATGAAAATTGTTCGCTTCGCGTTGCGGATCAACGATAGGAACGCTTCGTTCTGCGGCACGAAGACGGAATCGTTGTTGATATTGGCATACGGCTTGCGTGAGCACATTGCCATTGAGACAGGCTCCACATTCGGCAACGGGATGAAAGGGAAGAAGTTGAGGTTGTTGTCCCTGTCCGAAGCTGTCGCTTTGACAGAGAGCCCTGTCGGTTTGTTCAGATGCCGGGCGACAGCATTGACGTGCGGTTCTCCGGGCTCGGATGGCCTCAGTACGGATCGCATTCGCTGGATCTCATCGCTCATGTTCTCGTCATAGTGAGGCTCGCCTGGCATGTGCTCTGGCAGCTCAGCTTCGATCGGCTTTTCTGGGAGTCGAAAAGATCCATCGGGCTCGAAGAGGGCTGTGAAAGTCTGCTCCTGATACGTCGGTGGCTTCTGAAGCGCAGCTCGAGTCTCACGACAAGGCAGTGCAGGCTCAATCTTATTGTGCCAACTTATCAAGAAGGTCTCCCAAATTGAGTCGACAATTGGGCCTTCGATATGTGTCATTATTTCGAGATTGTCATTATCCTGGATGTTGTTGCTTGACACAGTGGCAATTTGTCGATCAACAATCATGAACTTGCTATGGAAGGTCCCGAGTGGAGGTCGATGAAAGTTGACGATCGCGAGGTCGATATTTGGCATCTGCTCAGGAGGCGGAAGACCAACGCCAGCAGCTTGCCATCCGACTGAGTCTACGTTCTGGTGATTGTTGATTATTTGCTTGAGAGCACCTAGGAAATATCAGCTAGTATCGCCAACACAGCAGTGGCTCTGACTGACCTCGATCGAACATAATCTTGACCACGACACGTTCGCCACGCAACCCTGCACGCTTCGAAAGCTCGACCAAAGCATCATTGATGAAAGTACTGGCTCCTGATTTCTTCCAGAAGTTGGTCGCAAGCAAGACTTCCTTCTTCGCTCGCACAATGAGATTGGACATGTGTCGGAGTTGGTCATTGAGAGGGCCAATAATGGTCACTAATCAGATTCGTCAGAGCATTCACACACGCCTCCTTAAATCTGCCAAGGCGCCCGTTGCATACGGCAGAACTTCTTGGACGATTTTCACATCAACAACAACAAAGGCACTCTGAACAGATCTCGGACTTACTTGGCACATATCCTGTCGTCCCAATGAGCGAGGGAGAGACACAGTCCGCAAGAGGATCTTTCTCCAAGCATTGTAGAAGGTCGTGGAAAGCATGCAAGAACAGCTCACTCGGCTGCGTGTCGCCAAATTTGCCGCAACCTTTTGCCCATTGCAATGTGTCGATTGACGAGGTGCCGCGATGCTCTGGATCTGCCGCCGGTATACTCTTGAGGTGCTGCAACTTATCAGCTACTCCGAGCAATCGACGCCGTCTCTCAGACTCTGCTCAGCGTTGACGGATGTTCAACACAAAGGATAAACGAACATGGCTTCCAAATAGTTCCTCAGCTATTTCTCCAGGACTCTTGCTAGGGTTCTTCGTATATTCAGAACTGACAGATGCTTCCGAACAACAGAGCTGTACAATCTTGCCAGGATCTCGAGGATCCTTGTCGATCATCCTGTCAATTAAGCTGCAAGCCAAGCCTTTGCCAATGCTTGGTCGCGAATGTAAGTGAAGAAGTGGAGGCGGCAGTGGAGTCTGACTCTGATCAAATGATATCTGTTCCTCCTCAAGAAGATTCTCATCCCAATAAAGCTACACCGCGAGATATTTCGGTCGAGGTGACGTAGAGGTATACGTATGCGTGTGCGTGTCCTTGCGGTTAAATCTGAGCGACAGGCCTGGACCCTTCTTGCCCTGTCTCGGTCTCGCAAAAGTCGCGCTTTCTAGTTTTTGACTTCAGTAGAGTTCTAGCTTCCCTCCATGACCCTCGGGAAAGGCAACATCATGCTTTCTACCAAACATCAGCGTCCGGGTGGGAAGGATATGCTGGTTGCTAAGTATATTCCACAGTGGCCGAATTGCGGTATTGGGCCAGTCGAATGACTGTATAGAAACACCGCATTCCCACATGATCCTGAGCTGACTCTAGAACACGAGATATCTCTTCTGCACCAGCATCGCGAAAAGAAGAAGAACTCGGCCCGGAATCTGACACCACAGCTCGCTTCACAGAAAGCTAGCAAGAATTCCTCGAGGAGTCCACCACAAGGCAGACAGCGCTGAGAAGCATTCATATAGGGCTTCATATGCCTCATCATCAATGATCGTCACTGGCGAATTGGGCGAGTCGATAAGTCGTCAGCATCAGCCATGGTGCTGACGCTCGACAAGACTGCGGGAACTTCTTCTGCTCGAGGCGAAGGCGCTCATGAAGAATGGTTTGGCCAGGGTCGTTCACTGTCTAGTGGCGGTTGTTTTGCCTTTTGATCTGACCTTTGCAGTCGCGAGGTATCTTTGCCCCTTCGCATCGTTGGCACCTTTCATTCACTTGCCTCGCTGTATCTAGCACTTATATTCTTGTTGCGTTCCGACCTGGCAACGAGCGTCACTGCGAACTGGGTGAGTCGGTAAGTCGTCCAATTCTCGATGGTCGACAAATTTGCAAATCGCTCCTGCCGCTGAGCCAACAAGAAACGCGTGGCTCTCTCGAAAGGCGTGCGAAGTTTCAGTTCCAGTTCTGCAGTAGCGATTGTTTTGCTTCTTTCTTGCTAACTTCTGCTTCTCGCTGGCAACAAGGAGGTCACATTGGTCGTCTTCCGGATCCCTTTCTATCTATGGATACTGGTGTCCAGCATTCATGTTGTCGTGGACTCCCTGAGCAACAACGATCGTTACTGGCGAACTGGGTGAGTCGGTAAGTCGTCTGAATCCGGTTGCTCGACAAAGTTGCAGCTGTTTATCCCTGCTCAGCAACGACAAGTACGAGGCTGCGTGGGAATGCGAAAGCAAGCTCTAGTTCTCTGGTGGCGATTGTTTTTGCTTCTCTTTTGCTGACTTTTACATCCGCAGGCAACAAGGAGGAAGGTCATTTCATTATTCTCCTGTACTAATCGCTCGCGCTTAGCATTGACATAGTGATTATTGACACCGTCTACTAACGACCGTCACTGGCGAACTGGGTGAGTCGGTAAGTCGTCAGGTCGGATCACAGCTGATGCCCGATTAAGCTGCAAGTTTCTTGTCCCGTTGAAGCAATAGAGAACATAAGGCTTCTAAGGAATCGAAGGCATGCCTTCCGAGTCCTCCAGTGACGACTGTTTTGCATCCCAGAAGCTGACACTTTTGCACTCGCGAGCGAAAGATCTTTCTTCTCGCTACCCGAATTTTGCAAACGAGCCGCTGATTCTGTATAGCGTTTATATAGTCCTTCAGTGCTCGACTTCCAACGATCGTTACCGGTGGATTGGATGAGTCGGTAAGTCGTCAGGTCCTAACAAGATCTGGATGCTCGATTAAGCTACAAGTTCCTTCTCCCTCCGAAGCAACACAAAACACGAGGTTGCGTCGAGATGGGGCTCTGCAAGCTCTAGTTCTCCGGTGACGATTTTTCTTTTGGACGCTCTTCTAACCTTACTCCTTGCGTTCGCAAGCGGAACAGCATCACTTTTTCTCGACGATAAGTCACCCTAAGCAGCATTCATATACCCCTCCCTATATTCACCGAGTAACGATTGCTACTGGCGAATTAGCTCAATCGATAAGTCGTCATATGCCGTCGAGGCTGATTGATGCTCGATAAAAGCTACGAGGTCTTGCAGGTCGACGAGGCAATAGACTATGCCCTCCGATTTGCCAAAGCCCATGTATCTACTAATTCCTAGTAGCGATTGTTTCGTTTTTTGCCTCTCCCATCTCAACCCAAGCATCGCCTCCGACAGCGCAAACGCTTCTTTTGCTTATGTGCTTTGTCTAACTTCTGGCATTCATATACCTGCTCTATGGTCACTCCCTCAACGATCGTTACCGGTGAATTGGTCAAGTTAGTAAGTCGTCTATCACCAAAGACGCTCGACGGATCCCGCGGTTGTGGAACTGCATCAGGTACTAGGACTTACGTCTGATGGATCTCTACTTCTGCGCGCTGCAGTTCGCTGGTGGTGATTGTTTTCTTTTGCATCCCCAGCCCAAGTTTTGTGTTGACGGGCAAAGAGGAGCTAGTGCTTGCAATCTGATGCCCCCCTTTTTTTTCCCTTGCACGTAGAGGCTAGATTTCAGCATTCATATTCTCACGTACCTTTCTATCTAGCAACGATCGTTACTGGCAGACTAGCTGAGTCGATAAGTCGTCACGCTCGAACGACGCTCGACAGCTTGTAGAACATTCGTATCGGATATGCGACTTGATACGCTGTCGGGATTGCGGATTATCTCAGGTTCTGGTCCTCTGGTAGCGATTGTTTCGTTTTGCTCCTCCACTTTACTCTTTTGTGGATTCATGTGCAAGTAGTGGTTTTCCCTTTTATTCCTTACCTAGCCTCAGTAGGCAGCATTCATGTATTCATTCCCATGCTCGGCCGTTAACGATCGCCCACTGGCAGGTTAGTCAAGTCGGTAAGTCGTCAATCATGCTTGACGCTCGACAAAGCTATAGAGTAAGGATCTGAACAAGGCAAAGAAACATGCTCGATCAGGTTTTGCACGCTGTCCGCTACATCTTCCCGGTGGCGATTTGTTTTGTCCTCTCTTTTGCCTTTCTAACTCTTACTCTTTGTATTTTGCTGGCGGGCATAAGCTGTCCCTCTTGATATTTCCTTCCATCTATCCCTAGAATCCAGCATTCACATACTCCTTTACTGCTCACTCCCCAAGGATCGTCACTGGCAGGGTTAGTCAAGTCGATAAGTCGTCAGACCCAATTATGGTTCACGCTCGACGAAGCTACAAGGTTTCGCGCTCCAATTAGGCATCAAGACTATGCCTTTGAAATAGTTCGACTTCAGCCAGCTATAATTCTCTGGTGGCGATTTTGGTGTTCTTTTGCCTCTCCAACTCTCCCTTTCCGCATTCTTCCTTCCACGCATAAGCTCTCCCTCTCAATCTTTCCTCCCCGTAACCCCTAGACCCCAACATTCATATTTCCACCCATCGTTGAACGATTCAACGACCACCACTGGCAGGGTGAGTCAAGTCGATAAGTCGTCAGCTTTTCGTCTGATGCTCGACGAATAGCCGGAAGTTCCTGAGACTCGAAGGCAGCAGGTTGTGCCTCGTAGTGCAGTGCTGTTTGCAGCGAAGTCCTCCAGTGGTGATTTGTTTTTGTCTTTGCCGTCCGTTCCAGCTTGTGCATATCGGGTATTAAGTTAAAGGAATGCCATTTTGCATTCATTGCATCGTTTTCTTTTTGCTCTTGATTCTTTTCGAATTCTGATATTGAGATGGACATTGATACAACATTGTGCATCCCCATGAACCTTGTGAAGCTCATGGAGTCCAGGCTAGGAGGATGTGTCAGATCATGTGAAAACGTAAGTGCAGTCATTTCTCGTTCAGTCCTCATCCGCTTTGATTCATAACAATGCTATATACGTACAAGAACAAGATTAGCGTCTCATCATCCTCGAGTCTGACATGTCAGGGCCCTCGCATATCAATACTTTCCACCGCAAACACACGCGTCCATGAAACAGCGAATAGAAACAACAATGCCTGGGTATCGAAGAATGGACCAAACTAATGTAATCAGGTCGTTGTCGTATCGCTCATCGCATCGTTAAGTAAAGAATCTCCTCTAATCGTGAGGTATTGGTACAAGAAGTCCACAAGTCATAACTTCGTGTGGAACGCCATCGCAATGCTATCGTGTCGTGGTGTCTTTTGTTGTATTGATAATGTTTACTCTCCGTCTCCATAGGATTGGAGTCGTGTCCGGGATCGGCTGCGGAGTTGCCGTCGGGCTTGTTCAGTCGAAGATTCGCTGTCGAAGCTTTCGCGTTGTTCCTCACGATTGCTCTCGCGGCGCATCGGAGATGGTCCCGGGTTCTTCAGTATGGAATGGCTGGGGCTGCTGGTGCTGCCACCGGTAAAAGTTGGGCTGCCAGAGCTGCTTTTGCCCTTACCCTTGCGCTCCTAGTGCGTGGGTGGCGGCCCAAACTGGTTCGGATTGTTGGCATAACTACCATAACCATCTGTACCACCTGGCGCGGCCGATGCGCCAGGATACCAGCTACGTCTTCTTTCTTCGGGCATGCCTGGCATCGAGTTGCGATTAAAGTTGTTTGGAATGCTGCCAGACCCATATTGCACCTGGTCGTACATGTTCTGGCCTGGCTGGGGGCCGGGAAATCGCTCGCGAGGCGGTGGGCCGTGAAGGTTGGATGCAAATTGAGATGGGGGAATCTGGTTGATATCGAGAGGCTCGCTCCGGAAGGGTCCCCTGAGAGGCGGTGATCTGCGGCCACTCTTGGAGTACGGACCACCGTTGGGGGCAAGAGGTGGTGGACCTGAGGATCTTTGGCTCCTGCTCGGTGGTGGTATGTCCAGCGGGTCCGTCGCTGGGAAGTGGCTAGAATCTTGCCGTGTCGGTCGTGGAGGCACGAAGTCCGGTCGTTGTTGGGACGTGTTGGCTCTGCTCGACTGTCGATGAGAGCGGTCTCGGTCTCGATCTCGCTCCCGATCGCGTTCACGTTCCCTCTCCCGCTCCCTCTCTCGCTCACGATCCCTTTCGCGCAGTTCCTTCTCTCGTTCGCGTTCGCGTTCTCCATCTCGATCTCGCAGTCTCTCCCTCTCGCGATGATCCGCTTCGTACTGCTTTCCTGTACCTTCCTTCGCAGAGTACGGTTTTCTCTCGCGTTCTATTGATACGGCGGGTGGTGATACTGCAGATAAGTCATCGTCGTCCACGGCATTAGATTGAGATGCAGATTTGCTGTAGGGCGCTCTTTCGCGTTCGGGGAATGCCTGCTGTTGGGGAGAGGCCGAAGGTGGAGCCGAGGGCGGTGGAGGTGGCATTGCGTTGATGACTCTCTCAAGAGGCACCAAATCTGGCTCATGATTGAGACTAGCAATCAGTCTTTGCTCAGCCTGCACATTCGGCTTTGGTGGCAGCAATCGCCTCGGCAGCTCCTTCGGAAAGCGCTCTTTGACGTCGTCGGCATTGGAAATGGGCATGTCCCTGACGGCCAAGGACAATCTCGCGTATTCGGTATCTGGATGTGCCTGAATGAGGCAGGTCATGAACGAAGCAAAGCCATGCGGAGTCAGAGCCGGCACGGTGGGAGCATCCTGAGCATGCTGTTGGGGCTGGATAAAATGATGCTGGCACAGCAGCTTCCGATACATGAGGGAAATTGACTCATGAGACATTTTGCCACCAAATATGGTCGTCCAAGGGTAGTTCTCCTTCTCGACTTTGGTCTCATCCAGGAAGCGAAGCATCTTCTTAGGGCCAATCACCAGACTTCCCTTGGGCTCATCGTCATCAACGAGATGCCGGGCCAGTCCTCGCAAAAGTTGGCCGAGCCGTGGAGTAGGACTTCCGTTGTCGAACAGTGGCCGCCAATACTGCTCCAGCGTGGTCGGTTCCTCTGTGTCACTAGAAGCTCCGTCCAGTTTGGCAGAGCGGTCCTTGTTTGGTGCTGCAGAGTCGAACGAAGCGCGATTACCTTCCTGTCGTACTGCACGTGCAGCGGCCTCAGAGGATCCTCTAGTCCGGTTTGGCAGCACATCGCTGGCACTCAGATCTTGAGCCAAGGTTGCCGTCTGACTACGCTTCAGCCCCGTAATGCTGATATCTGGTTGCGACCCTCGCGGAGTGGACTCCTTTTCCTGGTTGGCCTGAGTGCTGCCTCGACTCCGGATACTTTCATGGCTCCGGTGTGTGGGGTTGTCGGCGCCTTCAGCGGGCTCTGCCGCACGTTCTGGCGATGACCCTTTACTGGAGCGGTAGAAAATGTCTCTGTCCAAGGCGGGAGAAGGAGGAGTGAAATGAGGCGGGAAGGATTCGGCAGTCGAGCTCAATGCAGGAGAACGTTGCGGTGATGATCGGGAGGCATTGGAGACCGAACGCGGTGCCGAGGGAGGGCGTTGTGAATGCGGTGGGAAAGTTGACGCCGGACCCGCAGACAAATTGGCCAAATGAAGGTTCTTGATAACTTGCTCAGTCACCTGTTCAATTAGTCTCTTCTCAACCTCGGGAGCCAGCTGGCTACTGGAAGCAGTGTTGTCAAAGGCGGCATTGACGGCATCTTTGACGGGCTGCTGTTGCTGCTGCTGGTGCAGAATGGGCGGAGGTCGCTCCGAACGAGACCCCGCGCGTGGCCGTGAGGAAGTGGTAGCCTTGGGAATGGAGTCTTCGGATCCGACGGGTGAGGAGCACGTTGGCTGCAACGACGGCCGGTCTGAGGAGGCTTGGGACCGAGCCACGGATGGGCGCTGGCCGGGCTGTGTGGACGGTGGTGAAGTTTCGTGGACGACTGCCTTGGCGGGTGGCCGCACGGGCGAGGGTGAAGAGCGTGAGTCGCCCATGTTGGAGGACATGCGCTAAGGCGGAGGCCCAGGCGGCGGCGGGTGGGAAAATGTGTCACTATCGACGCGCAGGGCGGAAGTGGTGGTCGCAGTCGCAGTCGAGGGCAGGCAGTGTCGTGGTCATGTTATGTGTTGTCACGGACGCTGTCGCGGCGGCGCTGGAAGCATATGAAGGCTAGTTAGCAGGAATCACAGGTGGCGCGGACGGACGGTGATATGCTCGTGAAGTGGTGGCGCCCTCGAGCCTTGCGCGACGGTCGTCAGGCTGTGCGCGCGCGTCGTTCGGCTGGCGAGCTCGAGCGGTTCGACTTGACGTACGTGTCGGTGCGTGGGCGAATGGGCGGGAGCAGGTGCGCAGGTGTGTGGAGGATGCGATGCGGTGCGGTCTCGCAGTCGTTCTCACGATTCCTGCTTCTCGCGGTTCCAATAAAAATGTGGCTGCGTAGCGAAGTTCAAGAGATCGACCCTTGAAGTGACGTAGAACGACGGACGTGCATGAGTAGCAGCACATGGCAGGAGCAGAGCAGCTCGACCCTTCTTCGGTCAAAGGCAAACCCTTCACCGGCGATGATTGTGGATCGTCGACGATAGCCGCACCGACACAGATGCTCGATTTTCAGCAGTCTGGCTGGTCGGCGCGTGATGCATCGCTGCCATACAGCCATGTCCCTGGTGCGCGATATTCGGGTTCCGTTGCACAGCAACGACGACGGCGATGGCTCATCGCTTGAGCAACGGCAACAGGCACCAGAGACAGCGCGCTCTCGGATCCCACAGTCCTGTGGTCCTAACCCGGTCGCTGAGGATGCTGATCCATGTCGGCAGCCATTTGCTCGAGACCACCAAGGCTCGCCACCGGTCGTATGTATATCCTACGCCCCAGTATACGCCCCATCGCCCACCTGTCTCTGCGCGTCGCTCTGACAGCACCACCTGCGCCCATCTGATCGGCACGTGTGAGTCTGGGCGGCCGGCAAAAGGAAAAGACAAGAGGGACAGCTCGCTCGCCCCTTTTGCAGCTGTGCTCTCGGACCGCCGCATGCTCCCATCGCTGCCCATCTCACCTTCTGACACGCGAGGTCAACGGGGGCGTGTGTGCAGTGCAGTCACGATGATGAATCAACTGGGCGCTGCTATTTGGGGTCGCGAAACGGGTCATCATGTTCTGGCAGGCAAAGTCGGCAGCGCGGCCAATGAGTGGGCGGCATTGGCGAAAGGAATGGGACGGGATCTGCTCTGAAACGTCGCGCGCGCACTCCTGACGTTTCTCCTTCTCGACACGCGCGCGCACCGTCGCAGCCGTGTCGTGTCTTCGCGCGTGCTGCTCGACACTGCACCCGCCGTAGTCTCATTTCGTTCATCGCAAGTGCTATTCTCATCGCCAATCTCTTCGGTGTGAAAGTCTCGCAGTCTTTTCCATCTCATCTCGCTCGTCGTGCCACGGCGCGACAGGAGCTGACAGCCTGCATCGTGCGCCCCGGTCGGTTTTTGGTACGTACTCTAGCCGTGCTCGCGGCGTGAGTGGAGTGGTGCTGCAAACCTGAAACAGACGGAGCTTCCACACTCAGACACGCTCGGCCTGGACAACCGCTCAATAACCACCGCCTGCTTGCTGACCACCCACGCACCTTCCGCACCTGCAACGGTGTCGTTGTTGCTGCTGCTGTCGTTGTCGCCGCGCTTGCTCCTGCTCTGCACAAGCGCCGGTCGTCAGCTGCAGCGCAGGTCGAAGGAAGCGCATCGCATCGCCAACAACCCCAGCTGGAGGCCAGCCCTCACTCGGTAACACACACGCACCTCATCGCTCCGTCACAACGTCAACGACGACCACGCGCGCTCTGCTGGACGAGCACCTCCATACCGGACGTCGACCATGCGGAGGTGCTGACGACCCGACACCCCACACCTCTCTTCTTTCTTGGACGCCGTTTATTCTTGGTCTTTGTTACACAAACGGGCAAGCAGCCACGCCGCTTGATCTCTGTCCACCATGACCGCGCTGGCCTCGCGATCGCCCTACCCGGCACCACCGCTCACGAGCACCATGGCTCCCGCCCATTACCGCCCGACCCAGCTCAATGGCCATGGCGTCTTCACCTCGCCCACCGAGTCCGAGTTCTCCGAGTCGTACAAGGATATGGGCGGAAGCAATGTCTTGCAGTGGGACGAGGAGCGCGTGGGCGAGTGGTTGAAGAGCATCAATTGCGCGCAATACGTCGAAATATTCAAAAGAAACAATATCACGGGCGAGAACCTCATGGATCTGGACCAGGCCACCTTGAAGGAAATGGGCATCAAGAAGATTGGGGATCGCGTGCGGATCAATTCTCATGCGAAGACGTTTAGGAACAATGTATACAAGCGGACCAGCAAGCGCAGCATCAACAGGGTGAGCTGGTACGCATGTGCAATCCACGCGCAAGCTAACATTGGCACAGCATTCCCTTGCCGTCCTCGATGGCAACCAACAGCTAACACCGCCTTCTTCTGGATCTCCACGACCTCTACACTCTGCGCGAAGTGCCGCTACATCACGAGCCGACAAACGGATATCACGGCAATTCAACAATGCCGACCTCACATATGCTGCCAACCTGGGCAAATCATCCTCCCGCCCCAGTTCACCCATGGTCGATCAAGAGAACCGGGCCAGGCGAGGCGCTCCAAGCCCCATGGACATGTCTCGCAAGGACACTGGGTCGTCGTACGCTAGCAGCCAAGCACCACTCACCGCTCGCCATTACACAGGTAACACGAGGACACCACTGGAAACGCCACAGACAGCACGCTTCCAATCACACGTTAAGGGATCACCTTCGATGGACAACATGCAACCTCGATCATTACCCAGCGAAAAGCCATACATCCGTGTCATCTTCGAAAGCGGCCAAGGCAAGGTCATCGATATCAAAACTTTCCGCACCGCAGAAGACATCATCCGTGCGACGTTGCGCGCTGGAAAATTGAATGAGAACCACTTTCGCTCGTATTGCTTCTACGTGCTCGATGGCACAGACCCGAACCCGAACTTTTGCAGAAGGCTAGGAGAGGCTGAGCTCTGCAAGCTGTGCAATGACGGAGTGCGGACAGAGCGAGGGCGACTCATCTTACGAAAGATCCATGCCGGCGAGCCAAATGGAGAGCAACTCAGACACGCTGCTCGGATAGCAGAACAGCAGCAACCGGAGCCTCCCGCCATCGAAGTGCAGACTCCATTCAAGTCGAAGAGTCAGCTGAAAATTGAAAAGCTGACCGGAGAACCCCTGGCTGCAGTCAGCTACCCCATGAGCCCTGCAAGCCAGGCAGAAAGGAATGACTATTTTGCGAGCAACAGTGATTCCGGGACGAATTCTAATTTGCAGCGCAACCAAAGCACCATGTCAACAGCGTCTGCTCGGGCGAGGAAGCTCAAAGGCTTCTATGGTGCTCGGCCTCCAACAGAACTGATCACGCAAGATTTGCAATCGTACTTTCCAGAAGTGGATCGGGAAGCCATGGACCGCACAGTACGAATGTCAATACGACGAAGTCAGCGACTGAGTCGTGCAGTACGCACCTTGAGCACAGCAAGCAACTTCAGCATTGCGAGCAGTCTCAAGGATGCGCCACCACTCCCCACCATCGCCGATACGTGGCTGAAGGAGGCAGGTCAAGCGCAAAAGTCAGGCCTGAGGCCACTAAGCGTGGTCCGCCTTGGTAGGTCAGATTCACATCGTGAGTCCGTCACCAGCAGCGTGCTCGAACCTCTTGACGAGGAGTCACCTCTGGAGCCCAATCGCAAGAGTTATGTCTCCTTCGGAGGGGATAGTGGCTCAGATACAGCCACGAGTAACCTTGCAGTGACTGATCCTGATGGCAATACAGTCACATCATATTTTGATGAAAGTGGCAGCAGCCCAGCAGCGACAGAAGGCGGCTCAGACAGCTTCAACTCACGTCTGTCCCGATTCATCGCCGAGGATGGCGAAGAGCCTGACGAAGAGCTCATCGCACATCTCGAAAAGGACAGTTGGGATGACCTGAAGTACCTGAAAGGAGCCATGATCGGTCAAGGCTCTTTCGGCACTGTCTTCCTTGCTCTGCATGCAGTCACTGCAGAATTGATGGCCGTGAAGCAGGTCGAGATGCCCAGTAAAGTTGGAGGCACGACGGATGCCAAGAAGAACAACATGATCGAAGCACTCAAGCATGAGATCACACTGTTGAAGGACCTCAAGCACGAGAACATCGTGCGCTACCTCGGTTCGAACAGTGACGAGACTCACCTCAACATTTTCCTCGAGTACGTCGCTGGTGGTTCTGTCGCCACCATGCTTCAGAACTACGGATCCTTGCCGGAGGGACTGGTGGCGAACTTTGTCAGACAAATCTTGCAGGGCTTGAGCTATCTGCACTCCAAGGACATCATTCACCGTGATATCAAAGGTGCTAACATTCTTGTCGACAACAAGGGCACTGTCAAGATCTCAGATTTTGGTATCAGCAAGCGTGTCGAGGCATCAACGTTGCTCAACCCAGGCCCACACAAGCGTGGCGGACCACGAGTGTCGTTGCAGGGGTCCGTATTCTGGATGGCGCCCGAAGTGGTTCGTCAAACAGCATACACAAAGAAAGCCGACATCTGGTCTCTTGGATGCCTCATTGTGGAAATGATGACTGGTAGCCATCCACATCCCAACTGCACACAACTGCAAGCAATTTTCAAGATTGGCGCCAGTGGTGGCAATGCAGAAAACGCGAAACCAGATCTTCCTGACGACGCGAGCGAGGCGGCGAAGGAGTTTCTGGGACGCACATTCGAACTCGAACACGAGAAAAGACCAAGCGCAGAAGAGCTATCAAGTATGGCGTTCTGCGCGATCAAAGCCTGAGCTGGTTCAGAAGCCAGGCAGGGCCCTGGCAGCAACAAACAAACGAAGTATATGACGGAATGGAATCAATGATGGGCATTAGAGGGGACACAGAAGGAAAATTTTCACAGAAAGAGGCATAGCATACTGAGAAGACTACAACACCAACAACAACAACACAAACACAGCAGCGGCATTTACGGGGAGGGAAGGAAACCCTTTGGGAGGACCACACTTCGACTCTTCGACCAAGACTGATGACCCTCGAAAAGAGGGCAAGTCACCTTTTCTCTTTTCATCACCACTATGGGCTGGTATCTGGAAACTTTTTTCCTTTTTATGTTGCGGTGTCTTCGCATGTGTGCGCATGTGTATGACCAGATGGAGGAGACGTTAGGGGATCGCGAGGGAGGAAACGAAGAAGTAGCTGCTAGCAGGCACTTCACCGACCAGTAATGGTAATTCGCGTGGAATGGAACAGGAGCTACTGCTACCAATCACTACTACTACAAATGCAAATGCAGCATATCTCCATGCAACCAGTTCTCTTCACCTCCGTCGCTGTCGAGCTGTATGGGATGAGTCACACTTCACTAACTATCAAGCACCACAATAGGGAGTATAAGCCCGTTCGTTTCAGAACTTTGCACCATGTGATGCTCCCTGAAACTTTTTTTTCTTTCGCTCGCGTGTGCGACGTGACGTGGCAAACGTGCCGTGCAGCGTTGCTTACTGTACAAAACTTTACAAATACAGGTGATCCCTGTCGGGAACTGTTTTGCTTTCTTTAACGAGGAGGCCGTGGCACCGCCGACAGATGCCGAAAGTCACTGTTTTAGGCGATGGTATTGGTAAGTGAAACGATGGCTGGGGAGGTGTGGTAGTGAGGAGATGAGGTTGTCTGCACTCTGGTGGGTGGTGGAGCGAGGTTGTCTGGCGCTTTGAGGTAAGAGCATTTTCCGGATGGGGGGATGGTCTCGGTGGGTTGCACTGGGGTGGGTTCGTGGTGTTGCAATGCATACGTCTACTGCTGTCAGCGTTGCAGATGGGTCGTTCAGGCTGCATTGTGCATACAACATAGCTGCTAGGACTGTAGCTCGGCTCGGATGCGTGCCACCGGCGTCTGATGTGGAGGCTTTGAGGTGGTTGGATTGGAAGAATGACTCGCATTCATATGCATGGAAGAGCGTGGCGCGCATGGAAGGTTTCCTTGCATGCTGTATAGCCTTGCAGTGCATTGTTCTGATGGTTAGAGGCTTGGGTGCGTGGCGTGTGGCGCGATGCTGGGCCAATAGAGTCTCAATGTTGTCTTTTTTTTCCATGCTCTAGGCGCTTGACTTGAAGAGGCTGAGTGAGACTGTGCGAATGGAGTACCGGCAGCTTCATGTGGACATGATGGATATTGATCCTGTGAGGTTCTGAACATAATTGCTTCGTCTGCACTCCATGGTAATTAGTGGCAAAGACTCACTCAGTCGGCATCTTGTGGTCGATGTGTCTTGCGCTCTCTGCTCTCCGCACTAGCGTTGCCATTGGTTTTGTTCTCCGCTAGGTCAATCACCTTTTCCATCTCTCCATTCTCTTCAAGTGTTCTGGCCTCCGGCTCTCGGTCCTTCAGATTTGCTAGACAGGGGGCATTGAACAGCTTGCCACTCCACGCTCCAATAGCTGTTCTCACGAAGATATAGATCCAAAGCAAGATTACTGCCGCTGCAAATATCGTTCCAAGGACCCGAAAGAAGCGAGATGGCAATTCATTACCCATGAGTATTGTAGAAAGTGCATAGACCCCCAAAGGGAAGGTGAAACCCCACCATCCCATGTTGAAAGGAAACGGTCGTGCCTTGTAGATCGACGCAAGAGCAAGAGCGAAGAATATCAGTCCGTATGCCCACATGATCAGTGCAACGAAGAATCCAAGAATATACGCGATCCTTCCTGCCATTGGGTCGAGGGTGTTGGTCTTTGGAAAGAGTTCTGCAGACACTTTCCCAAGGTACAAAATGGTGTAACCTCCCAAGCCCAGAGGTCCAAGCGGTAGGAAGGCAGATACGATGACCTCTCGAGGTGGCATCTTATGCAAAGCAAGTCGCTGATAGTATATCACGAGCACCACAAGCGCCATTGGAACACCCATTCCCCACATCACATAGCTTGCAATCACCGTTCCGAGCGAGACTTGAGGATCCGGCACAATGCGAGCAACTTCAGATCCAGTGCTAGCCGCAACAATAGTCGCAGCAATCGGAAGCAGCTGCGCCGCAGTAATAGAATCCAGTGATCGCTGATGCGAAGCCGACATCCTGTACCCCCAAAAACTGATCAGCCAAACTCCTCTCCAAGTTGCACTCTCACCAAACAACTTACAACAAAATCCCCAAACTAACCGTAACAGCAACCGCAACCAAACTATCCAAAACCCACAACCCAAACGCAAACCACACCGCCCACTCTCCCCAACTCGGCACACAAATCGCCATAAAACTCCTAATAATCGTCGCAAAACCCATCGGAATCGTCCCCAGAAACAAACTATTCACCGGATCCTCAATCATGACAGTCCAAATCTCCGGCCAAATCGTATACCTCGCGACGGAGATAAGAAAGAAAGAAGAGAAGAGTAGAATGTTGAGAATGAAAAATATGATGGAGAAGTAGTGGAGCCAGGAGGATTGCCAGGGGATGGCGATGAAGAGGTTTGAGACGATGCCTGTGCCCATTGTGACGCTGAACCAGGAGGGGCTGAAGTTTCGGACGATGCGGCGCCAGCCATGGTCGTTTTTGCTTTGATGGTGGTGGTGGTGGTGGATATGGTCTTGTTTCTGTGAGCGGGGTTGGCTGGAAGTCGTGTCTGGGTTGTGCTTCTCGGCGTCGAGTTTCTGGACAGCAGGTTCTGTTACTGCTGGATTATCCATCTCGCGGGTGTCATATCATCGCGAATTTCATCTTCTGGAGGCTGAAATGGGCATACATAAATGCTGAGAGCCTAGTGCTCGGGTTCATGCTGAAAGCTTCAATGTTGTTGACAGATGACGTGCATGAAAGCGAGCCATTCAGCCGAGGCGGGTGCCAAGAAGTCCACGGAATCGAAGACATAATTGAATGCTAACGATCATTCCTTTCTCAGTGATAGCTATGGTACTGTAACGACTTAAAAAGCACGCGGTCGGGTATCATCATATGTGCAATGCCATTCGTAACAATCTGTGCAGCTTTTGCTCACAACGCCTGTCTGTCTCGGGTCTCGTACGGCAGGAAACACATAGCCAGGAAAGCTGCGAAGAACAGACCCGCTGATGCATAGATCGGTGCCGATGGATCCGCATGCCCAGCATTGACCGCGACAATAGGAGCACAGAGACCAGCAACGCGGTTCAAGAAGCTGGCAATACCAGATCCAGTACCTCGGTTTGGAGCAGGGAACACTTCAGGTGTGTAAGCGTACAGAACTCCGTACATAATGTTCTGAAAGAAAGCTTCCAGACTGGTCATGGCCAATTGGTACCCAGAGCTCGTTGCTTGCGTGAAGAGGACCAGGAAGATACCAGAAATGACTGTCGCGCCAGCCATGGTAAACTTGCGGCCGATGTATGGGACACCGACCAGCCAGCAAGCAAGAATACTTCCCGGGACACCGACGATAGAAGTGATTGCGTAGTCTCGATACGTGTCGTGCTGCGAGGTCTGGCCAGAGTTTCCTCTTGCTGCAAGGTATTGAGGCAGGAAAGAGTTAAACAGTGGGTAACCCCTGCATTAAACAGTCAGCGAATGTTGTACTGGGGTACTGTGTTAGATGGGGTGAGTACTTACATGCCGATGGTTGCCCATATGAACCAGATCATGACTGTTGAGATGGCGAGCTTTCTTCCGCGGAATAGAGGCTTGATATGTCCTCCGGAGAATGACTTCAGCTTGCGTGCCACAATCTCCTTGTTGGATAACTTTGCGTCTGGAACCTCGTCCGGATGGCCACCGATCTCGTTCAGGATGTCTTCTGACATCCAAGTCTTCTTCCCGTTGAACTTTGCGATTCCCCGAACGACCGCGACTGCCTCAGCCTGTCGTCCTCTCGAGAGCAAGAACTTTGGCGACTCGAAGAGGTGGAAGAAGAGAAACCGGCAGATGAACATGAGCATTGTGATCGCGCCGCAGGTGAGAATGAAGTATCGCCAGCCCCATTTCTCGCTGAAGTTCACGATGAAGACCCAGCCGAGGAGAGAAGATACGAGTTGTCCGAGTGGCCAGAAGATGGAAAGCATCGTCAACAGGTTACTCGAAGATCCGGGCAGGAACTCCAGGAAGAGAGCACCATCGACTGGCAAATTGCCGCCGACGCCCAATCCTACACAAGCGAATAAGGCGCAGGCGCCGAGCCAGCTGGGGGCACCGCCTGCAGCTAAGCCAAAGGCTCCAGCGAGGAATAGCGTGCAGTTGAAAGCCAGCCTTCGTCCGACGATATCCGAGATGATACCCCAGAATGAAGCACCAATACACAGTCCCAAGAAGAGACTCAGTGTGGTGTACCGCACCATCCCTTCCGCGATGCCAAACTCTTTGCTCAGCGACGGCAAGGCGATGGCTACTCCTTGCAGCTGCAACATACATCAGTGCCTTACTTCGTATATTGCAAATCAGGATTGCACTCACCCATAAGTTGTCTGCAAACCAGCCACATCCACAAAGGGTGAAGAGTTGCCATTGATAGGCACCCATGCCAATGTCTTCGATGGCTTGATTGATGACTTTTGCTTTGGCTGCGAAATGTTAGTCATGGCCTGCCAACTTCGTTCGAGGAATGATCTTACTGTCGTATGATGTCTGCGTGCCACCTGCCGCGAGCTCAGAGTCAATCTGAGCCTTGAGACGTGCCATGGTGGTTCTTGCAGGTCCAGCCTGCTCTACACCGGTCTCACTTGGCGGTGGTTGTGATATTTGACCCTTCTCCGGGTCTGAACCACTGGTGTTCGTGCTGATGCTGCCGCGATCTGCAGGTTTACTCTCTACAGCCTCTGGAGGAGTTGGTGTACGCCGCGGTGACCTTGGTGACTATCAGTAAGAGCAGCTCCAGCTATGACGAAGACAACTTACTCTGGCAGAGGCTCATATGCATCTGCAAACTCCTCTGGAGTATGCGTCGCGAATCTGATCACACAATCAGTACATGCCACTGGACACTGGGACTTATGCAAGGCGTGCTCTCTGCGCACAGAGCTCATCCGTGCGTCGAATGGAAACTTACGGGTTCATGATCAATCCGAACCCCATCTTGGCGACCTTCTGCGCACTGGGATAATTTGGTCGTCAATGAGCGATGCGTTACCGATTCGAGAGTCTAAGATGTGCTACGAGCGTCGAGTTTTCGAGTTGGTCCTTCGGCCTATGTTGCGAGAGTTGTCACTTTCGAGCAGTGTGCGGTGGTAGCACGATCTTGTCGGTTGCTGCGTTTGGGGATGTCGCTCTGGGTTGCCGAAGAAGATAGTCGAAGTGCAGGCCAATCCAGTTGGCGAAGTGTGTGTGTGCTTTGGCAAGCTCGATCGGTGTTCACAGCGAAGACGGTGCCACTAGTGTCGATCTGTCGGGCACGATGGACGAAGTGGATGTTGATGATGGTGTTGTCTACGTAGTAGAGTGATAATAATTCGTGTAAGTCAAATGATGTCGCTAGAGTATGTAGCGAATATAGAAATCGTCGAGGGCGGAACCGGCTTTGGCAGCGCTCGAGGTCTCTTTTTGTATCTCGACTTCCTAGAAAAGTAAGAAAGCAGTCGTGCGGAGTAACAGAAGGAGCGACGCCTCTTAAGGACAGGAGCAAGGAACCACCGGAGTGGCCTGGGTTCGCCCATTTTTCTCATTATGTTAGTCACGGTTGGCTAGATTGATGAGGCGGCGTCATTTGCCGCCTCCGTGGGCAGAGGTGGCACGAGTGGGTGTGAAAAAGTGATACCCACCAGAGGTGTTCGGCCACCAATCTAGTTTCGTGCAATAGGCATCGAGTCGACAAGTCTCACTGGACGTCGAGTCAAGCATTTCTCCGGCAAATCATGCTTTGCCGTTATAGCTTCTGTGCTTGACCCAAATGCTTGGTCCATGTAAGCAGGTGTGGTACGCTGGGCTTATAGCCTTTTGCATGTGCTACTTCCTCTGCAGAATTGTAGCTTCGCTTTGTCGTTACACCAGCTTGCGCACATTGCCTATTGTATTTGATGATCGAAAATGCATATTTGTTCAAGACGGCCGGTCTTCCCAACGTGATGGTCATGGCGTGAGAAGTGGATCCTGTCGTTGACATTTTCGGCCTCGTCCGGGATTGAAGGTGCCAAGACCGGCATGCTCGACCATGGCTCTGCAGGTCAACCTGTGCCTTCTGCACGTCATGAACCATTCATTGTTGTGTGCGTAAGCCATATCCATAAGCAGCGAAATTTTACTATTCGTCGTTGTAGGTGGCGTTGGATTCGCCCCAAAGCTTGATCCTTTCACAGTGAAAATTCCCGAAGTCAGATAATTGACACCTGAGGCCCACTTTTCCACTGAAACTGATGAGAGAAATGAACATTGTGGCGAAGAACATCCGTGTGGCCACTTGACGATTGGCTATCTGCGGCTTTGCTTGCCGATTTTACCTCCAGCCTCCTCCGCTTGCGGCCATCACTGGTTGCGTCAGTTATCCTAGAGGTTGAACTTGTCATGCCAGCAGCAGCCTCACATGAGGGACATTATTTAATAGAGGACAGGCGGTTGACTATTATAGCTCCTCTCCTTTGCGGTCCTTGATCGTCGCTCGGATTTCTGTGCACGTTCAATTCGAGGTCCTAGAGACTGTAGATGGGTTGTAGATCCGACGCGTTCTCCATGCGGGCAATACATCCTGAGTGGACAATGTTGAGGTCACTGTCGGGTGGTGTAGCTCGATGAACAAGGCAATCCCACTCAAGCTGATCTTCATCAATCCTGGCTCGTCTCTTCAGTGCCTGGATGCATCGATGCTTGGGTATTGCTGTGATAATTGCTCGTCGCTCCTGGGCCTGGATCATCGGAGAACTCTTCCAAGTTAGGCATCTCTACGAGAAAGTGGTGCCGCTATGGCATCTCTCATCTGCCGAAGAGCATGATGCCATCGGTGTTTGCATCGTCTTCGCCGTCCATGTCTGCATCGTCCTCATCATGCTCGCCAAGCGTCACTTTCTGCCCAAACAAGCTGGAGAACAGCTCATCCGACTGCTTCTCTCCCCAAGTCGTCCTATCCTCAGGTGCCATGTAATTCTGCAATTTTTCGTGAACAGTATATCTCAGCTTTCGGCCTTTGCTTGCCTTCGTATCCACGTTCTTCTTCGTTTTGTTCTCCCTCCGCATCTGAAGGCCAATGTCGATATTTGATGCGGCGACAGAGTCAGCACTTTTTTGTTCCAACAGTTCCTTGAGCAGAAGTCCATAAAAATCGGCGTCGTCATAGATCTTGTCGTCCTCGGGTTTCCGTTGAGACGCTTGTAGTGGCGCACAAGAGCGCGGCGCATGTACTCGCTTCAGTAGGCGGTCAACATTCGTGTCTGCGAGCTGCTCTTGAATGACATCGATGATGGTTGCCCCTGCTGTCTGCGCCAGACGACCTGTTTGTGGCTGAGCGGTTGGACCTTGTGTCTTCTGCGACCACTTTTTCAACACGGTGTCCCGAGCTGGACGACTCTCTTCCTCCTGAGCGCGCACATGTTCCCAAAGCTCTTCGGTCGAGCTATCGACAGAGAAGATGGCCCGCTTGCGTTTTTTGCCTATCCTCGCAGCAATCAAGTCCTCCCGAAATGTATTCAACGAGCTCCACAAATTGAAGGCCGCAGTTTCGGCAGCATCGAGCGCTTGTTGCGCATCGGCTCTCTCTGAGCTGAGCTGTTCTGCAGATGTTCCAACAAGAGTATTTGTTGCTATGAGGGATTTCTGGAGCTTCATCCTTGTGTTCAAGAATGAATCGAATGTCGTGCGTTGCCGCTTCACCGCTCGCCCCTTTGCTGCGTCAAGTCTGCTAGCTTCTGAGAGGGTGGTAGAGACCGCCGTTCGTTGTGTCGCTTTTGCAATCGCGGCATATGCTTGATCTGGATCATCCTTGGCTTTCGTAGCAGTCGACTGCCGTTGCGGTTTTTCTCCATCCTCATCACTGAGATCTGTCCCATCTGTGCTGTCCTCGAAATCGCCTGCTTCAAGCTCACTTCCTTCGCTGTCATCTTCAGGGCTATCAAACTCATCTCCCTCGTCGCTGCCAGCTTCGAGCTCCACCCGACTGACTTTTGCTCCTCGATATTGCGGGCCGAGCGCGACTTCCTTCGGTTTTCGCAGTTTACTCTTTCCGACGCTCGTGTAGTGTTCTCGGCCGTCGTTTTCGTCAGCGTCGCTCCCAGAGTCGGCATCGCTGTCGTCTATCGGAACATCCTCTTCAGGATCAAAGTCTGTCGAGGCTGTGAGCATCTGCAGCTTGTGGTTGGGACGATCGCATACCTTTCGCTCCAGGCTGTAAGTATTCCTCGAACTCAGAAGCGCGATTGCGCCCTCTGTTGGGAGCCATGGCGAATGATATTGGGCTTCGTCGATGTAGCGGAACTTTTTCGAGGTGAAGCTTTGGCGTCGGTACTTCGGAGAGGGTTTATCCGGTAGCCGATGCGGAACAAGCCCACCACCACCAAGTCGAAGACGGGAGACAGATTTCCATTTGATCTCTATTTAACAGAATGTGAAGTTTGAAGCTTACTTTCAATATGAATTGCCAGATTTCTCATCGTATCACACCTCATTACATGATGACGATTTCCCAACTGTTAAATTTATATACCGGGTCAGCCATTGCTAGCAATCGCGAGCACCTTTGGTGACAGTTGCATAGTGGGTGATTCAACAAGCATTTGAGGCTCGTTGAGTCGAGACTGTCTGCTCGAGTGTGTCTTGATGACTGGCATACATATTATTGCACAGCACGAACGCGTCGTAGAAGCCACGTTTTTTCGCGTCGCGGCTGCAAGGGTGCCTGTTTACCATAGCAACGCTGCTAAAATAAACGAAAGTTGAAACCCTGTGACGTTCTGCGCGGCGTGGGAAGCTGCCTGCGCGTGAGCTTCAAGTTGACCACAACCTGATGCCATCGTAAGTGCTCACACCAAACGCATCGTCGCCCTGCGGACTGAACGACGACGCCAGACAAGACATAAGCAGGTCGCCGACACGCCGTCGAGGCATCCAGCCCGCCAACACCCTCCGATCCCCGCAGAAGCCCAGCTTTGCGCGTGACGGGGACGTGAGAGATTTGCTGAGTGACTGGCTTGATGACCAAGAAGCTTTGGGAGTGAATGACATGGTGCGCGAACGCTCTCCCAGTCGAGTCTCGTCTGGCCATTTTCTGTCACCTCAGAAGCAGGACAGACAGCCCTTAGCAAAGTGAGCATCAACAGTACCCCGCCATACCGAACGACTCTAATAACATACAACCAGCATTTCCGCAAAGATGCAGTCTCCCGGCCGCGGCCGAGAGTCCGACGGCGACAAGCCTGTCAAGGGCGACGTCGAATTTGGCAAGGCGAGCCCGCTGAGGAATCCGCTCAAGAAGCCCTCCTCGAGCGTCTTCATGCCAAAGAGTCGCCCTGTCCAGACTCAACCCTTAGGCACACACAACCGCATGCCAGCGGGTGCAACCTCTACCGCAGAGCCTCGTTCATTCCAGCATCCTGGACCACTCCCAGGATCTATCGCGCCCCATCGCCAGACATCAAATACCTTCCAGCGCCCGCAGCCGCCGAACTCGACCGCGGTGCCGATGCCAACAAACAACCCGCTGCGTACGATCCCAGCACCTCCGAAGCCAACATTCTCGGCCTCGACTGCCGGCATGAACCCCTATCAGACGTACGTACCGCCGCGACAGGTCGTTGATCTGACCAAACCCAAGCCTCGAGCCCCGCCAAAGCACATCGAAATTTCCGATGATGGCGACTCAGATGACGGTGAGCGATTCGACCCAGACGCAGAGATTCGCGCAAACGCTGGCACATTCGGCGCACCTGATCCATACATGTACATGGACTCGAGCAAGGCCAATGAGGATATGAAGAAGCTGCTGGAGGCAGCATTTGACGACGAGGCTGAGAAGGGCAAGACACGTCTACGATCCCGTATCAAGAAAGTTGAGAAACAGAAAGACGAGGACAAACAGACGTCATCCTTGGCTGGCAAGCTTGCGGCTCTGAGTGTCAAAGAAGAGAAGACTGAAGAGAAGGAAGGTGAGGAGGATGAAGAGGAAGATGGCACAGTGGATGGGCTTGCAGTCAAGCTCCTGCCACATCAGGTCGATGGTGTCTCCTGGATGATCGACAAGGAGATTGGCAAGAACAAGACGAGGGGCATTCTCCCACGAGGTGGCATCCTCGCAGATGATATGGGTCTCGGCAAGACCGTTCAATCTGTGACCTTGATGCTCACGAATCCTCGCCCCGCCTTGGATGCGAAGCCCGAGCACAAAGGCCAGAAGCTTCCAAGCAAAGACGTCGGCAAAGGCACGCTGGTGGTGGCCCCTCTTGCACTCATCAAGCAGTGGGAAGGTGAGATTAAGAGCAAAGTCAGCAAAAGCCACGCAATGAGGGTCTTAGTTCACCATGGCCCCAGTCGGACGAAGGACAGCGCAGAGTTGAAGAAGTACGACGTTGTGATTACAACATACCAAACGCTGACCTCCGAGCACGCGGGTTCAGACATGTCCAAGGATACCGGGAGGCGCATCGGCTGCTTTGGCGTACACTGGTATCGTCTCATGTTGGATGAAGCACACAGCATCAAGAACCGAAGTGCCAAATCGACCCAAGCGTGCTGTGCTCTGAACGCCTGGTACAGGTGGTGTCTGACTGGTACTCCGATGCAGAATAACTTGGATGAACTGCAATCGCTCATCAAGTTCTTGCGCATTAAGCCATATTGCGAGCTGCCCCGATGGAAGGCAGCCATTACACAGCCGATGAAGAGCGGTCGCGGCGGTCTCGCAATGCAGAGATTGAATGTCTTCCTCAAGGCATTCATGAAGCGTCGCACCAAAGACATCCTGAAGCTAGACGGCGCACTCAACTTTGGCGGAAAGACGAATGAGGAGGGTGGCGCGATGAACGGTGGCATGCAGATTGTTAAGCGTGAAGTTCTCACAGTGCAATGCGATTTCGATCCTGTCGAGAAGGAATACTACGACAAACTGCAAGCCCGTGCAGACAAGCGTCTCGAGCAGATGGAGAAGGCAGGATCCAATGATTACATTGGAGCTCTTGTGCTCCTCCTACGCTTGCGACAGATGTGCGATCATCCACGATTGATCGAGATGGCCATGTACAAGGACAAAGACGCGATCACGACTGGTATGCCTGCAGCGCTGAAGTCGAAGCGCGCGGAGAACGAGATGGATGACCTGGCGGCATTAATGGGAGACATTACAATGCAGGCAAAGAACTGTGACGTTTGTCAGATCAAGCTGTCTGCCTCAGAGACGCGAGACGGCGCTGTGCGTTGCGGTGAGTGCGAAGACGATCTTGCAGCAATCAAGGCAGACAAGTCCAAGAAGTCGAAGTTGAAATCGAAGAAACCCAAGGAGAAGCGCATCAAGAAGCGTAGCTCAGTCGGTAGCGACGAAGAGATGAAGCCACAAGCGCGACGAGCGAGAGGGCGCAAAGTTGTTCTCGACAGCGACGACGAGGATGATGAGGAAGGAGAGTGGATCGCAAAGGGGCCAGAGCAAAAGATCGATCTTGGCTCAGATGACGAGGACGCTGACGGCGGTGGCGAGACACTGGACACTATCGACTCTCAGCGCAGTGATGAGGATGATAGTCAAGTCAAGGACTCGCCATCACGAGCTCGCAAACTCAAGGTGGTAGACTCGGACGACGAGACCGAGGCTTCTGATGCGGACGAGGACGATGAAGATGGCACGGATGCTTCGAGCGAAAATGAGGAAGAGGAAGAATCGGACTCAGACCAGAGCGGAGTGCTTGATGGGATCGGCAGCATGCGACGGTCGAGCCATGAGCCTTCTACCAAGATCCGCCAGCTGCTTCGCATTCTGCACACCGAAACGCCCAAGCACAAGACCATTGTCTTCTCTCAATTCACCAGCATGCTGGATCTGATTGAGCCTCACCTCATCCACGCCGGGATCAGCTTTGTCCGCTACGACGGGAGCATGCGTCCTGATGCTCGCGAGCAATCCCTCAATTCCCTACGCAACAACAAGAGAACGCGAGTCCTACTCTGCTCGCTCAAGTGCGGCTCTCTAGGTCTCAATCTCACAGCCGCGTCTCGCGTGGTCATCGTCGAGCCATTCTGGAACCCCTTCGTTGAGGAACAAGCAATCGATCGTGTCCATCGTCTAAACCAGACCGTTGACGTCAAAGTCTTCCGGCTCACCATCCGCGACAGCGTCGAAGAGAAAATTCTCGAGCTGCAGGAGAAGAAGAGAGAGCTCGCCAAGGCTGCCATAGAAGGCGGCAAGGGCATGGGCAATCTCAGTATGAAGGATATCTTGGGATTGTTCAAGCACGACGCCGATGTACAGGAACATGCCAATGACCGAGAGTACTGGCAGAAGTTTGGTGGCGATGAGGGCTTGCTTGATGGACCAAAGAATTCGCGTACCTTGTCTGCTACGCAGGATCTTGGACACACGAGCAGAGCTATGCCGAAGCCTCAAGCATCGAGACGCGCGCAGGAGAGTGAGATCTATGGCAGGAGGTGGTAGTTGTCCGGACGTCCTTACTTTGGCTACGGACTGATTGTATAGAGCTTCGAGGGGAAGGAAGCTGGCCTGGAGCCACGCAGTTGTCGGGTTGTCGACACTGCGCTTTTCGTACTTCACACTGATACTTAAACTTCGAAAAGGCTTTACGATACCAGGTTGATATCAAGGTCAATCAAGCTTGCAGTGAACACATCAAATCAAGGCCATCATCTCAGAAGTGTTGCTAATTGAGCGGACTGAAGACCTGATGTCTAGCTAGTCTAGTAGTGTTGTTAATCGTCGGCTGATACGAGATCTGCCGGTTCGATTTCGGTTGATGTCTACGCAACCAATCCAAGTATGGCGTGGAAGCACGCATCGCGACTAAGGTAAAGCAGAAGGGGGTCTATCGTCTTCCAGGCATCACCAACATTCGAAGAAAACCACAACAGCAGGACGAGACAAGTCGCCTTCCAAAAGATTCAAGCCCAATACCTCCTTCAACCAAGACATTCCCAAGTAACCAAGCCACCACAAATCACCGAACATGGCACATGTACCACACTCCGATAAGGCAGCACAGAAATACGATCACGCAGCACCGCCTCTTCTTCCCCAGCAGCAGCAGCCATCTCAACAGGAACCCTACTTCCAAGTCTACAGCCGCTGGGACCGAGTTCCCATCGAACTTTACACGCGAACTCCACGTCAAATTCTCGCTGCAATTGCTATTGGCATTATCTTCGCTATCGCTGGGATCTATTTCGTGGCAACGACGTTAAGGAAATGGGAAGGGGCGGAGAAGACGAGTGAGTAAGGGCTTGCACAAATGGAAACCGGGGGATGAAGTGCGAGTTAGGCGTGTTGTGAGGGAGGGGAGAGGTGTTGATTGACTCAAGAAGTAGAAGGGTTGATTTGCTCTGGATTGGGCGAAGAATAGAGAGTCAAGGACTTTTCTGAAAACCGTGCAAGAGAGCAATTTGTCCTACGCTGTGTGTATATCTTGTATGATCTTGTATTGAGAGAAAGAAAGAGAAATTCCATACGGCGAATAATCGCAACAGGTTTCTTGATTCCAGAATAAACTTACAATTAACGCGTTCAACAACGGCATTCTATACATAATACATATAAAGTCAGACAGTTCCCAGCGCGTTTTACCACGGATCATGAAATGCCACAACCTACAACTAAGTACGGCAATACGACTTGAACGTATACATCCTCGCGCGTGAAGCAATGGTAACTCCTGAAGAGACGGTGTCGCCAGCAGCATCTCAGGAAGAAACTTCCCCTTCTGGTAGATGCATACCGCTAAGAAACAACGTTTTTGTCCGCGGCAAGTGCTCTCCCATTTCTTGTTGAGATCTTTGTACAGTGGTGAAATATGTCAGGGGTCCCTCCAGATGAAGTGTGTAAGTGCTCTGTGTTCAATTGCAAGGCGTTGGCGACTTGATGTGCAGTAGCTGGAGTTGCTTTCGTCGCTCTCGAGTTGACTATGGACGTTGGCAGCATCATGCGGTAGCGTGGTGGGACGGAAGAACGACAATAGCGGTGCACTGAAGGATGTCTTCTTGTGACGGGATGCAAGCCATGTGGTTCTCTGCCTTTCGTCAGCTCCAAGATCCTACCTCTTGCCCGCGCTCGAACTGTTTCGACCTTGTCGTCTTTTCTTACTCGTAGCACCCTCAAGCTCGCCAGTTTGTTGCCCTGTATGTAGTGTGGTTCTCGTGCCATCACTGACCTCCGCCTTCTTTGCTGGTGTCTCGCTTTCTCTGTGGCGGTCGTTGCACCCGCTGCGGCGCTTCCGAGTGGTGATTCCGTTCATCCCAATTGCGCCTTTGTCGATACGATTGACATGTCTTTAGTGCAGATTTCCCGAAATGCCCAAAGTCGTCGGCTTCAGGTACACAAGCATTGGTATCTCCGACATCTCACTGCTGAGCCTTTTCGCTAGGCTTAGAAGCAGAGAATGTCTCGCATTTCTTGGGGAAAGCGGCTGGTGTTTTGCGATCACTAGTCGCCTCTCCGATGACTCCTCGAGGCTCGTTTTCGACTGTAGTCAACCTTGTGGGCTATGGAGCGCCTCACTCTGCAGAGAAAGGTCTGCCTTTGTCGCGATCGACATGAGGATTGTGAACTGGTATATCAGGTCCATGCTCGATGATCGCTTCCATCATTCGTTCATTCAACTCCCAGGTGCCTTGATCATGTCTGGGGCCTACGGTCCTGGCAAACGCGCTGGTCCCCTTCTGATTGAACCACTCACATGTGATGATCCGTTGATCGAAACGATCGCCATGGCGAGTGATGAGACGGTGACCGATGATCTCGTTCTCGAGGCGCTGTGCAAGTCTCACTTCACCAACGAATGCCTCGCTGCTTGATCGCATTGCGACGAGAACACGGTTGACAACTGGACAGGTTGTTGGGAGGCCGTAGATCAGACAGTCTTCAACTTCCTGGGAATATCGGCCAAATTCACCGGATCCTGGCAAAGTCAGGTGTCCATCCCCTAAAACTTGATGGAGAGTCTTGCGGTCCCATGTGTAGTCTGCAGGACCAGCACAGCGATCCACTGGTGCAATGGGCATCGCCCAGTACAATTCCTTCTCGACCAATGGTTCCAGGACCGCCTGCCGTGCTTTGAATTTGTTGCGTTTATTTCTATTCCTGCCGTTATGCACTGGCATGACAGTGACCAAACCTGACAGCTGCATGTCTTGTGGCCAGTCCTTTTTTTGGAAAGGCAGTCTTATTCATGCTCTCCCAGTCACGACGAGTGATGCGGTCGTCCGAGATAGCGGCCGTACTGCTCCTGTCGTCTTTCGTGTTCTTAGAGAGGCTGCCATCACCGGGCTGCCCTGTCTCATACTGATTCGTCGTATTCTGCACAGCACGCTCCGTTTTAGCTGCTGTCTCCGCGCTCACCACTGTCTTCTGCACGCGACGCTCTGCTGCCCGTTGTGACGTTTGCGAGGTGTCATCATGGGCGGTGCTTGATCCGTCATCGTAATGGCATAGTGTCGTGGGGGAACGGCATCGACCACAGGGTGTCTCGTGGTCGCAAAGCTGACAGTCCGCTGATTGAGTTCTGTGATAGTCGAAGCCGTCGCGGGTGAAGCTCCGGTTGCAATCCAAGCATGCCATCATGTCAAGTCCGTTTTGCTGCAGCGAGCCCGGAGCTAGCAGATATCGACCAGGAAGGTCGAGTGGGACTGCGTTGGTCGGAAACAGTCTTGATGGAATGGAAGGTGTGACTCTACTGGCACGAGCCCAGGTCCTGAGTGGCAGAATGAGCAGGCCAGTGGGCGTTGTCAATCTGGTGTGCTCTGTCATGCCCTGGGCATGCTGGTCAAAGTGAGCCCTTGTATCATTCGTGTACTGTTTATTTCTTTGACCAATCCACTGAGTACAACCAATTACCGGACAGCAGCTAGAGCGCTTATGCTCATGGAAAACGTGACGTGCATCACAGCCGGCGACACTTCCATTCAATTCGCGTGTGGCAACTAAGAGGGCTTTGACGAGCTCGTCCGCTTCCGATATCAAGACGTGGCCGTCGTAGAGGTCTGGTTGCTCCTGTCGATGCTTGACATACTTCTGCACCAGCGACCGGATGGCCATGGTCAATCTCGTTGGCAGTGATGTGCCCAAGGATTGAATTCTATTGTTCAGAAGGCCGTGACGCACACATACGATTTGTGTATCAGATTTTTTTGCGTAGCTGCACTGCATGTGCTGCGTAGGAGTCGCAACGTGTTTTGGTCGGTCCCGGGGCTGTGTACGCATAAGTCGTGTCATCGTACTTGTAGATTGTGGCGATGATCCGAGGAAAAACGCCTTGCGCGGCGTCCCCCTTCAATCCAGAGTAGTCGTCCTGGACTAATTGCTCCAGCTCCTTGTCCGTCTCGATGCCCCCTGAGCTTTGTGCGTTGGGTTTCAGAGGCACGGGTGGCCTATTCGGAAAGGCCAGCTCAAGCGCGGCACTCATGGCTTTGGCCACTTTTGCCTTTAGAGTCCTTGCAGCCACGGGTAAAATTCCCCAGTTCGTTCGTAAATCCGACAAATACTTGTATAACAGTTTGAGGGCGCCATCTAGGTTACATTGTTCGTGAGAGAGGACCATCAGCAGCTGCGTGCAGAACCAGCCGGATGGAATGGGTATCGTCGGCCCCTCGCGGACGTGATTGCGCGATATCTGGCCCAGGTGCTTTCGTAGACAGATCAGATCGTCTTGTCGGTACCCCTCGACTGGTTTATATTGTCTGTGCCCCTTCGATCGTTCAACATGTTCTTCGATATTCGACAAAAAAGGATCTCGATCTAGCAAGTTGCCATCGAACGATGTGGAAGCGTTGGACACCGAATCTTGTGGCAGATGATCAGACAGCATCTACCGGAAGGGCTGTTACGTGAACGCCAGATCCTGTCAGTGCTCATGGGATGGCTCAGCTTGTGTGCATGTATGATGCCGCTCGTCGAGCTCCCGCGAGACAGGATCTTGCATATTGCCAGCGAAAGACAGCGGGGTGTTGGACATCATGTCTGGCGATGCAATCTTGCCATTTGCATTGCGCGAGCAACTGATGTCGCAAAGCTGGACCGTGGCTGCATGCTATCATCCGAGCAGACAGTGAGCGGCAATGATAGCGATGCGAGAGCAGGCATTGCGAGCTGTTCGGCACTAACGATCGTCTCGTTCAGAGCAGTCTTGATCGAACTCGTCCTAGATCACCACCTCAACAGTGAGTTTTGCTAGACAAGAGATTCCACATTCAAGTCTTCGCACTCAGTCAGTATTCACTTGGCTTTTCCAGTTTGCCGCATTTCCCGGAGCCTCCCTTGCGACTCATCATACCTCAACTCATCCAACCTCTTCTCCAACAAAAAGCGACCATGTGACATTCCGTCTCAAAAATGATGCAAATACTGCAAACACTGGTCCGATCGACCGCTTTCCCCACACACAAGTCAATACCCTTCCCCATGGTACAAGGAACTTACATTCAACGCCTTCAACGGCATCCCATGATATCAGGACATCATGCTGCCTGTCGTTTCACATCCATGGAAGCGGGAAAGCGGAAAGAGGGAAACAAAAATAAAGCCTGCAGGTAAGCATCATAACAGGAGTTCAGTATAACCACGGTACGGATCTGCGGAGAACAACCATGAGCACAGATGGGGTGGTTGGTCGTTATGACGAACGTTGCGTTGCATGAAATGACCCGGCGAGCCGATGATGAGTGCCATTGACGAGATTGGCTTGCTGGCGGCAGGTACATGTATGGCAGATGGTGGTGGAGATTAGCGAGCGTGGTCGCTTTCCTTTGCAGCCGTACCTGAATCCGTGTGCGAGAGGGAGGGCGAGAAGTTTGGTTCCCCGTGATAGGCGTCCCGCGGCCCACTGAGGTCCGTACCTAATGTACTCCGCACGTATGTATGTATAGATACACACCTGCTGCATCAATGCGGAGGTCGTTGGATGTGCTTTTTGTTTCATGCTCGAGTTGGTAGCAATGCATCGTGAGAGAATGATCGGCATTTGGACAGTATCTTTTGCATTTGTCATCGTCTGAAGTTCTGCACGTCGTGTCTTGTGTAGCTCGTCGAGTGAAAGCGGTGTTGTACGAACGTCTTCGGCGTCATTCCTGTGTGAGAACAGACTCTCGTACGAACTTGTTCTGCAAGTTCTGTTACATAGTGACAAACCTACCTGCATGTGTTCGCGGACAGGCGAGTATGCATATGCGATGCAAGTGCCAACTTTATTACCCTCTACAATAGATACGGAGAAGAGCCAATCGTGCCTAGCGAGTGTCGTGCCGGGTTACTGGGACCACAAAAGACGGTGTTGGCGAGCATTGCTTGCCTCTATTTGGTAATGTGGCGAAGTGTGGCGATTGCGCCGCGTTGAGCGCGTTTGGCGACCGAGGCGCGATATCCGCCTTGATTGTTGTTCTGGGGAAGTGAACGTCCAGGAGTGCACACAGACAGAACTGCTCGCACCGGTAGCTGAATGGTTGAAAGGCCGGTGCACTCGCAATAAGCCGATCAATTGACCTTCGAAGTCTCGTATCCTGCGGTATGCTGGCCTACTGCATGTCGGCTCGTCACTTGAAGAACGATGTTCCACCATGCTTGAGAAGCGGTGTAGGTGTAAGACATCCTCGGTGCCCATTTTGATAATCTGCCGTTCGAGTGAAGGCGATACCTGATTAATCACAGCATTGTTAATTGAAGTCATCAGCGCGATGTGCCGCTATCACAACGACGATGCCCCCAACCTGGTTTGAAAGACGGAGCAATCAATACCTGACCGCGCTTGTAGGTCACAGGACACTGACCGAGTTGCTGGTGGTGTCTGCGCTGGTAGTTGGGCAGCATGGGCTAGGAGACCGAACGTTCGCTAGCAGACAAGCAAGCGAGCACACCACAAACGGTGCACTTAAGATCCCGGCAACAGGTCACGAAGTGGTTTCTGACCGATCGCGGTCATATTCCTCCGAGACACAGGCTTTAGCGGAAGCAGGAGTCCTTGTCTGCCATGCAGCAGACTAGCAGCCACTGTGATCTAGATCGTAGACTAGACTCCAAGACACACACAATCGCAAATGAGCAGTGCCGTGCTCGTCCATAGCGATGGTGCAATCTGGAAGGGCACACGCAGGGCACAACCATCCCACGGCGTGGGCGAAAAAGGAAGTGCAGACAAACGTTGGTGCTTGCCGAACATGTCCGTAACAGGAAGGCGCGCAGTTCGCCTGTTATGAAGGGTGCGCGGCGGGTGTCACCCCAGATGTTAGGAGACACAGAGCTGGAGAGGAACAGTAGCGCTCGGAGGTGGAAAGGTCATCCGGGCATCCTAAGCGCAGCCAGCCTTTCCAGCGGCGCGTACCCAACGGCCGGCAGCAGTCCCCCGCGAGCGACTAGTCCAGCAAGCGGGTGCCGGGAGATGTGACAGATCACCGGCGACGGGCTGGAGGGCGGACGGGGGGAGAGCAGAGTAATTTCGGTAGGCGTGATCTTGACGGAGTCTTATCGCGACCCCACGAACCGCCGCAGGTGAGAGACGGAGATGTGTGAAGAGGTCGGAGAGCGTGCGACTTGGAAGGAGCCGAGCAGGGAAGGTGCGGAGGTGGGCGCTGTGGGATGGTCGTTGGTGCTCGGTGCTTTCTCCTCCAAAGGATTTCGTGGGAGGACGGGCAGACCGCGTGGCGCAACGCATTGGCTTGATCCTGTGCGAGATCGTCAACGCATGTGCTGCAACAGCCGGACGTGAGTGGACGAAAGCAGACGTCCTTCTTCCACGAAGAACAACGCCAGAAACAGGGCATGTCGGGGACGGAGGACGTCTGCATTAGTCGCAGCAGGAGACGAGAATAAACGAGAAGCCGCGGGTGCGTCAAGCAGAGACCGACCGATCAATCCCACTGGGTCGGGAAACGACAGGCAACGAGTGCGCTGAATTGAGGAATTGCGATGTGTTGCGGTGAACCAGTCCGGTTGTCAATCCCAAACAGAGACCGGAGGGCAATTATCCGTCGCCCACATCCCTCAAGAGGGCCTGGATCGAATGGAGCATTGCCGATCGTGGATGTGGAGGGAAATTCCCAGCCCGCGGCTTCGGGAGCTGACAAGACGCTAATTGTTCATGCGTGTAGACATTGAAGCCTGAGGCATGTTTGACACGCTGTGGCGCAGGCAGGCAGACATATTGATGATGAATGCGGAAAACGAGCTCGGGAACAACGAAGCACATGACCTTGATCCGTTTGCACGCTGGCAGGAGCAAAGCGCTTGAGGAAGCACAATCTCCGAATTCTCAAACGGCCACATCATCATCGCAAACGTGGGTGTCGTGGCCCATCGCCACGGCTCTTCACACCCTCAGCCAGGTCATTGCATTTCACAGTGTAACACTAAGGGGATGCGAACGGCTCTCTGCAGCAATCAAACAACAATAGATCCAAAGAGGGTGCAGAAAGTGCTTCTGTAGGGCATGCTGTGGCGTACATGGCGCTGCTTCTTTCTGCAGGGAACCTCGTGGGGTGCGAGCGCGTTTCCCCGGCGGAGACCACGCATGCCATGTGATGTCGTGTTCTTGGCACAAGAGGTCATCTGCTCAGAACAGCCTGTGGAAGTGCCGTGTCCGGCATGTCCTTGGTTCCAACTCGATGCCGTGATCGTGATGGAGGCGCGGAGCGTTCCTAATGGCGTAGCATTCCAGGTACACTTGTCACCCGCCTCCGATTTGGGACCTGTACGCAGAGAGGGCAGTCGTGTACAGGTTTCCCCAGACAAAAGCAGACCACACGGCACCGTACCCACGGTCCAGAACACGCGGATGCATAGCGACGTTTGTGCGGAATGAATGCGGTGCACTACTGCGCCGCTGTCGAACGAGCAAGATCCCAACTCCCATTCCCACGCCAAATCTGCTCCTTATCCTGATGGATGTGAGTTGACATCAGGCTGAGGTGCGCGAAGGATTCCTGCGCCTATCAGGACGTGGGAGCATATAGGCGCAGAGCGGATGGGTGATGTTGTGATGCGTTGTCAGTCATCTGAACAATCTGAGCAGCCACGGTCGCGTCGCAAGCGCAGAACAGCATTGCGGCCGTTGCTCACTCGCCTCTTGGGGGCACTGTTGCGATGGGGGACGCGCTCCTTACTGGCCGTGCGCTCTACGAATACAATCGTGCCGTGGCTGTGCCTGGAAGTTGGTCACACGTAGGACCCGTTGCAAGACGTCTGATTTGACGGCATACGTCGAATCAGGCATGGAGACGGAGCGTGACATGCTCCCATCCTGCTTGTCGATCTCCCCAGCGGCAGTGGTCAGTAAGTTGTAGTATACGCAATGCTTCCTTGATCGTGGGATCTGGTCACGATCAAGCGGCTAGCAATATGCGAAACATATTGCTTTGATGCGCTGTCGGTGTTCTGTCGCGCGGAGGAGAGCAGCAAGGAAAGCAATTGGTGCGTCGCGTGGAAAAGCAAGTAACGTGGTTCGCCCTATCGACACACCATGCAGATGGGCATGCTCGCTGTCCGACGGGTCATCCTCATCATGGTGTTGGACAGGAGACCAGTCCAGTGCCATGCATTTTCATGCGCCGCGTGGGCGGGCGGAATGGTCGCCTCTCGATGGTAGTCTGGCGGCAAAAGGGCGGTGGTCTTACCAGAAGATGAGGACGTCGCTGGTGAAGCAGTTGCGACCGGGTATGATATTGAAGGAGGCCTCGACACGAGAGCACGGTGCGCCACAGAGCATTCTCAGTGCGGAAATCCGGCGGTTATTGACCAAGAATTGCGATTGCGCCTCACATCGGCCACGTGCCGTCGAGCGGAGGGCCGGCGTCTGCCAGGATGAGGATGCCCCGGCTCTCAGGCCCGCTGCAAAGGCCGACGCTTGCATGGCAGATGACTGCTTTTCGGCGAGAAGTGAAGAAGAGAGTTGCACGTTGCTTTTCCACGCCGCCCTGTCCGGCTGACAGTGCTCTGCTGCTGTCCGCCACTCGACAGGCGACCGGTCAATTTTAGCAGCCAGCGCATCGTATTTTCGTTGGTATGTAACAGTGGCACACATGCAACCGTCACGCTGCGGGCGAAAACAGAGCCTGACTGAGTCGTGCCGCGCCGCGCCCAGGGCACCTGAATATGATGAACGAGAGCGTGACGAGTGACCGCCTCTTCCGCCCGGCCTTGGGCACATGCGGCCCTGCCGAGGTGTTGTTCTAGTCCGCTCGTACGCGGCACCGGGGAGCACTACGCCGCCGTGTTTTGCGATGCGACTCCTGGCGCCAGGAGGCGTGACCAGCGACGTAAGGCATATGGCAGGAGGAGAAGGTATATCGGCAACGACTCGCACCGCCGTCGGGTCGCAAGCCTACTGCTGTAGGTGTGCGGAGGCGGCAGGAGACCAGATAGGCTTGATCAAGATGTGATACACGGGTGAGTAGATCGGCGGCGTCCAACAGTAGCGGCTTGTCGGAAGGGAAGCAGAGTTTGTGCTCGTCGCTAGAGTACCACCCCCATGTCCCTGCACAGTGCTCTGCAGCCGTCCAGTCTTCCGGGCGTGGACGTGCTGGTGCAGTATGTATTAGCCAGCCTTGCACCTGTTTGCCGTGCCCGACGCTCGCTCTACGACCATTGCTGCTGCTCGACACCACCGCCTCTCCACGCAACCCACTGTTTGACGGATTGGCCTTTACTGCGCACTGCCGGATCACCAGCGATACGGCCCTCTGCATCGACATCATCACCACAGCCGCGCGCAGCCACACTCGTCTGTTGTCGTCGCTCTGGCCCATGTACAATACCACACCGCAAGACCACCTGACGTATCTGGCCGCCGTTTTCGGTCACTCTGCACCAACAACACATATCTCTGCCGCGCCCGCCCCTCCTCCCTCCCATTGCCTACGGCGACACGTTCGCACCTTCCACAATGCCTTTCAGGCCTGAACTCCCGCTACTGCGGGTCGAAGTGGCGGCCTTGCATACTATCGACACCACCAACGTTGAGGCCCTCTTTGGAATGCATTCTTTGTTTTCCAAGACATCGCATGTCATGCAGGACGGCAAACGCCTGGAGAACCTCTCGTGGCGACTGTGGAACAGAGAGACCTTCTGCTGTGCACCGCAGCCGCACTCACGCCAGGCCTCTGTCGCGCTTCCCACACGCCGTTCCGCCCTTGCGAAATCGAAAGCCGCGACGGCTGGAGAAGTGCCGATGCCCGCATTGTCATCCAGCCTCGATTCCGCTTCCTCCTCTGACGACGATCTAGAACTCTCGTCGCCCACGACGCCGCGAAACTACTCGGCACAGCCATCCGCGCCTCGCAACGACACTCCCACCGAGAACGTGACAGGACGTGGCCGTGAAAAGCATCTCACACCCATTGTCCTCGAGAAGATCGTCGTCGCTATCACCGAAACGAACGCGCTCGAGCCCATTGACTTACCCATTGCCGCACCTGCGACTACCGCTCGCGAATCTCCGTCCACGGACGCTTCTCAGGTACTCTCTACATTGGACCTTACATCCTCGCAAACCTCAAGAGGCACTGCACCTCACGCCTCCGAATCGCAAGCCACTCTACCCGAATCATCTACCTCGACCATTGGCACTCAGGAGTCAAACGACTCGCCCTCCTCCCAGTCGTCACAAGAAAGCTCGTCTACCGAAATGAGCACACACAGCATTGTGCGTGGCTTTGTGCCAGGCGGAGCGCCATCTTCGTATCGCTCGCAAACAAACCTCGCCTCTCAGCCAACACCGATCCTCAAGACGTCTCCCACGTATCGGCCACAGCCCAAGAAGAAGGTGCCCATGTTCCAAATTGGAACATCGTCTGGAGAAGACGAGGGCTCGTTCGACAACCACATGGTAGGGAGCCGCAGCACATTATCCGACAACCTCAAAGCGCCTGGCAGCCAGAACAGCAACGGGAGTCAGAAACACGCGTCTTTCAATGAGGAAGTATCAGTTGCCAAAGCCGCTCCACTCCGACACAGCGCCGTTTTCGAGTCGGACGACGAGGAAGAGGACGTATCCGAGAGCGCCATCGAAGATGACGACGATTCGTCGGATTGGGAAGACTCAGACGACGCGAGTGGGCCATCATCTGTCAACGAGAAGGACCTGTTCCAGCGAGTCGATTCAAGACCCAACTTGACTTCGCGTTGCTCCCTGCTGACCACTTTGATGCATGAGCCCGATCGAGCAAAGGCTCTGGCGAACGCTGCTTCAAGATCTACCCCAGCAATTCGACGGTCTCGAACGACAACGCCAAATGGACCCTCTGTTGCGACATCGCCGGAAATCGGCGCCCAATTTCCAATGCACGCCGGTCAAGATATTCCACGCTCGAAACCTATCATTATGACCACTTCCAACACACACCAACAGCTTGCTCTTTCGCCACGCACAACACGGAGAAACATGCTATCAACCGAACTTACGGAGTCTCTTCGAAAGAACCTATTGTGGGAGCGCCAGCATAAAAGCACCGGCAATCTGGCTGCGCTGAAGCGAAGACATACTTCTAACGATGTCAAGAACTTGAAGCAGCACCCAGAGCCTGGCCCGGTGCTTTCCCACCAGGGACCAAAGGGCAGATTCACCAACGATTACTTCCACGCTGGCCTTGGAGAATATCATGCCAAAGGCTGGTGATCTTCGCACACATTTTGTTTTCATGTTTTCTTGCTGCGTTCTAGCGATTGTTCTACGGAGGGTTTTGTTTTCTTTTGGGCACATAGCGAGGTGTCCTGGACATAGCTACTTCCTCACGGATGGAACACGGCGTTCAGAGGGTCTGGACCGAGAAGAGGGCTCGGGATTTCGAGATTCGGATGATACCAGCATCGGCATACTTTTACACATACTTGACGGCCGCGCATGCGAACACTTTGCTACGAAGCAGCCGGAAACTAGCATGCTTGAAGCACATTCATTGTGCTCGGCGTGAGTACGGCCTGTACATCATCACTGTAACATTACTGTTGTTGTCAAGGACTCTAGGTCTTCAAAAGCGATATTGCACGGGATCCACTACGCGGAGGAATCTTAGTTTGGGCAGCAGCGTCCTGTAGCACAGTCGATTCCACACGCATAATGACAAACTACTCCTGGGTCCAGCGAACTTGTGTCTCACCATTTCCTCTTACCGAGTTTTCATGTGTAAGTCTACCATACCACTTTCCCCAACGTCAGATGGCCTTCTTCATCAGCAGTACACATGGATAACATGTGCAGCTGGCAGGCAGCAGTCGGTCACGAGCAGCATGTGATGGACAGACCGCTATTCTGCAGCCTCTGAACACTAATCTGACTGTTCAACGCTTCACATATGCAGTCTGCATGCCTTGCATGAGAGCTCTTACCTCGCGCTCCCACCATAGGCCAGCATTGTCTTCTGACAGCACAAGAGATCTACGTACCGCACGCCCGCCGCGGTAGCGAGCCTCTCTGGCGTACGACTCTGCTGCAAACAGGTCCACAGCGAGCGGCCTGGCCGCCTCACGGAATCACCGCACATTCGCACTGCCTTTCTGGTTTGTTATTACTCACGCGCCTGTAACATCCGTCCGTCAAGCGGAACGCGTATAGTCATGCGACAGTGCCATCGCCCTTCTGGACAGCAACTCCACTCCTCGGCTCAATTCGAACCTCCCAACGAGTGCGCATTTGAGTTCTGACGGCCAATTCCCCACCTGCGGCGAGAGGCCATAGGAAGAATTCGGAGCGGAGTGGAGCTGGTAGGAAGCAGCTTGTGCACGTGAAAGAGGTGTCTCCTCCACAGCGGGAGCGCTAGAAGGTGAAGAATCTTGTTCGGCGCCATGCGCGATTTGGCAATTGGACTTCTAGACTTTGGCGAGCAAGTCGAAAAGCAGAAAAACACTGCCACCACTGGCGTGAGCGAATTTGACGCGTCGTCTCCTCTCCTCCCTTGGACGCGCTTCTCTCGGCCTTGCCTTGCAATTCGGCCTTTCTTCTTCTTCTGCTTCCGGCTTCCACCCGAACTACTCCATTCTGCGTATATCGCCGTCGCCGTCGCCGCCGCCGCTGCCAAGACCGAGCATGTCACGCTCGAGGTAGCACGTCTCAGTCTCAGCTGAGAGCTCGGCATATGGACTGCTGGAGCCTGGATGACACGTGCGGTACGAGCGAACGTGATGTGGCTTCATGACTGCCGCGGCAAAAACGGCAAGCATGAACAACAACACGCACCGCACAACACAGGAACCGAGATCAAGATTATGTCTGGAAACACACGATCCTCGCGCCTGACGAGGCGGCTAGACTGAGCACCAACTGCATCAAAGATGATGTTGTTGTTGTCCAACTCATCTTCGATCGCACAAGCAAAACCTCCTGTCACGCGCGCGACAGTTGGATATGTGTATCGAATTGTGCTCAGAAGGTGAGTACCCGCGCGCCAAAACACTCTGACGAAGGTCAAGTGAACACTGCCGGAGCGGGCACATGTTGTCTTCGGCGGCTACCAGGTACGCGCTGACACAACTTCCTGCACCTAAACGGTAAGATTCGACTTCATCTTTCGATCTCTACAGTTGTTTCTTCTTTTCACTGCTGCGACAGACCAAAAGCAAATTCTCAATCCAGAATTGGACCAGCTGTTACATGTCTCAAGTGAAGAGTTGTTTCAAACCATACTACACTTCGGAGGAGTTTGCATTGTGACGAACGACACTCACATCCTCACGCGATGTCTGAAAGCAGATCTCGATGATGGTTTGGTACCTGCTCAGCATGCATGTCCATAACGGACGTGATGAGTCCAACCAAAGTTCCCATCATACGACAGGTCGAATGACCATCAGGTGTACCCCATGGCAAGTCCGCGATCAAACCATGCACTCATATCCATGGCGACTCAAAACCGTTTGTCCGAGTCGTGCACACTGCATTACCGCCCAAAAGCCGTGCTGTCTGGCTGTCCGGCGCTTCGGGAGATGTGCACGACAAACTCTCCTGTCATGGAACAACCTCGTGCAAGGTCATATGGCGTGCCTGGAATGCCCTCCTCGCGAAACACTGTTCAAGGACCAGGTTTCAAGATTCGGCATGCCGATGGAAATACGACTCATGAAGTTTGTGGTCCGACGTTTCTTGAATACGATCTAGCCACCTTGATTATTTGCCGACCTGGGTTGTTGCAACACTGGTCGCAATATCCGACCTCATTATACAAAGTCATGGTCGCTGATGAGACGTGCTTGACTGGAGAGATCGAAGTTATCCTCACACATCGGAGGTCTTCGAGTCGCAGACTCCCAACTACGTGCGCCGATCACGCTCTATCACGGAGGTCTTTGTCGGCGACGATCATACACTGCCGTCACGGTCCGTGTTGGCGCAAGGCACCGCATCCACAGCCGACTTCTCCTTCCGCACCCCTTCCACCGACGTTCAGGATATGTCTTGTATTACAATGCGCTCCTAATGGCCGCAGACCTCCGTATTCCTGCGCATATCCTGGACGTTGGTCGTTCGAGACTTCAAGCGGACGCGGTCCTGTTGTTCCGCATTCCTGCCCAACAAGCATCTCTCGCCATTGGAGATGACGAACCGCATATGCCGACGTCCAGCTGACCTGTTTGCTCCCAGCGGCACTTCACCGTTGTATGAGCCGAACGAGCAACAAATATGCCGCCGCGGCCCTGCTTCCCCGCAATCCGCTGCATTTGCTGCAGGTTGGCAGATGACTTGCGGAAGGGAAGCAGAGTTTGAGCTTATACTTCTCCGCCCCCCATGGGCGTCCCCGTCATTTGGGAAACCGTTTGGCTTTGGCTGTTTAAGGCTGGCCTGTCGTTGCGCGACGTTTGCCCGTCGGAACGCCTTATTCACGACTTGCTTCAGCCAAAAAGCCTTGGATCGAACAGTATTTGGCATGCGACGCAACGAATAGCACGAAAGACGTCCACTTCCCGAGCGTGCAGCGCCATACGACCCTCCAACACCAAGTTCGCGGAAAGCGGTGAGAGTGATGACTGTCCAGCCACGGATGAGCTGACTGTCTAGAACTCGCTTCAGGATCACTTGAGACCACGTTGATGACCTGATGTGCAATCGCAAACCAAAAAACAAGGAACAACCTGTCCGGCACAACATCTTGCATTGCGCTGCACATCGGCGAAACTCTCCAGAAATGGTTAATTACCCCATCCGTGCTTTGCCTTGCGCGTTGTTAGGAAGTAGTTGCGAGACGACGCGTATGAAAGATGAAAGGTCAAAAGTCAACCACAGTTGCGCCGATAGGACGAAGATGGCCTCATGTGAAGGTGTATCACGATCTGATGGCGGTACATGGCTACTAGGACGCGTTGTTTTGCATCTCAACGCTTTCTATCTTGGGGCGCGTTTGGTAGGTCGGTGTGGCATGGAGCTCTCTGCTTGATGCTTGGAGCTGATGAGTCGATAATGCACCCCAGCTCACCCATCTGCACGGCCAGCAAATCACTTCGTGTGTAGCGCTTCGATGTATCTTTTCAAGATTTTTCGCATGCTCTGATGACCTGGAACTCAGTCAGTCGAGAGTCATCGAGAGTCATGACCTGTTTGTTTCCCGCCCGCCATCCTCGCGGCTAAAGAGACTCTGGTACTTTCAAACTTGCACCGCCACACCTCCCCTGCTCGTCTCGAGGACTGTTCTGATTGAAAATGGCATACCGGTCGGCCTCCGCTCCAACTTCCCTCAGGGTCTTCTTCTGCTTCTTCACGATTCATCTTCGGCTGAATGGGACCACGGAAGGAAACGGCTTAACGCAAGTTCAATGGAGTTTTGACGACGTCACATGTTCTCTGATCCTTGCGATGAACCCACAATGGGATCTTCAAGGGACTCTGGGGAACCAAGAAAAGAAGAAGCACCACTGCCACTGGCGCGTCTGGATCGTCTTCGTTCCTACATGAAAGCTCGATGGAAAGTATAGGCAGAACCGCGGCTCGGATGAGTTCTTGTTGGTCATTTGATGTCATGCGGAGGCCCTCTTCCGATGGAGAAACGCCAACCCAACCAACCAACCACGTCTATTTTCCCCTTTCGCTTAACCACCAACGTCCAATGTTGTGATGACTTCACGCTTCACGCGTCTCTCCAGGTTTTTCCTTCCCCATATTTCTTTGCTATACGATGATGACGATCTTTTTGGCAACTGATCGGCTAATGAAGGTGACTGCTGCTCATCGCTAAACAGTACCGTACCTCACAAGGCAGACACACTACGAAAGTAGCACCGGCGATTTGGCCGCATCGCAACACTCCCATGATCACAATGTCACGCGGACAGGTCCAATGGCTTTTTTCGCCGTATCACAAGACATTGTAGGGCTGCGTCATAGGCATGAAGAAAGCAGCAGCAGTCGGCTAATGGATTGGACTTCTTCACCTTTGACTTTCCCCCTTCTTCGCGCCGCCTCGCCTGCATTGTCCTAGATGAGACATAGACATCACATGGCCTTGTGAACGACTGGCATTAGGACGTACTTTTCGATCCTGGTCGCATAGTAGCGAAAACTCGGGAATCGAAGACATCGACGAGACATCGAATGGAGACGTACAGATCCTATTCCCGTACGGAAAGCTTGTCTCCGGATACACGAGATCAAGATCTGTACTGTAGTTCTACGTCCAGCAAAATGGAAGAACGCTACTGAGGCCTTTGATCGATCATCATGCTGCAGACGTCAGGCGTGCTGATCCTTCGTGTTTCGATGAAACGCTCGCTTGGCGACGACTTCACGTTGATGGATGAGCTGATTGTGAATAGGCTGAATGATTAACCATTGCAGTCGAAGCACTGCACTGTGAAGCGCTGCTCCACTCTTCTTCGTGTCGATTCACGCCATCCCGTAGAAGATGCTGCGAATCGTGATCAAGGACGTGGTATTTACCGAATGGGGCAAAGTGGTAGTTGGCATAGGTCGGCTATTCGAATTATGGGTTTGGTATTCTCTTCAGAAGGCACGATTCCGAGAAACGATTCGAGCCGACACTGCATCTCGTAATGGCAGCCTTGTTATCGAAGCTAAACTGCCGGCTTTCTTCGCTGCGCTGAAAACTGCCAGCTGCCGACTTCGACTTCTGGAAATCGGTAAGCTGTAATCAATGTCTGAGCAAGTTCGGAGCAGCATCGTGCTTGTTGCTGCTGTCGGAGACATAAGCCTGGCACGTTGACTCTAAACTTCAGTGAGCTAGAATTAAATGCCTGGGCGACATCGAAGCAGCATCGTATCCGTTGATGCGGCTGGAGAGATGAGCGCTGCAGGTTGACTCTGAGAAGTGGTAGGCTGGAATCAACATCTGAGCGAGTTTGAAACAGCATCATGCTTGTTGCTGCAGCTGGAAACACAAGCGTGGCAAATTTGACTCTGAAAATCGGTAAACTGGAATGAATGTCTAGGCGACGATGGGCCAGCACCGTGTTCGCTGCTGCTACCGGAGACATGAGAGCGTAGTAAGTTGACTCTGATATATGAGAAACGGGAATCAATGCCTGGGGGACAACGGAGCAGCATCGTGTTCGTTGCTACTGCCGGAGGCATGAGCGTCGCAAGTTGACTCTGAAAGTCGGTAGGCTGGGAACAATGTCTGGGCGAGTTCGAACCAGCATCGTGTTCGTCGCTGCTGCTGGAGACATACAGCGTGGTCAGTTGACTCTGATACTTTAGAAACTAGAATGAATGCCTGGGCGATGCCAGAACAGCATCGTTCTCTTCGCTGCAGCTGGAGACATTGAAACAGCGCAGGAGAGAATGGAAAACTACCTTCGAAATGGATGAGATATAAAATGGTTTTACAAGCCTCAATTCTTAATTCTCAATGTACCTCTGCCTCAATCGATCTGTAGCAGTGCCATGCTTCATGTGCTGTGTTGTCCCCGGCAATCGCCATGCTTGCAGAAATGCATCAAATCCGAACGCTAACAAAAGCATCTTGAACTCCCAAAATGCCCAATAACCCAAACGCCAGCAAAATCCACTTCAATTACTCCAATTCCCAATAGAACTCCACTTTGCAGCCTTGCCACCCTTTAAATGTATTAAACCATACCCATAACCAGAAGCAATAGCAAATATCCTTGTGAGAACCCTCCAGTGCCCAAGAAACAGAAAAGCAAGTAAACCAAAACCCGTCGTCTCAGTGGTGCTTCAAGCGACCTCCGATCTCAACGGGAGTTGTCCAATGTGTGCCAGGAGGCTTCATCTAATCGGTGGTGCTCAGAGCGACCTCCATGAGAAAACCTCCAAAGCCCAGAAAAACATAGAAGCAAGTAAACAGAAATCCGTCATCTCAGTGGTGCTCAAAGCGACCTCCGATCTCAACGGGAGTTGTTGGAATTGTGCCATGAGACTTTCATCTAATCGGTGGTGCTTACAGCGACCTCCGAGAGAGATGAAGTCTGGCTTTTTTGTGAGTTTTTTTTTTCGTATGTTTTTCTTCTTTTTTTGATCGTTTTTGTGTTGAATTTGTCGGCAGGAGGTATACATCGTGGTGTCTCTGATAATCCATCGCAACGCAATTGCTCTTCTTTTCCAGGCCGAAGAACAGCGAGCTTCTTGCATTCTTGGAGAGAGAGCTAGTATTCAGCGACTGCTTATATGTATGTCATGCAGTCTACAGTACTTGCCGCTTCATCTCTTCATTGTATTGAACACATTATTCTCCCGACTCCCAAAGTCGTAGAGCCAAGGAAAGCTTTGCTTGACAAGAGTAGGGTCCTCATTACCCAGAAGAGCTTCCATCCAATTCTTCATGTCAACAACGAGCTTCTTGACTTCATTATACTTTTCCACCGCAGACCCGAAGTTGGTCGCGAGCATATGTGCCCAACAGCCCTTGCGTTGCCCAATGAGTATGTATATTTCGTCCATGATCCGCATCGATTCGTCAAAGAAAGGGGCTTTGCTGTTCGCGTCAAAGAGCATGTTCCAGTACGACTGGACTTTGAACAAAGCGTGACGGTCTTTCAGGCCTGTGATCTTCTCATAAGTCTTGCCACAGGTCGGTCTCAACAGGTCGTGAAGATATCGAAGCTTGTCGGGAATCACGACCATGGGTGTGCCTGGTGCGAAGCGGAAGATTTCGTTCACGACATTGTAGCATTCCCAAGTAGGCCGCCCGGATGTCTCCTTGATTTTGACGCAAAGCATCTGGGTGCTAGTCAACATGCCGAAGATTTTCTGCATCCAAACAGATGGCATCCCAGTAGTGAAGGACTTCCAGTAGCGGTTCGGAGCCACAAGATATTCGTCGATGTGCTTGAGGCGCTGGTGTAGCAGGTCAAGCTCGCCTTGAAGCGCTTTGTCGTCGACAGAGCTCTTCATCATATCATTGAGCGTATCCTCGGAGAGTTTGAGCCAGCTGCCAATCAGCTCGGTTGCGTCGTCCACCGTCAAAGTAGCATCCTGTAGTGGATGATTGTCTGCAGTCGGAACCATCCGGCGTTGGAGACCAGAATCTGCGAAGTGGCCCTTCTTCCTAGAGCCTAAATCATCGCTGTGAGCGGCCACTCTATGACGGCAGTCTGTAGTCTTCATAACATACTGTGATGTGGGAGCCAAAGTCGGGGAAGAGGGTGGCGGAATAGTTGGTCCAGCAGAGCCATCATTGATCACGGCTGTCGGCAGATATCTTGTTTGCAAGATCTGGAGGACTTCTTGTGCAATTGGCTGGTAATGGCGGCTGTCTTGAGCCGGTGTCATCTGAACAATTATGTCCTTGATGACCTGGAGCTTTGCCACGATATTCGAAACATCTGCCGCGACATTGTTCCTGGCTGAGCCATTCTCGTCGAAGTAATATTCGTCGAAGTCCCTCAGTCGACGCGCGAACAAGCAAAGAGCGGATTGGCGAGCCCGGATTTCGAAGCCTGTCGTAGCTGCTCGTAGCCTGCTCTCTGAGTCGAGTAGCCAACGTTCCATCTTCGCGATGACTTGCTCGATCGTGACATTGGTCAGTGCTCGCAGAGGGTTGTATTCTTTCAAGAGCTTTTGGCACATCTGCAAGCCATCCAGGAACCACTCTCGCTCAATGTCCTCCTGGTTCGTGGGAAATGCAATATTGGCCTGCTCGATCGCCAATTGTAAGACCAACAATTGCAATAAAACTGGAGCTGTGTCGTCCGATTTGCGCAGGTGCTCCTTGAAAGATTGCGACGACTGGTTGTGGTATCTCTTGAATACTTGCAGATCCTCTTGCAGTACTTTCAAGTCCTTGGGCACTTTGGCTGCAGGAAGTGGCTTGTTCTGTTCCGTGCAAGACCGCAGAATTTGATTGAGGCGATCGGCATTCTGGTAAAGTAGCCCGATGATCTCTTTCAGGCTTGAGTCTTTACTGCCATCACCGAAGAAGCCGCCTTTTTGCAGCTCAGTGCAATGTTCCAGCGCTTTGTTGCCCATGTCGGATGGATCCATGCTTCGGAGCTTCGCCTCAATGTACTCGCAGTAGTTCTGGGTCAGAGAAGGCGTCAATCGGTCGATAGGGCCGTTGAATCCCTGTGTCCTCTTTTTTAGGCAGAACTCGACCATTGATACAAGTTCCGCGCACAGTTTCTTCATGTCCTCCGCGTCGATCGTTTTACGCTCAGCCCACCGAAACAGTTTCATATGACAAGTTCGGCCCAGTCTCCGAGCTTCTTGCAGCGTCTGTTGGCTCGGGAGAGGCCTCTGCGGCGGCACGCTATGGCTGGCAGGCTGTGGAGCGACAGGCTGCGGGACGGCCTGCTGAGGGATGGCAGGCTGCACCCCGGCACCGGTGAAGGCGCCCAGCCCCTGCTGTGGGCTCGCCGCAGCAGCCGTCTCCACGAGGCCAAGCGAGGGAGCGGGGGCTGGAGGTGCCTGCGGAGGCGCTTGCAGGCTCGCCTGACTGAGGAGAGGCATGGCGTCCTGCGCCACAGGGAGACTCTCCACGACATCCTCCATGGCTTGCTCCTGGACTTCTGGGGCGCGCCCAGCCACCTCATGCGGAGCATCGTCGAGCATAGCCAGCTCCTGCGACGGAGCGACTGTCTGCTCGATGCCCTGCATGCCAGTCTCACCCTCAGAAGCTGGCTCGGCAACGGGCATTTCTGCCACATCTGCCATCACCATGTCTTCTGATGGCGCGTTGGTGAGACTGGAGTGGGCTGAGTGCGCGCCCTCGCCATCGTGCCCGTTCTGCGGCTGGAGACACGCTGCCGTCTCGCTGACACCCTCCATTGGTTGGCTGGGAGGTGCACAGCTTTGACTTGGCACGGTGTTCTCCAAGTCCACGGGCACGATGCTTCCAGCGGCCGCCTTGACCTTGTTGGCTCGCTCGGCTGGCTTCCAGACACCGCGCCACTTGCGATGGAACGCGAGAGGCCGCGGCTTCTTCGAGACACGAGCCTCGGCCTCTCGTGCCTCTGTATACGGCGTTGATGCAGGGCCGGCCTGCTCATCCTCATGGCTGGGCTCGGCGTGGGTAGAAGTAGCAGAGGGAACCGGAGTGGCGGGGTGTACAGAAGCAGCCGCAGGAATGAGCTCAGACTCCACCTCCGCAAACGTGACGTGCTTCTGGCGGCGAGTCTCGGTCGGTGCTGGCGGAGCTGGCTCTGCAGCGGAAGTTGGTGCGAGGAAGGAAGCAGAGGGGGAAGGAGGTTGCTCGGAGGCTCCAATAGCCTTGCTTCCAACGATTTCTTGCTCAGGCTCATCGATTGGCTCAACTTGGGTAGAAGTAGCAGAGTTGACAGGAGCGATTGAAGAAATAGGCTCAGGTTGAGCGGAGACCGAGACATGCTTCTGAGCTGGACGTGGAGACGGCGCTCGCGAGGGTGGTGTTGCAGTCCAATTTGGCTCGTGAGTGGAGGCAGAGGCAGCCCGACGATGCTCAGAGACTCCAATAGCCTTGCTCTTGACAATGATTGGCTGACGCTTGCTGGTTGGCTCAACGTGTGTAGGAGCAGCAGAGTTGATGGGAGCAGTTGTAGAGATGGGCTCAGGCAGGCTGGGAACGGAGGCCTGCTTCTGACTGCGGCGACGGGTCGGTGCTGGCGGAGTTGGCGCTGCATCTGGAATTGGCTCGCGAGTGGAGGTAGAGGCAGGTAGACGTTCCTCGACGACTCTCGTAGGCTTGCTCTTGACGATATTTGGCTGAGGCTTACTGGCTGGCTCACCATGTTTATCACTGTCGGAGTCCGCCTTTGGTGGCTGAGCAGAGGTCGAATAGATCGGCTTATCAGCAACAGACATGTGACATCTGTACACCCATTTGGCATATTCAATGTCGTATTTCCGCTGCTCGAATCGCTCCTGTTCTGCCTGCTTGCGCGCTGCATGTTCTCTGAGGAGGCGGGAGTTGTGGGAGGTAACCCACGCTGGATCTGGGCCCCACATCAAACGATCTTCCCAAGGACACTGCATCAGTGCTTGTGGAGTCGAACGTCTGGTTTGCTTGTTGATAAGTTCCCATCCAAAAGGTGTGCGGATTCTCCAAGGGTGCTGATAGAAGTGGCCTTTAAGCTCTGGACCGTCGCATGCGATTGGCGGTAAAGTCGATTGAACGGATGGAGCATCTGCCATCTCAGACTCAATGGGTGGAGCATCTTCCATTTCAACATCGGGGACGGTGATCTCTTCAGCAGGTTGACAGGGACGCCACGTATTGCCGACGAAGAAGCGGCGAAGCTCAGTGAAGGCGCAGTATAGCTGGTGAACAGTCAGTGTCTTTCGAGGATGTATTCGCAGCCAGCACCAACTTACCAAGATAACGATAACCAGGCCACAGGAGATACAGATCAAAGCCTCGAACCACCATTGAATAGCAGCGCAGACGCTGGCGATGGTATTGGCGAAGGAGATGAATGGGGCGGCGACAGTGCGTGCGACCGCGTGTGCTCCAGCAGCTGCGATGGCCCACAATTTGTGCGCCATATCTGCATTGAAGGTCTGGTTGTACGCAGCGGTGACGAAATCGGTCACCGCGAGAAGAGAGTTGGCGACAGCGTGTGACATCGTGTTTGCGACGGTCAAACATTGGTGTGTCATGTTCGAGTCGAGGATCTTGTGGTAGGCGGCAGCGACGAAATCGGCAGAGATGAGATACCGAGCGACGACTGTGCGTGCCACGGCGCGGAAGGTATCCAAGCAAGCTTCTGTTATGTCTGTGTCGAGGATGTTGTCGTACGCGGTGGTGACAAGATTGGCGAAGATATCAATCGCATCGAGCATCTTGTTGTAACCGGCGGCGACGGAATATGAGAAGGCAAGAAGCGCATCAAGCAGCTTGTTTTGAGCGGCGGCGACAAGTTCGGCGAAGATGGAAAAGGGGGCGACGACAGTGCGTGCCACAGTGTGGGCGATGGCCAGAAGCAGCTGCGCCATTTCCGAGTCGAGAATCCTGCTGCAGTTGTCGGCGGCAAGATTGAATAGAATGAGAAAATGGGTGACGACGGCGACGGCGGCAGTGCGGACGAGGTCCAAGCACTGGTTCGCCATGTCGGCGGCGGTAAAGAAGGTGCTGATAACACAGTCGAAGTTCGCGGTGGTGGTGGGTACTGGATGTACCGAAAGTGTGCTGTGCGAAGTTCGAGTTGTGTTGTCGAAGAAGAGAGAGGGCGGAGGAAGCTGGTGGGTGGAAATGGCTGGGTTGTAGCTAGCGCGAGGTCGCGCGTTTCTTGGCAGCGAAGTGAAGTTCGCTCGACGGCGACAGTATTCACGCGCGAGCGTCACGACGCTTTACTGTCCACAAACACCTCGGGTTCACCAAAGTCACGATTCTGCGCTACTGCGGAACACTGTGCATGCCTCGCGCTGCACCAAATCGATTACATTGCGGCCAGGAGACAGGCGTAAACAGTTGCTTTGTCGAAACACATTCACAGTGGCGGCTTTGTGTTTCTTTTCTGCTGCATGATTGGCCACAATGGCCGCATACATGGGTTGAACGACGGCGAAGATCTTCCAACCTGCCAGTAAGTTCTCTTCTCTCCAATTTGTCGGATCTGAGATTATAATCTTTTGTGCTGTTACGTGTATATGCGATATCGGTGGCGAATATTCGATCATCCAGGATGCTGCAGCTCTTCAAATTTCCCGCATGAAGAGCCAACGTCCAGCTCGAGCACCACAGCAGCTTTGCTGGTGCCATACTTGGAAAATATCATACTGATGAAGCTCCCGTGAGCTATGATTCAAGCTTTGGCTTCGCCCGGTGTCCAGGGCCATCCACAGCCTCTTTGGGACGCAGACAATCAGATCTCACGGAGCCATTGTTCGATGGGTCTGAGGCCTTATTCAGCACTCTTGTGCGCCAAACAGGAAACAACCCAGCCTTGGAATTCCTTCACGATGCGTTCCAGAGCCTTCTGGGGGTGATAGGAGCCCCTCTTCCTCTCCCACGAGCGGAGTGCCCTCCCCGGTCGCCTCGCGACCGCGATGAGCGATCAGGGACCCTCCTGCTTCCAGTCTCATGGCCTCGTCCTTCTAGGATACGTCCCGCTTCATTGCTGACACGCTCCTGTCTTGCGGCCACGTCTGCTCCTGTTTCTCTGTCATAAGAGTTCCTAGCCCTTCCTCTTCCTCGCGCCCCGCGCGTTTCGTCCGCACCTCTTCCACCTCTCGCGCCTAGACCTGCTTGTTCCGACTGTCTATGAACCACTTCTACTTGGCTCTCGGCATCTTGCTCAAGGACTTGCGAGCCTCTCGATCCACCACGATCAGAACGTGTTTCACGATGCCCGGCTTCAGCTCGGCCTCTTGCACGCCCGCTGCCCCTTCTATTACCTTCATTCATAGGAGTCTCAGTATCTCGTGTGCCGCGTGGACGTGTAAGTGGTGGCTCAGGCGCAGTCTGATCGCCTCTCTGCGATACAGGCCTGCCACGTCCTCCACGATCGCCGCGCCGGCCGCGTACGGAACCATCTCCTCGGCCTCCATATGTTTCACGAGGATCTCTACCATCGTCTGAGACAGCATCACGCCCACCTCGTCCAGCAAACCCACCACGCTGGCCTCGCACACCCCGGTCTCCTCGACCTGCTCTTCCACGAGGAGCAGGTGGCGGCTCCAAGGCAAACTCTCTCTCCGGACGCACAGCTCCAAGAGGTCTAGGCAATTTGCTGCCATGGAACCACGAGTTCAACATAGCATTGGCTTCGTCGTCAACTCCAGCAGACGAAACAAATCCTCGCCAATGCGATGTTGCGCCTGGAACAGGATTTGAAGCATTGTCGTAGTACACCCACACAACAGCGTTCGTGTTCGACTCATCTTGTTCTCCATAAAGGTCCACAGTAGCCGTGGTGCTGTTGCGACTATCATCCACGTCTCTAGTAACCACGCCCAGACGAAGGTCGATGGCTGGTAGCGGGAACACATGACCCTGCGCAATGAAGTCGAACACGATTTGGAGCTTTCGTGGAGTCCAGTCATTGAGTGCCCTGGCCTCGTTCCAATGCTGTCGGTAGATTTCCGAATCTAAGCCATGCTCAAGCTCGATGGCAGAAAAGCGCGAAAACAGGAATGCCGCGTACTCAGACGTCGGCTCCATCAAGTTCTCTGGGCTTTTCGTTGGCACTGGCCGCAGAGCCAACATGTCGTCAAATTCGATGAACATCTTCCTAAGCATTTCTTCGGCGTCTCCAGGACTTGGGATGCGCCCGTCAAACATGAGGTTATCTTGCGCCTCCAGACAAGTCTGCAAAGACGTCAACAAAGCTCGAGCGCCGCACAGGTGGTTCTGGTCGTCAGTCGCAGAAGGAATCTTGCCGGCTTCAGTCCACCTGCGAAGATTTGAGATCGCTTCAGCCGGGCCATCCAAGAACCAGCGCTGATTGTGCCGCTCCTGCATCCAGGTGTACACGTCTTTGAGTCCGTTCTGCAACCTCTCAGTCCGCTCTCGTACCTTTCTAATCCCCTCCACGTCAACAGGCGCAGTGCAGACCTCCGCCAGTCGATCCGTGCCAGTCCGATGGTACTCCAGCTGGTCCAGTATGAGTGCCATACTTCTCAGTTCTGCAGGCACAGTTTCGCCACAGGCTTTTTTGTTGATTGCATCGAACTTATCCTCAATGGCTGCCTGGGCGGCCTCCAGCTGAGGGACATTGTTGTATCTGCCAACGAAGCTTCCCTGTTTCAATCCGACCCAGCAAGCAACGCTGGCATACAGCTGTGCCTGCTCGAAAGTGACCTTTGTTTGATCAAGCTCGCTGCTCCGCTCGCCTAAGTCAAGCAAACACTGAAGCACGTAGTCCAGAGCTTGATTAGCGGTACGCTCGAGGTCATTGCACTGTACAACGCTTTGGCCTCCCGGCCTGGCTTGCTCCGATCTCTTGCGTTCGAGACTTAGCAGCAGCAACATGCTCTCGAATTCGCTCCGGATATCGTTCAATCTGCTCAATGGTGATATCAGCACTTCGTGGCTGATCTGGCCGTCCTGCACTACTACCAAGTCCGACGGTGAAGGCCAAACTCGTACGGCAGACCTCGTACCTCCGGTTGAATTTGTGCCGTTGCTCATGTTCGGCTGGCCTGTCTGTGTGGCATGGCCGTTACCCTTGGATCCATGCTTGTCGTATACGGACGTGAGGCGCTCGTAGCTGGTCCTCCACCTTTCGAGATCCTCGACGACACTTTGTAACTCACGCTGCAGAGATCTGAGTTCCAAACCGTCACTAGTCGAGAACTGAGCAGGGAGTGGCAGCGGCAAAGTTCTGTCAGCTTGATGAGTGTCAAAGCTTTCGATGTATTGGCGTTGCCAGAGAGCTCGTTTCGCTGGATAGTCGCTGGGTTGCCCAGTTCGGGCCTCCTTTGCAGGCACAAGTTGTACTGGGGTCGGTGGCTCAGAGCGTTGCCGAAGTGGACCAAAGTTGACATTGGTAGGCGTCCTATCGGGAAGAACTTCTGGATCAACCGGCGAATATGTAGGCCCGGTCTTGATGTTCCTCAGTTCAAGCAGCAGAGCATCTGCGATCTCGAAGACATGATCAATTTGAAGTCTGGTATGCTCGTCGCTGTAGTCAACAATACTGCTGAGCTCGCTGAGATGTCCTCTGATATCAATCTCGATCTGCTCAGCGTTGCGGGTGCGATCTGCGCTTTCGAGGAACACGACTTTATCGAGCTGTCTGGCTGCCTCCCAAATGTAGTTCTTCAAGACAGCGATCTCGTCGTCCTTCGCCACTGCCTGTCCGAAGGCTACTTTTGGCGTGGTAGGAGTTAGACCGGTCATTTTGGAATCCTGTAGCATGTCCCGTGCATTTTGTCCAGCGTACTCATTCAGCGATCTTGTGTAATCTGCTCTCTCGAGATCCGATTTCAGAGCAGCAATTTCGGCATGCACTGTCTTCTCCACATCAGCGACCGCGCGCTGTAACTGTTCGTTTCTGGAGCCCAAGCCAAACAGTTTACCTTGTGCTGCCAGCGGCCACAGTTGAGACTGCAGCTTCCCGTATTCTGCAACAAGCTTTTCCTTGGAATATGCTCGACCCAAAAGGTACACTGAGTCGAGAATTTGCAGCCGACTTTGGGCCAGCTGACGAACTTCTTTCCGGACAAGCTGCACTTGATTGAGGCTCCAGCCATCTGAAACGATTTTGCTTGGTCTCGACTTTCTCTTGCCCTTCGTCCCCTGGTGATCTAAGGTCTGCACACGACCGAGAAGTGCTTTCATCAATCTGTGAGCGTCGTACAAGATCTCATCATCAAGGAAGGCAAGGGTCTTGCGCTCGCGGACGTCCTTCAGTTGCTGGATGCCGACCAGAAGATCTGTTTCCGACGATTCGTATTTCCCTTGGTCGAGGGCGTCCCAGGCAATTCTGACATCCAGATGATGAACGAGCTCGCACTCTTGTTCCACTTGCTGCAATGCGGTGTCACACCGCGCAGGGTCAATCATTTCCTTGTGGTGTGAGTGCCACAAAATGTCGCAGGCTTGGCTCAAATCGCTCACTTTGGTGAGCCATCGCTGAAGCATGGCGATGTTGCCCAGAGGTCGTGATATTGCTGCGGTTTCTTCTCGGATGCTAGTCAAGGAAGACCGCGCTTCGTCGGCAAGTGTACGAGGCGTCGCTGCCACCAGAGATGCGAGAGAGTTGGGCGTATTTGGCAGCTCGGTACCTTCTGTGATTTCCACATCTCGTCTGATGTGCAATGGCTTCTCAAGACTCCTGGACCAATAAGGCTTCCAATTCATGTCGTCCAAGCTGGAACTCTCCGAAGCATCGTGCTGAGAATCAATCGCCTCCAGCCGAGGTTCGATATTGGCTCCTGCTCGCACCTCCTCTTCCTGCAGGTCGTCTCTGAGCACATTCATGAGCCATCTGTCAAGAGGGGCGATCCCTGAAATTGGGGATTCTCTGGCCCTACCAGCATTGAGATCGATGCGGTTCATACGTCGACCAGGCTGCCGCATGATCCTGCCCATGTCCACGCCGGAATACATGCTGTCGACGGGAGAAACGTCTGATGCCGTTCGATGTCCTTCGAAGCTTCGCAGCTGTGGAAGGTCATTTTGGCTTCCGTCTAAGTGCTCTGATACTGCACTACTGGCACCAAGCGACCTTGAAGCAGCATGTACAGCCCATCCGAAGTATGTTGCCCAAACGTCGAGCATATGCAACACCTTGCGGAGCAGCATTCCTGGTGTAGAATCCCACAGTTGCCATAATACCAGGAGGCCCAGCCTCGGGACTAAATCCAGTAGTCCTCCCAGGAAGTAGCAAAACTCCAGCCCTTTCGATACAAGCATATAAACAACCCTCCCTACGCTTCTTCCCCCCTCATCTCCATCACTAATCCCCTCAACCCACCTCTCCCAAACCCACGCGACATACTCATACCCCGCCCATCCCGTCAACAGCACCGGAACCATAATCAGCCAAAACCACACCCACCCCGCAGCTTCGTAGATCAACAAATTGTTAAGTATGCTCACCACTCCATCAAATGTCCGCCATCCTCTCGACTCCTCATCTTCCCTCCCCTCCCTCTCCCACCGTTCCTGCTCCTCATGAAATCTCAAATGTCCATATTCCCATTCCGGTTCCCATGCAGCGTTTCCAAGCCAGCTTGCTGAGATGCGTTTCCGGCGAGGAGTTCGGATCCAGGGAGAGAGTGGAGAGCGGAGGAGAGAAGGTGTTGTTCCGGAAAAGTTGGTTGAAATTTTGTTGATGCGGCATTTTCGTGGGGAGGAACGGAGTCGTAGAGGAGATTTTGGGGTGGATGGAGTTAGGGATTCCATTGCTGGCATTGCTGGCGATTCGGCGAAGAATTCGTATTGATGGCAGGAAGATAGCTGCTCTGTTTGGAGTTAGACGTGCAATTGCCACGAGGAGCGCGATCCCACGGGCATTCTTTGTTCTAATATTCCGAATTTCTGCAATGGGAGACTGAAGTATCTCTGGAGAACAAAGACTGACTTACCACCAAACAAAGGGAAATCGAGGAGCACGCCCGTAAGGGCGGATGGCAGAGAAAGCAGTCTCAATTTTGATTTTCTAATGTGAAGCACTCTCTATTATTACAATTTTGACCCAAGTGAGCTAGCATAACAGCCAGTTTTCTCGATATCTCGCTAGGCCCAAGAACTTCCAAGATATCCACTCAGCATAGCACAGCTGGCTCAGACTGATATCAGAGCGATGTTGCCCCTTCGCGTGTACTCCACCACCACCCACCCAACCTCATCTCACCACACCATTCTCACTTCCCCTCCTTCTCTCCACCACCACCCTGCTGCTCGCGCAGCTTCGCCGCCTTCAGGCGCTCAGCATGAGCCACATGCGGCGGAACGACCGTGCGACGTGGTGCTGGAGTCTCCTCCACCTTACCCTGCTCCATTCCTCCGCCCACGGCACCCTTCTCCGGAACGCCCTTCTTAGCACCCGTGTACTTGAACGTCTCCTTGAAACGGTAGCCGTTTCCCTCGGGAGCGTGCTGCACAGGCTGAACAGCAGCACCACCACGCTCTCTCTCCAAATTCAGCTTCTCGAGGCGCTGGATGTTGGCAAGACGATTCTTTTCCGCTTGCTCTGCGAATTGAGATGCCGCGAGACCCCAAGCTGAGTTCGGATTGGCTGGTTGTGGTGGGCGTGGAGCCTGAGTGAGGTACGAGCCTTGCTGAGGGGAGCGAGGAGCCTGACTCTGCTGGAAAAGAGGAGCAGGAAACCGAACCGGAGGCGCACGCGATGCCTGCGAACGACAGTCGCGGTTGGAGTGACCGCCGTGAAGGACGCATTTTGCGTTGGGGTTGTTCTGGGCGCGGCATTCACCGTTGGTGTGGTTGCCGTGGCGTACGCAGACGGCTTCTGAGTCCCATTCGATTTTGTACTTGGTGTTCGAGTTGAAGGAGGAGTTTCCGAAAGCCATTTTGGAGGTTGATTGAATGAGTCGGATAGAGAAGTTTTGTTGGAGATGTCTTGTATTTGGTTTGTTGAAGGAAGACTTTTCGGTCGATGTCGACAAGTCTTTGATGTAGAGTTTGCTGTTCGAAGAGTACCTTCTTATACCGAAGATGCGAGTCTTTTCTGTTATTCACCAGGTGACTGATAGCCCGCCCAGTGGCGGTGAATGCGATTGCTTGGTATCGGGAGCTGTTGAAAGAGCTTTTGAACAGTGGGTCTCGAAAGAGGTGAATGAAGCGAATGTTGTCCGAATTTGGGTTTTCGTGGCCTGTGAAAGTCAGGAATTTGAAGCAGCATGTTGGAGGGCTGGCTGTAGTATATATTCTCGCAATCTCGCAAAAGACCTCAGGACAATATGAAATTTGAGACCTCAAAATGGAAAATTTGATGGAAGCTTCATGTCCTGAAAAAGATTGCCAGACAATGGGCCAATACCTATCTCAAGCCGTCAGCATAATGAGGCCACTTTTGTAGTCTTTCCGGGTAGCCGAAGTGGGCTGCTTTTCCATCCGAAGCCCATACCATTCACTATGACGAGTTTTCAGCTGACAAACGATTCACCAAAGAGCGATCAGAGACCCACAATGAAGCACAAGAAAACGCCACGAAGGCGGTCAAAGATGATCAAGTCGTAAATTGCATGCGCGTATTTGGGTATCTCTGTAATCATACGTACGCACGCTGAAAAAGCCTGTGATAGTCACTGGCTGCGTGACACTCATCATCAAAATCATGCCTATGTATCGCTTTGGATGCTATCCTGCACTTCCACCTTCTCCAACATGAGCTTCCTTGCTCAGGAATATCTCCGCCATTGCCCAGGTTCTGGTCCCGCAGTGTTTGATCGCCCTTGTACAGGATTTGATGGCGGCTGAGGCCGGCTGAAACTTTGATTGTTGACAGCTGGCGCATATGGCTCGGCTGTGTATGAGCGGTACTGCACAGGGTTCGTCGGCGGTTGAGGCCTACTGAGTGTCTCGTTGCTCGGTGGCGGTCCATAGTCGTTAAGGATGTCATTTACAGATTGTCGAAGTGGCTCGGCGCTCTGTGGTTCAATCGGTGCCGTCGCACTTCGTTGAGGCACTCGACGTGCATCACCAAAATAGTCGCTCATCTGGCCAGCTACTGTGATATTGCGGCGCGGGCCATCCTGCATTGCCGGAGCTGTTGGCGCAGGTGTAGAGCCGCTCTGCGCTGCAGGGTTGAAAGCCACGTAGCCGCCGGTCGCGGGCGCAGGTGTTCTCGAGACTGGTACAGAGTGCGATGGCTGTGTGGTCATCTCGTAACTATGCTGTTGTCGTTCTGGAGGAGCCATCTGGGACGGCACTTGCGCTGTGGCTGGTGAGTACGGCCTACTAAAGCTTGTGTTCGAAGGCTGACGGGCTACCGGACGGCTGAATGACTGTTGCTTCTGTATGCTGTTCCAGTAAGCTTCATCGACTTTTGGGCCAGTATGAAAACCACCTCCTGTGTTCGATCTTGAAGGTGGCGCCGTTGGTCTGTTGTAGCTGTCCTGGCTGGCGAAGCTTGTGGCAGACTGCGGTTCCGGTTGGTAGGTCTGTGGTGTCATGGTCCTCATTGGGGTGGGTCCTCGAGGCTGTGGAGCTGCTCGTGGGAAACCTGAACCCATTGTTGGAGGGTAAGGTCGTGCTGATGGTGGCGCCTGCGGCATGTGTCCAGACGCAAAGGAGTGCGCAGACAATTGCGAGCCATGCGATCCTGATCTATCGTGCCAAGGCTGTTGCAGTGATCCATACGACGGCTGTCGCGTTACAGCTCCAGGTGGCAGAGGCGGCAAAGTTGGCAAGGATGGCTCGCTCTGGCCTGGCATGCTCGCGTTGTGAAGTAGAGGTGCTTCAGTGGTATAGCTTGGTGCATTGGACCACGCGGATGCGCCTGTATTTGTCCTGTTCATTGGCGGACGCTCTTCTCCCAAATCTGGCAATGTGGGCTGGCGTTGCATTCGGTCTTTAGTCGAATATGGCGGCAGCGTCGCAACAGACGCATCAGTGCCCTGTCTTTGGAGTGTGAATTCTGACTGCTTGTCGTCGTTATTGATATCGGGCGATCCAAGATTTGGCAGCGTAGGTTGCTCCTTGATGCCAATTTTTGCAACTGGAGGTGGCATCTCGCCAGTCTTTTGTCTTCTGAGCTCTGCCTTTTCTTCTTCTTTCCGCTTCTTTCGTTCTTCGTCTTCGATTGCCTTTTGCACCTTGGACGACACGATTCTCTCCAGTCTCTTGTCGGCCTTGCGTCTGCAATAGACGCTCAGCCTACCGTCCCGTTGCGGAATATAGTGCCATAGGAAGCAGATGTAAAGAATCGCAGAAGCGATCAAGGAAAGCGCGCTGAACACCCAGATGACCATGGTGAACAACATGGCAAAGTAGATGAGGGCTTGGCGTTGGTCCTTGTTCCATAATGCGCCAATGTTGATGAAGAACTGCTCGAAGCTGTTATGGTCGGCGTCGGCGGCTGGCACTAAGTCGGCCTGCAGCACAGCGTACAGGGTCATAGCATTGACGCCTACACGAGGGCCCTCGGCGAGAATGACTCGAATGGCGGTATGAAATGAGAAGTAGACGAAGAGGGCGACATAATCGGCGCCCTTCCGACTCTTGGTTAAGGCCTCGAAAACCAAAAAGCGCTTGAAACCCTGTGGCCGCATACTTTGTATGTTCACTGCCAGCGAATCCAAGAAGCTCTCTGCCACACCTCCTCGTTTGATAATGCGAAGGGCTCTGATCCATTCGTAGAAGCATAGCGCCCAGGACAATAAGATGCAGATGGCGAAGATCCATTTGCTGTACTTGAAGTCCAGTGCAGGTTTGACTTCACTGCTCCATCGATCAAAAGCCAGGAGATTGACAGCGGTGAAAGTGTCAACAGCGTAGACTGCAATGCCGACAAGCGCCATAAACCAGAGCCATACATATGCCAGGTAAGTCCAGAAGGAGGTGCATCGGAAGTCGCTGAGGTTGAGGTAGTCCCATTTTTGCGACTGTTCTGACGGGCCCTTCTCCCGATCGCTGAAGCAGCCCATGGATATCGTCGTTTGTAGGAAGTTGGGGAAATACGAGATCTTGGTGCTCGGACGGGTGGGGCTCGTGTATCAAACACGCCTGTCTGTGCGCAACTGAACCTATGTTGCGGATGAATGAATGTGTGGTGTTCTGTATGCGCTCGCCTGACCAGCAGGCGACGGCAGGTGCGAAAGGCTTCTGCCGGAAGGAGTGTGGTGTAAGGAATGTGTGGGTTCGGCGTTCTAGACGTCCGCGAGAGTGCTGGGAGGAATGTGGTGTCGCATGCCGGTGCGGCTCTGGAAGTGTCGTTCTTCCGTTGTCTTTCCCTCTTTCCCGCGCGACAAAGGCGTCAAAGGAGCGTGGCGGCGTGTAAAGGAGTCGACCTAGACACCGGAGACAAAGAGAAGGAACAAGCAGGAAAAGGTCGAGTGATGGCGGCGCGGTGAGGGTCGGTCGTCGTGGGTCGCAAGGGCGCGCGCTCCCCTTTGAATGAGCGAGTGGAGGGATCAATGGATGAATGAATGGCCGAGTGGGTTCGCTATTGTCGCTGCTGCTGGAGTCGCTGGCTGCATGGGCCGCCAATGGCCTGTCTGTTGCTGTGCGCGGCCGTTGCGCTCGCGGCTGCTCTTCGTCGACGATGCTGCACCTGCGCCGTCGGACCTCTGCGCGCACCTCAAACAGCCGCCCGTGCAACCCTCAGACCATGGGCGGCGGGAGAAGGGGAGGTGAGCCAAGCTGTTTCAGCATAGCGCGCTCTCAAGGTTTGGGACCTGCGTCCAATCACCCGCCGCCGCCCGCTGATCCACCAAAGTCATGTTTGAGCATCTCCTGCCCGAGTGCTGGCTTACACCTATAGCATGGCCAAGCTTCCAAACGAATGAGCTGGTCCCTGCCCGTTGCGGATCACGCCGCTCCACACTGGTGAGCCGCCTCCCAGGATAATTTCTCGATACAATTTCGCATGCTGTCATACCAATCACATCCACCCTCAGGCACACATGATGACCGAAACTGGCCCCGTTCTGTCAACGCCCGCAGAACACATTCTCGAAGAACCAACTCCTCTTGTTGTGCAGTCCAGTGAAGAACGACTGTCGGAAGAACAACTCTACGTGCAATATGAAATCAAGCGAACGATCGACGAAATTAGGGCTGGACAATGGAGGCGCATTGCTTTGCAGTTTCCCGATGACATGCTCGTCGATGCACCGAGAGTATATGAACGATTGCGAGATGGTTTGAAGCAGGCCAGATCAGATCCGCAGCCAAGTGTCGAAGTCGTGTCCGAGAAACTGGAAGGTGCCAGCCTGGACGAGCAGGTGCAAACAACTCCCGCACAAGATGTTGAAGAAAAACTCTGCATTCTCGGTGACACATCGTACGGTGCTTGTTGCGTCGACGAAGTTGCTGCCGAGCACATGGACGCTGAAGTCGTCGTGCACTACGGACGATCATGTCTGTCGCCAACGGCGCGCCTGCCTGTGATTTATGTCTTCACTGCCAAGGCTCTGGATGTCAATGCTGTTGCGGCAAGCTTCAAGCAGACTTACCAAGCGAAGGATGAGAAGGTCTGCCTCATGGCAGACATTCCATATTCACATCATCTCGATCAGTTGCACAGCAGGCTTATCGAGGAAGGGTATACGAATGTGTTCAAGACCGAAGTCCTCCACAACCCTGCGTCACTCATACCGAACAGAACCACACCCAAAGGGATCACGGAAAGTCCAAATGCTCTCAAAGAGTATTCGATCTTTCACATTTCTGAACCACCCACTTCACTTCTACTGATCCTTTCATCACGCATCAGATCGATGCACATCTTCCCCACGGACTCAAATGTCAGCACCTCAACAACCACAATCGAAGCCTCGACATCACAACTCCTCCGACGCCGCTACGCACTCATCACACGTCTTGCAAGCGTACCGATTTTCGGCATCCTCATCAACACATTGAGCGTATCGAACTACCTCGTCGCTCTACAGCACTGCCAGGACCTCATCCGGAAAGCAGGCAAAAAGTCCTACGTCTTCGTCGTTGGCAAGGTGAATGCTGCCAAGGTGGCGAACTTTAGCGAAATTGGGGGCTGGGTGGTAATAGGTTGCTGGGAGAGCTCATTGATCGAAAGCAAAGAGTTCTACAGACCCATCATCACTCCTTTCGAGCTCGAGGTTGCCTTGCAGAGTGATGCTACGAGGCAGTGGGGCGGAGAGTGGATTGGAGATTTCAGCCAGTTGCTGGGCAAGGAGAAGAAGGTTGTAGAAAATGGCGACGCTGCGAACAATGGCCAGGAACCGGATCAAGAAGCAAGCGGTAACTGGGACGATCAGTCTTCGGACGATGAGCCACCTGAGTTCGACCTCCGGACAGGGCAATATGTATCGCACAGTAGACCCCTGGGACGACCACGAGCGCTTGCAAGCGAGACTACATCGAACACCACCGAGGGCCTCGCTGCGCCTCCCAGCTCCGCCCTGGTCCAACGAGCAAAAGGCGATGTTGCAACCATCAACGGACAAGTCTCACCAGCAGCAGAATTCCTCCGCTCTCAACGAACATGGACAGGACTGGGAAGTGATTTCGAAATTGCATATGAGCGTGACGAGGATGGCAAAATCATCGGTGCCGCAATGGAAGAAGGCAGAAGCGGCGTAGCAAAGGGCTACTCAGTGGGCAACGACACTACAAAAGGTTGAGACAAGTGAAGTTCATATATTTCACTACATAAAACTCCACATCTTCATCGAACTCGAAATCCCACACCCTCCCATCTCCTCCTCATATCGCAGTCCTTCTACGAAGTAAGCTGCACCTCACCAGCCATGATCACAGGCTCTTTATCGCTGAAATTTGGAATATCTGCCATGACGTCCTTGGCTTCTGGGCTGCCGCCCGCCTTTTGGAAATCGCTCAATGAGTCCCATTCGAGTGTGGCTTGCACGCAGTAGGGCGAGTCGTTGGAGAACTGGATGACTTTCCAGGATTTCAAGCCGTGTTTACCCCACTTCTCTTGGACGAGCGGCATGTGGGTGGATTTGTAGTAGTCCATGTTGAATTTGGCGCCTTGTGGGTAGACGACGGTGACGGTTGCCGGGGCCATTGTGGTGGTTGTGTTGTGAGCTGTGGAGGAAGAAAGATGTCAGCTTTGAGGAGGGTCGCGAGAGCTGGTGGCGGAGATGTCTTACTGTGTGATTGAATGCCTAGTAGTTGTGTTATAGTGTCTTCGTTATCAGTTCGTCAAAGTAAAAGTTCAAGCAGAAGTTCCCATTAAATACCATTTCCCATCATCCAGCACAGCCCCGCTCCTGATATACTCTGACAGCAAGTGGGGTATGCTTTCAGGGATACTTCCTCTGACCTCGACCACGAACGGCTACGGAGTCCCCTACGGCCGAGCTGAGCTTGTGAGGAGCTGGGCAGCTACTGCTACTGCTGATGAGCGGAAGCTGGATTGAAGCTACTACGACGCGGAGGTCTCGACTCGACGACAGCCGAGCTCCCATTCTGTCATCCTGCAGCCTGGCTGCTCCCTTGGTTTCTGGCGATTTCAGGGTCTGGCGGGAGGGAGCTTGACAGGAGCTAGAGATGTTGAAGCTGGCGTCCGAGAAAGGTGCGAATAGCTCGCTGCCATTGTCGTCATATTCGGGTGTGCCTGTACTGGGATGCCGATGGAGTGAGTGCTTGTTTCGTTTGAAGGTGCTCCATGAGGCCGAATGAGCTACAGCAGCAACATAACGAGATCCTCTGCAGATCCATGAGCAATACTGAAACATATTATGGTGCAAGTGAATGATGTGCACTCGCAAAGGAAACAGGCAGGCGAAGCTCGAACATTCGAAACATGACAGCCGCCGCTGCTTCAACAGCGGGCACTTTCCGCACATCCCACATGCCACTTTGAGAACAAACATCCAGCACAACACGCAAAAAATGGCAGACGACCGACCAGCATCTCCCACGCCCGAAGAGCGCGAAAAGCTCGACAAAGAAGCCATAGCAAAAGAAGATGAAGAACAGAGCAAGCTGCCGTACAAATGGACCCAGACCATTCAAGATCTGGACCTCACGGCGCCCATTCCCGCCAACATGAAAGGCAAAGATCTTGACGTGAAGATCACGAAGACGACAATCAAAGCCGGCATCAAAGGCCAAGAGCCCATCATTGAGGTATACCATCCTTCACACCACACACCCTTGTCCCTCACGTCCTAACACCACAACTCACAGGGCACCCTCCCCCACCCCATCCAAGCCGACGATTCGACCTGGACGCTCGAAACCGTACCCTCCGGCAAAGAACTCAGCATCCACCTCGACAAAGTCAACAAAATGGAATGGTGGGCCCACGTCGTGACCTCCGCACCCAAAATCGACACCTCGAAAATCTCGCCCGATAATTCGAAATTAAGTGATTTGGATGGAGAAACGAGAAGTATGGTGGAGAAAATGATGTATGATCAACGGCAGAAAGAGATGGGGAAGCCGACGAGTGATGAGGAGAAGAAGATGGAGATGTTGAGGAAATTTCAGCAGCAGCATCCGGAGATGGATTTTAGTAATGCGAAGATTTCGTGAGGTTGGGGAATGGGGAGGGTGGAAAAGATGCATACGGGAGGGGATGGGAGAAAGAGTATGGAAGAATGTGGACAGCGGCACGAAGAGAATTTGGGCAGTGAGAGGAGCAATAGGGCATGGGACGTGTGCAATCAGGGTTGGTTGTGCAAGTTACAATTATGCTCAGAATCGAGCGGACATTATAGTCATGCGCGCTGGGATGGACTCTGCGTTCGTCTTTCGCATTCCTTGTCTAGCTGCTAGAAAGACCCTCGGGGAAACAGATCATGTAGATTGTCTACGAGAGCTTGCCAATCAACCCCACTGCATAGAGACGTTTTCAAGAGACACCCGTAGAAAGGTGTGCTCGAGGTCATCCTGATACCCACAAGTGAATTTAGTACTACGAAAAGCATTTGTAGCAATTATTGAGCAACCGGAAATTCGGAAGAGACCCGACCAGTCGATGTTGACAGCATTGTGGAAGCCTGCAATGCTGAATATCTAATCCACCTTGACTCATCGATGTTCTTGTGAGCTCTAGCAAAATTCGTACAGGACGTTACGATAAGGATGACATATGGATAATGTTGGAGTCGTGCCGAACGAGGGCTGTAAAAATTGACGGACTGCAGGGTCTGGTCTTTAGAGAATTATACACTGGAACGAACGCGTAATCCGTGCCCTGTGATAGATGCGTAGGAGAAGATCTTGTATGGAGTCAGCTCGTCAATAGGCGGAGGGAGTCCTTTGGGAGAAGTCAATAGATCAGTAGCACTGCGCGTTACTTGCAGAATCCATAATCGCTGATGACACTCTCAACGCAGGTGTGGTAGGGTCTGCGTCTAGTGATGCACACTCTTCGGAACGCCGAAGACTTCTGCCCTGTTCATACTCTGCCATGGTTGCCCTACTCATGTGAGGAGTTCGTTGCATTGATATGCGATGTCGGCGGGCTACTGGACATGGATAGTCGAAGTTCGGCATGGAAGTGTTGTTAGCATCCTGGTTGCGAGAGCTTGTCGCGTGTCTGCTTTCTCTTTTGAGAGCGGAATCCTCAGGCTCTTCGCAGTTTCGATCGTGACAATGTGAATTTTGACCAAGAGCAGAATCGTGACCGCATTTCATACATGCAGCCATCGCGATAAGGTGAGCTGGGAAACAGATCGATGACTTCAAAATGCGGTGGGGGCGTGCGCTGTAGCTCAACGGAGAGATGGCAACCGCGTTCAATGTCTGGTATGCAGGCCAGATGTGGCGCTGGAGGTGTGGTTGCAGGACCTCCAAAAGGTTGCGTGAAGTCTGGAACTGGAGCGGTGGAATTGGTCCATCACAGTCCTCCGGGCATTCGGCACTGTTCGACGTGCGATCCTTGCTCATCAACGCAATGGATGGCGTGCATCCTGGTCCTTGGAAGAATTGATCATGATGTTGCTGATTCAGCCTGTACAATATTGCTCACAGCGGCGTATGAGAGCGTAGTAGGTGACTGTGGCAAGCTGCAGGTGAAGATGAAGATCCAAAGTGTATCATGGCATACGGGCCAAGTTGACCAACCACCTGGTCGCCAGCAGTCGCGCACGTTCTTAGGGATCGTCTGCTAAGCCGCCAGACAAGGGCGCCGGGGTAGCTCTCTTCTGTACGGTACGCGAGACGAGTGTCAAGAGTCTTGGGTCGTCAACGTCGCACAAAGGCAGCTCGCATGCGCCATTTTGCAGTGTAGGTCAACCTCACACTGCCACGCTGGGCACCTCTCCTCTGAACAGCACAAGACCGCCGGACGTTGTTGCCAACGCTGCAGCAGATTTTCTGCCATTGACTTTTGGGACTGAGCTTGAGCCGGGTCCTCACAACTGCATCATTCATCCGTAGCCGGCGCCACGGACGCCCGTGGGAGATCCACCGCAGCGCAGCACCTCGACGCCAGACCTTTTGTTTGAAGCTCTCTGTCCGCTGCCTGAGACGCACTTTCCAGGCCAGAAGCACACCAGACACCGCTTCTCCAGCAGTTCGCTGCCCCCGTCATCCCAGTCGCCGCGTCGTGTCCTGCTCCAATTGGCCGTGTGCACCACGCCGACCACGCTACATGTCGAGCAGAGCCGCTTCAGCACCACGACACCACTCGGCCAGTCGATATGGCACGACACGTCACCCCCACCGCACTCTGGGCGCCGTGAGACCCGCCATCCTCACCGCCGCGCGACTCTGTCTGGTTCCGCTCGTCAGCGCTGCGCCGGTGCACCTGTTCGGCGGCAACACCATCCACACATACGAGACGGACGACGACCTTCCGCGCGACGCGGACGATCCGAGCTTATGGATATACCTCTCCGTGGCAGTGTTCCTGGTGCTGCTGGGCGGAGTCTTCGCTGGTCTGACGATTGCCTTGATGGGACAGGATGAGACGTATCTTCAAGTCATAGCCACCAGCGGAGATGGCAGCGAGAAGAGACACGCGGCCAAGGTGCTCGCGCTGTTGAACAAGGGCAAGCATTGGGTCTTGGTGACTTTGTTGCTGAGCAATGTTATCACCAACGAGACGCTGCCCATTGTGCTGGATCGCAGCTTGGGCGGAGGCTGGCCGGCTGTTGTGAGCAGTACCGTGTTGATTGGTAAGAATGGTACAATATCTATTGCACCTGCTCGGAGCTGACATCTGCCTAGTGATTTTCGGTGAGGTCGCACCTCAGTCGGTATGCGTGCGCTATGGACTCTCTATCGGAGCATTCATGGCGCCCGCAGTCCTCACCCTCATGTGGATCATGTCGCCAGTTGCATGGCCAACCGCGAAGCTTCTCGATTACTTGTTGGGAGAAGAGCATGGGACAATGTACAAAAAGGCAGGATTGAAGACGTTGGTCACTTTGCACAAGACTCTGGGTGGAGGAGCGGGCGAGCAACTTATGGAGGACGAAGTCACCATCATCAACAGTGTATTGGACCTGAAAGACAAGCCGGTGGGAGATATCATGACGCCCATGCAAGACGTCTTCACAATGAGCGCCGACACCGTGCTGGACGAGGTTATGATGGACACCATTCTGAGCCAGGGCTACTCGCGCATACCGATTTACGCGCCCGACAACGCGAGAAATTTCATCGGAATGCTTCTGGTCAAGATTCTGATTACATACGACCCCGAGGACTGCAAACGAGTACGCGATTTCGCACTGGCGACACTTCCCGAAACTGCACCAACGACATCATGCCTGGACATTATCAACTTTTTCCAGGAAGGCAAGAGCCATATGGTGCTCGTATCTGACTTCCCCGGTCAAGACAAAGGCGCTCTTGGAGTGGTGACATTGGAAGATGTGATCGAGGAACTGATCGGAGAGGAGATCATTGACGAGTCTGACGTCTTCGTGGACGTCCACAAGGCAATTCGTAGAATGGCCCCCGCACCGAAGACGCGCTTCCGAGGCCGCCCATCGGAAGGAGGCAATGTTTTGACTGACACCGATGATGATCACAGAGAGTACAGCGAGAACGAACCTCTCCTCGGCAAGAAAGAGGGCGACAAGTCACGCAATGCAAGTCTTGCAAACGGTCAGACGACGTTCATGATGCGTAGGAAGAGCAGTGCGGCTTCTGACCATGCTCAAGACAAACTTAGACCAGTGCCTGTGCGCAGTCATCCATCGGACTTGAAAGAGCATCTTAAGCATCTGGGCCCAAGCAACGCTGCTAGTCATCCCAAATCGACGAAGTTCACCAGTGTCAAGATCAAGCCTGGCGTCAGCACGATTCCAGAGAACAAACCGATTTTGTCTGGCACTGTTCACGAGGAGCCGAACAAACTCGATCCGAATCATCCACAGGTCGACCATGCCGTAGACGCGTTGACGAGAGCTGGCTCACATCGAGGTGCTTCTGGAGGCGCAGCAGCGGTATACGGCACTATGAATGCGAGTCCACAGCGGCGCTTGAGTTCTCCTGAGTCTTCGCGCATGACAGTACAAGAGGCGAATAAGCTGGCGGAAGCAAATGCCTCTCCGACGCCCGTTGGTCAGCGGAAACAGCGAGCAACTAGTCTGGTCGGCCAGGATGCACAACAGCAAGCTGAGAACGATGAGAGCAACCATGCAGACAACGAACAAAGCCGGCGTGCATCCCAAACCGAGCCAGAGCCACTTATTCTGCCCGACAAGCTCGTTGTCGGCGATCAGAATCATAAGGAAGAGGATGATCAGGTCGCGGAGCTTGGCAAGTCGACAAACGAGGGTACCTGGGGCAAGAAGCGGCTTCAAGCTCGTTCTGGGTCTATCACAGAGTCGACAATCGAGATTGGTGGGATGCGAAAGGTAGTGCTGGAGACGACCTCATCTTCCGACGATGGCTCTGCTTCGAGAAATGGCAGCGTTTCGCCGCGCACTTCGAGAAAGAGCAGTAGCGAGAAGTCCAATGGCAATGATGGTGCCGCTGACAGCAAGGACAATGTTGACGCGGAAGATCACGCTGAGGGCACGACCAACGGCGACAAGAAGAAGCGAAAGAAGCGCGGCAAAAAGAAGAAGGGCTCTTCAGCGGGCGATTGATTGCTAATGAGGAATGCCGGCTCTTCCGATTCTTCCGATTCTACGAATAGCACTGTCAAAGCATTAAACGACAACAGAGAATGTGAACATATACGACGCGCTTCGAGTGCATCTTCAAGAGATGGCGGTGTGCTGTTAACAGAAGAGAGATGGTACGAGCGGGAGCAATTCAAAGTTGGTGGCTGTCTGGCCGATGGTTGTCTGCATAGGAAAGAGGACCACGGCGAGTAGTTCCGCTGTCGCTGCTGATGCATCATCGAAACTGCTCTTGCTGGACTTGTATCGAATATGTGGAGGGTCATTAGCGTGTTCTGTATATTACTTGCAACAGCTTCCAGTGTGGTGGGAAGGCTGAGCTGAGCATAAAAGCATAACGGACGGCTGAGCAAATGAGAATAACTTTTGAGCTGAGGTCGACATTTCTTGTTGGCTGGCCTTGGTGTCTTTGTGGACTGATTATTGCGTTGCGGACAGCGCGGGTGTGCCATCAAGCCATCGTTCCGGCCTTCTTTCCCTTTGCTCGCCTCCTTAAACGGGCACATTCGTTTTCAGGAATTCCGACTGTCGTCGGATATTCTCCTCATAAGCCGGTAGTCCAGGATAAACATCGAAATGTCCTGCAGATGGGAATTCGACCAATGTCGCGTTCATCCTTTTCGCCAATGCAATCGCAGCTGGTGCCGGGGTGACATTATCTACCAATCCCACGGCAAAGAACGTTGGCAGCTGACTGTTCGCAGCCGTCGCATCTGGGCTGAAGAACGGCAATGCCAATACGAATCTTGCTGGGAAGACGTTTCCTGGAGCAGGAGGATTAGGTTGAATGAAAGCATAGCCTTCTAATGCGCCTGCTTGTGTGAGAGCACCGAGTTGGCCTGTACGGTTCGCGAGGGGGATATAGAGGGGTTCCTGACCAAGAGTTGCTCGGCCGGCGTCGTCGAGGCCTGCGACAATTTTGCTAGGAAGGTCCGCGGGAGGGAGAGCAGAAGTCGTCGCAAAACCGTTCACATGTGGAGCTTGAACGATTACGGCCGCCAAATCTGGTCTCCGAGCGCCGAGTTGCAGTACATGTCCGCCTGATAACGAAGTTCCCCAGAGAACAATCCGCTTCCCATCGACACCTGGAAGAGTCTGGAGGTAAGCTATGGCAGCTTCATAGTCGGATTGTTGACTCGGGACATCGATGAGATTACGTGGTTGGCCGGATGATTCGCCCCAGTAGCGGTAGTCGAAGGTTAGAGCATGGTAGCCTGCTTGGGAGAAGCGTTCGGCGTAGGGTTGGAGGCGGGAGGATTGGAGGCCTCCGAGGCCGTGGGCGATTATAACGGCGGGTGCTGGACGGGCGTTGTTGTTTTGGCGAGAGGGTTTGTAGTGGTAGCCTACGATTTGGGTGTTGGCGGAGGGGAAGGTTACGCGTTGTTGTGCCAGAGCGCTGAGCGCTAGGGTGGCTGTTGTGAGGAGTTGGAAGAGTTGCATTTTGAAAGGATAGGCTTGATCTTGCTGCCACTTTGTTGACCGTTTGTGACCATCGGCATACTTATATTTTACTCAACGAGCTACGCCAATAAGCAATGGTATGCGGTGCTGGCTATGGTCACATTCACTAGTTTGGACAGATGCATCCACCGAGGCATTTCTTGGTGCTTGATTGCTATGATTGGAGAGGAGGTGAAGTTGACGAGCGATCGTCGCTACTTGTTACTGGTTTTCCTGCCATTGACATTGAGCGAAAGCGATTAGCGTTGACTTCTTCACAATAGCTTGACGGGAATGGCCGAGCGGTGCTGCGTCCCATGGCGTGACGACTGCAAGATGCGCATCTTCACGTCTGTATTCAGCAACTGTTGCGCTCGTACGTATCTTCACCTCAAGTCGACTTTGTGCCAGTTTATTATGCGTGCACACATGCAAGTGATGTCTCCGTTGTGGCTGTGTCTGGAGTTATGTAAGTCTTATCTCCACACCTCTCAAGCGGAAACAGCTGGTCCGTGTGTTTTACGACGTCATCCTCGCGATATCTGTGGGCTTACAACGCTTGCCACAGGCTTACATGTGCATGAACACGCGCGTCGAGGATGACATTTCACACGAACGTGTGTCAGGCCAGGCACCCTCATCACTCCTAATTTAAATTCCAGCTTCCCATGTCATCCGCATAATATCAGGGGCAGCATGCCAGCGGACACCACTTATCACGATGATGATTTCGAGTTAGCCCCTTACGAGGACGAAAGTGTGAGCGGGACCATCTACACCGACGATCCGGACCTTCCGCTGCCTTTGCCAGAACACGATACGAGAGCTTCCACAGAACACTTTGGTCGTGAGCCAAGGTGGTTACAGAATACTCCTCACTGGACGAGAAATTTCTTTCGACGAGCGACCAGCAGGATGGATACTCTCAGGCCCAGATGGCTGGAAGCCCGGTCATCATCTTCATTTTGGGATTGGGTCGGGGATCTGCTCCGACCTAGATTCACGATTGGATACGTTGTATGCTGTATCGTCCTTCTCTACGTACTATACTGCTACGCATTCTGGACGCCACTTTTTGCTTCAAATTTACCGAAATATACTGGGCCGTACTCTGTGGGTGCCATTGATGTCGAAGTTCCAGTCCGCGAACCTCGGAAAATCAACGATACGGTCTTCAAGCACAATGGAGAACCTGCTTTTGCGCTGGATACGGTCCTTTTTACGCTCTATTACCCAACTGCGCATGATTCTATGAGTTCGAGGCCAAGACATAAATGGTTTCCGAAACCGATGAGCTTGATTGCGGAAGGGTATGCGACTGCAGCACATTTCAATAATTTCTTTTCCCGGCCACTCTTCACATTTGCGTTATGGGGGCTTGCGAGCTCAATAGATATTCCGGCCAAGGTGGATGTTCCTTTACTGGACGATGAGGAGGTCTCGCGTATGCCTGTGGTTGTGCTGAGCCATGGCGATGTGAGTTCGAGGACGGATTATACAGCTTATTGCGGCGAGCTGGCAAGCAGAGGGATTGTGGTTGCGACCATAGAGCATCGAGATGGCAGCTGTCCTGGATCTATGGTGCATCTACCAAATGGAAAGAAGAAGAAAGTACTGCTCTCCCGAGCTGATCAATTGAAGCCAGAGCTTCTAGGCGTGGGAGTCACCAACGACGACTGGAGATTCCAGAAACTTGCCTTCCGTGATGCTGAAATACAAGAAACCATTTCAGTTCTCCGTGATCTGGAATCTGGAAACGGTCAACAGATTTTTAAGAATAACTACAGAAACGAAGGAAAAGATCTAGAAGACTGGCTTAATCGTCTGGATCTGTCACAGGTCATCCTGGCGGGCCACAGTTTTGGTGCCACAGGAGCGCTTCAAGCTCTACAAACCGCCAATAAAACTTCTGATAGAGAGATCCGATTCGAGAACCCTGCTGTCGGCGGCATCATTTTCGATCCAGGCAAATCTTCAGGAAAGCTGAATACGGACATCGATGTCCCTTTACTCATCGTACACTCCGACTCCTGGTCCAAAACCTTCAGCATCTTCTACGGCCGCCCACATTTCGACACTGTCCGCGATCTCGCACGCGACGTACTCCAACGCTGTGGTGCAACATGGTTCATGACGAGTCTCAAAACTTCGCACCCGAGCGTTACTGACGCTCCTTTGATTGAGCCTTGGCTTCTCTCATGGACTACTGGAGCGACGATCAATGTCAGAGAAGGTCTGAAGCAGTATGTGCGGGTTAGCATGGAGTTTATTGAGTATCTTAAGACCCGGAAACAGACTGGGTTGTTGGATATCGGTGTGACTCATGTTTCGTATGGGAATGATACGAGATCTGAGGAACAGAAGGAGAAGATTGCGAAGAAGGATATGAAGTTCTGGCAGGTTCATGTTGCGCCTGAGGCGGCGAGTTTTGAGCCGGGGAGTGATGAGGCGAAATGATATCGATGATGATGAGTCTTAGCGAGTACGCATGTAGCGATGCTTCCATGTCGCGTCTTTCTGCGTTCTTCCAGTGCATCATTGAATATCAAACACCATAGACTACAGTATCTTTCGACTGACGAGACGGAAGCAGAAGCATTGAGCACGGACCAGCAGTTGTCACGACAACACAAATTTACCGACAAACACCCAGCTCCTCCGGCCGTTTCGTCACCGCACTGACAGCAGAGGGCTCGACTACTGCACGCACCAATCTTCGCGACTCAGCCTTGGAATTGCACCTGGGCTGCTGTTAAGCGACCTGCCATCCTTGACCAGAGACCGCGGCCTTCACGCAACGTCTGCTCATCCGCCATGGCCCGCCGCAGCTCTGCGCGTCTGCGCAACCAGAACACTCCAAAGCGAGTGTCGCTGTCGCACGATGCTCCCACCCGCACCCCTCGCACGCTGCCCGCGAAGCTGTCGTCGGTCGAGGAGAACGATGACATGCCAGGCGCATTTCCGACGACGGACTCACCATCCACCGCGACCGTCTCGTACCCGAGTCTTCCCACGACCAACACACAGCCAACGGAACACCAGACGCCGACGAGGAACACCGGCATCAAGCCCGACGAGCGCGAGATGCACCCACAGCTCCACCACCAGAGCACTGCTAAGATCAGAGAGGAGGCGCGCCATCTGGGCTTCTTGAATATGGCTCCTCATACAGAACCTGCAAAGCAGAAGGGCAGCCTCGCAGTTCTACAGGGCACTCCCACCAAGGTCCGCGACCTCGAGAAGGATGCCAAGACCCCGTCTTATCAGTTCACATTCAGCCGAGACTTCTCGCTCGAGCTCAGCCCGGAAGCAAAGAAGCTCATGTCAGAGAAGCGCGAGGAAGCTGCGCGAATTAGGGAACAAATGGTGGCCGATGGTGAGGCTCCACAAAGCATTGACGAAGTGCTCGCTGCCCGCCGAATGGCAAAGCCAAAGGGTAGATTCTCACAAGCACACATGAAGGAACAAGACAAGATGGACTCGATCGCCAACCATGCTAGCGCTTGGAGAGCAGACCCGAGCCGCTTTAAACCCGCGAGTGAGGTCAAGCCGGCAGGTCCCAGATCGCTCAAGCGCAGCCCTTCAAAGGCGCGACTGGACGAACCTGAGAGCTCTTCGAGACCAGGATCCAGCGAAGGACCAAAGTCTGGCTCGGCTGTTAGAGGAGGCACCTTGCCACGACCTACATCTTCCAGAGATCTAACTCGTACTGCCGGCGAGACATCCCCAGCGAAGCGCGTCAAGATCGTTGAGACTGATGACGTGTCTGTCAGTAGTCCAAAGATTGATCTGGCTGCAGAGTCCATTACCGCTACGCCAAACAAGCAGTCCAAGATTGCAACACTGTCCACGCCGACCCAGGCTTCGATTGCCAGGGCCGCGAGCGTGAAGAGTACCAAGGCCTCCTGCAAGATTCCTGCACCGCAGTTCAAGCCTGCAGCAACGCCTCTGAAGTCTGCTCTTAAGAAGCCGACACAGTTTGTCGAGCCACAGGCCTCTACCCCGTTGCTCGCCCGCTCGCCCTCGAAAGCTTCTCTCTTCACCGCTGCCACGTCTTCTAGTGCCGCAGCACCTGTACAGAAGTCGACATCGATGATGAGCCCATCCTTTGCCCGCACTCCGGCGAAGGCCGGGCTGTCGAAGAAGAATGATGTGGGTGACCAGCAAGAAGCCACCACGAAGGAGAAGCCTGTGCCATTGCTGTCCCGCTCGCCAGCGAAGGCACCTATCACCAAGACGAATGAGGAAGATCCGTTCCAAGTTCGTCCATCTGCTGCCGTCCCCTTGCTCTCTCGCTCGCCAGCGAAGGCACCAATCACCAAGACCAACGAGGAAGACCCGTTCCAGGCTACCGCTTCTTCTGCTGTTCCATTCCTCTCTCGTTCTCCAACGAAGCTGCCTATGGCCACCACAAGCAATGCAGAGGGAGCAGAAGAGCAGAGCACAACGACGAGCGAGCTTCTTGGCCGCTTTAATCTTCTCCGCAAGTCGCCAATGAAATCCATTCTTCGCTCACCTCAGCGTCTTTACTCCGATGACCCTTCCAAGGTTGCGGCGGGTACACATTTGGCCACGCCGCCAGGCAAAAAGGCAGCAGTGCTGAACAAGGATTTGCCTCCGGTGCCGCCTGCTACTGCCCAGACTCGGAAGCACGTCGACTTCTCCTCATCGACCAAGGCTCGCGATGCAAAGACGCAGGATCCTGCATCAAGTTCAGAATCTAAGACTCCGACCCCGTCGCCTAAGAGTGATCGAGTGACGAAGACTACAGCTACTCCAGTTCAAGAGACGCAGCAAGAGCCAGAACAGCAGACTAGTGCTTATCCTAGCTTGCCACTTGCTGCTCCGTCATACGATCGTGTGCCGTCACTATCACCATCGCCTCAGAAGCGTCGGCAGACAGCAGGACCGCAGGATTTCACGTTCCGCGCAGGAGAGCAAGATATTGTCTTCGCTCAATCGCCGAATGCCCCTGCTTCTGCTGCCCGTAGCGCTCGGCCGCCCACGATCCGATATGTCTCGGCGGATGCTGCAGTGCCAGTTGCGTCGCCATTCGGCACCAAGAAGCGCAAGTTCGAATTCGAGAATCGACAGGCTGCTTCTGCGGTAGACGAGATCGTGTCACCTCCAGTCGGAACCAAGAAGCGAAAGTTCGACTTCGAGAACAAGGTCGTCACGTCTAAGCCTGACACGGATGTCGACATGGTATCTGACAAGGAGAACACGCCAGTTGTCGAGGAGAACAGGGAAGAAGAATCCGAGCGTCCGGCTAAGCGCGCGAAGCCCACCGTGCTTTCACCGAAGGCTAAGGTTGTGTCAAAGGCGGTGCCAAAAGCAGCCATGCAAACCACTGCAGCCGCGACTGCACGTCGCACCACGCTGGGTGTGAAGCCGAAAGGTGTGAAGAGTGCAAGCCCGGTGAAGAAGGCACGTCCGAGCTCGACGATCAGTCAGGCGAGGCTCGCTGCTCTGTCGCAGCCGAAGAAGCGGAACTAGGAGTTTGATGGAGAGAAAGTGGTTTCTTCGGCCGCGGATGAAATGGATACTGGTCCATGAAGTTTGGGTGTGCATTGTCAGCACGATGTTGCACAGCGGAGCACATGCTGCCGTGCATCCGTTGGCATAGCATGGACTGTTGTTGGGAAGAAAAGAGAAAGAGTCTTGGTGAACAAAAGCAGACTGCGGTGTCTTTGGTCTTGGTTGTAACAGAATGTCCCTTGTTTCGTACCTTGTTGGCGGTCATCCCAATGGGGGAATACCTGAGTATCTTAGCGCGGCGCTTGGCGAAGAACTCTTTGAACATGGGTTTGGTGTGTCTGTACAGTATAGTTTATGCACAGCATAACATGCACGAATGACAACGGTTGTATACTGCTTTTGTGCTTCTTCATGTGAATAGGATTCTGCGAGAGGAATTGTGCTCGGCTCGGTTACGGCTTTGCGTTGTGCAGCTCGCGAAGGAACGACATGGGTGGATTCGTTCTTGGTATGCAGTGAGCTATGAGCAATGATGGCTCATTTTTGCCAAGAGAAGGGCATGGTTCAGCTGATGAGCTGACTGATTCTTGGTATTCCCGGGAGGGGAGGAGAGGAGGAGAAGGAGTATATAAGAACTTGATCGTGTTTCCTTCAATATTGCTATTTTCCATTCCTCGTGCACTGCAATCACCTCGCATCAAAACGTGTTTCTCCTTCAAATCGTGATATGTAAGTCTGCCAAATCACAGCTACCATTACTCTTTCCCCTTCAATGATCGAGAATCTATTTTGCCGAGCAGAGAAGTTGAAAACCGAGCTGAACAATCTCGTTTTTGCTTCGTTGAAGACTCAATCTTGTCCGACATCGTCTGAACACAGTCCCACCCTTACATTCGCCTTCTCCAGACAAATTTCATGGACTTCCTGCTGACATTTTGAGTTGGAATGGCATTGCGAGTTTAGAATGGGCGGAAGTATTCGATCATGAACGCGCCGATGAGCGCTCCGAGGACGATGGTGTTGAGCAGAGGGGGTTGCACGTTGATGGCGTGGCCGGTAGAGCTGGGGTTCAATTAGCAGAGATTGAGCAAATCTTGAATGAGTGTAATATCTTACGTAGTGCCATTGCTTGTCTCGTCGGAAGACTGTGTTGTTGCATTCTCCTTGACATCCGCCAGCGAAGTCTTCGGAAAGATCAAAGGCTTGAGTTTCTCGCGATTCTTAGTCCTCTGTTCGTAAGCGTAGGCATACCCGATCAGGTCTGCTTCGCTCCAAAGATCGCCCAAAAATGCCAGACCGAAAGGTACTCCAGATGCGGTTCTGACTAGGTTGCCCCGTTCATTCATGACTTTCACCGTGCTGTTGTCGTATGCGCCCATGGGAACCGTGACGATCGGACTCCCAACAATCGCAGGCAGAGCAGCTGAGAACTGAGTCGGAAGCAGTATCGCACTAGCGTTGCTGCGCCTGAGAGCACCTAGTACGCCGCCCTCATCGCCATAGACCAGACTGTCCTGGTATGCTTGCCAGAACTCAGGACTGGTGTTGTTTGCCTTGGATGCAATTATCACATCCCAGATTAGGGTGTCACGGTCAGGATAGTCTTCGGCTGAGTTGGATTGCGTCTGATTTCTCACATCGGATAAGTTCTTGAGTGTAGGAGTGTTTGTTAGCTCGGCGAGATATCCGGACAGGCCGCTAGCAAAATCGCCTTGAAGCACGAGGGAGTTGTTCTGATCATATTGAAAATCCTCGAATGCTGTGAAGTTGGCATCAACGATTGTGGCTCCGGCTGCTTTTATCTGCTCGACAGCATTGTCGAAAGCTGACAGCAGCGAAGGCTCGAGGGACTCAGAGTAGAGAGCTATCACATTGTATGGAACGCCGATTCGAACTCCGCTCAGAGAATCTTCTCTACAAGCTGCAACGTAGTCTGGAATGGCGCCATCGTTTGGGATTGCGGATGTGTAGTTGTCCCTGGGATCTATCCCTGCGATGGACTGAAGAACAGTTGCCGCATCCTTGACTGTTCTTGCGATAGGGCCTATAGTATCTTGGCGCTCGGAGATCGGAACGACCAGGTATCGACTAGTGAGACCAACAGTAGGCTTAATGGCAACCACATTGTTCACTTCCGCAGGAAAGACCAGGGAACCCAGAGTTTCAGTTCCGAGGGCGGCAAAGGCGAGGCCAAGAGAGGTCGCTACAGCACTTCCGCTAGAACTGCCGTTGGGCTCCTGGTCCTCGACGTATGCGCCTTTACACTGGCCACCGTAAGCTGACCACCCAGAAGTAGTATTTGCAGACCGGAATTGCATCCACTGGCTAAGGTTGGCTTTGCCGAGCAGTATTGCACCTGCCTCCCTGAGTTTCGCAGCTACTGTGGAATCGCGAGGCACTTTGGTGCCGAGCAGGACGTAAGAGCCAGCAGTATTATTCATCGAGTCGTAAGTCGCGATATTGTCTTTCAGTAGTATTGGAATGCCATGAAGGGGCCCAAGTATGGTCCCATTGAGGCGTTGAGCATCCCTCTCGGCAGCTATTTGCAGAGCGTCGGGATTGATTTCGTTGACAATGTGCAGTGCATCCTGCACTTCTTGAATCCGTGCTAAATATGCCTGGACCAGATCCACGCTGGTGAAAAGTGAGGTACTTAGACCGGCATTAATGGCATCGAGGTCGGCATCTAGAAGATCCGGGAAGTTGTCTATGTTAGTGACGCCGTCAGTGATGGACTTCGTCCAGTCGATATCTGCAAATGCAGTTGCGCATAGCAAGGCTGATGCGAGAAACAGATTCCTCATGATGACACGCAGTTCTGCTCAAGAAATATCGGTAGATGCGATGAACATTCGCGAGACGATTCCATGTCAGAGATTAACACAGTATCTGGAGTGGACTGCCAATGTTCAAGCGACTTCCTTCATATTGTACTGTACCGTGGAGGTGGGTGCCGGTTCTTTGTCATGTATGATCTTGCCTTTTTTGCATCTGCCACGTTTGACGGCTGGCATCTCTGGGAAAGCCGATCTCGTACAATTTCTAAGGTGGTTTTCATGCTTTTTGCTAGCATGTATTCACATTCAGGTGAATGTCTTGTGAGGTTGCAGGTGAAATTGATGGGCAGGAGTGAGCTGCGGTGATTGTAGGTCAGGTCAGGGGGTGCCGACGAGCCGAGCCGAGCTCGAGTCTATCCTATTTTGGTATCAACAACACCATGACAGCTTGCATTATTTTCGGCGATTGATCAATTCAACTTTCCTTTCACCTTCTTTTTGCACATAGAGCCTTCGTGACCCCGAATTAGGGCTTGGAGCGTGATGGCAAAGTCCAATGGAAGTGTGCGCCAGAGAAAGGCGAATGGCAAAGTATCAGACATTCCCGGCGCGACGATAGCTGGCAAGAACGATGTTGCGATCCAAAGGCAGCATACAGAAAGCAGCCCGAGCATGCTCCAGCTTCTTGTATGCGTTGGAGGTATCTATGCCTCTTTGTAAGTCGTTTGATTCCCCAAGTCTTCGGGATGGCCGCTGACGAATTCGATAGCTTGACATGGGGCGTCCTCCAAGAACGAATCACGACGACAAATTATGGCACCGACTCAAAACGAGAAGTTTTCAAGTACCCAGTGGTCATGAACACAGTACAGTCTACCTTCGCTGCCATCTTTGGTTACCTCTTCGTTCTGGCCACCCGAAAATCGCCAACTGATCTGCCGATCATTCCAAACACACGCATCCTCTGGCCGCTGACTCTGGTGGCCTTCACATCGGCCCTGGCCTCACCATTCGGATACGCCAGTCTTCAATACGTGGACTACATCACCTTTCTTTTGGCAAAGTCCTGCAAATTGCTTCCTGTCATGTTCCTTCATGTCACGCTGTACCGGAAGAAGTATCCGTTCCAGAAGTACGCTGTGGTTGCGCTTATCACAGCTGGTGTTGCCATCTTCACGCTCCAACAACCAGCTGGAAAGAAGCACAAGGGTGCCGAAAGCAGCAGCGTCTACGGTCTTGTCTTGCTGGGGATCAATCTTCTGTTCGACGGCTTGACGAACTCCACCCAGGACGATATTTACGCCAGCTTCCGCCCATACACCGGCCAGCAGATGATGTGCGCGCTGAATGTCATGTCAACGATATTGACTTCAGTCTACTTGCTCCTACTTCCGTATCTAGCCCAGAGTGGCATTGGTGCCGTGGTCGGCCTAGACCTTGGTAAAGGGGCTGGCGAGCTTCATGCGGCGTTGGCATTCATTCAGAGGCACCCGGCCGTGGGTTGGGACATCTTGGGCTTTGCTGCAAGTGGTGCACTCGGGCAGGTCTTCATTTGTAAGTCACAAGATAATGATGTCCCAACATCCTCGCTAATCGTGCGTAGTCATGACCCTGTCTCTCTTTGGCAGTCTGCTCTTGGTTGGAATCACGGTCACCCGAAAAATGCTGACCATGATCATCTCTGTGGTGTGGTTCGGCCACAGCTTGAATAACATGCAGTACCTCGGTATTGGCTTAGTCTTTGGAGCGATCGGCATGGAAGGCTACTTGAGTAAAGTCGAGAAGGAGAGGAAAATGCGAGAGAAGAAGGCAGCATAAAGTGAGCATGGAAACCTAGACTAAGATCGCCAGAGCCGGAGGCGTCAACCTCGAAAAACACAAGAAGAGATCCCAAATCATGGCACGCCTCGCTCGCGTGAGCATCTCCGATGGAAGGCGCAGTGCCTCATTATGGTGGTCTGATCATTCACAAGCGCAGAGAGTCGATGCTGACGTTTAAGATTGGACATCCACCATTCGTCGACTTCAGCCAGTGGCTTGCCAAGGGTCTACACCATAGGCTGCTATCAAGCCCTCTCGCGCAATACCATGCACCGCATAGCTGAGGACGCGGGCAGTGCTTATAGTGCTAATCGTCGGAGCAAGCGTGCGGACGGCACCTACCATCGATAAGTAGTCCTTGCAGTCTCAGGCCGGTCATTCACACATCCATACCAATTCTACGAAGGCCCATCGGTGCTCAAAAACTCGATCAGCCTCTCTCTCACTACGATTCTACGCGAGCCGCCTCCAGACATCACGCCACCATGCTCACCATCGCAGCCNGCGGAGCCGCAGCTCATGCAGTGAAGAAACACCATAAGGGACGCAAAGCTGCACAGCAGGTGCAAGCACACAATGCCATTGTCAATGAGGCCAACAGTGTCATTGCCCAGCATCAAGCCCAGCATGAAGCTGAGCAGCAGGGTGAGTGTAGTCGCTCGCACGTATCAAAATCTGTCCGAAACTCACGCTGACATTTCGTCACAGCGCTCGTAGATAAAGCCAACGGAATTATCGCTCAGCAGCAGGCTGCATTGCAGGCCGCGGAAGAGAAGAATAGGCTGCAACAGCAACAACAGCAACAAGCATATTCGCAATACCCGCCACACCAGCAAGCTTATGCTGCTTCTGCTTACGGCCAGCCACCACCACCGACAGCACAACATCTCCCACCGCCGCCTCAGCCATACCAATACTCTTCAACTCCAGGAACGCCATATTCCGCACCAGCAACACCTTACTCTGCTGGGCCTCCCACTCCTTCTCCATACTCTGGCGCCATGACACCATATCAGCAGCAGCCGGCTGCACCGTACCACCACATTGGATGGTGCAGCCAGCAGTGTGGGAACACATGCAATGGCAATGCAAATTCCACATATCCCCAGCAAACGCAGTCGGCGCCTTATCAGTCCTATGGTGCATCGCAGCCACCGCCTTATGGTGGCTATCAGCAGGGCTATCGTTGAGAAAGCTCGTAGTGCATAGCGGCGGCGTTGTCTGCAATCTTTTCCTACAAGGTGGTAGATGTTATATTGTTTTCTGAAATTTTTGATATTTTCAGCCTTTTCATGGAACTTGTTGGAAGCTTTCCCGATGAGTGGTGTTCGCAGGTACCCACGCTACGGCTCCATGCACTGCATGGATGTGTAGCCGCCAGCGCCAAGCTATAATTCTAGCTCCCTTGTCAGCTGGAGAGGTCAACATTTAGGCGTCCACTCGCACAAATTCAGAAGTGACGCTTCGATGCAAACAATGCAACACACGCTTCTGAAATTTACGGAATTCATATGCCAATTCACTGTTCTGTTCGACATCCCCAGCATCTGAAGACTGACCAGAACAGAAATTCAAATTAGCGCCAGTTCGGCGTGACGAGCCGAAGTGATTCGCGCGACAAGGGTCTCACCTGCCTGCCGAATTCTATAATCCTAGCGCTTCGTTTGCTCTCCGAATATTCGACATCACTCTGCACCATTGCCGCAATCGGTTGAAGCGCAGCCTCGAGCTGGGTCTCGAGCTCGTCGGCATGTCGACAACTTACGCGGATAAATTAGAAGCTTTTCGAAAGAGCGATGCCGAACGCGACGCCCTCGTGGCTCAGGTAAGGACGAGCTCGTATTGCTCCACAACCTGCCAAAAGCTTCTCACACGCGACCTTGACAGATTCTCGAGGACTATGAACAACTCAAGCTGAAGGTCGGGGAGATCTCCGACGACTATAAGAATGAAGTTGCTTCACGACGAATGTGGCAGAACAAAGCAGCTAGTTGCGAACGTGACCTCGAACAGGCACTCTCGCAGCAGAAGCAAGTAGCTGTTAGTGTTCGGCATCTTCGCGAAGGTGTCAAGTTACATGCTGACTCGTTGACAGTCCACTAGCAACTTCGCTGTAGTTTTAATCGATGGCGATGGCGCCATCTTCTCGGACTATTTGTAAGGCTGACAGCACAAAATGGACTCGATCTGAGAGACTATCTGGAGAACGAGCGCTTTCTGACTGCTTTTCTCAGGTACGGAATGGGCAAAGACGGTGGCGCCGAAGCAGCTCACCAGCTGCACAAAGAGGTGCAGAGACATCTTAAAGCTATCTATCCAGATTCTAATGTTGACGACTGGAACATGCAAGTTTGGGCGACATCACCGCCGACACGAGAAGTGATCGCTAACCAATCAGCAGTGTCGTTCAAGTCGTACTCAACCTGTCAGGGCTTGCTGCAAAGCTCCAGAGCTGCGGTATCATCATGAGCCCCAACGAGCTTCTGGCATTCGGGCGATCGTTTGGTCTTGCCCAGCCACTCTTTAGCTTCGTCGATGTAGGAGGTGGCAAGGAGAGAGCTGATCACAAACTGCGCGAGCATCTCAGACTGTAAGTGAATCTTCAATCGGAGTAGTGCCAAAGAGCCGGGCAAGAGGTGATCCAGCAAAGAGATTGAGTCTCACTAACACTTTGACACTGCAGTTACTTGCGCATTGGCCAATGCAAACACATCTTCTTCGCTCCTTGTCACGATAATGGCTACTTGCCAGTACTCGAATCTTATCGCAGAGAACATGCAAGTCGCATGACTTTGATCGAGACCCGTCCCGCTGAGCCTGGCTATGTGGAACTTGGTCTGCGGCGCATTCAGATGCCCACCCTCTTTCGATCCGACAACTTGCCTGGTGGTCCGGTCAAGAGTATGCCCACTGTGGCATTGGAGGCACCCACCAACTTCGCTGGGATGTCGAACGCTGTGCTGTCCCCGCAGCCCAAGAAGCTTCCGAATAGGACAGGTCTTTCAACGCAGGCGCAGAACGCTGCCATTATGCCGAAGGCCCCATAGCCTGCTCCTTCCAATGAGTCCGATGGCTCCAGCTGGGCCACGATAGGCAAGAACGGAGGTCCGACCAAGACTATCAACATTGCTCCACAGAAGAAGCCAAACCGCAGGTCCATTCTGGTCAGTAATCACGACGCAAATTTCAATGCCACACTCTTGGAGAATTCCGCTAACTGCTCTACTCATCAGGTTAATCGCTACAACGAACGCATCGACGAAGACCTGCCCAGAACCGACCCAGCAGCTGAGAACAGATTCCAAAAGCGCACTGAGACATATGGCAAACACTGCAACAGCTATCATCTGCTTGGACGATGTGAACGAGGCGAATACTGCGACTATCACCACGGCGAAAAGCTCACCGCTGGCGAACGTCTCGTGCTAATGCACAAGGCAAGATCGCTCTCGTGTCCTAAGAAGATCGCATGCGTCGATCCGATCTGTCCATACGGCCATCACTGCAAATACGGTGGAGGCCACTGCTACTTCGATCGCTGCTACTACGCCGATACTCACACGATGGACCTTGAGCCGGCGAAGAAGATCTACGAAGACGGCAGCGAGGAATGGCTGCCAAATTGTCTCGAGAAGTCTCGCTGAAAACTCCAGGAGAGCATCAAAAATTCTACAAGTATCTTATAGTTCAATATATTTACAAAGACCTGCTCAGCAACTTCACTGAGCTGTGTGTCTCCCCTATTTCTCATTCTTATCCCCAAGTATGCGTACAAGCATTGCTCGCCAGGCGGTGCCAGCTTTAGCATCAGCGTCCACTTTCACGAGCTTATGCAGTATTTGCCCTCCTTCCAGCATATGACAGTTCTGAACATCCAGCTTGAAATTCCCCCTGCCCTTGATTCGAACATATGCCATGTGATCCCGCAAGAACATGCGCCTGACCTCTCTTGTAATCCCAGGCCATATATTGATCAAACTCCTGTTGAACCTTGAAAGCGCCGAACCTTGTTTCATCTCTAGCTTACCCATGAAGTAAGCCGCAGTAAACCACTCCGCATCTTTGATCGGATGCGAGATAAATCCAACATTACCCGAAGCAGAGGGTAAATTCCGATCTAAAGCAAAGTCCTGCAGTGGAACTTCGAGCACTTTTGCTTTTGCCAAGGGCATGATTCTCTTCACGGAAACTCTTAGATCCCAGGGAATTCTGCCTGGGACGTGATGCGCCGCTGGTTGTCGAATCGCAGTGATCGATTTGATCATTTTCATTGGCGCAAGGAGGATAAATGTGCCGAAGGCTGCTACTAGAATCACTGTGATTCCGCCTATTCCTTTTATGATGTATGGGACTTTTGGTCGTTCGGAGTTTGCGGGTGGGTCTTTGAGGACCATTTCTGCGTAGCTGTAGCAGCCGGCGCAGAGGAGGGCTCCGATGGCGAGGGAGCTGAGGAAGAAGGCTGTATGGTTGGGTGCCGCGTAGAGGAGGACATGGTCTTGCTTTCGGAATCGAGTTGACATCCAATCTTCGGGTGGAGGTGCAAGATTTTTTGGTAGTGGTGTTAATTTTGGAGGCATGGGCTGAGGAGGAAGATCGCTTGCTGATATCAGGGGAGCGGGAGCCGGTTGAGGTTTGGGAAGATTTCGAGCTTGAGGTGTGGGTGTTTGAGGGAGAGCGTTCTTGTACATTGCTTTGTTTTTGCCGCCTTGCTTGCTTAATCGGGCTGCGATGCTGAAATGTCTTAAAGGGATGCTGATGGTGATGCCATGGTGGATGTTTGAGCATGTACTGCTTGGCAATGGCGTGCAGAGGATTTGTTGTCGTATGGCAGGCGGAAGCCGCAGTAGAAGCCGCATGCTAGTCGCCATTGCGACTGTGTTTGCTGTGCTCAATGGAAGGCTGCAATAATTGATGAAGTGAGGCTCTCCCGACACGTGCAGACGTGACGCGAGGCAAAGTGAACTGAATGCTTGGAAAATCTCGGACCGAATCGAGAACGACAATGCTTCGGAGGACAAGCTTGCGGATCTCCGTGCATCCCAACAATAGCTCGCTCCCGCTTCTTCACTCACCTCTGCCTCATCCTCTTTGCTGCGCTCCTGTCTGGCACATTCGACTCGGCTTTTGACGTCTGCAGCGAGACGACGTCTTTCGCGGCACCGCAATTGCTGAAAGAGGATCGCCCAGCATGTCCGGCGTGCTGAACACCGCACGGCTGTCCGCACGCATGGCGGGCAGATATGCTTCGCGGCAAGCAACGAGAAGGAGCTTCCATGTCTCTCAGCGCGACGCAGCGGCACAGAACTACTCCATGCCTGCTCTCTCACCGACCATGACCGAGGGCAACATTTCTAAGTGGAACATCAAAGAGGGAGATTCGTTCACAGCTGGAGATGTTATTCTGGAGATTGAAACGGATAAGGCTACGATGGACGTCGAAGCGCAAGACGATGGAGTGCTGTTTAAGATTGTCAAGGCGGAGGGCAGCAAAGGTGTCAAGGTTGGAGAGAGGATAGCAGTGACCGCAGAACCGGACGACGACCTGAAGTCATTGGAAGTGCCAGCTGAAGAAGGCGGGGCGCAACAGAAAGCGGAGAGCAAGCAAGAGAAACCTGCACCGAAACAGGAGTCTAGACCTGCAGAGGCCGCGGAAACGAGCGATGCGCCCGTTGCGACGCAACGCGCAGGGCAAGAGGGCAAGAAGACTGGTGCACCGGCGACGAGAAAGTACCCATTGTATCCTTCAGTGGAGACACTGCTCCAGCAAAACGGTCTGTCAGCGAAGGACGCGGAGAACATCACAGCCACTGGACCCAGCGGCAGGCTGCTGAAGGGAGACGTTCTTGCATACTTGGGTAAGATCAACAAGGACTACCCAGCGGAGGCTTCCAAGCGGCTCGCGAAGCTGGCGCATTTGGATTTGAGCAACATTCAGCTTGCAAAGAAGGCTGAGGTGAAGCCGGATACGAAGCCTGCGGAGAAGGCTGTACCACAATTGCCAAAGGAGACCGAGATTGCGGTTCCTATCTCGCTCTCACAAGTGATCGCGACCCAGAAGAAGATCAGAGATACATTGGACATTCACCTGCCGCTTTCTACATTCATCGCCCGGGCTTCGGAACTTGCCAACGAGGACTTGCCGCTGGACAAGCGACGAAAGCCTACCGCAGATGAGCTTTTCAACTCAATTCTTGGTCTTGATCAAGTGGCAGTCTCGAAGAGGGGCAACTTCTTCCCTCAGATCACTGGTCTTAGCACACCCTCATTGATGAAGACGAAGCCGACGAAGCAGGCGGACATCATCGATATTTTGGCGCCAAAGAAGAAGCCTGCAGCGGTTCCTGCATCCATCCCTGCTGGCATCTCCGCTAAAGACAACATCTTTTCTGTCGTCGCTCAGGATGGGGAGGAAGAGAGGGCGACAGAGTATCTGGAGCGAATGAAGTTGGTGCTCGAGAAGGAGCCTGGCCGACTTGTGTTGTAGTAGCGTCATGATTGCGATCGTCCTAAGAATTGCATAGAGAGCGAGGCGTTCTGGCAGGTCTGAAGAGGGAGCGTGTACGATAGAGAGCTCGCCTTGACAGGATGGGCTACCTCCTACTCTTTCAGCTAGATGTGTATAGCATGATTTCATACTGGGCTGACACCCATTGAGCTCACTATTAGGCGCATTAGCATAGTCCGTTTCCTGATGTTGCACGTCCATATTCTTTTGACTCACGACCTGCGCAAAATGTAGCACATTGCCGATTTTCTGCGCTTGATAGCAGCAGCTGCAATAACTTAGCGTCGGGTGACGAAGCCAGGAGAGTTTCAGTGGAGCTCGATCCCTGTGGTCTTGGCACAGTATAGAGGACAGCTAAAGCACATGCAACGACAACACCACAGCGCTTCTGATGGACAGCAGAGCTGGCACTCTTTAACCCCACCATCGCATCGCACCGCTCCCCATTTCCGCCATGGCAGCGGCCGACAGCACGACCTCCCTGCCAGGCGCCGACTTCTTCCTGAAGGGAGAAAGTGGGCGCAACACGCGAGGCCTGCTGCGATTCCTCATCCTGCTCACCATTGCCGCTGCAGCTGTCGCCGCTCGACTCTTCTCCGTCATCCGATTTGAGAGCATCATTCACGAATGTCAGTTGATCAATTGCGGAGCAGAACATCAATGGGAAAAGAGATGCTAACGCTACCTGATCAGTCGATCCGTGGTTCAACTTCCGCGCAACAAAATATCTCGTCGCCAATGGCTTCTACAACTTCTGGGATTGGTTTGACGACCGTATGAGTGTCCGAGCAATTGATTCGATATGGCAATGACTGATAGTATGAATTACAGGAACATGGCATCCTCTGGGTCGTGTCACCGGTGGCACGCTCTACCCAGGCCTCATGGTCACCTCCGGCGTCATCTACCACATCCTTCGATTCCTCACCCTTCCCGTCGACATTCGAAACATTTGCGTCTTGCTCGCACCCGGCTTCTCCGGCTTGACGGCATTCGCATCCTACCTCTTCACCTCCGAAATGAGCGACAGCCCCTCGGCCGGTCTTCTGGCAGCAATCTTCATGGGCATTGCACCTGGCTATATCAGCAGAAGTGTTGCGGGTTCATACGATAACGAGGCTATTGCCATCTTCCTCCTCGTCTTCACCTTCTACTTGTGGATCAAGGCAGTCAAAGTCGGTAGCATTATGTGGGCTGGACTTTGCGCACTGTTCTACGGATACATGGTCAGCGCTTGGGGTGGATACGTCTTCATCACAAACTTGCTGCCACTGCACGCGTTCGTTCTGATCCTCATGGGACGCTTCAGCCCGCGCTTGTACGTGAGCTACACAACTTGGTATGCTCTGGGCACGTTGGCCAGCATGCAGATTCCTTTCGTTGGATTCTTGCCGGTCAGGAGCAGTGACCACATGGCAGCCCTTGGAATCTTCGGCCTCATCCAGCTGGTTGCATTCGCCTACTACATCCGAGCTCAGCTCCCGTCGAAGCAGTTCCAGACGCTGCTCTGGGCTTCGGTCTTCATCGTGTTCGGTCTGGCATTTGGCGGCCTGGTCCTGCTTACAGTCTCGGGCACCATCGCACCATGGAGCGGACGTTTCTACTCACTTTGGGACACTGGCTACGCAAAGATTCACATTCCCATCATTGCATCGGTGTCTGAGCATCAGCCTACCGCGTGGCCAGCTTTCTTCTTCGATTTGAACATGCTGATCTGGTTGTTTCCAGCTGGTGTCTACATGTGCTTCCGCACGCTCAAGGATGAGCAGGTCTTCGTTGTCATCTACGCGGTCCTGGCCAGCTACTTCGCCGGAGTCATGGTCCGTCTGATGCTCACGTTGACCCCAATTGTCTGTGTGTCAGCAGCCATTGCGCTCAGCCAGATCCTGGACACGTTCCTCATCGCTTCTCAACCTGAAGAGCCAGCTGAGTCAAAGACCAATGGTAGCGCCAAAGGACCTTCGAAGGAGAAGGACACGCTCGCTTCTGTCCTTCCCGAGGCACTCCGCGCCACGAAGGCCCCTCTGGTGGGTATCTACAGCTACCTGTCCAAGTCACTGATCACTGGATTCATCACCACTTATCTTCTCCTCTTTGTGCTCCACTGCACTTGGGTGACATCGAACGCATACTCCTCGCCATCCGTGGTGCTGGCCTCGAGGTTGCCCGATGGAAGCCAGCACATCATCGATGACTACCGTGAGGCTTACTACTGGTTGCGTCAAAACACCAAGCAGGACGCCAAGGTCATGAGTTGGTGGGATTATGGCTACCAGATTGGTGGTATGGCTGACAGGCCGACACTCGTCGACAACAACACTTGGAACAACACACACATTGCCACTGTTGGCAAGGCCATGTCGAGCAGAGAAGAGGTTTCTTATCCTATCATGAAGCAACATGAGGTTGACTACGTCTTGGTCGTCTTCGGTGGTCTTCTCGGATACTCTGGCGATGACATCAACAAGTTCTTGTGGATGGTCAGAATCGCAGAAGGTATGTGAATTTGCGCGAGGAATTCTAGAACAGTCACTGATTATTGCACGCAGGTATCTGGCCGGACGAGGTCAAGGAACGTGATTTCTTCACCGCTCGTGGCGAGTACCGAGTTGATGAGGAGGCTACGCCAACAATGAAGAACTCGCTCATGTACAAGATGAGCTACTACAACTACAACTCCCTGTTCCCAGCAGGACAGGCCACTGACAGAGTACGTGGAGCTCGTTTGCCCGCAACCGGGCCAGAGCTTTCCACGCTCGAGGAAGCATTTACCAGTGAGAACTGGATCATCCGAATTTACAAGGTCAAGGACTATGACAACCTTGGCAGAAGTCACCAGGAAGCAGTTGCCTTTGACAAGGGCAACAAGAGAAAGAAAGCAGGCAAGCGCAAAGGACCGCGCGTCTTGCGGGTTGACTAGACATATCAAAAGCAATCCTGTATCTTGTAGAGTATTCAATAGAAACAGTCAGTCAGTCTGCACACTTCCGCCTTGCCAAGCAACCCGAGGCCCCTGCATGGATTGGACTTTCACCCCACCAAAAGTCGGAGTCGGAGTCGTTCCCCTCCATCGACTCGACATTCGACTTCCACAACACTGACCTTGTGTACACTTCACCACATCTCATCATACCACACAGTCGCCCCTCATGGCCGACACAGCCCCAACCTCAGATCTACTGCCTCCCCGCAAGGTGACTTATTGCGGAGTCTGCTCTCTGCCTCCAGAAGTAGGTACGGCTCCAAGCACAACATCCTCCAGCACTCTCCAATATCAGCACCGACGCGAAATCGCCAACTAACACCACTTCCCGGCAACAGTACTGTGAATACGGCGGCACAACCAAGAAATGCGAAGAATGGCTGCTCAAAAACGCCCCAACCCTCCACTCCCAACTCTACTCCGAAGAAGCCCTCTCCCAAAACCTCAGCACCCTCTCAGTCGATGCCCAAAAGCGCGCCGAAAAAGACGCCCAAAAGAAAGCCGCAAAAGCCGAAGCAGCCGAAGCCCGCGATGCCGAAAAACGCGCCGCATCCAAAATCACCATCAAACGCGTCGAGCGCAACAAGCGGAAATATGTCACTGAGATCTCAGGTCTGGAAGCTTTCGGGCTCGAATTGAAGAAGGTCGCGAAAGAGTTTGGCAAAAAGTTCGCGACGGGGAGTAGTGTGACGAAGACGGCGAGTGGTGGGGAGGAAATTACTGTGCAGGGAGATGTGGCAGATGATGTTGCGGAGTGGTTGGCGGAGAATCATGAGAATATCCCGGAGGATAATGTGGAGATTGTGGAGGATAAGAAGAAGAAGAGTAGTGCGGCCTAGTGGGCTTCAAAGAGGCGTGGACGCAAAGCTTGAGAGAAGGGTTGGGTTCAGATCAGAATGCATAGCGTGGAGGTGAGAAGCGTTCATTGGATTGGAAGGATAGTGCATAGAGACTTTTCAAAAGAAGTAAATACAGCTCACTTGACAGCGCGGGTCAATCAAGAGTCTGGATGAGGCGTCAATTTCGGCGTTCATACATGCAGAAACGATCTCCGGCCACGAGTGGCATTGCCTGCCATCGTGTTCGCACGAAAATGAGGCGGCATGGAAGCACGTCCACACCTGTCTTTTGGCATTGCGTTCTGACCTTGAAAGCAGGCCCTTGCTCTCGTTGTTCGCGCTGTGAAACCAGATCTTGTATGATTCGTTGATCGACCAAACGTTCAAGCCCCCGAACCACCATTCGATTCAGCGTACTGGTTGATGCAGATTGCATAGGCAAAGCGCCACTGGATCAACTGGACCAACTGGACGAGTAGTCCAGAGAGCATGGAGTTCCAAGTCACCTTGGCTGGAATAGCGAGTGGTCAACGCGAGGTGGCTAGGAGAAAAGATTTCCATGTCTTTTACCCCTCTCAGTCACTCGATTGGAGCTTGCATATCGACCGATGAATACCAGCAAGTGCAGCTCTACAGCCGTCAATCCCCTTCCCGGCTTCAGACCTGTCGATGCAGGAAGTCACAATTACCTTTCAACTAACAACAAGGTGTACTTCGTAGACCGGGGTCAGCCTACTGGAGAGCACGGTCGTATAACCGGATGGGTGAAGCAAGGCCACGGCCATCAATTCATTGTGAAGCTCGAAAGGGACTCTCTTAGACACTTCTTGTTGATCAACGCTAGCTATTTCGGAATGAGCACGTTCAACCAATTTCGGACTCTGAACAACCATGATTCGGTCAGCACACTCGATAAAGTATCATCTAAACATCGCAATGAGCTCCTCCACACTCCTCGTTGAAGAAGTTCCAGACTGGTGACACTTTTGGGTCTCCGCTCCATTCATAATAGCACTGCGTATCGTTAACATCCTATACAGACTAGAAAAATTACTTTCGACCTCTTCTTACAGTGTCTACTTTCGCAACATAGCTCCAATGGGCCCGCCACTTCGGGTCGCCGTGTGACTCTTGTTGAAAGGCCTTATTCAATGCTACATTGCAAGCGTGGTAGGTCTTTTTCGCATCATTGCAGTAGCAATTATCCGCTGCTAACGCACTATTTCAACGGTCAGTTAGCTCTAGAAACGTGAAAGATCGAGGAGAGAAGACCTACGCTGGGAGAACGGAGAGCAAGAGGAGTGCAGTCAAAGAAACAGGAGCCATGTTGTGCAATGCTGGGGGACAGAGATCTTGAGACTATTTCGTTTAGTGAGATAATCTTGCATTAATCAAGGTAAGAGTGCAAAGACCTACAGGACGAGGCGTCTTAGATATAGCAGAAACTTTTTATTTTGGAGAAATGTCATCGAAGTTCGTTCAGGGGAAAATGGATGGTCAATGAACCGGTCTTCCGGACACTTTTTGCTCATCCATCTCGAAATGCCCTCACCGCTGGTCACTTCCCGGTACTTCCAGAACTGACGCGTTATCGAAAAGAAATAGCAGACCTCGTACAACAACCTCCCCAGGCCTGATCAATAGTGTGCCGCACCCTGTTGGCGTGCAATACCCTTGGATCTTACACTGCTATTCCTCGAAGACCTTGTAAAATACTAGCTGTGGCGATCAAACAGAGCTCTCGAACGGGCTAGAATTGTGCACACTATTGATCGGGCCTAGGTTGATGGCTGTAGCGCTATCGAACGAAAAGAAGGTCAACGTACAGATGTATACCATCTGCCAGCAAGAAGACCCTCTGACTCTAAAAGATCTGAAACAAGCGGCAGAGCGCGCTCCATGTCCTGCTCCGTACCGAGTAGATCGTATTCGAGCACTTTTTCCTTACCTATGATTTATCCACATACTGTCTGGACACTACCTTTGCCCTAGGGCTGGGAAGGACGAGATATCCGAAACATGTAAGACATCTCAATTACGCTTGCAACGCCACCCTTGACGCGGCCAACTCCGCTTCCGTCCGTTTCAAGCGTGCTGATTCCTGGTGAAAAGCGGCAGTACGAGAGACGGCATAAAGCAGGAAGAACAGCGGCAGACAATCATGAAAGGAATGAAACACATGTCATCATAAAAGGAGCTGTCTCCTGTCTTCTTTACACACTAGATGGGACGGTACGGTACGAAGTCGTCCTTCGCTGTGCTCACTCCTCTATTCAAGAAGGCAACAAAATCAACTGGTATCTATCCCAAACACTTAGGTTGATCGTACAAGCCGAGAGAACGATTCAGGTCTGGTTCCATTTTCAAAGCAACAAATTCTTCTGCGCGACGTCGAGAGTAAAAGAATGCAAGTCTTCTCAACTCCCACCCCACTGTCATCGTCCCTCTTGCATTTCCCGAATCTTGGTCATAAAACTCTTCGGGTATAATTGTGCTTCATCCGCACTCGGTATCCCGCGATTAGGGTCCCGACAACGGTCAAGGACCTTATTGATTATCTGGCCAAGCAGTGCCTCGTCCATAAGAACAGCATTGCCGGTGCCTTCAGGATTGAGGTAGGCATCATTCTCCGAAAGCATGTCCTTGATGAGAGGTCTCTTCCCGGGGTCTCGATTAAGGCATCTCCGTAGGATGCCTCGCAGCGTAGAAGGGATAGGAGCATCGCCGACTCCGTATTCAGGGAATTCGATAACATGTTTCGGATTCGTAATCGCCATGATTCGGGAGATCTGGTTCCCAATATGCGCAAAAGGTGGTCTGCCGTATGCCATTTGATATAAGATGCATCCCAAACTCCAGACATCTGACGCTTTGCCAATACGCATGTCTTTCTTCAGTGGCCTTCCTGCTTCATCTCTGCCGGATGCGTTGGTATCGGTGATACTCTCGGGTGACATATAATTGGGCGTGCCCACATGGGAATCTCGGTGTACATTGCAGGTGTTGTCGGTGTCGATGGCATTCGCTATCCCGAAGTCGATCAGCTTTAGCCGCCCTTGGACGAGCAGAAAGTTCGCAGGTTTCAGGTCGGAGTGGACAATGTCGTGGTCGTGGACAGCTTGAACGCACTCCAGCATCTCCTTCCAGTGATAGCGTGTGAAGACACTGTCAAACCGAGCCTCGGTGCCGTTCAATCGAAGCGTCAAAATGCGATTGAAGTCCGTGTCGCCCTTCTCCATGAGAACGAAGAGCTCCTTCTTCTCGTCATTAAGCTCCCAGTCGTAAAGACGCACCACACGCTCGACGTCGGTAAGCTTCTTCAGAAGGTCAATTTCGCCCTTGTAACCACGTACGGCTGTCTCGTCGCAGTCTTCCAACTTCACGCGCTTCAGCGCGAATGTCTTATAGTTCTCTGCCATCACACAGTAAACTTCGCTGGAGCCGCCCTTACCGATCCTGCCCATCTGCGTGAAGATCTTGCCCTTGACCACGATATGGTTACGTTTCTTCCTCGTCTTGGTCGTGCTGGCACCGGCAGTGGCCGTCGCAGCGTCCAGCACACTCATTTTTGGCGGTGGCGCAGGTGCGACTCGATGAGGTGTATTGCCACTGATGGCGCCTAATGCTCGTCGTGGCTCCTGCTGAGACACTACCACTGGCGTCTCCTCAACGTGCGTTCGTCCCGGCTTCTCATCATCTGACATTACGGACATTGTTGGCTTGCCCAGGTACTTGAAATCCTGGTCCTTGTTGCGCCGAAAGGTAGGAGGAGGCATGTTTTCTTGATCTTCGTACGCATCTCCGTGGGGCTTTGGTACATCGTATCGATAATTCGCACGAGCGTAGCCTGGGGCACGGGAACCATTATTCTGTTCAAGAGGATGCTCCTGTGGGCCGTGACTAACACTAGGTCGCCGTTGCTGGCCTCCCAGTGTAGAGCCATTCATGTGTTGACTGCTCGGTTGGCGACGCATCTGATATCGCTCAATGCTGGGCTGCCTATTTCGAGATGTGTCGCGGCTTGTCTGACGTGAAGCAGATCCTGACTCGTTGCTGATGTGGCTTCGTGAGAACTGAGGCCGTGCCTGTCGAGACGGCGGCCGTGATTCTTGCGATGGCTGACTGCGGTGGGCAAAGTCGTGTACGGAGACAGGTTCTACTGAGGTCGCGCGACCATTCACGCTACCGCTCCTGCTTCTGGCATCCTCTAGCCGAGGAGTACTTCGATCTTGTGGAGTGTACGATGCAGCACTCGGTTGAGAAGAAGAGCCATGTGGTGCATCTTCGTTCGCAGAGCCGTTCTCCTCGCTGTCTCTGCGTTTAAAGCCGCGGCGTATCGGTCCACTTTTCAGAAAGGAGCCAGTCATCGGCGCTCGTTTTATTCGTGTCGACCCAGGCGGTACTGCAGCTTCGGCCGAGATGTTGCGCGATCTTGCTGCTGTGGAGGCCCCATATCGCGATGTGGCATCCGGTGCAATCTGAGTCGAAGTGCTGCGCGCTAAATCTGATCTGTAGTTCATTCTTTCATTCGTATCTGGCACGGCTCTGAAGCCATTACGAGAGCCTGGCCTGCTAGCTGAAGCAACGTGCTGTCCTGGGTCGTCCTGTGATGCATTACTTCCAGCCCTCGAACGGGTCACGACCCGGATCGCACGTGGTGCGGGAGCTGGAGTGACAATCTCAGGTCTAACATGTGTCTCTGGTGTCGGGTCTCGTTTCGTTGTACGGTACTGATACGGTCCGGAAACGCTGGTAGACCGTTTCGCGGATGTCGGCCCCTTCGATGAGCCCAGATGCACTACCCTCTGAGGTGTGGTGCCCCGACCTTGTTGGTCATGGGCGGTGGGTGGAGAACTCCGCCGTACAACCTTGAGGCCAGGGGCCCTACTAGGAGTGTCTAATCCGGCGGTCCCAGCGCTTGTCGAGCGATTGAAGCGTGGCATGTCGCTCCCTTGTGGTTGTCGTGGTGGAGAAGATGGGACGCCGGCATCTGCCAACAAAGCCTGTGTGACCTTCGAAAACTTGATGGCCGGCGGAGGCTCGTCGTCAGAGTCGCTATCGTTCCCGACATCGATTCGTTTAATCATGGGCGCGTCGGCTGAGAAGCCATTGGGCCCAAAGCCAGACAAGGGCGAGTTGCGACGCATCGCCGAACGCGACGGGTGCGCAACGGCGGCCATCACGCGCCTGACGGTGTGCTTGACGCGATCTTTCCTCGTATATGTATCCTGATGGTTCGCTATTCCAAAAGTTTCAAGATGCTTGTTCCTCCAGTCAAAGAGTGTAGGTTGCGCTCGGTGATCCTATGGTCGTTGTTGTCGCTATCGTCTGGGGTGTGCTGTGGTCGATCTCTGCCATGTCGTAGCGCTAAGTATGCTCCAGTAGTCGAGGGGCGGAGCAGCGACGAGATCGCTACATGTGCTCGGAGGCCAGAGATGCGCCTGCGGAGGATGTTGGGTCTCAAAAGCCTTCTCGGCGATGTCTGTCATGAAGCGAGAGCCGAAGGGAAGTCGCGTCCAAGGATGTGTTGCGGGGGGCAACAGCAAATCTCTTGGCGTGTGGCCATTGCGCTCAACCCAATATGGACCCAATGCGCTGGCCGGATTTAAACGAGACGTACATCATAGCTCAGAGTTCGGAATACACGAAGTGGAAGGTGTGGTGAGTGAAGAGATGGTTTTGAAGCATCAAATTTGAGCCGGTGATCTGTTTCGGACAACCACGCGGAAGTGATTGGGCTTCGGCAGGTCCTTCAGCGCAGATGAAGTAGTCGCGATTGGCTGGCAACTCAGAGCATTTTCCAATGTGACATGATACATTCAGTATGTCTGCTGCGCTCTATCTACTGTAGCATAGATCGCTCGATCGGAGAAACAGATAGAAGTGCCACGCATCACAACCTGAATACGATGGTGACTTCGAGAAGCGAATGGGCTTACAAGAAACATGCAACATGCACATACAGCATGCATCCATATTATACACCAAAAGACATTATTCGAAGTAGACACATTCTGCGTCGCCTATCGCGTACAGTCCTCAAACTCCTGCGGCCAATGCAGCCGCATCGAAAACCCATTCTGTCACCCACAATGCATCGAGTAGTCCTAAGTGCGAAGCTCGTCTCTAGAATAGGTTCCTTATACTGTGCTTTGCAGCGAGCACCTTGAGCCGTGACACGGTCTAGTCCAGATAGGCAAGCAGGCAGCAGAGCAAGATATTGTGAAAGGTAGTCACCCTGACGCGATTTCATCAGCATCGAGAGCTCCTCGGTACATGCGCGCTGCACCACAAACGGGCGCCACAACAAGGCGACCCATAAGAGACCTCATGCCTCATGAGCTTCAGTAAGCTATGACCTCAAGTGTCACCAGTCAAACGTGATCGAGGGCACCATGCGAGAGCGTTCAGCGTACGATAGGTGTCATGTCCGGAGTGAAGGCAAGCCGAGCTCATAGACGGGCGACATCATGCGCGAGTGCAACCAAAGACGGGTATCATCGTAAGAATCAGTCAACTGCTGACTGAAGCGAAAACCATGGGTCGACGGCGATCCAATCACGGCATCATCTCATCATCGTCACGAGAACTTCGCTGAACGTATCACTGGGTTCCAGGCGCAGCGCCTCCGGGTTGCTGCTGTTGCTGCATCTGTTGCGCATACCACTGATACCACGCAGCGTACGCTTCATTGGTAGCAGGTTGGGCGTTGGCCGGTTGCGCAGCTTGTTGCTGCACGGCTGGCATCTGGAATGCCGGCATCTGAGGGGGTACTTGCGGCGCCGGTGCGCTGTACTGTCCGTAGCTGGGCACGGCCGGGGCTGCTTGGTTCTGTGAGTATGCATCGTAACCATGCGATGCGGGCTGATCACGTCCTCCTCCGCCACCTCCTCTGCCGCCGCCACCGCCGCCAGTGCGACCGGCCGCAGCGTCACGTTGGCGGACAGTCTCGACCTTCTCCCAGATGATCCGCTCGGCCTCTTCCATAGCACGAGCGGTACCTGCCAGGTCAATATTGCGGTGCACATCCGGGGGTTGCGGCTGATTGACATTGATCTTGCAGCCGCTGGTGCGCTGCATGTCCTTGATGGTCTCGCCGCCTTTGCCAATGATCATGCCGACGGCTTCGGATGGGACTCGAATCGTCTTTTCGACATGATCGCCAGCTCCGCCTCCTCGGCCACCGCCACCACCGCCGCCATTGCGCTGATTGCCTCGATCTTGGTCAAAGCCTCGGTCTCGGGTTCCGGGCATTGTCACATTGACTCCAGAGCCTCCGCCTCCGCCTCCGCGGCTGTCGCTCTCGACGATCTCAAGAATCAATTCTCTCGCCGTTGCAGTGGCGCGCTCGCTGCCGATAAGGTTCACCGGGCGAAGACCGTTGACGCTCTTGTTCTCGCCAACAATATTCACGTGACAGCCACTCTTCTCCTGTAGGTCTTTAATAGTCTCACCACCTCGTCCGATGATCAAACCAACAGTCTTGTCCGGAACCATGATCTGGGTACTAGCCTCCCCTTCTCGCAAAGCAGGAAGGTTGACCTTGGCACGTCCGGGCATACCTGCAGTGTAAGCACCTTTCTCTTGAGCGACTGGAGTCCCGCCATTCTCCTCGATGATTTGGAATATTGCGCTTTTGGCAGCTTCCCGCGAACGTGTAGAGCCGGAAATTGTGCATTGGCGCTCCGCCTGGTGGGAGTCTTTCGCCTGAACGAATTGTACCCGTGCGCCGCTTTCGGATTCCACTTTTCGCAGGTTTTCACCGTTACGTCCAATGATCAGTCCTACCAATCCAGACTTCACGCGAATGGTCTCGACCTCGCTGCCGCCATCGCCACGGCCTCCTCGATCTCGCCCTCCGCGGAAGTTGTCACCTCCGCGATCCGGAGATGGAGAGCGACGGTAGCTGCCTCTGCGAGGATCTTCTCGGCGCTCATCACGGTACGGGTTCGCGTTGTAGTTGTCGCGTCGAGGTGGTGATCGTGATCGAGAACGTGATTGCTGGTAGCCGCGACCGGCGAGGCGTGGGTCTTCGCGTGGTCCAGCAGATTGTTGACGTGGGTCGTACGAAGCGATGCCACGGTTCTCGGCGATGTTACGCGCTTTAGCGATGGCGTCGGCGATGCTTACAGAGCCGCTGTTGACAGGTCTGATCTGGCTCAGATCAACACTGCCAGTGTTAGAAGGTTGAGGTAAGTATTGAGCCTGCTGAGGAGGCGCGCTCGGCGGTTGCGCGGGCATGACCCCGGGAGGAGGATAGCCCGGCGGAGGTTGATGCGATAGCTGTTGCGGTGGAGCAGAGGTCGCTGGAGAGCCTGCCGGCTGCTGCTGAGCTGTAGTATCATTGTCAGTCATGGATGGCGCGTTATAGGGGTGATCGAAAGCACGTACCCAGTGCGGCCAGGATCTGAGAGATGTCGGGGGCCGGTTGCGCCATGTTGGCGCGTCGCAGCGAGGGCGCTGGTGTCGATGTGTACTTTTCAGATCGTCGCACGATTGATTGTTATGCGTCGATGATGGTGCAGTAAAGGATGAGATGGTAAGAGGTGGTGGTGTGCAATGCAGTTTGTGATTAAAGAGAAAGTGAGATGGCAGGAGCAAATTGAAGCCGGGACGCACGGACGGCAACCTGCCGACCCGAGCTCTCAAGTTCACTTGCATTCACCTTTGTCACATGTGAAAAATGCGCTTGACATACCTTTGTTGCTGAATGCACTCAGCATATTCAGTGCCGGACTCAGCATCATGCCAATAACTCGTGGTGACAAGAAGGCCATTCTCGTTGGCATCTCAGGCGTATCATCTTCAGGCAAGACAACACTAGCACGGATATTGCGGGACATCTTCCCTCGAGCTTTCATTCTTCACGAGGATGATTTTTACAAGACGGATGAGCAGATTCCCATCCATCCAGAACATAAAATCGCAGACTGGGATTGTCTGGAATCCATCAACCTTCCAGCTTTCGAGAAGGCTCTGAAACACATTCGCGACAACGGCCTATCGCCACCAGATTTCACGTCGAAAGAAGACACAAATTCTGTTGGCGAAGTCGAAGTGGATAAAGCACTGATTGAAGATCTCAAATGGAAAGCGAGCAAATGGATGTTTGCCGATGCTCCATCTATAGCAATCATCGACGGCTTTCTATTATATTCGGAAGGCATGAAGCAGGTCAGGGATCTGTTCGATGTCAAGCTGTTCTTGCGAACAGACTACCAAACCGCGAAAGCGAGACGAGAAGCTCGCACTGGTTATGTTACAATCGAGGGCTTCTGGGAAGATCCTCCCGGGTACGTGGACAAGATCGTCTGGCCTAATTACGTCAAGGACCATGCATTTATGTTCAAGGACGGCAACGTGGAGGGCACTTTGGATGATCGGGTGCTCAAAGACCTCGACATAAAAACCATGCCTGACGAGGCTCCAGCAGATATGACGTCGTTCGTTAAGTGGGCTTACGATGTCTTTGAAGAAGCCCTGCAGGATTTCACTATGCCTCGCGACTGATCAGCCAATCATTTAGATTAGATAACATGACTTATAGAAGTAGATTTGGTTCGGCTGGTAGGCAGTCCAGCTACGGGACAAAGTATCTCTGTTATGAGACCAAAGAAGCTGCATCTAGTACGGCAACCCTCGCAATCTTCTTGAGAGCGACTTTGTGATCCGCTTCCCGATACCTCTCAAACTGGTCAAGGCCTTCTTTTGTTTCTATCGCGAGAGTGTCGTACCCCTGCTTGATCACCTTGTTCACCTCTTTCGGCGTTAGGAGGGTAGTCTTGCCCTTTTGCGTCTCGATCAGCTCCTGGTAGTGTTTCGACACTCCTATCAGTGTGTTGATAGGTTTGTTCTCATCCGATCTTGCCAAGCCATATGCGTCGCGGAACTTCTGCAAAGCTTCGCCAGATTCTACCAACTTGTAGAAGAGATCGTCATAGGCGGCGGCGTCTGGCAAGAATGCCTCTCCGTTCGACATTGCTGTCGTAAGCAGGTCTGTCAGGCTGTTGGCCAGATTGGACATATTGGAGAGCCGCTGCAGGTCCTCCGCGTATGTTGTTAAGAAGCGTACGAAAGACAAAAGCGATCTCCAGAGCTCAGACCAATGGTAGACGAGTTTCGTACGAGACTTGGCCAGATATGAGAGTACTCGGGATAGTACGGTGAAGCTTTTCCGATAGAGCTCGACGTCGAGCTTCTTGCGGAGGTTGTGATTGATGCCCTCCACGATCACATCCAGAATGACAGCCATGTATGGTCGATCGCCTTTCACTAAAGGAAGTTGTGGCGGCTTCTGTCTGCACATGCGTACGGGTGCCGTGGAGTCACAGAGTAGCTTGGCCAATGTCGTGTCCTCGACCAAGTTCAAGAGAATCAGTAGCGTCAGATATGCATAGAGCGAAGCTCGAGCGCTTCTGTAGGCATGCTGCTGAATGTAGGACACGAGGGACAGAAACGTGCCGAACGGCGCTGCCTGGCTCTTATCTTCGGGTTGAGTGGTGATGAAGTGATGGCAGAAGAGCTTGTTAGCCAGCGCGAAATCGTAGACAGTCAGCATCGTCGCTGCTTCTTTGGCAGGCCTGCAAATGTCAGCAACGGAATGGAAATAAAATTTGAGCGACATACTGCTGTGCAAACGCTTCCTTTTGCTGGTCTTCGGTCAGCACAGTGCCAGCAGGCTTTGCACCAGCCAAAGAACCGAGTCCGACATAGGACAATGTAGTCCCCAGGCTCCAGCCGACTGGCGTGTCATCCAGAATGGCGACGTATCGTTCTCGAAGTACTGCAGTAGTCCAGGCTATGCTCTGTATGACTCTGATCATCGTCTCCTCATTGACGAAATCTGCGAAGCGGACACGATATTGGTTGTTTGACTCAAACTTGTTGTAGTTTGCCAGTAGTCCCGTCAGTAAGAGAGGCTCTGCTGCCTGGAGTGGGTTGTCCAATTGGTGCAGCAACTTCATCAGCGCTGGGAAGAAGTCTTTTTGCACAAAGTAGGATACCAACGCCGTCTGGTAGCCGCCAGCGACAACTGCGATTGCCATGCGGACTGCTTTTTGCCGGAGCTCAGCTACGATCGTTAGCACCGTGTGTCTCGAACTGCAGCCACTTGACTCACTGCTTCTCCCATCCTTGATGGCATGATCAAGAGTCGCAACAAGATTAAAGAACACTGGGTCGACGTTATCGATCCCAGCCAAGACATCGATCACGTCTGAGCTAGGATTGGTGAACTTCTTGGAAAGCACTATGGCAAGGAAAACTGTGAGGGTCTAAGTCATCAACTGCATATCCGTCTCATAAGCATCAGGGCACTCACATCCAAGGCATTTTCATCTGCAGGCGCCTGAGCAGCCTTGACCCTAGCTAGGGCTTGAAGGAGCAATTGTTGAGGTTGATGCTACGACAAGTGAGACCAGAAGAATATATTCAGAGCTGAGAATAATACCTGAATATGTAACAGGAACTCCGCATCGATCTGTTCAAGAACCTCTCGTAGCTTTTCGGTATCGGGTTTTAGGAGGAACAGTGTCGTCCAGAATGCATCGTCTTTATCGTCCTCTTCAGCTTCCTACTACCATTAGCGAGGCTCTCTGTGTTCCTTCTAAGACCGCCTTACGAGAAAAAGATGCCTGTACAGGCCGACGACTTTTGGCTCAAAGACATCGGGCCTTGATTGTTGCGTGAGTGGACTCTGTTCCATGGTTGTAGATGTTGCTGCTCGCCAAATTCATTCCTCATCCTATTGAGGTATACGTGGCGATCGGCAAAAGCGAGTATTTGGCAACATTGACGAAAGTCTTCATTACAGAAGTTGATGCCAAAGGCCACGACGCCTCGTGGCTTCGTAGAGATGAGTGGGTCTCGGCACTAGGCTCGGCGCGTGTGGAGCTACTGCAGGGAAGACGAAGATCTGGTTTGTGCGACTTTCAACCATCGCTCTCACGTCATCACCTTCATCATGGCTCGAGCTGTGCGCAAGCTCAAGTAAGGGAGACTTCTGACTCTTTTGTCAGGCTTCAGGTAGGCGGATGCTACACTCTCATAACTTTTGCCAACCATGAGCGGAATGTTCAATAAGCTATCCACTCCATTCTCCAACCGCGCCAATGGCGGCGCTGGTGAGGAGGAGGCCCAGGGCGAGACACTCACGACCATTCTGAGCACGCACGAGGACCGCACTGCGCTTACGCTACTGATTGCCGACTGCACCGAAGCCATGAAGCAGAACATCGAAGACGCGTTTGACGCCACACAGACCGGCTCCAATACGAGCCTGGTCGTAGAGGACCTCCGGGAAGCTTTACCCACTGTAGATTCCGAAGCGTCAGACGAAAAGGTGCAAAGCGAGACGGACGATGCGGTTCGAAAGCAGAAGGAATTGGAGAAGGAGCAGAAAGAATTGGCACAGCGAGAGAAAGAGCTGGCAGAGGCGAAGTCCAAGGAGCTCAAAAGTGCAGCACTCGAACATTGGGACAAATGGCGATCAAGTGTTATCCAGCGCGTTGGAGAGGTCCTGAATTCCCATGAAGAGGAAGAGAGGCGCCGAAAACATGACGCTGAGTCGTCCAAGAAGAAGGAAGAGGAGGCCCGATCAGCGTCCCCGCCCATGCGATTCGAGAGTCCGCCTAAGTACGACAAAGCTGTCGACGATTCTATGAGAGCGCTATATCCGCCAATTGACAACCCGCTGCGCAAATTGACAGAAGAGCAGCGTACACTAATATTGCACTGTCTTTTGCTTCTGCTGCTTAGTCTCAAACACTATCACGCCGAGTCTCGGATCTTACTTCTACGCCTATCTACAAGCTTAGATCTGCCTATTAATGTTCTCGGTCTTGATGAAAGCAAGGTCGCACGAGGACTGTTGGCGGCTGCTGAGAACATGACGGCCGATGAAGAGACCAAAAAGAAGGCCGAAGAGAACAAGACGGCCAGGAGGTGGAAGGTGGGTCTCGCGACTGCAGCTGGTGCCGCATTGATTGGCGTAACTGGAGGCCTGGCGGCGCCCCTGCTCGCTGCTGGAGTTGGCACGGTTATGGGAGGCATAGGTCTTGCGGGCACGGCTACGGCTGGCTATCTGGGAGCCTTGGCTGGGTCTGGAGTACTTGTAGGTGGTCTCTTCGGCGCTTATGGCGGGCGCATGACAGGCAAAATGATAGACCAATACGCGAAAGAGATCGAGGACTTTGGCTTTGAGCCTGTCCGTACGCATCACCGCCCACGAAAGATCGAAAAAGAATTCCGACGGCTGCGTGTCGCCATTGGCATTAGCGGCTGGCTAACTAAGCAGGAAGAGGTCGTTGAGCCGTGGAAAGTGATAGGCGTCCAGCTGGAATCTTTTGCACTACGCTGGGAACTGGAGGCTCTGATGAACCTCGGAAACTCAATATCCACATTCGTAACGAGTACTGCTTGGGCCTATGCAAAGACGGAGATCATCAAGCGTACACTCCTCGGAGCCCTCTACGCAGGATTGTGGCCGCTTGCTCTGTTGAAGGTAAGTGGAAGAGTTCACGAAGCCGCTTAAGTAGATTCTTTGCTAACATGTGCAAGGTGGGCCGCATAATCGACAATCCATTCTCGGTCGCCAACCACCGAGCACAAAAATGCGGCGAAGTACTCGCCGATGCCTTGATCAACAAAGCACAAGGAGAACGACCCGTAACTTTGATTGGTTACAGCATGGGTGCAAAAGTCGTCTACTCCTGTTTGCAGCAGCTGGCAGAACGCAAGGCCTTCGGGCTCGTCGAGAATGCTATACTCATAGGTACGCCTGCCTCTGCTACCTCTGCTGAATGGCGCAATTTGCGCGCCGTTGTATCTGGCCGCCTCGTCAACATTTACTCAGCCAATGACTATGTTCTGGGCTACCTCTACAGAAGCCAAAGCATATCATTGGGCGTCGCAGGCCTGCAGGCTATCGAGCATGTCAAGGGTGTGGAAAACTTTGATGTCAGTAGCCTTGTGAATGGCCATACCCGGTATCGTTTCCTCACTGGGCCGATCCTACAGCAAATCGGATTTGAAGATGTCGACTTGGAGGGACTGAAGGAGGAACAGGTCGGACTGAAGGAACTGGACGAGAAAGAGAACAAAGAGCGCGCGGAGAATGAAGAGAAAGAGAAAACTAAGGGCGATTCCTCCAAAGAAGTATCGGACGAGTACGTCCAAGGCTTGGAGAAAGAAGTCGAAAAGAAGAACGAGCAGAGCTACATAGGCTGGGCCCAGTCAAAGATGGTGTCTGCCGGGTCCAGCGTATCTGCTGCCTATGACAAGGCCACAGCTCAGTGGCGGCAACGTACGAAGAAGAACGATTCTGCGATGGCTGGCACAGGCACTCCAAATGTGCAAACAAAGTCCACAGAAGAGCAGCCCCCGGCCCTACCGCAACGCCCAGCCCAATGATGCGAGGAGCCGTGGGATGGCAAATGCCAAAGCTAGTGCTTCGTACTGCGTGACCAGTGTTCCGGTTGGGGCGCACGGTGCAACGATTAGCAGAAGAGACAACGCACAAAGAGTGTGGCTCCTGGCGGGTTCTAATACTCTAGCAAGTGGCTGCTCGAGGCAGTCGACTACATAGCAAGTGCAAATACGGAACACAATCAAGCAATGAAGATCAATGGCAAATCCTGGAATCCAGCAGCACCTACCGCAGCGGCCTTCAGCGGCTGCCTTCCTCTACCTCTACGCTCCTCCATCTTACGATGAGTCGAGCGCGCCTCCTTCATATGAACGACATGGTCCGCTCCTACCATGCTATCGACCGCGCCCAACGACTTCATCAGCACTGTCTCGATCGCGATCTACTGCCTCGCTTGATCGATACCAACGGCGTTGTTCGCAACGTGACATATTCTTCCTCGTCCTCGTTTTCGTCCTTGTCGCGGCATTTGGAATAGCAAGTGGTATCATTCGACGCAAGCACTAGCTACGCCACAAGCAAAGGAGGTCGAGCCCTGGAAACAGCAAACTTGCAAAACTCGACTTGTCGAGAATCTGTCCTTCACCATGCCTCACAGGAGCAGGCCAAGGAGGAGTATACCAGCAGCCGCGCTCGGCGATTTCTCCCCTATCGATCCAAGACCCGGGGGTATATTCGCAGCCGGCAGAATCCCTCCACCTGAGATGCAATTCGACTTCTCTATCATGGACGCTCCTAGGCCTTCTCCATTGCAGCTACCTTCACCAAAGCGTCGCGACGCCCCATGGCGCTCGAAGACCCACCTGCCTACCATACCTCAGATTGCAGAATCACTCTTCGGTGAGAGCAGTAGCAGTAGCAGCAGCACTAGCAGCACCAGCACCACCGGGACCGTACCGACGCCATACACAGCCAGCGATCTGCTACAACTTTCTACGCCAACCCCAGTACACCTACAGCCGCGTGATGCAGCCAATCGCCTTCCAACGCGCGATCCTGCGTCTATTTCCCACGAAAACGCCCATCGGGACAGTCAACCTTCGAAACTTGAGAGCAACCTGACTGCAACCGATCCCAGGAACAAATATCGCTCTGCAAAATATTGCATTTTCCAACGAAAGGATTGCACGGACACTGTACTGCCAAACTACGTGTGCTGGGACTGCGGCGCCCGAGTTGAGCGTCAAACGCAGCGGCGTGAGAAAATACTTCGGAAAATCTTGTTGCTGGGATGGTTAGCTTTGCAGGCTGTGGTAGTCGTACTCCTTACTTATACCGTCATGGCTGCGAAGCATACGCGAGCTATGAGACAGATAGTGGATCAGTTCGATCAGATGTGCTGAAGTAGCAGAATGGGGAAAAGACGCTGTTGGGCAAGCTTGCTTTACAGTTCTATGGAAGACGTTCTATTCATCAGGTCGTTGAGCGCTCCAGCATCATCTACAGAGCCATTATGAAGTGCTACCTTCCACCAGAGCAGTATGCAAGAGCAATCCCTCATCACTCTCCAGCTCCACATCTGTGCCCTGCCCAACGAAGTAAACGGCGCCTTCGTTCAATTTGTACGACTTGCCCTTGGCTTTCAACGTCGCGCTTCCTTTCGTTGCGAGCAGGATGCTGGGACCACCTACTGCCCCAAGAACCTCTTTCTCGCCAGCCTTGAGCTCTGTCTGTAGCATGTCGAACTCTGAGAGAGGAGGCGCATAGACAGTAGACTTCCCACTCTTGCTCTTCTCGTACGGCTTTGGCTTGAGAATTGCTTCTTCGGCCGAATGTGGCGTGAACGTCAAACATTCCAAGAAGAGATCAATGTTGCTTCTCTCTGCGCGAGGGCAGAATCCAGTGTTCAACACGTTGTCCGATCGAGCCATGCATTCGATAATGTCTCCAGCGAGGTACGCATGAATGCCATCAGCTGGGATATAGATGCTCTCGCCGGCTTCGAGGACGAGATAGTTCATTGTGATGAGAGCAACCAGGGTTCCGGGGTCTGATTCGCCGTATTGCTCGGCGAGGCGAGGCGCGAGTTTTGGAATGTAATCGTACTTGCCGAATTGCGATCCGGGCAGGTCGGTGAGGGACTTGTACACGGATTTGACTGTGGAATCATCGGCTTTGAGCATGTTGCCCACCACAGCCTTGAGTTGTTCATTGTTGAAGGAGGACGATTTCTGGCCTGGAACAAATTGTTGAAGGGGTTCGATCTTCAGTAGACCTTCGATGTCTTCGAGTGGCTTGAAGCCACAAAAGGCTTCGAATTTGCCGAGAGCGAGGGCGATTTCTGGCTTGTGATTGGGGTCCGTGAAATCATCCGGTTTCTCCTTGTGTAGTTTGGCTGCGACTTCTTTGTTGGGGTGAAGTTGAAGAGGCAGAGCCTTGGCGATGGAAAGGACCTTTGGCAGGTAAGGAAGTTTAGAGTGGCCAAACTTGTCGAGTGTCTCTTGACCGATAAGCTCCTTGGGGTATCGATCCAGAACATCTTGGAGATCCTCGCCAGTCTCTTCTACGTATGATGGAAGTTCCGGGTACGTGCCCATCCACATCTCGGCGTAAGACTTCTCATTGTCAAGTTTGAATGGCGTCTCTGGTCCTTTGCCATCCCAGCCTTGCTGCTTCTCGCACAACCGCGCAGCAATCGAGTCGCTGCCAGTCTTGCCCCAGGGATACTGGTTGCAGCTGCACTTGATTTTGTAGACGGATTCCAATTGCGTGGACATGTTGAAAGTTGAGAAAAGATCCTTGAATGAGTTCGAGACAAGCAGAAAGAGATGAAGAAATACACATATTATGATAGAGGGCATGCACAAAAGTGCATCATTACAGCCATGACGTGGAGGAGCCGTCATATGGGCCACTTAACTTCACTTCAACCTACAGCGCCCGGAATGCGTCTCCGCTATCTGGAGGACAGTACAAGATGTCTTCCGAAGAACAAACCCTCTGCTGTCACGATGTGTCGTCGCCGCATGTCCAGAGTCCGTGGTTTATGATTGCTAATCGCGTCCTGCATTGCTGTCGAGGGACGGGTGGATCAGCCAAGACCAACGACATAAGACCACTGTCGTGATAAGTCCGGACGCAAATGATAGAAGAGCAGGTCGCTGAATTGGCCATGATGCCACTTTGTGTCAATGCTTGCGATGCATTGTTGTTGTTGGTGCACTGATTGAAAGTCGGCAGCAGGAACAGGCGTCTTGGCAAACCCTGCTTATCGGACTGTTGGTCCGTGCTATCGGCGAACTGGCACAATTTCTCGTCTGTTAGTGCGTAGTGGAGGGCAAGAGCGCCTGACTCTGTTCGTGTAGAAATTCAGTCACACTGGCGACCACACTCCCTTTCCGATTCAGAGCAGGCGGCGCTGGCCCTCGTAGCGGCTCGATGGCGCCCGAACACCACTCCCATCGCCCAACGACGAAGCAGGTCAACAAGCCGTTCAAGACCCGCCACGCCTCGAAATCGTCGCTGAAGAACGAGCAGAAGGGGAAGGTCGAGGCTTGGGAGAAAGGCAGCAGAAAGACACCACAGCAGCAAGTCATGTCCAAGATTGACAGGCGTAACCGGGCAAAGCAGTTGCGTCAGAACCACGCGAGCGACCGCGAGGACAAGGCGTCCGTGTTCGCAGGTCGCGATGCTGCGCCTCGGATCATTGCTGTGGTCCCTCTGTGTGACGACGTGAGCTCTACCAAGGCCATCAGTGAACTGACTGGCAGCGTCGAGGCCGATGACATCGATGTGCAGTCCGCTAGCATATACGTTCCACGATTTAAGCAGAACGTACGATTCTTGACGCCCACGAGGGATGTGATACAATGCCTGGATGCCTGTAGAGTTGCAGATTTCGTTCTGTTCGTTTTAAGTGCCAACGAGGAGGTGGATGAGGCAGGCGAAGAGCTTCTGCGCAGCATTGAGGCTCAAGGTGTATCAACAGTGCTCACTGGTGTCTATGGCTTGGACAGGGTAGAACCAGCCAAAAAGCGACCAGATGTTGTGAAAAGTTTGAAGAGCTTCATCACGCATTTCTTCGCCACACAAGAGAAGGTACACGATCTGGGCAACAGGCAAGAATGCAGCAATGTCATGAGGAGTTTGTGCACAACCATGCCAAAGGGCATCAGATGGCGCGAAGACAGGAGCTGGATGCTGCTTGAAGACTGCCAGTGGGAGGTTGACCAGGCCATCGTCACCGGCGTCGTACGCGGGAGAGGCTTGAAGGCTGATCGACTGGTACAACTGGGCGACTGGCCTGATCTACAAATCGAGAAGATCGTGGCTGCTCCCTTAGAGACACGACACAAGAAAGCCAAGAAAGATGAGATGACAGTGGATGAACCCCAAGGAGAACAGATTCTCGAGCAGGCCACTGACGAGCGCGACGATCTCGCAGAGCTTGCTCCCGAAGAGACGACCATGGACGATCTGCCTACAGCCTCCGTCGCTCCTTCAGAACGAAAAGCGGTTTTGCTCGATGATCACCACTACTTCAACGATGATGATCGAGACAATATACCTGCGCCGAAGCGATTACCTCGAGGAACCAGCAAATACCAAGCAGCCTGGTATCTGGACGATGTCGACTATTCTGGATCAGATCTGGAAGATGCCGATGAAGATGAGGATGAAGACATGGATGTGAATGCGAATGGCTCGGTAGCAGGTCCCGCTGATGGCCACTTCGAGGATCGCATGGATGCAGCAACAGAGGCTGGTGCACCATCAGAGTACCCACAAAGCGAAATGTTTGATGATCGAGCACCGGAAGACGAAGCAGAGCAAATCGAGGCATATCGCAAATCGAGGCGTGAAGAGGCAGAAGACGACTTGGAGTTCCCAGATGAGATTGAGCTGCACCCTGGTGTCAATGCGCGCGAGCGATTGGCAAAGTACAGAGGCCTGAAGAGCTTGAGAACAAGTGCGTGGGAGACAGAGGAGGACAAGCCCTACGAACCAGAGGACTATGCTCGTTTGCTGGAAATTGCCGACTACAAATCAGCAAAGAATCGTGTCGTCAAAGAGGCTGTCACGGGCGGAGTGAAGCCTGGCACGCGTGTGGCAGTCTACCTACGCGTCCCACAAGACAGGCGGCAAGAGCTCGAATCGCTGCCGAAACCAACAGCACTGTTTTCGCTTTTGCGACACGAGCACAAACGCACGGTAGTCAACGTTTCGATCACACTCTCGTCCGACTACCCTGAGCCGATCAAGAGCAAGTCGCCTCTCATCATGCAATGTGGCGCTCGCCGACTTCTCATCAACCCGCTCTTCAGCGCAGCAGGCAACACGCCGAACAACGTCCACAAGTTCGACCGCTACCTGCATCCAGGACGCACAGCAGTAGCCACCTTCATCGGTCCAGTAACATGGGGCAGCGTACCATGCCTCTTCTTCCAAGCGCCAACATCCTCGGCCTCAGGCGATGCCATCGAAGACCTCGCACAGTCGCTCAAGATCTCGCAGTCTCAAACGTCCCAGCTCGAGCTGATAGCAACCGGCACTACTCTCCCGCCTTCAACGCAACGCATCATAGCCAAGCGCATCATCCTCACTGGACACCCTTACAAGATCCACAAACGTGTGGTGACTGTCCGCTACATGTTCTTTAACAACGACGATGTGCAATACTTCCGTGCTCTGCAGCTGTGGACGAAGAGAGGTCGCAGTGGCTTCATCAAAGAGACTTTGGGAACACATGGGTACTTCAAGGCTACATTCGACGCGAAGATCAATCCTCTGGACTCTGTTGCTGTCAGCTTGTACAAGCGAGTGTGGCCAAGACAGGCACAGGCGTGGAGACCAGGCGTTGGAGGCACGAATGATGACGACGAAGAGGCTCCGAAATTGATGGAAGTAGAGAAGTAGTTTACACGATGTGCTTATGAGGACAAGGATCCTGCACGTGTTCGAAAAGGGCACGCATTTACTTTTACAAAAGCTCATCTGAGCATCGAGAACAGCGGTAAAATTCGCTTGGACAAACAAAACCATTCTGAATTTTTGACAAAACTCCTTCCCATACGCATTCTCGTTTCCTGCCGGCCAACCTTCCCTGGGCTGGCATATTTTCGTGGTATTCACTGTTTTTGTGTTCGTTGTTGCAGTGTTCATTGACTCATTTCGAGTGACGGTCGAAGGTGAACTCTGGTGCTAATGGATCGAGCGGCGAGTCAGTTCTGTCAATACTGGAAGAAGAGCGAGGCGAGTCGTTGCTCGAGGTTGGGGTAGCCGAGCCGAGTTCTGGTGAAGCAGGCAGTGGAGTGTGTGAAGCCAGTTCAGCCGCAGCGGCAGCTTCAGCTGCATGACGCTCACGCTCAAGTCGAGCGCGCATGTGTGGCGGAACCCAGCCCTCTGGACGGGTAGTTGGAGCTGGTTCGACCTTTGCCTTGACTTCTTGGTCAAGCAGCACGCCGTCGCTGCTGGTCGTGATGCTGCCATTGCCGTCGTGGATGGTAGTCTCGACACGCAAGACCTTTCGTGGACCGGTGCCGTTAGAAGCTCCGGTCTGCTTGTAGGTCTCTTTGAAGATGGTAGGTTTTGGAGGCTCTGCCTTAGCACAAGAGGCATCGGCCACCAAGTTGGCCTGCTGTTGCCTCAGGTAGCTTTCTTCGGATTGAGCATCCATTGACTTTTGGTGCTCTTGAGTAGCCCAACCGCCCCATTTCTGGTTCACTGGTCGCGGCCGACGGCCTTCAATACCATCCTTGTACCACGGCCGAATGACTGGGTAACGGATCTTCTTACGCCCATGCTTGTTGACCTTCATCCGAGTCTTCTCGCCAGCGATGTTGATAATATCGTCCATGTCGGTCGGGTGCTTCAACCGATCTCCGTAGATCTCGCGAATAGCTTTGTGCACCATGAAACGCGCAACTGAATGCTTCACGGGGCCAACTCTCAGCACATCGTATCCGTAGGCCGACTTTGAGTTGGGATCGAACAACCGAAACAGCTCGTCAGTGACAGCAGGGCCAAAGTTCTCGCCCAGAATGTCCATATTCGATGGACTAATAGTGATCTTGCACTGCAGATCACTGGCACCACTGCTGCTGTTTCCCTCGTAGCTCGTGACATCGGAGATCTTGTCGACTTCAGAATCGGACTTCCCATCCGATGACAGAATATTGTCACTCTCCTCGTTGCCTCTGTCAGCGACGGTAACTTGCACGCCTTTGCTCACGCTTGTGATACTGAAGTTCTGCAGAGTCACTGCCAGTAACTTCGAAACCAACAGGTAGTGGCAATCGGCGAGCGAATGGTCTTGTGTCCACAGGTTGTAAGCTGGTAGGTGTCTCTGTATCTCTGGTACCAAAGCAGAGTCAAGTGCTTGGAAGCTGCCAATATCGACTTCAGCAAAGCCACTGTCGTTCGAGGTCACATGCACGGTGTGTCCGGCTTCGATGATGTTCTCATCGTGCTTGAATCCGCCTTCTGGACTGACATAACTTAGGCCGATATCGTGAAGTCCCAGGATGCGCATATGATGCTGGATAAGTGCGTTTGTGCGAGGCATGTGTAGCTTGTGGCGGGCAAGGTCCTGAAAGCTAGCATGGCTGGTGAGACCAGCCACAGTCATTTCAGCAAGCAAGAGGTGCTGGAGCTCCTCGTCCGCACCGACATGCTTAAGGACTGCCAGTGAAAGAGACGTGGCTGAGTCGGCACCTGCAATGGCTAGCGCTGTGCGGGCTTCTAGACCGCCCACGCAAGCCAGCTTGTGCTCGTCTGAGCCGGCAAGGCCATCTTCGCGCGCCTGTGTGCAAGCAGGCTCTGCGGGTATGCTCTGGCCCAGAACCTCCAGCACTGGATCGAAGGCGTCCTGACCTTGACTGCGACAGCGGATGATCGGAAGCAGTGCCTTGAGGAATGGGTGGTAACGAAGGTATGAGCCATAGAGCACAGAGTAGAACTTCCAGCTTTCCAGCTTACTGTAGATCTTGTTTGCGTTTGGAATTTTGTCGATAAAACCAGCGCGCTCGCCAGTAGTGACAGAGAACATGACATCAAAGGCGTAGCGAGTGAGCAGATTGGCCAGATCGACCGGCGCCTGCTTCTGAGCCGCATCTTGCAGGACACACCGAAAGAGAGCGTTGCACGCATCGATCAATTGCTCATTATGGTTCAGTCTCTCCATTTGCAAGCAATTGCGCAGCGAGCGCGCTGCCGTGTTTTCAACTATACTGGACACTGGCGACGGTTGTTTCTCTAGGACACGGAGGCTCTTCGTGTCCTCTTTGGTGTTGAAGAACTGCCAGCTGAATTCGCGTGGCGCGACTTGAATCAATGGTCCTGAGACTGTCAGAACGCGTGCCGTGACCGAACATCACTGAGCGAACTCACCGTGGAGGGCGTGCAGCTGTTGCAGCTTGGCTCTGTATGTGCCTCGCAGGAGGTGCCAAACCTTCCAGAGACGCGTGAACTTCGCAAGGAAAGGTCCTGGCACCTTGGACAAGAGGCGACGGAGGAATGGCCAGCTCTTGATGTGGTCAAGGATGTGCATCTTGAATGTTTGGTTGTTCGATGTTGCTGACTGGTGTCAGGCTTCGACTTTTCTTCGGTGCGTGCAGCTGTTGGTGCGCAGCTTGGCGCCGTCACCGTGGTGCAGATGTTGCAGTGTTTGTCGACAAGGTAATGGTTGTCAGTATGTGGTGTGAGTTCAGATCAAAGCGAAAAGGCGAAGAAAAAAGTGACTCGGTGTTGGTCAAGTGTTCATGCTATTGAGGAGAGCGACAATATGAAGGAACGAAGAGCGAAAGTGGAGCATCCCGCCCCAGCCGCCGCGCGCCTGCCATTGCTGAAGCTGAAGTGAAGTTCTTCAACGTTGTTTACACATGCATGCAAGCAAGCACCTCACTCCGTATGAGGGCGGTTCCGATTTCTCACAAATTACGACGGCCGACGAGCACGCTGTCGAGCAGCGTGCGTGAGACATCCTGCGCTTCAGTAACGTATTCTCTCTTGGCCTGCGCATCGAGACATGTGTCGTGTGAAGGTGAAGTGGAAGTTGAAGCTGAAGCGCAGAAGTGAAGTCCAGCCGGGAATAACGAACAGCCGGGCGTAGCGACATCGGGCGCCACCAACGTTCCAGAAGACAGGCGAACACAATGATGCTCTCATACATATCTATTCTCCAGATCGCAGACTGAGCAACCTATCAATCCCTCTGCACACCAATCATGCAGTCAACGACACGAACAATGCGCACCCTGCGCCCAGGCTTCTTCGTCCGAACATTCGCGACTTCCACACCCGCCAGATCACGATGGTCAACAGGACCCGCTCCACCACGACTTCCCAAAGAAGAGCAAGAGATCTTTGAGCGATTACAACAGCAATCAACAGGCGCATTCAGTCAACCCAAACCAGACCCCAAAACAACAAACAGCGAAAAGTTAGAAGAGTCGGGCGCAAGCACCACCGCATCCAAATCATCAGAAGCAGACAAGATGCTAGAACAATTACGCGCACGAGCTCAAGTAGCAGCAAAAGGCGATGGCGAAGAGCTACATCCAAACATTCGACGAGGCGCTGCTCCAGAATTCGAAGGCGAAGTCAATCCACAGACGGGCGAAGTAGGAGGGCCGAAGAATGATCCATTACGATGGAAGGGCGACTGGAGTTACAATGGCAGGGTCACAGATTTCTGAGCAGGGCCAGTAGAATTGAAGGAATGGCTTTTGTCTATAAATATTGTACAAATACAGAAATACCGAAAAATGCCACAGGCTTTCGAAAGCTTCGCTGTCGTTGCTGCGCAAGCTACATCTTCGAGGACTCATCAAGGTCGATATTGTACTTGTTATGCTCACAAGTTGCAACCACCGAGCCGTCTTTTTCTCGCTTCATGATTCCTGTCAAGAGACAAAGTCGCTTTCCCGCATGCACGATCTGGAAACAAGAGTCAGCAATATTCCAAGGAGGGAAGAGAAGGACACGAACCTGACACTCCACAGTAACCACATCATTCTCAAACGCCGGCTTCACATAAACACAATGCAACGACCTCGTAGTCCCCATGGTACTCCAAAACCCATAATCCGAGATCGGGAACAAAGTCCAAGTCGTGCACACGTCGAAGATGGCCGAAATAGCACCTCCGTGAAACGTCCTCGTCGGATTTAGGTATTCTCTCAGGACAGGAAAGCGATAAACGATTCGCGAAGTTGACTTGGACGTCAACTCAGCTTCGACGATTTCGAGTTTCTTGAGCCATGGGATGAGGAAATTGTTGTCGCGGTCTTCGTCGCTCTATACATTGACACTTTGCGTTAGCTTGCAGCCTGATTTGAGCTTTGGGGGGAAAGTCTATGAGCTTATTGTGCATGAATGAAATCAAACAATTGCAGAGGATCAATGGGTATGTCCACGAACGCTTTCGACCATAGTTCTGATACCCTCTTCAATTTCTTCTCTCCATTTTCTCTCTTCATGTTGTTGATCAGATGTCGATCCTTTAGGCCCTCCCCGCTCGGAGCCCGCCATTCTAGCATGTGATAGGGAAATTCAATGCTGTGAGAAAGTGCTATCAGTGAATGTTGTGAGAATACTCACTTCTTCAGCGAAAGCACGGTCGTCAAACACCTCGCGCAGCCGTTCCAGTACTGACATTCTTTATTCCTGTATCGTCATTTCTGTCGAGATGAGGAGAGAGACATGGGTAGCACTAGAAATCTACCGCGGCTCAAGTTCAGCTCGAGCGCTTATTAGATTGTCGACATGCTTATGTAAGGAAAGTCTATTCGCGTGCAACTCGCTTGCCGTTCCTGCAACATGACTTTGCATTGCATCGAAAACACTAGCTGTGCTCATCTTCTTCCTTCAAGCCTCGCAATGTCCGCCTTGATCTTGGCTGTCTCCCGAATGATGTCGCTGTACTCGGCTGCGATGCCTCGGATCGCTTTTGCTTGGTGGTATTCTGCCAGTTTGTCCTCGGCATCGCGGATTTTTCTCTTCAACATGACGGCTTCGTGGTCCAGATCTTCGGAACGTGTTTTGAGGGCCTCTTCCAGATCTGGTGATCTTGTCTGTGATAGGAGCTGGTTGTGTTGCAGTTGCAGCTTCTTGCTCATGCCCTCGGCGACCGTAGTCAGATATTCGGCCTTGGCTTTCGTGCCACGAGAAACGGAGCCATGGATTGTCTGCTCAAGTGTTCGAATGCACGTTCCGATAGCCTTGCGATAGAGATCATGGACGTTCGCAACTTCGTGTGCCAGATCCAGGCGGATTGCCGCTATCGAGTCCTCAGCTTCAGCTGTATCTGCTTTCTGCTTCTGTATGCGAGCTGCAAGGTCGTCCCCGTCTGAATGTGCTTGTGGCGCCGAGATGCGAGCCAAAGTGACAAGATCGTCAAGAGCGGCCTTCCAGATCTCTTTGGCGATGGGCTTTACGTTTTGCTGGCAACCCATCAGTTGCTGCATCGTAAGTTCGGTATGTCGTTCTTACTCGAAATTTGTCGACATCCTCCCTGAGTAGCAAAGCATCTTCTCTCGTAATCTGCGACTGCAGAGCGGCTGCGATTATTGCCACGAGTTCTTGCAACTGTCAAACTTAGCGAAAGATATGGAGGCACAACTGCTCCCGGTCTTACCTCTGCGGGTAGCTGATCATCGCCGTAGGAGAGGGACTGCAGGTACGACTTTATCAGGCCTTGTTTTGCTACTGACGTCCGGGCTCTTCGCAATTCCTGTAACAGTGAGCATCAATATACATTGCGTCTTGAATTTTGATGTTCGGAATGTCATGCCCAGCTGCCAACTCGAGAAGAGAAGGCACTCGCAATTGGTCCCCTTACCTCGTCGAAGGTGTCGCGCTCCTTCTGCACTTTCAGATCAACCTTGGAAGTTCCATTGGAATTCAGTTTGTTCGAACACAGATCGCGATACAGCGCGTCGAACTTTGGATCCACATTCGACTCCACAAGAGGCAACATGTTGTTGCCGGGCTGGGCAAGATGCAAAGTGTGTGCCGTAAGTGCGTTCGTGAAGGGAGGGTGAATGTCAAATTCACAAATCAAATATTGATGAAGCGTCGCTCAATTCGCATGCAATCGTCTATGTCTATGTCTATAACAGTGCAAATGTATGCAACCAGGATCTACAATAGAAAACACTGCTCGTTCTCCTCTCCTCGATGCATCGTCACAGTAACCCAATGTATTCACCTACATTGAGCAATCGAGCACCGAAGATGCCCAAAAGCTGAACGATTGAGGCGATGACCGGTAGGGCCATGATCCTCTCCAAGACCCGAATCCCAAACAGCAACGGAAGCAGAACGAACAGCCTCAACAGATAGTCCTTCCAGATGAGAGTTGGCTTGTGTCCGCGGCTGTATGTTGAGTCGACAAATTCGAAGGGCAATTTCGCGCCAAGATGCTCGATGGCAACGCGCAGTCCACTGCTGAAGCCGTCCTCATGAAAGCCGTATTTCGTCCACGCTCCACAGTAGCTTACACCTCTGGTATTCTGAATCTTTTCAAGACGCTCTTGAGCACGGACCGACTCGATTGTGTAGAGTGGGTGTGTGTAGTTGAACTTTCCTTGTGTCAATTCTGGCTTGGGTTCCTCGTCTGGGTTCATTGTCACGAGCACCGGCCCATATTGCTCCTCTGGGAAGTGTTGGAGAATGTTCATGCAATACGTCAGACTGACACCTGCTGGATGGGAGAGTTGCGATGGCTTGGAGGTGACCTGATCACATCTTGTTAGCGTGAGCATTGCGGCGTTGAAGAGGGCAAAGACAAACCAGGTAATTCCAGGCGGTCCAAGTAGCACGGCGTGTTGGCATCAGTGCCAGGTCCGAGTGTAGGTAGCACACATTGGCAGTGGTCTCAAATGCCGAAAAGATCTCAAACTCTTCTTCGGACACGTACTGAACACCACGAGATGACTGCACGAAGCTGCTTGCTTTCGATGAGGTGCTTGAGGCACTGGATGAAGGAGCTGTCTTCGAGGCACCATGTTTGGCCAACAACGGAAGGACCTCATCGCCGTGACAAGCGAGGATAACGTGATCAAAATTGCCTTGATCGATCTTTCCATTCTGAGCATTGATCCAGGCGACGCTTACTAGGCCTTCGAGCTTGGCTGCTGGCCGCAGCACGTTGGCGACTTCACAGGAGAGGTGACAATGCAAGCGATCTTTCGGAAACTGCTCAAGGATTGCATCGATATATCGGCGCGAGCCTCCGGGTATCGTCAGCCATGGCGGCCGGTCAGCTAATGTCGAGAGAAGATGGTGATTCCACATGAATCGAATCAGCGTCTTTGCAGGAAACTCTAGGCTGGCCTTGTCTGGCGAAGTGCTCCACACTGCGGCAGTCATTGGGATGAGGTAGTCGTCGCGGAATGCTTGCGAATAGCCTTCACGATCCAAGTACTCTCCAATTGTCATGTCAGCTGCCTGCTTCCTCTTGCTGCGAATGAATCCTGGTCGCCACGTTGCATCGTCGTCGTCAGCGAGGATGTCGAGAGCAAACTGATTGAACCGAACAATATCGAATATCATCCGCCAATGTTGGGGTCGGAAGATGTTGCGTCGCTGTGCAAATATACCTTGTGGTTCGCCCGACCATTCGAATTCGCCTCGATTCCTGGAGACACCAAACGTCATCTCAGTGTTGACGGGTTCGACACCAATATGGTTGAGGAATCGGATGAAGTTGGGGTAAGTGGCGGTGTTCATGACGATGAATCCAGTATCGACATCGATAGTCTTGTTGCCAGAATTGAATGGCTGAGTGTTGGTATGACCTCCAAGGCGGTCGGCTTTTTCGAAGATGTGCACCTCATAGTCAGTATCTCTCAGTGCCCACGCTGCTCCCATGCCAGCGCAGCCACTGCCCACGATGGCGACCTTCTTTCTGGTTGGAGGAGCCATTCTCTTCTGTGCGCTATTTGCTTGTGTAGATTTGCGCTTGAACAGATGCATCAAATTAATGGTTGTTGATCTGCATTCATATGTCAGACAGCAGGCGCAACGGCCAGAAGAAGTCGCGAGGTTGGGAGATTGTGAATGATGGCGAGACTACCCGGACAGGCCATGGGTCCGGCGGGAAGAAAGTATGCTCGAGCACACTGTTCACCGTCCCTGCTCTACGAGCACCATTTTGATGGCGCTTTGCGATCGCAAGTACGACGTCTGCAGTTGCATCGCAGACATGAATGAAACTGCAAAGCGGCGGAGAGCGGAGCAGGTTCGTGGTCCTAGTCATCGTGATCGCTTTGTCCTGTGCACGTGAAAGCCACGCTCGCGCCACAGCTGATCATCGCAGCCTCCGACATCCTGGAGGCATGAACCACCGACTGTGAACACTTGACATTCGACGTACATAACTACCACCACGCTCGAGAATAACGATTTCAGACGCATATCTATCAGCGACTGAGAGATTGTAGTTACGGTTCTCGTCTAGCGCATCCCGAACAGCACAAACGCCGGCGAACATGTCGAACCCACTGGACACCGATGCGGGATCCGAGCTGTTCAGCAACTATGAGGCCGAGTTGAAGCTGGTGCAGGCAGACATATCGCAGAAGCTAGATCAGATCCCTGAGCTCTCCGGCGAGCAGCGCAAGACATTCATCGCTCAAGCCGAGAGAGCGCTGGAGGAAGCCCGAGAGTTGCTGGACTCTATGCGCTTGGAGAAACAGAACATCCCACAGTCCTTGAAAGTCAAGGTTAATCAAAGATTCCGGAACTACGAGAGCGACGTAGATGCGGCGAAGCGAAAGCTGAAGAGCCTGTCGAGCGATGACCGTCATGCACTCTTCGGAAAGCGGTATACAGACAACCCGACACAGGATGATCAGCTGGCACAAAGGCAGCAGCTTTTGGGTGGTACAGAGAGGCTCGAACGTTCGAGCGGCAGATTACGGGAGTCGCAAAGGATCGCGTTGGAGACGGAGGACATAGGGCGAAACACACTGGCGGACTTGAGCAGGCAGCGTGAGACTATCGAGCATACTCGCGGTACGCTTCTGGAAAGCGAGGGATACACAGATCGAAGCAATAAGACCTTGAAGGGCATGGCCAGAAGGTATTTCCCAAGCCTTTGGTAACGGGTCAGTATCACATTTCGCTGACCGCTTTGCAGGATGGCAACGAACAAGATCATAACAGTCGCGATCATCACTGTTCTGGTGATACTCATCATCGCAGTCGTCGTGAGCAAATTCAGATGATGAGACCACGAATTCATGGCGGCGTTTGTACGTTAGGTGCATGGGATGTTGGGCATGACATTCGGATACCTGTACAGCTTGAACTAATGCGACAGTACTTAGAGTACCCGTTTCACACTTCAAGTGTCGTTCCCAGCCAACGGTTGCTGATAAGCCGTGGATTATACCATCCAGGCTGTGTTTTGGACCAAGCTCGCTCCAATTCGTTCAGAGCCTTTTCTTTGGACATATCCGTCCCCATGGACTTCTCCTCCTTCTCTTTTGTATCTTGCACCAAGACCTCCTTCGCACTCTCACTGCCAACTCCAGAGAAGCCACTCTGAAATTCGAACTTCACATTCTTGATCGAACGAAAGCCTTGAGCAGCGTACAAAACGGCACTGGGCTTACAACTCCTTCCACCAAACGCACACATCTCGAGTGTGAAACTCTCCAGCGGCACTTCCCTCTCCGCCAAAACAGCCTTCACATACGCCATCAACGCCAACAGGATCCGTTCATCCCTTGCCTCCTGCGGAACGAACAAAACAATCCGCAGCTTATGCACCCACTTCAAAACTTCCTCATATTCCTCAATCTTGCAGATCTGTTTCCGAGTATTATCTTGAGCCAGCAAGCTTGCTGACGGTGCAGTATAGAATTGGAGTTCATGTCTCTTGTACAGAATCTCTAATGCTTCGTTTCTCATTCGACGACAAATTACGAGTAAAGCATGGCAATTTCGGGATCTGGTTTGCTTGAGTCGTTTTTGCGTCCAGCTTTGTGTCCAGCTCCAGACGTGGCGCTGGATGTATAGTGGGCGAGTACGTGTGGCTCCGAGGACGTCGTGGTAGATTTCGAGGCGGAGTTCGGCGGGGAGACTGAAGAAGAGGCTGGTGTGTTGATTGTTCGTACCTGTGGAGTGCTGTGTTCGTCCGAAGCTAGAGAAAGATGTCACAGGATTTTGGGATTGAGACATGGCGAGGTTCGTGTATTCGTGCCTGACATGCCTTTCGTATACATATACTGCTACAAAATCAGCTGCCTAAAGGTTATTCATCAATATCAATGGTAGAGACAGGTGGCTTCGAATTCTCAACCACGTTCGTTGTAGCAGCATGTTGTTGCCTATCAGGCGTGCTTCTTGACAAATTGCAGCAATGCAGAATCCACAATCTCTGGATGAGAGAAAGACAAAAAGTGCTGCCCGCCTTCTACCACTTGAAGCTTCGCATCGCAGTTGGTAAACAACTTGATCTCTTCTTCCGCGTTTGCAACCTGTACAATCAGCGTCAGTAACACGTTCACATTTTTCCGCCACTGCCATTTTACTCACACTGTACACCTGATCCGAAGTCCCATGCATCCAAAGCACAGGACACTTCACATCCGATAACCTCGAATGCAATCCATCCCGCTCCCTCAAATTGATAGCAGCCATCCGAGCTCGACGTCTTCCATCATCTCCCTGATAATTCGACTTGATCGTCTGAGTCCAGAATTTCCGCGTCTCAGCAGGAACATCTTGACCGAAACCAACATCGATCAAGAAGTTGCAGTAATCGTCAGTAGGAACAAAGTCTGGTGTGGGAGTCGTGGTCGTCCACTCTTGAATCGTACCACCGAGGGCATCAAAGCCTTGCCAGCAGCCAAGTTGACGTGTTCGCTCAGATTCGTAGTCCATTGATGTGCCCAGTGGGATAATTCCGGCGATCTTGACTGCAAGTCAGCGATATGGAGAGCGGAGTTGATTTTGGTACTGACCTTCTCTGGTGCCAGAAGGGCCATTCTGACGCAGATCCATCCGCCCTGCGAAGTACCAAGGACGAAGACTTTGCCTCTAATATCAAGAGCTTCGAGGGCCTGAAGATTCATGATCGCGGTGTCCCAGTAGGTGAAATTCTCCGTGTCGGTCCGACTGTTCATTCTCAGAAACGGTGTTCACAAATGTTCAGCATCTCACCTACGTCTGACCATGTCCAAGCAGCTCAATCGATATGAGATTGAGCGCATTCGTCAATTCCTTGTTCGCATACTGTGATTTGTACAACTCGCTCGAAGTAGTAAAACTGTTCACAAGGACCACAGTTGGCTTCGCAGGATCGTAAGGATGTGGCATCTGGTATGCGGCATCGATGCCGCCCAGATGAGGCACATGAACAGTCTTAGTGTTAGGCATATTGTTCCACTGTGCAGCCAATTCGAGAATTCGTTGTTGTGCAACAACAGCAGCACCTCGGATCTTTGTAGTCATAGACAAGAAGCGGGACAATGTCTAGTCCGCGACTTGATTGGGTGGACTACTTTAATACAGTGGCTCCAGATCTATCGACTGTGACCTCATTTGTTCGTCTTGCTGGGCAAAGGACGAGTCTCGCTTATGCGGAAGCGGGGCCTTGAGCGGGGCCTGACTTTGGGCGTGCCTTCCCAGTACAGACTTGCAGCTGTCAATGTACCAAGGTACAACCGCCATAGCCAGAACAGCTTCAACTATGGCCGGAAACAGTCGAGACAGACTGACAAATGGAAACGACTCTGGACAGTTGTACGCTGCTGGCTTCAATGCGCACAAGCAATTGAATCCTACCACCACAGAGGATCTGAGGGACTTCAAAGCATTCAGCACTGATGCCAAGGGCCCTCGAGTTCTATTCGCGGGATGGAGCACTACAGTGATCATCGACGGGACTCGAGTGCTTAGCTTGGGATACCAGCGAATTGACCAAGACCTGGGCCCTTTAGCCCAAGAGCTACATTCAGCCATTGGAGACCATGATGCATTCAAGGCATGTGTCGACGATGCGGGCCGCCTCTATGTCGTCGAAGATGACCAGAGCGGCGGACATGTTCTCGTGTGCAAAAGCGTTGATTCCTCCCCTCGCATCGGTCGATTGGCTCTGGCGTCGAACAATCGCATTGCTATGACCGCCAAGCAGGCACCGAATGGCAATCTCTGTCACCTCACTGAGTTCGAAACGTATGAATCGTTTCTGAAATGGTACGAAGATCCTAGTGGCGAGGGCAACTACCCTATCGGCCATCATATGCTGCCTGGCAGACCGAAAGACCTTCGATCGAATGTAGCGACCTTCATACTGCTCTTTCATGATGGTAGCGTCTGGACATGGTAAGTTACACAACAAGGCCAAGGAGTCTACCTTGTCACTGACTGGTTCAGGGGAGACTCGAGATACCAATCTCTGGGTCGGCGTGTCACCGGGGAAGGTGCCACACCAGCTCATCAACCAGGAGTAGTGGAAGACCTTGGAGGCCTAGTCATCGAGTCCATTGCGGCTGGAGGCTGGGAGGCGGCCGCGATCTCTGAGGACAAGGCCCTATACATATGGGGCGCCGCGGCGCCAGGCGGTGAGGATCGTATCAAGAGCCTAGAACCGGGAGAGCTCAGCCTGGTGACGATCTCCGATAGCCCAGATTCAGAACCGCTCGACGTGACGAGTGTCAGCTTTGGGAGCGATCACATTGCTGCAGTAGCAAATGGCGGGCTCTATGTCGCTGGGAGAAACTCAAATGGCCAGCTTGGAATCGGCCGTGGAGATGCGTTCCTCGCAGACTGGCACAAAGTCGAGCGTCTGTCTGAAGTCCAACAAGTGATATGCGGCCCTTGCTCAACTTTTGCATTGGCAGCCGGACCGGACAATTCAGCTGAGAAATCTTGACAAGCCCATCGTCAAGTTAATCACGAATCCAGAAAGGACTGCAAACTGCCTTCTGCGGCTCCAAACGCCTTCCTCTCTCATCAACCAGAAGGCTCCTCCAATAGGCCAGAAGAATCCAATCAGGTTGCCATAAAGCATGTCTTCCAGCGCACCGGCATCTTCTGAGTCAAATCCTCCATTCTCCTGAGCGTCACCAGCGCCTCCACCGGCTCCCTGATCCAGCCACCTCTCTTCCAGTGCTAGCAGTTCCTGGCCCATAGGCATGGTATCGGGTGTATGTGTGTGAGCCTGTATAGCGAGAAATTGTGCTCGCAAATCAGCTACTTCTGCTGGTGCGAAGCCAGCTGCCAGAAGGCGATCGAAGCCGCGAGGGGCAGGCGTGGTGGTCGTTTCATGGTGCTGCTGTTGCTCTTGGCCGGCACTAGTCTTTGCATCTTTCGATAACAGCGCCGCGTCCGCTGCCTCTGCTGTTGTTCTCTCCCCTGCGAGCTCATCTGAAGATAGTGGATCACCTATCGAGCAATGAATGTACACTCTTGGTGCCAGATCCCGCATCGGCAGCTTCCCCTTCGCTTTCGTGCTCTTCGCCTCGTCATCTCGAACAGGAGGTGGTCGTGTGATGCTAACACTATTCGATATCGCGGAGTCGTCGACGAGAACTTTGCCAGAGTGGATCAACCGCAGGCGCGCGTTCGATGCGGGTGCTGGGAGCTGTTCGCGCAGTTGTTGTTTGAGAGCCGCGATGGAAACATGTTCGGGATTCGTGATGTTGAGCACCACATCGGGATTGGACGTCGAGAAGCGTACCACGACATCTATTGCCTCATTCGACAAGGACATTGTCGAATGGTGGGACTGCAGACGGGAAGCTGCTGTATGTTGTCCCACTCCAGTCCGTCCGTGTTACCGTAGCTCGGATGTGTCAGCAATTGCGAACCATAGCTATGATGTTATTTGCGGCCTTTCGGTCATTGCATCAATACTTCCAGGTTCATTGCGAGCGAGACTCAAGCATACGAGGTACCTGATCGCATTCTGGCGTGAGAAGTGATATTGCAGCAAGCTGGAAGATCGAGCTGTGTGCCTGCACAACATCGCTTTGACGTCACTTCCATTTCAAGCAGCAGACGAGAAGCGTTCATCGACGGCAAAGACAACGTTCCAATATATCGACATTGCTAAGGAAGATGGCGATCGTCCACATTGTACTGTTCGAATTCAAGCCAACAGTGACACACGCACAGGTTGAAGATGTAAGTTTGGCAAACGCTCGTTCCAGTTCAGTAATACTGAGCCACATTGAAATAGGTCTGCACTCGCATGCTGGCCCTAAAAGACAACTGCATTCACCCAACAACGAACCAGAAATACGTCAAGTCGTATGGCGGTGGACGAGATACATCTCCAGAAGGACTACAAGTAGTTAAGCTCCCTCTGATCATGAAAAGATCCACAAACTAACTTCCACAACAGGGAGGATTTTCTCATGGCTTTGTGAGCGAATTCGAGTCGCAAGAGGATCGCAAGTATTACTTGGAGAAGGACCCTGCACATTTGGAATTTGTGGCGAGTCTGAAAGATGTAATTCAGAATGTCCGTGTGCTCGACTTCGAGCCAGGCAAGTTTTAGGTAGAGATAGATGCTGGATCTGATGCTGTTGCTGCTGCCATGCTATATCTTTTATGGTGGTCATCGGCTTCCGGCCTGCCTCTCGCTCGAACGCAATCAATGAAAATGCTATACCATCGCTGTACAGGGGCGTTTGGCTATGATATGCTGAATGATTCTCCACAGCCACATTGTTCCGCTACGAATGTTGTTAGTGGTATTCATGTTAGAGCGCAGAAAAGAATACTCACTGATGTTCGGATTCTTGAAGATGAATCGCGCGCTAAGCTTATCCTCCAACCAGTCCATTTCACTTCCGATTATGCTGAACAGTGCCTTGCTGTCTATCAAGACTTTGACGCCATCCTGTTCTACGGTCTCATCGAATGCTCCAGGTTTGTCCACGTACTCCAAATGGTATGCTAGCCCGCTACACCCTCTGTTCTTCACGCCTATCCGGATGAGTTTGCTCTCGGGTTGTTCAAATAATTCTTTCAATTGCTCCACAGCCTTGGCCGATAGTTTGATGGGAGCTTTCCTGGGCCTCAGCTTGCTCTTTTTTGGCTTAGCTGCTGCTGTCTCGGGAGTGATCGAGGGCTTAGCGGTTTGTGATGTAGATGTCGCTCCTGCGGTAGCCTTGCTTTTCTGTGCCTCTGCCTCTCCTAATGCTACGCTCGGTGGGCTGTCCTTCCGTTGCCACGGAGCTGTAGGTGGCCAGGTGTGTTGTGAGCCTCCAGATATGCTTGTCTCTGAGACGCCGCTATTTTTCGGTGGCGGAGGCATGTCGCTGTCCAGTGTCTGCGGACGATGAGCGGACTCAGTCATCAGTGGTCGTTTGGAGGACGCTGCTCGCGGTCGGAAGGACGAGAAAGGACATCTTTGGGCCTTGAGACATTGTGCGCATCGCCGAGTCGAGGCCGGTTGTGATGTGAAACGGAAGATGGTCGACACTGACGGCGCAGCTGTCCTGATTGCCGCCATGGCTATGAGTAGAATCCAAGGAGGAGGTATGCGGCGGGAGTGTGTACGGCGAGATGTTGGATCGTGTGAAGGTGGCTACAGGCAAACTGATTACTGTACAAGATGCGGCGATGACCGAGGGACCGTGACGTGCGAGCCGCATGCATAAGCCGTTCTGCCATCTTTTGATTGGCAGACACAAAGATGCCTGAGCGCCTGAATGTTCGCGTTTCATCGAGAGCTTCCGGCACGCGTTCTCAACTTTCGCATCTCAGCCTGCGCCCATCCAATACGACGAATCCAATTCAACGATTGTAGCGATTGTATATCGAGCCACTACTTTGGTCTCTGAAACGAAACAGACGCGGTCCAGCGGCATCTGTCGCATCGAAAGATAGCCACCATGGCCACGAATGGTGCAGCAGCTGCAGCACCGACTGCTGCGCAGACCGGAAACAAACCAGTCCAAATCAGCGAAGTGCGGCAAACGAACTCGCGCGAGAACCGAACAGCAGCACATTCGCACATCAAGGGTCTAGGCCTGCGACCAGATGGAACAGCAGATCCCAATGGGCAGGGTTTCGTTGGTCAGACGGCGGCGCGCGAGGCATGCGGTGTTGTCGTTGATCTGATCCGCGCAAAGAAGATGGCCGGAAAGGCCATCATGCTGGCAGGAGGACCTGGGACAGGAAAGACTGCGCTTGCGCTGGCTGTGAGCCAAGAACTGGGAACCAAGGTGCCCTTCTGTCCCATGACGGGAAGCGAGGTGTATAGCGCAGAGGTAAAGAAGACGGAGGCATTGATGGAGAACTTCAGACGAGCTATTGGGCTGCGTGTGCAGGAGCGCAAAGAGGTCTACGAAGGCGAGGTTGCAGAATTGTCACCAGAAGAGACCGAAAATCCTCTAGGCGCATACGGCAGGACAATTTCACATCTGCTAATCACATTGCGGAGTTCGAAAGGCACAAAGAAGTTGAGACTGGATCCGAGCATCTATGAGGCCATACAGAAAGAGCGCGTGCGACTGGGAGATGTCATCTATATCGAGGCGAACACAGGCGCTGTCAAGAGAGTAGGGAGATCAGACGCATTTTCGACCGAGTTTGACCTGGAAGCGGAGGAGTACGTTCCTGTGCCCAAGGGAGATGTGCACAAGAAGAAGGACATTGTGCAAGATGTGACACTTCACGATCTGGACGTGGCCAACGCGCGACCGCAGGGCGGTCAAGATGTTATGAGCATGATGGGCCAATTGATGAAGCCGCGCAAGACAGAAATCACAGAAAAGCTGCGAGGCGAGATCAACAAGGTCGTGAACAAGTACATTGATCAGGGCATTGCGGAACTCGTTCCTGGAGTCCTCTTCATCGACGAAGTCCACATGCTCGACATCGAATGCTTCACCTACCTCAATCGAGCCCTCGAATCCACCATCTCACCCATCGTCATCCTCGCATCCAATCGAGGACAAACCACAATACGCGGCACAGGCTCCGTACAAGCCAACGACCCAGGCCTCATCTCCGCCCACGGAATTCCTCCAGACTTCCTCGCACGACTGCTAATCGTACCCACGCACCCATACACCGCAAACGAAATCCGCACAATCATCCAAACCCGAGCCAAACTCGAATTCGCAACACCAACAGCACCGCAACTCGCAGACAACCCACAAGCGCTCAAAGTCTCAGCGACACTCAGCCCAGAAGCCCTCGAAGAACTCACTAAGCGTGGCGAAACGGTTTCTCTGCGATATGCGCTGCAACTGCTCGCGCCGGCTAGCATCCTGGCTCGAGCTCGTGGCAGCGAGGGCAATGTCATCAGTGTTATGGACGTCGAAGAAGCGACTTCGCTTTTCTGGGATGCAGGACGAAGTGCCAATCAATTGCGAGAGCAGGCTTCTATGTTCATTTCGTGAGGGTAGTAGCTTGATCGAGAGACCGAAGAGAAAACTTCATTTTCGAGCTCCTAATCAATGAACGACTCGGCCCTTTTGAAAACATGCAACCCACTGAGCGGTTCAGTCAGTGAGAACCACTAGTCTTCTTCCTCACGCCCGCTACGAGCAGCCGTGACGGGTGATGCGTCATGATGGTTGAGGAAGAGACGTACCAAGCTCTCCGTGCCACATTAGACAACGGAACGCACACGGATCTGTGGCGATTGATGTGCTTCACATGCATTAGCCAGCGCACTATTATGATTGCGTTGTGTATTATAGAGAACGAAAGAGAGATACGATAGTCCTCATTAGCTGAATGTTCGATCCCAGCAGTTCACTCTTCGCATTTTCCTTACTCTATCAAATCCTCGAAAACATCACATTAATTTGAGGTATTCACATTCGAAGCTCTGAAAAAGGTGGGCACAAGTCTTGGATTGGCCGTATGTATGTCATTACATCGTTAATTTTACACGCTATCTTTTTTCCAGTCCTGTCAATCCATATCATTCGAAAAGAACCTCCTTAGATTCTCGCCTCATCTATTCGCACATAGGGTATCATCGCTCGAAAGAACATATCAAAACATCCAGCCCATGAGATCGTGGCCATAGCTTAACGTCTCAGGCACATTGTTGAAAAGGGCCCAGCAATTTTTATACAAATGAAGCTGCTGACCTGTCGTCCATGGAAGCTTTCAACGATGAGGCAGGTTGCGTAGATTTCTGGGATCCATGCGTTTCCGGATCGGATGTTCGCCGTATTCGGTCATGTGTGGCAAAGTCCTGCAGAACTGGACAGTTGCCATGGTTATTCGCCTGTCCCGCGTGACCCTTATACTGTGGTGGTCTTCGATAATCGGCTGGATCTTCTCGGAGAAATTCAGCGAGTGTGAGACTTCGGCCTGCTCGACGAAATTCGTCTTCGAGTTCTACGTCGTCGTCCTTGTCGTCTTGTAGTCGCCAGACTGTGGCGAATTCTGGTGGAAGTGCGCTGTTTTTGCGTCTGCTTTCGTCGTGCGTGGGAAGGGCGGTATCCATTGAGGCTGCTACTGATGGTTTGAAGCCAAGTATTTTGCGCCAGAACCCCCATACGAATGGTAGATTTGCTACGAGTAGAGCTGTCGAGCTTTCTCTGACGTACCAGTATGTCCACATGGATCCAAAGGGTTCGCTGAATGAGTAGACTTTGTTTAAGATGGCTGCGAGGATGACGAAAATTCCAAGAGAGAATATGCCAACCAGGGGTATCTTCTTTCGCCAAGGTAGTTTCATCTTCAAGAATATCGGCAGTCCTATCGCGAGCATGATGAGATCGCTGGTCAAGTTAAGACATGCGTTCAGAATCAGGTGATTCGTTGCGGCGTTGCATTGTGATGAGTTGGGTGGCACGGCCCAGTACTGAGAGAACGGGCGGCACCAGACTCCAAGATATAGAATGACCATGACCACGAAAGCCACAATCACGCCGCCCAGGAGTACCTTGATGGCAATATTCTGCCATCGGAGCGTGGTCAACCTGTAGACGCGTTAGTCCAAGTGATACACGCAGGTTACGTTCACGTCAATGATAGGACTAACCTCAGGTATAGGATCAACACACAGATCTTGGCGAGCCATATGGCAACATTTTGGCAGTTCTCCAGTACCAAGATCAATTTACTCCCTCGAATACGTTGTTGAATATCTGCCTTGGTGAGGGAGCTGATGTCGAATCCTTCTGGAAAGAGGTTGCTGCTCGTGTTGGCAACAATGTTGATCGTGACAAGGAACACGATGTAAAAGCATATCGCAAGCAGCATGAGGATGTCATCTGCCTGCGGCTTAAAGCCTCGGGCCATCCATCGAGATGCACTGAGCGGGACAATTAGCCACCAGAGTCGCAACACTTGGGCGATGCTTGCACATACAATCTACTCGCAGCTATGATGATGACAATGAAGAACCAGATGGAGGACTCGACGATCAGAGGAGGCATGGTTGTGAAGAAGGTTGCTCGTGGGCTGGGCCCGGGTCCAGGTGTCAAGGATACTCTTGTGGTGATGCGAAGACGTGCCGCTCGTAGACCCGGCGGGGCATTGTGATGGAGCCGCCGCAGTTCAGCGCATCAGTTGCAGTGCGAGGACAGTCGCGACACCGATGGCAGAAGTGAGCCAGGTGTGGATGGAGGCGAGAGCAAAGGAGGAGGAGGAGCGCGTGAGAGCGGCACCGAAGGTAGCGCGGACGGAAGAAAGCTGGGCTGGTGGATGTGAGCTGAGCGCCTCGCACTGGGGCTGGCAGGCACGGCGGAAGAGGCTGCATGAGAGAACGCTGCGCTGGGGCACGCCGTTATCTCGCCGCCGCCGATGCGGCTGCATCCGCTCACCAATCTTGGCTCGTCGCTAGCCGGACAGCGTGGATTCGTGCATCAGGGCAGAGGACAGCACTGCACTCGATGGTGGCATGGGAGACGGCAAAACTGCCCTGTCCAGACATGCCGGCGTGCTGACCTTCGTCGCTGCCCGTTCTGAGAACGATCCGGACTGCTGAGGCAGCGGCCACGCGAGCAAGCCGACGCGCTAGTGGAACTCTGTCCCTCCACCTCCGGCTGCATGCTGTCTCCTCCGAATCCTCCCACGAGTACGAGCATCAGGTCCCACTCTCCACGAACGACATCTCACAGCAGGATGGCGCTCCCAGTATGCCGGTCAGCGAGCGACGAACGGCACGCCATCCGATAGAGGATTACGACTTCTAAATTCCTACCCGACTCGCAGCATCGGCACGATGTAGACTTCAACGGTAGCTCTCAACTAAAACAAGCCTTCGCCGTACCATGTGCCAGGAAGCTGGATCCTCACTTGCACAGCTCCTGTCCGTGCCGAGACATCTGCATCGAGCTCACCACAAGCACCGAATCTGGAAACTGGCCGAAAGGGTACAGTACTCCTGCAGCACTGCATACGAAGCACATGTTGGCCGCACTCAAAAACACGTGGAGGACTGCTTCCACTGTCACAAGCTGACGCACCCATTGACGCTAAACGGTCACAAACTGTAATCCTCCACGCTTTGATGATGAACGATGGGAGCGGAATTGCAAATGTTGTTGCTTCGCAGTGGAAGCTTCTGGCACTTGTACAGACATCTGAGATGCAAATCGTTCTGAAGCCCTACACTATTGACCTCGCTTGTTAGGTCTTCCGCACAATGTCTATCAAATCCCTACTGGTCTGGAAGCACTCCTCGAATGTCAAGCACAGGCCTCATGAGACCCTTCCCTCGCTGGTTGGAGCCAAGCCGTGCGGCAAGAATGGGGCCCATGTCTTCACAGCGACACTAAGCAAGTCGTTGTTTCGAAGCTGGCCAAGATTTTTGTGACTGCCGTTAAAGACAGTCTGATCTAGGGCCAACAAGCCAGAATTGTTGAAATCGCTTCAACGATGCGTCGAACATCCTTGGGTCAAGCTTCCGCAGGACCGTTCGATCTCTTGCTCTTCTTACTCTCTCAATCATCATTAACAGGGGGTTGCTGGAAGGTCCATTGTCCATCGTGAATGTCGCTTATTCTCAATGTGAGCGATGGCTTCTCTTTCTCCACTGCATGGGCCGAGATACTATTCGAGGGTTTGGCTTTCGGAAACGCTGTGTGTTGTTCGGATGGAGCTGGCGATGGCACCTTCGTTCTAGGCTGCGATCGATGAGAAGCGGAGCTGCGGCTACTTTGAAGTGCGCGCTTCGGGCTCTGGGTAGCTCTGACCGGGCGACTTCTTTGCGCCTTGCTGTCATCGACATTCGCTACTGTGCTGCTGGGAGACGATGATCTGCTGCTGCTGGTTGAGGCAGTGGGTGCTCTTGTGACTCGTGAATGGTGGCTCGACGATGCTTTGGAGGAGACACTTCCCGAATTGTTGTTCGCGTGGCGAGCTGAGTCCATGGTATCGTTCATTCTCTCCTGTGTCTTTTGACGTCGAGTTTTGATCTCGGGTGCTTCGTCGACAACCCGCCGGCTAGACGAAGCTTTGGAAGAAACATTTTTTGAGTGGTTGCCCGCGTCACGAACGGAGCTCGAATGACTGCTCGCTCGCTCCTTTGTTCCCGGGCCTGGACTTTGCATTCCTGTCACTGGTGGCTGGTCGGCAATGTGCCTGCTGGATGAAGCTCTGGAGGAAACGCTTCTTGAGTCGTTGTTCGTGGCGCGAACAGAGCCAGAGAGATCACTCGACTGGTCCTTTCTTTCTGGGCTTGGACGTTGGATCTCGGTAAGTGCTGGTTTGTCGACGTCGTGCCTATTCGAGGAAGCTCTTGAAGCAATACTCTTAGTATGGCCGCCAGCGTGATGAACCGGGGCAGTGATATTAATGGTACCATGTGCTGTCTGTGTGCTTGGACTTCGAGATCTTGCAAGAGCTTCTTGCTTTACACTATGCCGGCTCGCCGGCGCCTTCGAGACGACGCTTCTCACATCGTTGTTTGCGTGTCTAGGGGATGCTGGGACCGGCACAGGGGCTGTATGGTTGCTTGCTCTCTCCGATTTCTGTGCGCTGGGACTTCGTGACCTTGCTCGGTCTTCCACTTGCCGGCTTGATAGGTCCTTCGATACAACAAGCAGTGGACCGATGCTCTCGTGGTGAGAAGATGGCGCAGCTTTCACGGAGCCAGTACGCTTGCTTCCTGCGTCCATTCTTTGCGTACTCTGACTTTGAGACCTTGCAGCAGGTCCTTCGTCGACGACGTGCCGTTTCGATGAATTTCTAGAAGCGATACTTTTTGTGTGGTCGCTACCGGGATGAAGGGGCGATGAAGCCAACTCAGACGCTGTGCTGCTGCTCACTTTTCTTGATCCTTGAGTACTGTAACTTTGGGATCTCACAGCAGATGATTCTTCGACGATGTGCCGGCTTGAAGATTTTCTCGAGACACTGCTCCTCGAATGGCTGCTCAAAGGGTGAGGAGACGGTGGAACCTCTACAGGGCCCTCCGGGCTGCTCAATTTTTCCGTCCTTTGCGTGCTTCGACTTCTGGATCTTGCTGCACTGGGTGCTTCTTCGACGATGTGCCGGCTCGATGGCGTCTTAGAGGCAACACTTCCTGTATGGTGGCTTCCAGAACGTGAGGATTTGGAAGCAGCCATAGAGTTCGCACGGCTGCTCACCCTTTCTGATCTGTGCGTGCTCGGACTCTGTACCCGTATGACCAGTGCTCGGTCATCATTGTGCTGGCTTGACTCATCTCCTGAAGGTCCTGCAGACCGCCTCTCTTCTCCATTAGAATCAGCTTCATTCAACGCTGCGTGGTCCCTTTCCAACATGGGGGCGCCATCGTCATCTCCATCTCCATCTTCACCATCGTCATCTTCACCTCGATCTCCATCTCCATTTCCTCCTTCATCTTTCCCTCCTTCACCACCTGCCGCAATCGCTTTCTTCCCCTCCCCACCACCACCACTCCCCTTCTCCCCTCGATGCCTCCTATGCCTCGGTTCCTTATGCTTCCCCTCCAACACATGTTCCAACCTCTTAACCTCCTTCCTCGCAGCCTTCAACTCCACTCTCAAAAACTCATGCAACTCCTGCAACAACGTCAACCTCACCGATCCATTCGGTCTCTTCTCTCGTGTCTTCGCAAGCTGTGAAGCAATCGAGATTAATTTCGGCAAGTATCTCAATAGCCCTTGAGACTTCGATTTCGACTTCGCGTCCCGGCGACTTGTTCTTGATGATGGTCCAGCTTCAATTGGAATTTCATGTCTTTCCAATTCGTGCAGTACGATCTCGATGTAAGGTTCTGAGACTCGAATTGCACGTCGAAGAGTTTCTAATGTGAAGTGGTTGTCAGCTTTCAAATCTCGACTTCCCAGCGCTTCGAGAAGGAGCTTCGCTGCGCTCGCCAGTGTGGAGAATAAGGCGAGTTGTGCTGGTGGAGGAGCATTCGCTAGTGCAGTAACATTCGCTGGCTCGGGAGCATTCGCTCGTGAAGGAGCGGAAGGGTGATCAGATTGTGATGCAGCCTTCGAACGCTGCGACCGCGCCATAGCGACAAGTTGATTCAGTTCAGTTCAGTTCAGTTCTGCAGAGAGATCGAGAGGTGTCTTATACTCAAAGTACTTATTCATGCCGGGCCCTCCTTTTCTTTTTGAAGCTTCTGGATTAGCATCTTTTGTTGTGCTGCCCTCCTTCTGATCAAACAGTCCCGTGAATGCAAACACACGCCACTCATCAATTCAATTGTCAGGCGCGCGCCCATTGTCATGTGTTGGCAACAGTGTCCCTTATGACCCACTCATCATTCACAAACAACTCCCAGCAATGCCTCAGTCTGGTGGACATTGTTATGCTTCTTCATATGCACTGCTTCATTTCGATTCACCCGCCACCAATGGTGAACCGCGCTGGCTAGAATCTGGTGTCTCTGCATGGACAGCTTTGCTGCCCTTTTCGCGCCATGTGCTGACTGCTGGGATGTTCGCGTACAGTCGCTCTTCCTCAGTCTTGTACGCACGTGGTGTAAGTTTGATGAGGGTGTGCAAGGGCACTTCCATCCATGGTGATTTCTCTTGTGATGAGCCCATGAAGTAGGCATAGATGCAGCGAAGCACTGCCTGGTGCGTGACGATCAGGATGTTTTCTGATCTCTCGAGTTCCATAATGATAGGCTCAAGGCGGATGACTACGTCGCGGTAGCTCTCGCCTCCAAGGTAGCGGTAATTGTACTTGTCATCGTCGCGGGCTTTGAAGTCCTCGGGGTACTTTTGCTCGATTTCACCATATGTCAGGCCATCGCATACTCCAGAGTCCAGCTCGTCTAATGCTTTCCAGCTAAGCTTCTCGTACGGAAGATATCGAGCAGTCTGTGCTGTTCGTTTTAGAGTCGAAGTCCATACTGTGAGGGGTCGATCGCCAGCTGATTGTCTAACGAGACCTGGCAGAGCCTTGGCGTATGCCTGACCCCTTTCAGAAAGGTCCGCATCACCACCTATTTGGCCGCTCAGATTGTACATTGATTCGCCATGCTATAAGTTTGTGTCAGCTGTTTCACTTCTTTCACGAGCCTGAACTGCCCCACTTACCCGACTTATCCAGATCGAACGTGGCTTGATGTGCAAGTTCATCAAGTAGTACACCACTCGTGACTGTAAGTAGTCCTGTATCCGATTGATGATGACTTGTGATCCCACATCAATGATTTTGCAGTACGTCAGGTCGCTCTCATCCTCGTCCAGTGTTTGGTAGACCCTCTCGTACATTTTGATCCTTTCCCGAAAGTCTCTTGCAGCCTCTTCGGGATCTTGTCCGACGTAGTCTGGACTTGTTGTCTTGACCTCCAGTATGTTGCTCATGATGATCTCCTCGTTGTCACACTTGCTCTCCACGAACAGTGTTTCGATGCCTTCGGAGTCGCAACGCTCCTTGATCCACCGTCGTCTTGCCTTTGTACTGTTTGTAGCATCGAGGATAGCTATGAGGTTTGTTGGGTGTTTGAACCAATTGACCATGTCTGCAACTGCGGCCTCCGCAGCAGCCTTGCGCAGTCGCTCGCCCTCTTTGTTCGCAGTGTCGAAGAAGGATGCGTTGGGCTGGGGAGTCGCAGTACGACGGTAGTTGCCTACGTTGAAGCATTTCGCGGTTATGCTGAGCCAGCCGAGATAGCGAACGACTGCATTATGAGTGTCAGTGGACTGTGTTGCCTGTGCCTATGCTAAGCAATGATATGGTAGATACCTTTCTGAGCTATCAAACTCTTGCCTCGGGCGGGCAGCCCAACCATGACCACACATATTCTTGTATCTTCGGCCTGGACACCAACACCATTAGTCGCGGTTGAGCTCCCTCGCGTGCGCATTGCTGGACGCATGAAATCTCCCGGTGCCGACTTCAACAGCTCAGGTCTGTACTGGGCGGTCCCATTGACCTCGCCGTTTGTGCTCTCGTCCATGGCGGAGGGCAGCGTGTCTCCGACGTCTTGGTCGTGTGCAGCTTGCAGCAGTGCTGTGAAGAGCCGCTGAAGATGTGGATTGCACGCTCAACTGAGCTGTGTGCAGACCTCGAGCTGCAGTGGCAGAGGCAGAGTGGTGATACTTGTGGAGCGCAACGAGCCGTCTCTTAGCACGAGCATTGAAGTCGCAACCGTGATGCCGCCCCCAACTCGTCCGCACGCACGACCTGGGCTGAATTTGCAGACGAGGCCTCTGCACGAGTGGACCGTGACCTGCACGCTTGCGGTATTTTGGGCGAATTCGCCTTATCGCGGGCAGCAACACTGAGGCATCCGGAGTGCGGCAGGCCAGCAAAAGACAGGACGTTTGGTCGTTGTGGGTGAGTATGGCATGGGTGTGACGCGAATCTCGAGGGTCCCGCAGTGCTTGTATCCATTCAGCGAACGTGGAAAACACATGACGCTGCTTCCGCCGGGCGTGGGCCGAGGGGCAGGCGGCCTTTCGGTTGTTTACGGAAACCAGACCATTCACCTCGCCTGGTACTCGACGACGGGTCTAAGGTGCAGAACGGCCAGTCCTAGGTCGCCGGAGGCATCACCGAACATCAACGCTACAGACGTACCCCAATGAAGTTGTATGAGCTCGTGGAGCCTGTCCGCTCGCCCTGGTTGCTCGAACTCATCATGCCACCACGCCTTGTCCGGACTCTGAAAGGCCGACGTCTGACGAAAAATGTAGAACGCTGCTGATAGGAAAAAAGGAAACAGGCACACGACACGACATATACTTTACCAGCCGCCTTATCTGTGACTTCGCGGGACCTTGCTTCTTCGGCGCACAGGCACTCTGGGGCAACAAGCACACGCGGAAACATGCATCCCTCGCTCTACACTATCGGACGATGGAGGTGTGAAAGCGACTGCTGCTCATTACTGCCGCCGATTTGATGACCTGACAGCGATCGCCGCGTAGCTCACTGGTGTACTCAGTTCAAAGGTCTGCCTGGAGTGTGTTTCAGCTTGCTGCTGACAGCTCTTTGCTCGAAGTTCCCTCCACCGCACTCCTTCGGTGGTGCCGTCGCCTATATTCGCCTACGACGCAACGACTCGAGCGGCCTGACTCTTCATTGAGACAATTCTGCTATACAATGTTCCAATTCCAGAGCCGAAGAGACAAATCATACCTGGGCATCAGCATGCTATCGTATCGTGTTCGAAGGCGTCCCATCTTCGCAAATCAGCTGTGACGCGTGGGGCACCGGCCTTGTTCGGTCTGCGCCTCCCAATCGAGCGATGCCCACACTCAGGACTTACTGTAAAGTCACAGTGCCTTCCTCTCCGTTTTGTAGCTTCATCCTGTCGCTATCATGCGTACACATTGGCGCCACGAAGAGTACTACTGTGGCAATAGGCAGTGTCCGCCTCGAGAACCGCGGCTCATATGTTCTTGCAAACTTCAAGGCCGCCCATGAAGTTCCTCATGCCTCTGTTCCTCGTCGTGAAGTGTCTTCCCATTGTGCTCCCAAGGCTAGGAAGGACTGTGGCTTGCAAGAGCACAATGGCATCTTCTTCATAGCATGAAGCACTGCCATAGAGGCAGATGAAAAGCCACGTGCGCCTCCTCACGTCTGCTCAGTGAAGCACGAAGTTGCACGGCACATAAATTGTAGAGAAGTGAAGATCTGTCCAGCTCTCCAACGGCGCGTCGGAGAACGTGTCTGTAGGGCTGCCGGTTGATCGGCATGACGGAGTTCTCCAGGGTCCAACCGTGAGCACGCGACGAAGCTAAGCTGCCCTAGCTCCAGAAGTGACAGGAACGGTATACTTTTGCGTGCTCTGTACAGCAGTCAGGCGCAAGGGAGCTTGTAGCTTGCCAGCCCCCTTCTGTCTAGAGTCGTCGCAGCTTCTCCGCCTTTGGCTCCAGTTCGGCGATTCCGCAATGGCAGTCGCTTGACGTCCAGCAAAAGCGTTGAGGACAGAAGCATAGCCGACATCATGGCCTCCTGTATTATGCTCCTTCGTCGTCCTTTGCTTGCTTCCAAGCTCCCAAGAGCTTTCTACGCGACACCCGCCATGACCCGATCAGAGCATACTTCCAGCTCTTACCTCGTCACGCCAGCAGAATTGAGCGAGGCACTCAAGAAGAACGCTCCATCTCGTGTGTCGACGGCTCCGAGAACGATTGCAGTATGCGGTTCATGGTTTCTACCCAATGATCCCGAAAAGAGGACTGGATATCAGGTGTTTCAGAAGGGACATATACGTAAAGCGCGATTCTTCGATCTGGACAAGGTCGCAGACACTTCATCGCCATATCCGCATATGCTCCCGAGTCCAGAAGTGTTCAGAGATGCTGTGAGCGAGCTTGGAATCAAGAGGGACGATACTGTGGTGGTGTACGACACGGCTGAGCTGGGTATCTTCTCAGCTCCTCGTGTGGCATGGACATTCAAGGTGTTTGGTCATCCTGCTGTGCACATCTTGAACAACTTCAAGTTGTGGGTTGAGCAAGGATACCCAACGGAGGAGGGCGAACAGAGGCAATTTGACAAGACGGAATACCCATTACCTGAGCTGGACAAGAGTAGGGTTGCTGCATTCGAAGAAGTTCGTGAGATCGCGCTAGATCACAACAAGGAGGGTCATGAGGATGTTCAGATCCTCGACGCTCGGTCTGAGGGTCGATGGAAGGGTGTTGATCCAGAGCCTAGACCAGGCCTATCTTCTGGACATATGCCCGGCAGTCTTCCTGTTCCTGTGCCAGTCCTGCTCGATCCCAAGACCAAGACATTTCTGTCGCCAGATGAGCTTCGCAAGGTGTTCTCGGAGCGAGGTGTGGACCCAAGCAAGCCGATCGTGTCGAGTTGCGGAACTGGTGTGACGGCGACGATCATCGATGCAGCACTGAGTGAAGCCGGATATGGTGATGGAAGCAGAAGGATCTACGACGGCTCGTGGACCGAGTGGGCACAGAGAGTGCGGCCTAGTGACAATCTGATCATCAAAGAGAAGAATTGAATTGACCAAAATGGAGTCCCTCGAAGGGACAAGGCATCGGTTGAGATCTCCCAGTGAGGTGGCCAGGGGACATAGCGGTCTGCCGAACAGTCGCGTGCAAGGTCGCCAATGTACTCGGCAAGTACAGTGGCGGGCGTTCGGTATGGTAGTGCGATGCGCCTTGATGGAGCGTGTGACTGAATACTGTACGTTGTTTGACTTCTACTGCAAGTTGATTTGGCGAGGGAAGTAACAGTAAGATATCCTGAATGTACCCATCTGCTTCTGAACTTTGCCATCAGATGAACCGCACCTGATATGCTCGCCAACGTGTCTGAGCAAGCAAGATTACTAAACAGTTATCAAGCCAGCCAGTTCTCATCGCTCGGCGCCTCGAGGTAAACAAGAAAGCAATTGAGAGAAACATTCAGCACACACCGGTATTCGAACCCCTGACCTGCGCGAACTTTGCGCCAGAACAGCAAAACGACAAGTTGGCGATCCTGTTTATGGGGATCTACCGGAACTAGAATCGGCGATGAGTCGCCAACTTGTCTGAGTAAGCATGTTTGCTTGGAATATATCAACGTCAACAGTGCTTCCGCGGGCAGAGGAACCTTGACAGAACTACAATAGCCACGCCTCGAGTCCAAAGGTAAGAAAGAAGTAAAGACAAAAAGAGCAAAAATCAAGCCATTCGAACCCCTGACCTGCACGCGGCTTGCAGAGCTGCTGGCGCGCAAAAAGCAAAAACAAGCCGACCGCGCTCTATACGTGTGGACATGCCGGAAATCGACAATTCGCTAATCGACTTGTTGGTAAGCATGTTTGCTTGGGATATATAAATGCTGCTGCTGAACACTACCGCAGTTGCCATGGCGTCTTTCCGCCCTGGCAGGCCTATCGATGGCGGCTTGCATTGTGTCACTGTCATGTCTTGATTACTGGTATCGAATCCCTGCCTCGCACGTGGGGTCGAGTGCAGCAAGGTGGTTTCCGTGGCTACGCTCAAGATGTCGCGCGTGGGAAGTGAGTGAACGGTCGTGGTGGATGCCGCGTGTCGTCACTGCCGCTGTTGTCAAGCCAAGACATATCAACGGTTGTTCAAGCTCAATGGCTTTCTTGTTCGCCTGCAGCTCTCCCTTGGCTCGAGCACTTTTTGCATCTTCAAAAAACACGCGTCTCTTCGCGTTCGACCGCCATCCTTGACTTATCCTGAACATTGCTTCAACTACAGCAAAGAACAACAGCACGCAACTTCACACGTACCCCATCAAACAGCACAACACCGCTGCAATGTTGCTCTCAGCCGCCGCCCTCGTGTTCCTTCCACTCACCCTCGCGATGCAACCATTCGACAGCAAGTTGATCGCCGCCAACCGCATGTCTATCCACCTGACCGACGCCGCATCTGGCAACTGCTCCGCTCGCGTCGAAGACAGCCCATGGCTCATCAAAGACGTGATCAGCCTTCAGGCTCATCCAGGCTCGAAGAACGTCAGTAGCACCTTGTGAGCGCACACAATTTTGGCCAGTCGGAATCCACAAACGCTAACATCTCTATAGCACCTTCAGCTTCGAAGACATCAACGCCGGCCTCGAGCTCAAGACCAACTGCACCTTCGCCCTCCCCCGCGGCTCCAATGCCTCGATCGCCGACGATCGCTATCACCTCTGCACTGGTGGCGATGTGCGTTTCAAGTACGATGGCCAATTACTGCAGGTCTCTCGCTGGTACCAAGACCCATGTGAGTTATTCAAGGCTTTTCTGTGATTCGATGAAGGAGGTTGGGCGAGGCACTGACAATGGCTTTGTGCTAGGTCTTGGACCACCACCATACGACAGCGCTATTGCCCACGGCCGCGCCAATCTGAGTCTGACGAAGACTCAGGCTCCATATGGCGAATTGGCTACGCAGACAGAGGTGCAGATTCCGATTAGTGGGTATTCGTGGATCTATGAGTACCGCTCCTGCTAACAATACGCCCCTTCCTAGGTTCGCTCTCTTGAGCTCCGGTTGATGAAGAAGGTGGAACGATGGATACAGGACCGCAACAGCAACAGCCTGCAGAGCGGGACGTGAGTGCGGCGCGAGATACAGATTGACATGAACTTCATTCGCGCTGCCGTATGCAGCATAGAATCCTGAAAGCTGCAGAGCATCTCCGTCTCCGCTCAATAGCTTCAGATACGACCAGAAATCAACTCTACTCCAACAACGGCACATCGTCAAACTCCTTCCTCATGTATACCCTCAACGCATCCAACCCATCTTTCAACACCTGCGTGGCACACACATACCCAAACCTCACATACCCCTTAAATTCCTCCCCAAACAGATCCCCAGGCAAAAGCATCACACCCGTCTTCTCTTGCACATCCTCGCAAAAAGCCTTCGTATCAATCCTCTTCCCATCCCTCTCAAACTTCACAAACGCCGTCGTCCCCGCAACAGGTTTCGTCCAACTCGCATATTCATCATGCTTAATGATCCACTTCTCCAAGATTTCCACATTCGCCTTCGCAAGTTGGATATTTCTCCCTAGTAACGCATGAATTGTATCCGGACTCAGCGCAAATGCCGCAACTTTTTGATCGAGTTTTGATACGCTGATGGTTGTGTAGTCTCGTGTACTTGCACATTTCTCAATGAGCTCTTGATTCCGACTTGCGATCCAGCCGACGCGGAGGCCGGCGAGGGAGTAGGCTTTGGATAATGAGCCGGTGACGACTGTGTTCTTGTACCCAAGGGAGAGGAGAGAAGGAGGGAATTCGGTGTCCATTGGTGCGATGCCGTGGAAGATGGGTCGGTAGACTTCATCAGCCATGATGGTGATATTTTTCGATTCTGCGAAATCGACGAGTTTGTGGAGGAGGGATTTAGGGAGAATTTGGCCGGTGGGGTTTTGAGGATTGTTGATGATGATCAGTTTTGTGGCGGGGTTGGATTCTACGAGGGATTGGAGGTCTTCGATTGAAGGGAGCCATTTGTTGGCTGGGTCGGATTTCCAGAGGGAGACGGTGCAGCCGAGGGATTCGGGGACGGTGTATAGTTGTTGGTAGGTTGGGTAGTGGCAGATTACGTGGTCGTCTGGGCTGAGGAGGGAGTAGAGGATGAGATGGTTGGCGGCGATGGCGCCTGGGGTTATGAGGACTCCGTCGGGGCTCAGAGGTGTGCCTACTTTGCCGGAGTAGAGTCGAGAGAGGTTCTCGCGGAGAGCGGCGCTGCCGCGGATTTCGCCATAGGTTTGGGGATCAGAGAGGTCGATCAGATCGCTAGGCTTGAGGTCCTTGTTCTCCGAGAGCTCGACGAGCTCGTTGATTGAGAGGCTGTGACAACACGTTTCGGCAATGTTGTACTTGCATTTCGTTTCGTACTTGTCCATCCACTATGCCTTCCTTAGCTCATAGTCATAGCGCTTGCAGCGATTTGCTTACTTGTTCCACGCCGAACGGTTGTGGAGGCGACATATTGGCTGCTCGTCTCAACTACTTCTACGTTACCCGGATTGAACTTGGCTGTGCTGGGGAAGACTGTGTAACCAATGATGGCCAAGAATATAAGTAGTGACGAGTCAGATATATGTAGCGATGTTCGGAGTCTGGGGCAGTTTAGACTCGGCTTAGGTAACTCCTCCACTTCGCCGGAGAGGGTCTCGTGAGAGTTCTAGATGCACAGAATCTTGAGTGGTCGGCATCGCATGCCGTGACGATTTCGATCATCAGACCTGAAGGCCGCTTACATGTTGTCGTGAAGGCACGGAGTCGCATTTACGAACAAATGGAGTGATAGAACTTGAGCTCGTGGGCATGACATCGCTCGGCGGATTGCCATGTGCTCTCTTGACAGGGGTCAGATGAGCCGCGGCGGCTGCGCCGCGATTGCTCGATTGGATCGACGGCAGCTTAGATACGCTCCGTCTTGACATCTTGCTGCTGCTGTTGTGTATCATCGCGTGTGTCGCTCCATCCTGGAGGAACACGCTGTTGTCTGCCTGCGTTGCACTTCATCCTCTCCTCATGCGATAACCACGACGTCGCCGCTCCGGCCTCAATCCACCGCCCGTCGACCGCGATAGACTACTCCCAGGCAACCTCGCCATGTGGCGTTCATTATGCGCTGCGTCTGTCGTGACGCTGCTGTCCTTTCCATGCACGGCCTCGGCTGCCTTCAGTACGAACGAATTCTACACCACCAACGCTGATCTCCTAGCTCGAAACGATCCCTTCAACCTGTTTGTCCGCGAGAAACGACCCGAGGACTGCCCGCCATGTTTCAATTGCAACCTTGACGATTTCAAGTGCATGCAATACGGCAACTGCACCAAGAGCAGTGGCAAGTGCTCTTGTCCCTCTGGATTCGGTGGCGAAGATTGTAGCCAGCCGCTCTGCGGCTCTCTAGCAGATGGCAAGGACAGGTTGCCACGAGAAGGCGATCAATGCAGTTGCAAAGATGGGTGGGGAGGCATCAACTGCAACGTGTGCGAGACCAATGATGCGTGCAATGCTATGATGCCGGAAGGCAAGGACGGCATTTGCTACCGGGAGGGCTTGGTCCAGAAGGAGAACTACCAGATGTGTGATATCACGAACCGCAAGATTTTGGACACACTTAAAGACAAGAAGCCGCAGGCTACCTTCAGCTGTAATGCTGAAAGGGCAGAGTGCAATTTCCAGTTCTGGGTGGATCAGAAAGAGAGCTTCTACTGCGCACTCGACACATGTACCTGGGATCTGAAGGCGACGGATACCAAGAACACAACCAGCTACCACTGTGAACATATCAAGTGTTCGTGTGTTCCAGGTCGCATGCTCTGTGGCGAGAAGGACAGCATCGACATTGGTGATTTTCTGGATCAATCCATCCAGGGACCTGCAGGCTTCACCTCTGTCAGCAGCCTAGATGGAAAAGGAGATGGCAGCACTTTCACTGAGCCGGCCATGAACGATCTGATATCGAACGTGTTCGGAGATCCAAGCATCATGCTCAAGTGCCACAGCGGTGAGTGCCTGTACAAGAATGAGGTTCCAGGATACACCAGGCCCATCAAGACCATCAACACACCACTAATTGCTGGGGTGATCTCTGGTGTTGCGCTCTTTATAGTGGCGCTCGTGCTGCTCATTTACTTCATGAACCGGAGAAGCGTGAACAAGTGGGGCTACATTCACCTGTCGGAGGACGAAGAGGAGGAGAATGCCAGATTGTTGGCAGACCACAAGCCAGCGTCCTTGTTCTTCGAGAATGTTGCCTACAACATCAAGGGCAAGCAGGTCTTGACAAATGTCTGTGGTGCTGTGCATCCTGGTGAGCTGCTCGCAATCATGGGCGCATCAGGTGCTGGCAAGACGTCCTTCCTTGACATTTTGGCACGCAAGAAGAAACGAGGCCTTGCCACCGGAGACTTTTATCTCAACGGAGAGAAGATCCCTGACGACGACTTCAGGAACGTCATTGGCTTTGTGGATCAAGAGGACACCTTGCTGCCAACCTTGACTGTGCATGAAACGATTCTGGACTCTGCTCTGCTTCGCCTTCCCAGGGAGATGAGCCGCGCTGCAAAAGAGCAGAAAGTAGAGGATGTCGAGAGACAACTCGGTATCTTCCACATCAGACACCAAATTATTGGCTCTGAAGAGAGCGGACGTGGCATCTCTGGCGGCGAGAAGCGCCGCGTTGGCATTGCCTGCGAGCTGGTGACCAGCCCAAGCATTCTGTTCCTGGACGAGCCAACCTCAGGCCTCGATGCCTACAATGCGTTCAATGTTGTGGAATGTCTCGTTACTTTGGTCAAGAGCTACAACAGGACTGTTGTGTTTACTATCCATCAGCCACGCTCGAACATCGTGGCCTTATTCGATCAACTCATCCTTCTTTCACAGGGTCGCACTGTCTACAGTGGACCCTTCCGCGAATGCCAGAACTACTTCGACAGTATAGGATATTCGTGTCCGCCTGGTTTCAACATTGCAGACTACTTGGTAGATCTGACGATGCATGCCACTGCAGGCCACGACTCAGACGACATCGAGGACGACTATCAGTCCCAGACTGATGGGAGGATTACTAGAGCAAGCTCTACTATGGCTGTGAAGAGCATTGCCAGTGTCAGCAATGTCAGTGTCGGCGAGTCGACAAACGAGAGCGCTGAGCACAACGTAGTGCGACCGCGAGGCAAGCGTAGTCTTAGCATTCGCCAGCAGCAAGAGAGGCAGCTGTTCTCTAGGAAGAGCACAGAAGTGCCTACCAGCTCGCACAGTGTGCAGAGCGAGGGTGAGAGCACATTTGGTGACCAAGACAGCACGCGGCAGCAATGGCTCAAGTTATCCAAGCAGCAAGGAGCACCTCCCCCTCAGATCTTGGACGATCCTCACAACCTCCCACCAGCAGTACAAGGCGCGACTGGAACCAGTCTAGACTACTTGGTCGCCTCTTATCAACAATCAGAGGTGGCAGCTGAGTTGCGCAGCGATCTTCAGAACGCCATTTCTGGAGCAGGACACAGCAATGGAAATGGCAATGTTCCCGGGTCACCAAACGGAACAGCCAGCAGTAAGCAGTTCAAAGGATACCGAAAGCCATGGATCACCGCGCAGTTCGTCATTCTCTCACGGAGAACGTGGCGTAATCTCTACCGCAATCCGATGCTCATGCTCACGCACTATGCTATTGCCATTGTGCTAGCAGTGTTCCTGGGCTTCCTCTTCTACGGCCTCACAGACGATCTGAAAGGATTCCAAAACCGACTCGGCTTCTTCTTTTTCTTGCTGGCGCTCTTCGGCTTCAGCACTCTGACCTCACTCACCGTGTTCGCACCCGAGCGTCTCCTCTTCTTGCGCGAACGCTCCAAGGGCTACTACAACCCTCTGGCATACTACCTATCCAAGGTCGTCTTCGACATTGTCCCTCTTCGCCTCATTCCACCTTTCATTATGGGCTGCATTGTCTATCCCATGACAGGTCTCATCCCCGCCTGGAGCGAATTTCTGAAATTCATGCTCTTCATTGTGCTTTTCAACCTCGCTGCAGCTATGATCTGCCTGACCATCGGCATCTGTGTTCGCAACCAAGGCGTTGCGAATCTCCTGGGCGTCTTGGTGATGCTCTTCAGTCTGCTTTTCGGAGGCTTTTTACTCAACCAGGAAACTATTCCTCGACCACTCTTGTGGTTGCAATCGGTACGTTCTATTCATTCACCTACATCCTGCTTACAGACAACTTTGACTGACTTCTCACCACAGCTCTCCATCTTCCACTACGGCTTCGAAGGTCTCATCGTCAACGAAGTCCGATACTTATCTCTCGTGGACAAGAAGTACGGTCTGAATATCGAAGTTCCTGGCTCAGCGATTCTGTCGAGTTTTGGCTTCAATGTTCTGGCTTTATGGCAAGATGTAGTGGGTTTGTCAGTGTTCTGTGGTGTTTTCCTGGTCCTCGGGTATGCGGCGATACACTTTTTATTGGTTGAGACGAGATGAGAGGAACTGGTTACTAGCTATGGCATGAGGGTACGACTCTGTTGTTGCTTGCTGTAAATACCTTGCTTGCGCTTGTGCGCAAGTGTATGTATACATGTTAGAGGACGCGAATGGACGACAGGAAGCGTTCTTATGGGTGATAGAATGGACTGGTGGTATCAATGCTTTGAGGTGTGAGAAATGGAATGACAAATATGATCTTACGATGACTGCCGTTTGTCTCTTGTGAATTTGTTTCTGACTTCTGACTTCTTTCAACTGTGATTCGTCCCTTCATCCGTCACACGACTCATGTACGCTATACTACCTTTCCTGTCAACTGTAGTTGTGTGGTGGTAGGATCAACCGGCTGCGTTTTGCTCTCTCCCACATCGTCGGGCGGTGCACCGACAGCACCATCCAGAATTACCCTTCTTTGATTTTTCCCCTCTTCTACCTTCTTCTACTTCGTCATCATAATCTTGCTCCTCAATCGAAGACGGATGCTGAAGCACAGTCATCTTGATACACATCTGAAGCTCTAACTCTTCCTTGTCTTGCTGAGCAACGTTATCGGCAAACGCAAGTCAGACGACTTCTCACTCTGGCGGCCAGTATACTGTTCCGAGCGAGTGAACTGTCAGTCAGGCAGCACGTGGGTATGTCATAGTATACTATCTCTGGCATCCGAAACAACTGAAAGACCCTTTGTGAAGCCTGCTCATGAGCCTCATCAAACAAACGCTGAGAGTTTCGTGAGTGAGAAGTTGTGAGTTCGGGCTTTTGTCATTCATTCATGTACATGTGTGTGCTGCAGCTTGCAGGCTTCTGAGTATCATCTTGTCATTGCTGTTCGTTGTTCGGGATTTGACGCGGACGTAAAAAGATTTGGCCTTACATGTGCTTGCAGAGGCTGGAGCTGGCTTACACCGCAAAGGATGGCAGCTGTGTGAGATCCTGCAATCATGGGCCATGATGTTGGGTCAGTAAACGCCGCGGCGCCACATCACAAAAGTCCACTAACGATGAGACGGATGAGCCTTGGGTTGGATGTATCGTGGTATCTCTGTAAGAGCTGATGGCTGCTAGCTCGATGCATAGCAGCCCATAGAGCGGAGAAGTGGTCACAGAGTTGGGCGAAATTCTTGCGCATCGGTGGTGGCAACGGAGAAAGAGCTTCTGGTTAGACGTTGTAATGATGATGTACGCCACCCAGCAGTGACTCCTTTCTGGGCACAAGGATGCTATGGCATTAGCAAGTCAGTGTGCTGTCTGCTTTGGGACACTGGTTAGCGCCCTGTCCTTCTTTCGGAGAGCTTGGAAGACAGCGCAATACCAGTGCCATGCCAATGGGAAAGGAGGAGCCTAGGATGTTCAACGTGGCGGCGGCGATTTTTGTACGAAACACATGGATAGTATGCCAACAGAAGTCAGTATCTTCCTGTTCTGGGCAGCGATGGGCGCTTGCGTCCGTACGTATCAAGTTTCGGTGCTCCTGAGAGTCGGAAAGTGCGAATGGCTGAAACGTGCGAACTGGTGGAGGGCGTGGTGTATGCGCTGTGCTCTCGGTAACTCGTGCTGGCGATGAGAGGTTCCATGTTGGCTGGGATATCGATGCTTGGGCAACCACACCACTTCACACTTTTTTTTTCGGCGGCATGATTTGACACCGGCGGCTATCAGGCCGCTATACGATGGAGGTACGCGTTGGTGTTGCCTTCGATGTGATTTCACGCCAGGGGGAGCTCGTGGTCCTTCCGTACCGCGTGTGATCGCTGGGGTCATTGGAAGATCCGATGGCAGAATTGTGGAAGTTGGCATGGTGGTGGTAATATACGCGTGGTACAACAGCTGCGTACCGGTATCGTGCGAACGGAACACTGTCTCCACGCTCACGCGGGCAAGCAGACAAAGTGTATCACGTTGTTGCTGGTCTCATCAGCAAGCGTGTTCCATGGCACGAGTGAGCCAACATGTCGCTGCTGTGGTACTGCTGGGTTGAGGGGAGCATCAATTCCCCAGTGCGGAAGCTATGACGTCCAAAGTAGGTTCTGCGTGAGTTCGGTAGCTGTCGCCTTCAATACACGAAGTTGTGGCGAAAGCCTGGAAGGGCAGCTGATATGGGGGAAGGTTTGTCAAAAGAAGGTGCATTTGGCCAACCTAGGAAGCATGTCCTCGTTCTGATGGATGCAGCGGCAATTGATCAGCACGGGACCGAGCGGATACCGTAGGATGCAGTGTTGAAGACGCGTTGAACGCGTTCGCGCGTTCAGCAAGCATTCGTGAACGTGATGGGGGAATCCCAGCCGCTGATACGGGAGGCGGCGGGAGACCATTGTCTCGCCAGCATTGCAGCGCGGTCATGTTGACGCCCTGCTGGCGATAGCTTAGACAACGCACCGGCAGAAGCGGACGTCGTTGGTGACTTGGCGTGTATGGGCGGAGCAAGCATTCCGTGCTCGTGGTGGAATATCGCGAGCAACAGGGCAGTGGAGCGCGAGAACTGGGTAGTGTACTGCGCCACAGGTGGGCAAGCGAAAGTGAATTATACGGGCGTGTCCGACCACTCCCTCGGGACAGATTTCGAGGTTCGAAACTGCGTACACCATCTTCTCCTGTGGTTGCACTGGACGGCCTGCCTGGCCGATTTTGGATGGCTTCACTGGTTCTTTCCAGTTTCCTTTGGATCACTCATCAGCATATCATGTCGTCTGATGGGTTGCAACTTGCAAAGACCTCAGCTCGCCGAGACTTGTGCCATCTGGGTCGAGCGTAGCGGAATGACGCGTTGTGAACGCGACCCCGGAGCACGCGATCTGGCGAAGTCTAACCTGCTTAAGCTCAGGGCTGTGGCTGCAGCAGAAGCGAGCGCTGGAACGTTTGATGAGCATTTGGAAGTGGCGGGCGTCACATCACTGGACGATTTGATGAGGGGCCACCCACTCGTATCTCACATCCTCATCTGCCCCCAATGTTCATGAATGATACGTGTACGGTTTGAGCAAGTACAGTGCGTAACGCTGAGGTGGCCTCCGAGACCGAGTTCCCTGCCAGGCGGTCGTAAAACTCACACAAGCGTCCGCACAGTGAGCCGAGTCAGTGCCCTAGGTGTCTCCAATTTCAGCTGTTGTTTCTGGCGAAAGCCACACCGACCGAGGCCTCTGATGGCAATGCGAGAAAGAAGTCACTGCACGATACGATGCAAGTTCCCGTGGACCTGTGATTCTGCGCACATGTGCATAATAAGGCTGCCCGCTCGTACTGCACCAGCGCGTCTATGTCTGCTGAAGAGCCCGTGTCCAATGTTGCTGTGTTTTCCCGAAAACGTCAAGCGCGGCTCTCCATCAAAGGCTAGTTGAATCGTGGACCAGTAGTACGAGAGTACAATGCGCTACCGGTGAATGCGAGATCCTTTCCGAGCCGCAATCGTGCAGATAGTTGCGAGAGCAGCCGTCTTTTGCTGGTGAAGAGAGGCGGCACCACGCTGGCGCAGGGCTGGGCAGACCGTGTGAAGAAGGCTAGGCGCTCCTGCCAGCGGAGCGTGCGTGATAGCAGACGTGGCTTCTTCGAGACTGGCGTTGAAGATCATGAATGTATCGAGTCGTGCCGCAACGGACCATACAAAGTCAAGACTTCAGATCGAGATCTGGTTGTAAATTGAGGGCCAGCCTTTGCATTTCTGAAGCAGGTCCAGGGTGCTCAGGAACTTGCACCTAGGAGAGCTGTCCGCCAGGGTTCGAGGTCCCTGAGTGAAGCTCTCGACATGTGAAAGTCTTTCCGGACGCAAGGCGACTTTTGGTGAGCTGAATCGGAGTACGTATATATGTTGTAAAGTGAATGTGGTAAGTGGGTGCGACGCACGTTACCTGCGGACCTAATGCAACTGCTCGCATGGTATCTTCTCCGATGCTACGTCATGTCTCGCGTTCTTGTACAGCACGCGACACAAAACACACGCGTAGATTGCTTGTGAAATTTTGCCGGCTTAGTCGTGTCGTAGCGTGGAGTGGAACAATGTTGTGTCTCAGAGCGTTGGTGGGCTCTGGTCTCGCCTGGCTCACCGTAACGGCATTGCCGCGGATCTTCGGAATCATTGCATACAGCATTCGTGTGAGCTGCATGGGCGGCGCAAGGAGGAAGAAAAAAAAAAGCGAGCGGACAATGGCTAAGAGCATGCTGTAGCACAGCTGGGATCCGCCCAGAGTGCCGAACTCGCGTTTCATCCTCGCATTTGTGCACGCCGGGCAACCGAACGACGCGACATACCAACGCAATGTGCAACTAAAGATAGCAAGATATTCATTCGGTTTTCATGGGCGATCCAATTTGGCACAGCAACGAAGACGATTTGGGGATGCGAGTTTCTGAGACATGCCGCGTGCTGAGCATCCATGCAGTGACAGACTGTAGCAGTTGCGTTTGCGTACTCGCGTGTCTCTCGTCCGGTGCATCGAGCAGGAGCTCCAGGATGGGTGGGTATGTGATGCTGGCAACCGTGGTCTGAGGGTTTCTACGATGTAGTGCCGGTGCCACGATGGGCGTTTGCAGTGTCCACAGCAAAGCCAGCGAAACCAGCCTGGCGTCCATAGACCGACTGTGATCTGCGGCAGCAAGCAAACAATTGTGCAACATTGATATCTGGTCGACGGCAATGCTGCGTTCAGATGGCTTGCCTCGTCCTGCTGCAATTTGACGTACATGCCTGGGATCCCAGGGTGCGAGTAGCCGCTCTCAAATGGAGATCGGAGACTAGAAAGCGCTTAGGAGGCGGTTTGGAAGCCTTTGGGCGGTGGATGATGAGATTTGGGGCAATCAAGCCAGTGCGAACGCCCACTTTGGCCTCGTCGTGTCTCGCGGACGCGTCTGCCAGGACACGCGGGTAGAGTGCATGCAGCTCTCGATGAGGAGCAGAGCCGAATCTCTGGAGCGCCTTGGTCGTTGTATGCGTGGTAGCGACCTGCAAGTGCTGGGTTTCCGCAGGAGGTTCGGGCGAGGATGAGTGGCCGTCAGCGCACCGGGGGCTAACTCAATGAGCGGTAGCTGCATAAGACAGCGAAATGGCTGGCGGCTGTGATTCGACGGCGAGATTGTGGATCTGGACGCTGGCCGCTGGACATGGCTACGAGCACCAGCGCGCGCTCCGCCTGGCAGACAACGTGAAGCGTGGAGGCCGTGGCGTGCAGGACATGCGGCGGATGCTCAGTAGCAGAAGAGCAGACAGGACAACACAGCACCGGACAGGGCATGTCCCACAGGGGGCAGCTGGAGCGTCGTGTGAGCGGGATGGGGCACGGCACAGCACAAGCCACAGCTGCTGTGAGCCTGCCGAGCCTGCATACTAGAGACGGCGGTCGAATGATGGATCTGCAGGAGTCTCTCGCCGGCCACAGCTGACACGCACAAAACGTCTGGGCTTTGGCACAGAGTGAGTTGCCGTAGTTAGACACGACCGTCGGCTGGCGCTGGGTCGTTGCATGATGGGCCGTGAGCGCAGCAGAGTTTCCTGACCTTGCAGCCAAGCGACGTGCAAGCGTCGGCGGTGGATCGCTAGGATCAGTGTCTGTGTGCAGCTTGCTCTGCTCTCCTCTCCTTCACCTCCGTCGTTGTCCTTCGTTTTCCACCCCAATTTGCAATGGATCATTGAGCAGGGAGTCGATTATTCGCCGCGGATTCGGCATCATCCTCTCCACTCCCTCTCCTTGCCGCTGGCCTTGTCATAGGTGCTGTGACCGCTGCAAATTGTGCTCCGGTCAGCCTCGACACCAGCACCACCTCGTCCTCATCAAAAACGTCGACCTCTCCTCTTCGTTGATCGTAGAGCTCCCTGACGTCCGCATCCTCCCAACCGCTCCGACATCTTGCACCATCAACCTCGACGTCGACAGGTCTCGTGCCCACCTATCAGCCTGCTCCTGGATCGGCTCGTGTGCTGCCATCAACTCGAAAGGTAAGAGACCATCATCCATCACCGTGCATGCACCAGGAACACGGACACGGAAGGACACCTCGACACGAATGGAGACGGCGGCGGCGGGTCACGTATGATGGGAACATCGAGAGAGGAGAAGAAGAAGGTGCGGTGCTTGCTGGAGGCTTTCCGTCGTGGCTGCCCACAGGTGCAGCGTGCCTGCCGAAGGTGAATCAGTACGACCGGAGAGTGTCGAGAGGTCTCAGCACTGCAGATACCATCACAGCAGTCGAGATCGTGGTTCAGGCAGCAAATCTCCTCCTCACGCCCGACCCGCCGTCACGTCCCCTTCCTCGAACCCGCCAGGAGTACTACACTCGACATACGGCCCGTATTCGGCACTCCCATTCGACTCTACCTGACAGACTGAGGGCTGTGGTGTCCGGCGTTGTTGTTGGCCGCTCGAGAATCCCGTTGGTTGTACATGCAACGAGCACGGGCACCATGGCATCATGTTGGGACTTGACAACATGCCGCCCGTTCACCTGAACAATACATCGACTGTACGATATCCTCTGGCATCGAGGTGTGGCGTCAGTACTCAAGGTTCAACAGCCATTGGCCATCGCATTCCTTACGAGCGTTCTGGAACGGGCAGGCAATTCCAGCGTCAAATTTGTCTCTCCTGCACCACACCTCAATACAGGCAACCATTGACGAAGCTCACCATTTCCTGGGACCTGCATGTGATCAATGACAGTCCGTTCAGTTCTGATGCTGACTTTTCCATCACAATAGCTGCAAATCATTGTGCTCACTTCAGACAAGCTTCAGTCGACCACGTTGCAATCTGTGCAGAAGAGTTACTCCCATCCTACAAGGCCAGGAGTGACGGTTGCTCAGGTATGCTACTATCATTTTATTGAAAGCCGACCCTCGGCTCGGAACCTCCTTGCCTCATCGTGCATTTCTGTGCAAACGAATTACTGACATTCCCCAGATTCTTCGCAGACTCCTGCACGATCACCCTCGATCCACTCAGCATTCACCAACACCTGTGGAGGCGTTAGCTCGCTCTCTGCACTTGGCACCCACATCCCAGGCGACCGAGAACAATCTGCTGGAACCTTGACCCAATCGGTTACCTCACCGTGGCTCGCAAGGAGACGATTCGTTCTGCAGCCCACCTCGCTCTCACCAAATAGCATCACAGTAATCTAATTCTCAAGGTATGCACCCCAGTCGCGCCGTTAGCTGATCGTGCTCTACGTAAGGTTCATGGTACCTACTCGAAGACACTTTCACGCGCACCCACCCAGCGAACGCCCCACAGCTCACACATTTTAGGCCTCACCAGCCGTTGTCCATAACACCTTCATTCGGCTTTTCGTCGAACGATCACTGTTCTGGATTGTTCATTCACTGGGTTCTACAATACCAACTAATCACGTTCATTCACGACCGGCCTCGTAGTGAGGATTCACACTCTTTAATACAGTTCAACTGCTGGGCATCCACTCTTTTGCACACCCGGAAAATCTCGACTTGCGACGACTTGTCAATCCTGGAGACTTGACAACACGTTCACCAACCGCACTGGAACCTCGTTACCAACATGGCGTACCAACCTCAACAACAGTCTCAGCAACTAGCTGGCCCAAGAACCTTTGCCTCTTTCGGTTATTGCGATTCGTACTTCGTGGAAAGTCACGATGACGATGAAGGTATCTTCGCACGAGCGGCTGCAGAACGTGAGCGGGCCCGCAACGTGGCCAAGCTCAGGCAAAAGGCCCTCGGTGAGGAATTGTCACGAGCGACTGCCGACGAATACCAGGAGGACGTTCTTGACCACATGGAGCACATGGAGACCGAAACCATGCCCGACATCCACTCGATCGAGATCCAAACTGAGATTCAATGGTTCATGCGCCCGTACCTCCTGGACTTTCTGCTTGAAGCCCATCACGCCTTCCAATTGCTGCCGGAGACTCTGCACCTCGCTGTCAACCTGCTCGACCGATACTGCTCAAGACGGGTGGTCTACAAGCGCCACTACCAGCTCGTTGGCTGTGCAGCGCTCCTCATTGCCGCCAAGTACGGTGATCGCAAGGAACGTGTACCCACGATCCGGGAGCTGAAGTCCATGTGCTGCTCACTCTATGACGATGACATGTTCACCCAAATGGAGTGGCACGTGCTGCAGACTCTGAACTGGGTCATCGGCCATCCTACAGTCACCAGCTTTCTGCAGCTTGCCCTGACGGAAGTCGCTTTCGATCCTGAGCTGGAGCACATGTCCTGGTATATTTCCGAGTTGGCCCTGTATCACAAGGAGTTCATCCCCTCCCGGCCATCCGTTATGGCTCGATCTTCTCTCGCACTGGCTCGTTGCATCCTCAACAGGCCGCAGTCCCGGTACGATGATTGGTCTGCACGATACGATCCTCAGGTGGTACTCAACCTGTCCAACCACCTGGCTCACCCTTCGCAAGCGCTCCTACGCAAGTACGCATCGCCTCACTTGTCCTCTGTGTCAACAACCATCGACCTGTTCCTCAAGCACCAGGCCATGCTTGCTCAATCACAGCGAGCTCAAAATCAGACCCCTGTCAACGAGTCCCAAATGGAAATCGACTCTCAGCCCGGACCCAACTCGTATCTCACACCACAAACGCCACAAAAGGTCGGCTATCACGCCGGATCGTTTGGCATGCTGACACCACCCATCACTCCGGACAAGGACCAGATGGCCGTCAGCACTTATGGTGCGAACCCAGCATACGTGAACCGCGCAGCCCACTGTGTCCCTACTCCTCCCTCAGCGGGCGAACAAATGCATCACAACAACTTTGCGATGCAACAACAAACGTACATGTCGCAGCCACAGTTCGTGCAATAGCGGACTTGGCCGTCATCCCTTTGGCCAAACACCAAGGTCGGGCACAAGCCAGCTGCTTACGGCAGCATCTGTTGTATCAACAACTGTACAAGGAAAACATCTCACAATACGGTGGGACGTACCTATTGTACGTGTATGAACGTCATAGCATTCAGCACAGCATTGAAGCGAGCGTTGCATTTTTTGAGCATTTTCTTTTGTGTGTAGCCTCCGCCACGTCGTTTTCATGTAGCCAGCCAAAAAGAAGCTCGGCACATAGACGGGACGGGGCAAGGAGGACAGCATGTACGGGTAGTCTATCTGGGTCGGGTACATGGAGTCGGAGAGATTCTGGAGCCCCCAAAAAGCAGAAAGCATATTTACCTCGTGGAATCAGACTGAGCAAAATGGAAGCCGGGAACAGAATCAGAAGATCGTTCACACGCACACATACAAGGATCCGGCGACGGGCGCCGGCAAGACTCGATCTTGCACTTTTTTTAAGCGTTTTTTGCTATCTGCACTCGGATTCGAGTAGCAGCGACAGATACCCCCCATGTTTATAAAAAATGCCATAAACAATTCCGAAGTTCGCCCTGTTCGTTCAATGAGTGCTCGTGCACGATTTAATGGAATTCCTAGTGACACATAGGCTGGCAACTCCCGTTCACCGTCTCGAAAAGGTGGCACCTTCGGAAGCGAGGTCACCGCTGCATGGAATGAATGCTGCATAGTCTGCCTCAGGAGGACGAGTCCTTCTTCGTGCCATCACTCCTCCGCAGCGGATCCAAGATACCCTACCTCTATAAACGGAAGACCTGCCAAATCTCAAGTCGCAACATGAGATCGGGGGAATATTGCCCGATTCCCATCTTGCCATTTGTGACTAGTGAGGATCGAGACGAGGATGCATTCCTTGGATCCGGTCTCCTAGCAGCATCGTTGTTTTAGGGCGCCAGACATACGAGTGTACATGGTAATAACATTGCGTGTTTTCAATTCCCTCCTGATCTCCACCTCGGCCGTGCTATCCCGTTTGTTACGTCTGACTTCTTCAAAGGATGATCTTCAAATCGTGCCTTCACAATCTCCGTGACATTTCGATCACTTCTGGTCAATGCTGAGATGGCGAGTCGTTCTGGCCAGCAAACTGGCATGCACTGTCCTTCACAAATGCCCACACTCCTGCACGGCATGGATCAAAGCTTCGAGGGCATCGGAAGTGAGGTCCGGCTGGAGCAAATGCACACTAGCCACATGTGGCTAGTGCTAGCGCCAACCGAGCACCTCTCTAGCGAAAAAGTTTGGATAGCAAGTTGCACATCGAAGGTAGGACCGATCAACGGATTTCAGGCAAGCGCTGCAAAAATGTCTGTCTAGACGGCGTCCGCCCAAACGTCTACGAATATGGACGTCCATCGCTCGCGCTTCGTGCAATATCCTGTACGACCCATCACAGCAATCGCTTTCACACGATCCAGCGATGAAAAGCTTCCGAAGGGCTTCCCGCAGCCGACGCTGAGATTGGCGATTGGGAGAGATAATGGGCAAATTGAGATATGGAATCCTCTAGGAGGAAAGTGGGTGCAAGAGACGGTGTTTCCAGGCGCAAGCAGCAAGAGCATCGATGGGCTGGTGTGGACTCGAGAGCCAGATGAGACAAATTTCGATGGCGAACCGGTGCTGGGTCAACACAGACTTTTCAGCATAGCATCTTCTCCGGATGTCACAGAATGGGATCTTGAGAAGGGCGCGACGAAGAAGAAGAGCACGGGAAATTTTAGCGAGGCGTGGTGTTTTGCTGCGCAGCCGAGACAACTGCCTGGTGGGAAAGAAGAGCTGAGATCACAAGATTTGGTTGCTGGGTGTGGTGATGGGTCGATTGTGCTTCTGTCTACGGCGGACAATGATTTGCAATTCCGGCGATTTCTGGCTCGGGTGTCTGGCAAGAAGGCGAAATGCATGAGCATCACCTACCAGACAAGAGATCGGGTCGTGGCCGGGTTCGCTGACAGCAACATCCGGATCTTTGACACACGAAACGGCAGCATACTGAGGACTATGAGCTTGGGAGCAGGTGTGCCGCCAGCGCCTAAGACCAAATTCGTCTGGAAGGTCAAGTGCTTGCCGAATGGAGATATTGTGTCTGGAGATTCGAATGGGGACGTCGTGTTCTGGGATGGGAGATCCTACTCTTTGACGCAGAGGATCAAGGGTCACGACTCTGACTGTATCGACATTGTCACGAGCGAGGACGGACAGACGATTTTCACTGGCAGCTTGGACGGCAGGCTTGCGGTGTACCATCATCTGACGAATCCTGCTGGCCGCAAATCATGGGCGAAAGCGCATCACAGAAGGACGCACACCAAGAGCGAGGTGAAGGCCATGGCGTCTTATGACAGCAAGCACATGAGCGTGGTCGTTTCCGGTGGCGGTGATCTGGCTCCCGTCGTTACTCCCCTCCGAGAATATGGCAAGGAGTATATACGGACTCTGCCACATCTGCCACAGCAACCTCCAGTAACAAGCGCTCGTCAGGCCAGGCTACTTGTGAGCTGGGCTGAGAACAGCATCAGCATTTGGAAGATTGCACGAACACAGACTCTTGACTACACCCCAGAGGCCGAGCCACCTCGCAAATTAGTCGCGAAGATTGCGCTCAACACAAAGCAGACGATCCGGTGTGCGGCAATCTCAGACGACGGCAAGGTACTGGCCGCTGCCACAGATGCAGAGATCAAGGCTTTCCAGCTGCGCAAAAGACCAGACTCGGAAGTCCTCGTCCCTCGCAAGCTGGATGTACCAAGTGCACTCAGCTCGGAAGGTGCTCGTTCGTTACGCTTTTCTCCCGACAGCAAGTGGCTAGCCATCGTTAAGCTGGATAACGAAGTTCACATCGCTCGCACCGCCGCCGTCCCGGACAAGCCGAAGCACGTTCAGATTCTGGGTCGCACAGTGGAGCTGGAACGGCGTCACAGAAAGTTGGCTTCGTTGGATGCCTTCCGAAGCTACGATCAGTCAATCACACGGCTTACTTTCTCTTCTGATAGCAGTGTCTTGGCCGCAGGCGACGTGTCTGGACATCTCGACACATGGGTTCTAGAAGGCAACGAAGATCCCACTGCACCAGCATTCGATGTCACAGCTGATGATGCGAGGGGCGGTGACTCGGACAATGACTCTTCCTCAGACAGTTCTGACGACGAGGACGACGAACTCGTGGTGTACTATGGCCAGCACTGGGCTCAGAACCCGGCCGCACACCTCCTCCCAAAGTTGGACAGCACTCCTCTCGTTTTATCTTTCCGGCCCACTCTCAACCATGCAAGATCGAATGACTTGGTCAATGGCAACCCTGGAGTTCACTCAACCAGGCAGAATCCACATGCACATTCGCATGAACTGCCAAAAGGCCCTTACAAGCTCTGGGTTATGACTGCCAAACACCAAATGTACGAATTCGACGTCCTTGCCGGCAGATTGACTGACTGGAGTCGAAACAACCCAACCTCAGCCTTGCCAGAGGACTTCAACAAAGTTCGAGATCGCGTTATCGATGCTGTCTGGGATGTCTCTGCTCAGCGAGAGCGGATCTGGTTGTACGGCTTCAACTGGCTATTCATGCTGAATGCCTCAGCGGACCTGCCTTCCAAAAAGCGCAGACAGAGTACCAGCGGCGGTGCAGCTGATTTGCAAACTCCAAAGCGCGTGAAAACTAGTGGTGCAGGGAGCAAGAGAACTGCTGCCGATCGAGACGGTCTGCCAGGAAGGGTGCTGCGCGTCGAGAATGGGTCACAAATGGACGTCGACCTGGACAGCCAGCAGCAACAAACAAGGCCTGAATCTTCCGAAGTTGATCAGGATGACCTGGATGACGAGGAGTCTGAGCTTCGATTGACGCGCGTAAAGAGCACGGACGATCAGGCTGATTCTGGTGTTGTCGCGTCAAAGGAGAAGCCTTGGTGGTTGACGTTCAAGTATCGCCCTATACTAGGTGTTGTGCCATTGGAAGACAGTTCTGTTTCGAGTACTGAGGAGGACCGAGTGCTGGAAGTTGTGATTGTCGAACGGCCGATGTGGGATATTTTGGAAGGCGCGAAAAATGGGAAGTAGGATACAGAGAAATGATGAGGAAGCTTTTGTAACACTACATGTATATTGAAGTGTTGTTCGTTCCTCTCAGGTCATCATGTTAGAAACAACTATGCCATGCTATTCGTGGTATCATCGCATGCGCAAGAACCAAAACTTCTTTGCGCGGGGATTGCATTCTTCTTCCTTTCTTTCTTTCGCGACGCTTCGTTGCAATCCAATTTGCCGACCGAATTGACCAAAACTCCGTCGCGATGCTTTTCGCTCGTAGGTGATCAATCATCAAATCATACCAAGTCCCAATCTCATGCTCTTGTCACAGGTTCTACGAATGCCTATAAGGCTCATACCCAGCCTGCGGCGCAGCATAAGGATTCGACTGCCCATACTGATGCAACGGAACCTGATCATGATCGGCCGCACCCATATAAGGCGACTCGACACGTTGATAATCCCCCGTCTTTTCAACCTTCAAGCCCCCACGTCCTCTACCCTCTTCCATTCCATATCCCATTCCCTTCGGCTCAGCCTGCAATAGTCCTCCCTTGTTCGATTTATGATGTGGGTTACTCTTTCCCGAACAGCAGCAAATGCTAAACAGCCAGAAAATTGTGGCGCCGAGGGAGAATGCTACGCCTAGCCAGCCGACGATGAGGGCTTGGCGGCCGAGGGAGAGTTCGATGCCGTAGGGTTCGAGGACTTCGTTGAGGGCCGAGACGAGGACTGTGAAGAGGGCTGTGCTGGTTACGACGGAGGCGAAGGTGAAGAATGTGGAGACGATGCTGAGGATCCAGGTGAAGAGGGAGCCTATGCGGGAGAAGAGGGCGAAGATTCCGATGAGGATTACGGCGAGGTTGGTCCAGAAGGCGACTTGGTAGGCGATGAACTAGAATTGTGATTAGATGGATTCGCGGGTTTCGAGCTTTTGGAGGCTGGGTGGGAGACTTACCATCCACTTCGCAACGTGTCGGTATGCGTTGAGTGCAGATTTTCCGCTGCTGCCTAACAATTCCTCCGCGTATTGATCGTAGTTCTCTCGAACATTATCAATCGCATTCTGAATCACATTATCCGAGCTGCTGTCGCTTGTGCTACCACTGCTGTTCGTGCTCTCCAAACCCCACTCCTTGATCGGGTCAAAGACAAACGATGCCTTCCTGCCAGTGCAGTCCTTATCACTTCCATCCGTCTGATTCGAGTAGCAGTAGTTCCACAGGTAAATATCGTAGATCTGGCCAATTCCGCCTGCTGTTCTGATTTGACCGATCGCATCGTTCAGGACGCTATTGCTGCCGCCTCCTGTTCCTTCGACGTTTAGGTCTGTGAGGTTCGCTCGGAAGAAGTAGTACGAGTCGAGTGTGTTCCAGCCTGCAACTTGCAGGAGGACGCCGCAGACGAAGGCGGCGATGGTGAGTGCCATCGGCACGAAAATGCACGCCGCTCTGGCTGCTTTGCCCATCTTGGCGGTAGTGTTCCTTCTCGCTGGGTGTTTCTGTTCTGGTAATGCGTGCGCTTGTTGTGATGCTCTCGCTCTCTGTTATCGCAAGGTCAAGTTGAACGTGTTTCGCTTCGCAAGTAACGAAAGACGGGTACGCGACACAAACGGATGTGAGGGGTTTTGATGGTAGAACAAAGAGCAAAGGCAAAGCAGAGAAGATAGCAAGGAAAGGTGAAACAGAGACAAACCGCACGATCATATGTATACCTCTATTTGCGTCGTTTCTGCAACGCCGATGATGATGGCTGTGCAAGCATGCTGCGTGGGAAGACGTGGCTGACGTTTTCTCTAGCGTCAGCAGAACCCTGCTGCAAAGCAAGAACCCACCCACTTGCTCTCTTCGGGAATTCCGCTGCAGCCTATAGGCACTCTTCCGCCCAATTCTCCGGTCTCACTCGAACGTCTGTTTCGGCTGTAGACGTACTCGTCCCCAGTGGCTTTTCCTGCCAAACGAGTGCCCGGATCTCCATTGATGAGAGCATTGATACAAGAAACGAGGCTGAGAAAGAGGAGCAGAGGGTACGGCTGGCAAGTCTGAAACACGCCTAGCGGGTGGCAAAGCAAAAGAAGCTGTGCTTGTTCTCCAGAGACGCGTACCTCCTACACACTGTGCTATCGATATCGGTGTGTACCCTGAGAGAAAGGCCATACTGCACAGCTTCCTGCCGATTCCTCCATGACATACGCCGAAACGCCTTCACCGAGTACGATAAAATAGGTCTACGGAGAGATGCATCCTCCGTTTTCGTATAGCTATTCTTTCTCGGCTTCTTCTATTCTGTTCGCATCTTCGCATGCCATCGATCTCCCAGTATATCGACAATTCCGTGGTGAACGATCTCAAGATCATCAATGTCTCCACACACTCAGCCAGACAGGCTTCACAACCCCGGAAATCCCAGCCCAGCCTCCATCAAGCACCCTGCTCCCACACCTTCGCGAACGCGTCATTGGACGCGGCCGCGAAAGTTGATTATCACACCGTGCTTACTACGGCGTGCCATTGAAAAGCAGCACAAGCAATTCGTTTTCGTAGTAGACATGTCATCACTGTGGCGGCGGGCTGGGGCGAAGTGGTGGTGTGGACGTAGCCTCGTAGGAAGCGCAGCGCAGCGCAGTAGAAATCCAAAAATAGCTTGCACAAGCGCGGCGACCTTGGCAACACGCGTTCTAGCAAAAAGTAGGAAGCAGCTCACGGGACCACTTGAAATCTGCCTTTTGTCAAACACTGCCAATAGAGAGGCGAAGTCACACACCGCAGAAACATCGTGGAAGGCAGAAGCATTGTAGAAGCTTGTCAATTCTTCGATATTGGCACCAAGGCCAAATCCCATCTCCTTCTACTGCCAAACAAGAGGTATCTCGCTAATCTCTTCAAAAAATGTTCACGTGCACATCGTCTTTTTGCTTCCTTCCATCGACCATGTGTGTATAAGAGAAGACAAAACAGGCCCATTTAGACACTAGTAAACAGAAAAAAAGAAACTCCTCGCTTGACCCAAATGCCGTCGCCCAGAAGTGGTATCATCCATTTCATAGCACAGCGGAAAGCGTAAAAGCGTGATGCATGCCCAGTAATTCCCAATTCTCAAATTTATGCAAAGTCTTGCGCCAGTGATGCTCCAATGGACTCCTCGCCAAGAACAGATTGTGTGACAGTGTAGCACATATGGAAACGGTAAACCCGAGAGAAATGCTGCTTCTCTTGTGCAGCATGATGTGTTGACATACGAGAAAGGTGAGGTATATGTCGTCGACCGCCAGCGTGGTTGGGGAAATCGCTGATACTAGATCGCGTCGAAAATCGAATGAAGAAGGTTTCCAGGGGGTATCACTCGAAGTGAAGTAGAAAAGGTTGTCGATGTCAGCATCATTGTTGAGGTTGTTGGTGGTTGTTTTGTTGGTTGCGAAGAGCGCGTTGTCGTTGGCGTTCTTCCTGCGCGCTTTCCAGCGCCTTCAAGGCGTCGGGGTCCGTCCGTGGTCGATCACTCTTCACTCCATCGCCTCCAGGAAGGATCCGGCTCACGTTGTATGCGAGAGCTTCGATAATCATCTTGCGGAAGTCGGCGTCTTCCTTCATGTCTTCGGCATTGAGACGGAAGCGCTCTTGCTTGTCCATGTCGCGACGGCGCATGGCTCTGATCTCGGCAAGAATGTGTAGCAGTACACCCTCGGGGCACTTGTTACGAGGTGCAGCGTGCTCAGCTGGGTTGCGCACATAGCGACGAGTCACATCTTGACATCCATCGGCGGAGAAAGCAATGCAGTATGAGAGCCTCTTGCCCCAGCCTAATAATGATCAGCAAGTGGATCGACGACGAGTAGTCCGTGGCGGTACATACCTTGAGTGTACAGCAGTGGGGCATCCCAAGCCTCCTCACAGCAGTCCACGTGCACCCACTTCCTGCGGTGCGCGCTATACACTTCGGTCCAGAGATGGTCCTCGGCGTTCCAGACCCATCGGACTCGGCTCCCTAGTGCGCGGCAGAGCATGCCAAAGCATGTGGCCCACTCTCCAATGCGCCCTCGTTTTGTGTCAACGAGAACGAAAGCGTCGTTGTAGCGAGGGAATCGCTCAAAGGACTGGCACTGTGGGTTGCTGCATTGGTATAGCTCCACTCGTGATGCACTGCAGGCTTGTTCCTCTGGAAGCGGCGCAACCATGCCTCGTCCAATTGTTGGCATCATGCATGTTGAGCATTTGGGGTTGTTTACCCATTCGAAGAACTCCCGCTTGAACCATTTCATCATGGCGCGAATCACACAGTCCTGGTAGCCCCATGCTGGCTTTGTATTTGGGCCGAGCGATGCTGCTTCGGCCATGTAAAGATCCGATTCCTCCTGGGCCTCATCATATATCCGTTGGAGTGGAAGTTTAGCCAATGCGTCGTCTAGTAGTCCTGGGTTCTCCCATTTGCAAGGTGTGTTCGATAAAGAAACGAGCATATTTCGAAATCGCATCGACTTGGTGTCAGTGGGTGGAGTTGGAACAGTCGGAATGTTTTTGAGTGACGAGTACTCTGGTGGTGGTGAGTGCTGTCGCTCGATGTCGTTCTGTGGTATTGTGGGCGCGTCCGTCGGGGGCGCGGGCGCATGGCGGGCGGGCACGGGNNTGGGACGACGACGAGCTCTGTTCGCCTGGACGATGATCGCCTCATCGACCCGGGTCTGCTGCTCAACTCATTCATGCGCTTCGTCGATAGTGTGCGGCGGAACTGCGTCGTGAGGTCCTTGGCCCAGTTCTCCGGAAGCGGTTGTGCTGACGCCGGCTGTGGCACTGGCTTTCGTCGCGGCACCCCGTTTGGAGGAGGGTTGCGGTCTGCCATGGTCGCAGCGGGTGTGTGAGGGTGTGTATCTCGGTGGTCGTAGGTGAAGTTGTGCGAGTCCAAGGAAAGCGAACTGAATGAGTGAACGTCGGTCGCTGTGGCTGCGGGCAGGGTCCTTGGTGTACGGCGACTGCGCCTTCCTCTCGGCTTGACACTGCCTCCTGCCGAACTCGTTGATAGCGAACACCACGAGCAACACTGTCGAGCCGTCGACGACTGATATTGAACGCTTTGGTGGTCTTTGAGCAGCGACAATGGTCTGAACGACGGCTTTGACAGTGTTGAAGGGACGATTGGAGAGGGAAACGTACACGCTGACGCGTACCCTTCGCCCTCAGCACCGGTCGTGGTCTGTGCCCCCTTGTCGCTTTCCCCCCAAGTGATGCGCGCCCTCCACCACGGCCGCCTGCTAAGACTGGCGATGGCTATTGCGTTGCACTGTTGCATCGTACGTATACATATGCCTCACGACGACCACGCAAACGACTGCCTATCTGCTTCGTCTGCCATTTGGAAGAGCTGCTGCGTCGACAAGATGCAAAGCCAAGCACTCTTGGCGTCATTCTGTGTGCCGTCTCTGCTGCTCCACCGGTCCACAACACATTGTTTCTTCCAGCGCACTCGGTGCTGGGCGTCATCAGACCATCTGCCAGTCGCTGCATGACTAGACACTGCGCACACAACAGCATTCTCTCAGTCTCTGGGCAGTATACAACACGCAACTTGTGCTGATCGCTGGTCGCAAGACCGCCTCGAACGAGGATCTTCCATCGTCATGCGTGTCCCAGGTGTTGTGGAATCCTCGGCAGCTCGCCAGGCCACGCGTACAGTGGTTGTCGCAATCGCCACAACTGCAGAAGTGCTCCGTTTCTTCACCTACGATAACCAGATGGATGGAACGGAACACAGCAGATCCTCAGGACTACCGTATAACGGCTATCGCACATATCTTCGCTGCGAAGCACAGACAGCGACAATCAATAGCCCACTCAATGTGTCGTCTTGATCGCAGGGTGGCTCAGACGCGTGATCGGCGTCGGCTGTTGGCGTCTTCGCCCTCCTTGCAACCCTTAGTCAACCCAAATCACAACCTCCCTGTTCCACTTTTTGTCCCAGATTGGTTGCAGAAAAGGTATTTCGTCCTTCTGCAGAGATGCCTAGGACACAGTGTTGTTGTCGAAGCGGACGGACCTCGGAGCCAATCATCTCTGCTGCCTTGTCAGACCGATATTGGTAGCACGAGGCTGTTCAAGGATATTCACCTATACGGCAGTGGCAAAGTCGAGACAGACGCGTCGGCTACCACGTTGCACACGTTAGACCATTGCGACATTCTCCCGCACAGGCCCCTGCAGGCTCCTACATTGCCTCCATCTGGCAAAGACGCGCTTGCGTTGAGAGGCATCCCACTCTTCATCAAGGCCTGGAGACGGCTTTTGCTGCAACAACGCTAGAAGGACCGCGGAGCCAACATTTGCACACCCGAAATGCTGCACCTAGAGGGAGCTCTTGTGGGCCAGCAAATATTGATTCGTCACCAGGACTCCTGCAGACTTCATATCAAGCACATGACAAGCAACTCCGTTTACGCAGCCCGACCACACTGGCGATGTCCAAGCAAGACCAGATCCTCTTCTGTCTGCCAGACTGAATGTTATGTACGACCAAGTCTTTGACCACGTAATCGACGACATCTGCAAGACTTGGCAACGTGCTGTCTGCCTGCTTGAGCCGGTCAAGAAAAATTGACTTGTGAACGACGCGTATAGTCCTCGGGTCTACTGTGGCACCACCTTCACCGCAGCATGATACCGCGGCAGTTGACAAACGTCACGCAAGGTCCATGAGAAACGACATGCGGTTGGAGGAGTCGTACCTTGCTTACCATTGGAAGTGTTCGCTTTCCATACGAGTTCTATACCGCTCACATGTGTAGTGCTACCTGGCTTTCGATTCACTGCTTGGCTTCTGCAGGTCCGTCACATGCGGCTGGGCCTCTCATGTCGGCGTGTCGCTCTACGCTTCCTTTGTTGCCTCATTCGCACGCTGACAACTAGACTGCAGAGCATTGACGAGGGCTTGGCCAGCCGCCGCAGACGCTCGCCGAAATTCTCATGCCGGATTCCTTCGGGGGCAGGGTAAGGTAGCTCAGCCTCGATCTCACTGCTTCTCCATATTCTGGAACACTTCCATTGTGCCACATCTTGCAAAGCGAAGGCTCGATCCTCGTATTCTTTGCTTGTCCCATGTAGGTTGTGCATCTCATTCTCCAGCACCGAATATGAGTACAGCTTTGCAGAGTTGCAGAGCAGTCCTGTAACAAAGGTCATGCTGCAATGTCTGCTCACCTGCCATGCGACTCAAGTTGGGGACACGATTAACGAACCGAAGTGGCACTTCTTAGGCAACGTTATCCCCTCCCTGATAAGTCTGCATCGATTTCATTGCGAGTGCAGCGCGGGAAACATTAGCTATCAACAATGTACGCTCAAGCAGGTACACTTCAGGAAGTAAGTTTCAATTGTCAACTCTCGCAAATCTTTATGGTCAAGCACGTGAATCGCAGCTATGTTATAGACTGCATGTGCTATGTGCTTCACCTGTGAGCGATCAATCGATTGCGACACAAATATACTCTTTCGATGGTGTGTCGGGTCTACAGTCTCACATCAACTTGGTGAGCTTTGCACATACAAGCCGTAGTGCCTTTAACAATTGTCTTGATCTCAATGTTCATTGCTCATGAATATGCTACCCAGTATATATGCTTCGTCTCGTGTTTTCTATCCCCATAACATCCTCTCATCTTCCCCTCACTCACAACCCAAACTTCCAATCCACACTCCCATGTCTCCACTTCTCCTCCCCAGGCAGCTTCGCCTCAATAATCTCTTTCATCGTCAAATTCTGCCACACATCCAATGGCAACCATCCAATCCTCGCCCGGTCTCCAAACCCTCCAAACCAATAGATGTGATCCACGATCAACTGAGCATAATGGCTCTCATGAATGTCATTTCCCGGCTGCCAGAATATCGAATCGGGATGACTTCGCAAGAAACATGCTTGAATCTTTCCATCTTTCAGTCGTTCTTCTGACACGGGTTCCAAACGCCCATGAAGCGAGAAGCGAGGTAGCGCGGCGGGTGTATGAGGTGTCGGGATCTCATCTTCGTCTTGGGATCTCCAGAGCCAATTTGTGAGTTTGGAGAATGTGCTCGCTGATGTTGAGTAAGTGTTCTTTTGTGTAGGCCACCAGCGGACGCTGAGGGAGATGTTGGAGCCTTGGTTGTAGTTTTTGTAGGGTGTTGCGATGTCTAGGGCGAGGAGGATGGGGTTGCCGCTGTGAGGATCGCAGTCGGCGTAATATTCCATTAGGCCTATCGGTGAGCCTTCGACGTCTGAGGGTCGGTTTTCGGCTGTGGAGGCATCGTCGCTTTTGTGTGATGTGGATGGGAAGACGGTGATGAGGGTGCCCACTGTTGAGAGGTGGAGGATCTTCCGTGCCTGAGCGGTGGACTCGCGGATGGTGGGAAAGTGGAAGTCATCGTCGTTGATTGTCTCTGGGTTGGAGAAGATGTGTTGTGGTTCGACTTGCTGTCCGATTGAGCTGGCGAATGCCGCACCGGCGGTGGCGGTCAGGAGAGTGGTCGCTTTCATGGTGCTACCGATTGTGTCTGTCCAACAATGCACTGAGAGCAAGCTATGCTCACGAAGAGGCGCGAACAATGCATGATGGCACGACCGACTATCAGATGATCTTATCAATTACCGAAACCGAGGCCGGTCGCCGCTTCTGTGTCGCCGCTTTTCCGATCCCGTGCCAAGCATCTTCCCACTCACAGGCTCAATTCAGCATCGACGCCATCACCTGGACCGCTTCACCACACCCAGCGCCAGCAAATCCATCAACGCAACCCGTGAGTCCACACCTACCGCCTCGAAATCACCACCGGATCACGCACATCCCATTTTCGCCCGCCCACGACCGCTACAGCGAGCGCGCAAACTGACAGTATTCGCCACCACAGACAACCACAGCTCGAACACCACACCACACCGCAATCATGGGTAAGGTGCACGGCTCTCTCGCCCGTGCCGGAAAGGTCAAGTCGCAGACTCCAAAGGTACGCCAGCTCCCACACCACGAATCACCGCTTCGATAGCGCAAGAGGGGGGAGAAAGACAAGGAAGAGCACAAGGGGCGGACAAATCTACGGACTGCACAATGAAATATCATCTAACACGATACCCACCAACAGGTCGAGCCACAAGAGAAGAAGAAGGTCCCCAAGGGCCGCGCGAAGAAGCGCATCCAATACACCCGCCGTTTCGTCAACGTCACCATGACCGGCGGCAAGAGGAAGATGAACCCAAACCCAACCTCATAAACGCCTCGTAACCCAACATCAACCTTTCACGAACCGACAATGAAAACGAGAGAATAAGCCGACAGCCACAGACGAACGACCAGACGGCCGACGGACCACGGCGTGGAGGAAGCTTTTTTTGCGTGAAAGGTTGTGGTTGCAAGTGCGAATTTGAGGAAGGAGAAAGGGGAACGAGTCACAGAACATAACAAAATAACGATGTGTTTTTTTGCTATCGGGCATTTGATGGGACTATTCGGCGTTAGTACTACTCGTATGGGGTCGGATGTCTCGAGAGTGTGTACGGTCCATCTTTTTGCTCTCTCTCTCATGGGACGAAGGATGACTGTATGCCTTGAAGAAGGAAGTCGGCTGTTAACATGAAAACGATACAGGAGGCTTCTGGGAGTTCTGTGTACTGTTTCTCACAGTAGATCCGAATTGCACGAGCTTCTCACGGATGTCATGTCGCTGGTCTCGTATGTCAGTCTTTTCCTCTTGCACGCATGTCACTCTTCGCAGCCACAGATTGAGTTCACAGTGATTAGATGATGTTGCAGCAGAGTCTGCACTTTATGATGCAAAGTACATTTTGATTTTCGGTTCTCCACAAAGCGATGGTACTCATCAAGCCTTACGAAGTGTGCCTCATTCCAGTCCACCACCAGTGTTCCACGAGCAGTAGAGGAACTTCAAGCAATCCCATTCCCAAACTCTTCGACGCCAGAATTCGCCACACGCCACAGAAGTGCTACTCTGTAGCCGCGCCGACGTGTTCCTTGCTGTTGTGTTCACCACCATTTTCGACTTCTTCTTCATCATCCTCAGCCTCTCCAATGATCCTGCCCATCTCCAACTCCTTCATCGCCTTGACGCGCTTGAGAATCTTCTCTCGCTCCTCCAGCTCCTGCAACTTCGCTCTCGATCTCTCCACGGGGTCTTGAACAGTCATGAAGATCCAAAGTTTCGGCCGCGCGTCCTGTTCATCACTGTTATTTTCCAATATTCGTACACTCTCCACCGAATGTCCAACTGGCAGGTTCAGGGTGATAATGGTACATACATTGTTCTCCTCGTTGTCGCCCTCATTTGGAGTAGAGAGACTCTGTGGCTGAGCCTGCCCATGGCTTTGGGTACTCACTTCCCGACTATCAGACGTGTCAGAACTGCTCTTCGCACGATGCTTCACGCGCGGATGAACACGCCGAACTGGGGGTGCCTGAACAAGGTAGTTGTCAGAGATGTAACGCTGAGGCATCTTTACCTTTGCTTTTTCCGGTGTAGACGCATCATTATCAGCGCTGCGGCGAGTGCCACGGAATGCATAGAGAGGGAGGCTGCTTTCGTCGGCCGGACAGAGGTGGCTCATCTCAAGCACCTTCACTCTCGGCTCGTTGGCGTTTGGCTTGGTAGCAGTCGGCTGGGCGGCATTCGTCTGAGTGGCACTACCATCTGTAGTGGCAGCGTTGGATATGTCAGTGACTGCTGCAGGCTTCTTCTTCGACTTCTTCTTCTTGCTCTTCTTAGCAGGCTTTGAAGTAGCAGCGTCGGAAGGGCCATCTACAGTAGTGGTCTCTCCGCCTTCGATCTGGTCGGGCACAGCGTCGTCGACCTTGGAAGAGGACGCCTAATAAAATGTTAGATGGCATTCAAACAGGCTTCGCAGTAGTACTCACCTCGACGGCAGGCTCAGAACTAATTCCCAAGCCTCGCGCAACGCCAGGACCAGCCGATGAAGCAGCATCTGAGTTGCTTGCGAAAATGCCAGTGATGCGACGGAAGATACCAGGAGCTTTGCCTGGCGAAGGGGCGCTCGACGCAGGGGCTGGCTCAGGGTCCTTGCCAGCCGTCTCCGAATTGATTGCCTTCTCTGGAGCAGCGACACTCGCTGAAGCGTCGACCTTCTCCCGAGTCACAGTCGCCATCGGAGTGTTGGTATTCTCTGGTGTCATTGTCGTCGCAGCAGTAGTAGTTCCGAGTGCGTCAAATCGAGTGTCTGTCTTGATCTTTGTCAAAGGCTCGACAGAAAGCTCTTCAGGTCGAGCAAGTGGTGCAGCTTGTGTGGGGCCTGAAGTGAACGAGGAAGAGGTGAACGTGGAAGCCGTGGGTCGTGCCGCCTCGCTCTCCTCATTCGCACTTGCACAAGTTTCACCTCTGTCCTCAGCAGCCTCAGCCTGCTCCACAATCGGCTCAGGCTTGGCAGTGCTCGTGGCCTTACGCATCGGTACCTCATCTGGCTTCGGTAAATCCGCTGAGATGACTCTCGAGCTCGTGCGAGAATTGCCGCCCTTGGGTGCTTTCTGCTTCTTAGCCTTCTTCTGCTTGCCGAAAAGACTGAATGATTCCGTCTGAGCGGGACCCTTCACTTTAGCCTCCTCTTTTGCCTTGCCTTCCTTCTTCGACTGCACGTGTGGCTGACCATCACTGTCAAGGATGGGCGAAGCTGGTGTACTTGGCGCAGTGACAAAAGGCGCAGCTGGCGCTTCAGAAATGCCCGAGCCTCCGCCTTGAGTCATTGCGGATTGCTGCTCCCCGTTGCTTTTGGCTTCCAGGTCCGGTCCAGCTGAAGTGTCAAGCTTTGGCACTGCAACGAAAACCTTCGACTTGGATTTGGTTAAGTCTGGAAGCTGAACCTTCTCTTCTTCCTCTGATGATTTGGCCGGTTGTTCTTGCTGAATAGGGGTAGCTGAAGGTTCGCCGGTATGGTCTTGTACGACAGCGGTCGAGACACCAGTTGGAGGCGGTACTGCGGCTGCTTTGAGCTCAATGAAATCATCATCGACTGCCGAACTGCGCTCTCCGCCAGGCGTGGCGCTAGCCGTGTGAAAGCTGTCGTCAACATGCTCATCTTCGGACTTGCTTGAGGCATCAGAGTTTTTTGCAGAGACCTCCTGGTTGCCAAGTGCGCCCTCTGGCGTCTCCTCCGTTGTCAACGGCTTGACGAGCGGATCCTTTACCTTTGTTGCCTGGATAGCCCTCGAGACCGTTGTATCGTTCGGGTCCTCAGTAGTGCCCATGTCCACGCTGGACTCCTTGTCAGCTGGCGCATTTGATGTGTCCTGTGTATTGCCGGCAGCCACGGGCCGCAGTGAGTCCTTGCGCTTCGCAGGCGTCGTGTGCTTGGTCTCTAGGACGGTGACAACAGTCTCGGCGTTGGAGCTGGTGTCGTCTGGTATTGGGCTCAGTCCTGCACGACCCTTTTGAGCGTTCTCCTCAAAAGCCTGGCCAGCCGCTTCTCCACGAAGTTCGGAAGCTTTCTTCTTATTGCGCTTCCCAGTCTTCTTCTTTCCCTTCGGAGTGTCGGCGCCGGAGGCGGCTGGAGTGGCCTCTGCAGACATTTCTTCCTTCGAAACAGTCGATGGCCCCACGCCTGAGCGGTCAAGCTGTGGAAGGTCCGCAGGTAGAGATGAAGGTGCATTGAACGCCGATTTCTGCACGTAGTGCATTGAGGGCGGAGCAGGAGCTATCTCCTTGACTGGGACGCCCATGTGAGTTCGAAGCTGGTAGCGTTGGTGCTCTGGGTCCCAATGCTCTTTAGCGACTTCAACATCTCTGAATACCCCGGGCATGATTTCTATGTGTCTCTGCTTCACGCATTTGCGTGCGCCATGATGCGTCTCGAAGGTAATGTACCTATGGGCGCTCTCGGTGTTTGCTTGGTTGTGCGACTTGAGAGGTGGAGAAATTCTCTCTACTGGACCGAAGTTCGTGAAACACTTGCGGAGTTGATCATCGGTCACGTTAGGTGGGATCATGAACGCGATGAGCTTATGCGCGTAGATACACTTGTCCCCGATGGCTGTTTTGGTGCAGTGATACTCGTTCATGTCGGAGTCAGTCACTTTGCCCACCGTAGCTGTAGGTCCATCTTGACCATGGAAGGCGGCGATGCCGGTAGTCACAGGTGCTGCATATTGCGATGGTCCGCCTGTGGCTTCGGCCTGAGAAGATCGCCGAGTCAGGATTCGCGGAGGTCCATGAGAAAACTGCTCCAGAGAGCGCTGCTCTGGAGTGGCGTTCTCATCTTGGTGATGCGATCGCCAAGATCCTGAGCCATCGACAGCCCGCTGGTAGTTGTTGGCGGAAGACGCGTCGTGGAAGCCGTGCGACGGGTAGCGAGAGCCAGAAGAGTAATCGCCATCTGCACTCGATCTGCTGATACTGTTGCGGCCCCGGCCCCGGCTACGGCCGCGAACGCTCCCATACGTTGCGCCTCTGCCGCCCGATGAGGCAGTGCTGTCACGGCCTTTGCCGCGTCCCTGGTCTGGTCTCTGATCAAAACCACCATAAGTTGGCTGCGGTGGAAATGCTCTGGCGTCGCCATGATTCATATTGCGCTCGCTAAGTGGCGGGTATCCAAAGCCCTGAGGTGGTGGCGGGCCTTGCATGAACATGCCGTGGCCACCCATATGCACAGGCTGTTGAGCATGATGCTCAAAGCCGGGCGGTGGGTGCGGTCCCATCATGTGAGGAGCTGGGGCAGGGTGACCTGGACCGAAAGGATGACGCATGTCGTTAGATGGCATGATATACGTCGGTGGTCCAGGCGGCATTGGACCAACTTGAGCAGAAGGGGCAGGCATAGGGCGAGACGGCAGTGGTTGCTGCGCGTGCTGAGGTGCTCTCGGATCGTAGAACGACGATGCTGGTTGGTACATGTTGCGTTCACCCTGGCCGCGGCGCTTGCCATTAGGTGCACGCTTCGAGCCACGTTGTGTTTGCGACTGGAAGTCCTTCGCGTTCGCAACATGTTCCCGGGCATCGCCAGACGGCTTGAAACCGGCGGCGCTGGCTTGTGCTGGTGTGTTAGTCGAGCTGAATGCAGCAGCAGTAGCACTCAGTCCGGTGGAAGGCACTGCTGGTACCGTAGCCGTCTGCTTCTCCTGAGCTGCTGGTACCTCGCTCGGCTGTGCTGGCGCATTTGTTGGCTGTGTCAAAGATGAAACAGGTCCAGCACTGGCGACTTCCACCAGTGAACTCTGCTTCGAAGGAGTCGAGGTTTCGGAGACCAGTGCTGGCTCTGGGGTGTTTGTTCCTGTCGCCACGAAGGCCTGCGGGTTGCGCAGTCTCCACTGAATACCTTGTACAGCCCAATCAAGAAACTCGGAGCCGAACACGTCGATCTCCTTCTGTTCAAAGAATGTAGTCGCGCAAGCTTCTTCACGTAAAAGCCAACCTTCGAGGTCAGGATTGCCGACATACTCTTTGCTCTTATGCTCGAACCACTCGTTGACCACATGCGGAAGGCGAGTTTCCCGATTGTTAATGGCGATGGAGTACCAGACCTGCTTGAGAAATCTGAAGCCTTGCACTTGACATTCGCTCGCCGGGAATTGGGTCAGGAGAAACTCCTCTTCCGCCTCCTTGCTGGCGTTCTGGGGAAATTGATGGGGCATGATGCCACCCCATCTCTTCGGCTCCTCCTCAAATAGAATCTTGCAGTAAGGCAAGATGTCGTTGAAGCGACTCGAAGACGCGATGACCGGTGGGCGGATACCGTCGCCGTCGGCCATGGTAGGTGATGGAGAGGAGCTGATTGAGCTCAGAAGAGCGAACTCTGTGCTGGACGGTGCGAAGGACAAGAAGTGCGATGAAAGATTGGCGAAGAATTAGTGAGCGCGACAAATGTTCGAAGAGCCAACGCTCGAAGATTGATGTCGATGTTGGTGGCGACGAGAGAGAGCGACCGCCGCGGGTTGATGATTTGTGGTCTGTTGTGGTGCAAGTGCGAACGAGCTCGAGCGTTTGCTCTTGCATTTGACGCGAATGTGAAGCGCGCACTTGCTTCAACCTTCACTTGCAACGCCTCACCACTTCCGTTGGCAACATCAAGCAGCCATTGATCTTCACCCCATAATCAGAACTCTCTCGTGGTGTTCTTGTGCTCTCGATAGTGGAAATGACGAACGGCGTCGTTTGTATGCATTTGCGCTATCAGCGGCTATGTGCATTATCATGAGATAGAGAGGTAGTAGGACGGCTTACATTGACGACACGCGGTTGCGCGCGGAAGACCAGATTTAATAGACCTATGGCCGTAGCACCAATGAGACAGCATTCGCTTGAATGCCCGCTATGGGTGCCGTATCAGCAGCTGCGCGTTCCCGAAGTGATTTCCGCATCTACAAGGCATTGTCTCTGGGCCATGGAAGAAGCGCCGTCAGAATGGAAGACTTCTTCCTGGATGGCTTTACTCATAAAGAGCTGGGATTTTGTCAAGACCTCTGCGCCTGCTACGGACTGTGTTTCCGCAGCGATTCATCTAGCTGCACAGCCATGTTCATTCTCCTCCACACACAACCAGCTCATACCTTCTCGGTCTCCTTTGGCACCGATTTCACGAGCTTCAAAATCTCGCTCTCGTTCTCTCCAACAACTGTGTTGTATCAGCCCAAGCGTCCCGCTTGACGCTCTCATGGTCTTTTTGAGGAGCAAGATGTACATACCAGCTCTGCCATTATTCCAGTCCACTGTCACTGGACGCTGGAAAGATGCCTCGCTCTGCTTGAATTTCCTCAATGCGTCACTCGTGCCTGTAGCATCCTTGATCACATTGCCAGCCTGCCCAGGACCCAGATACTCCAGGATGCTGCTCAACTGGTCGCTTGTGGGAGCGCCTTCCTGCACATCTAACCGAATCAATCAGTATGTACCCTTCTACTGCAGCAGATATCTTCCGCTAGTCCCCCAATGTGATTTCAAAGCTCCTCACATACCAAGCTCGAATTCCGTCCTCTCCAATTTGCTTTGTTTGCTGTGATCGCTGGCCTGGTCCTCGGTCGCATGAGCTACGCTGGTGGCATTGAGCTGCTTGAGCAGAGTATGTACGCGGGTCGACGCTGGGAGCTTCGGATTGTGGAAGACGGTGATCACGTCCTTGACGCCAGCCTGCAGGATCGTCAGTATTGAATAGAAAGCCCATATCTTCAAGCCTGAGTGTAGTCGATTGCCCTCCTACAAGGCTTGGATTTGGCTCACCTCCTTGAACAGATTTTTGAAGAAGCTCATTGTGACTAGTGTTGTTGACTGTTTTGTCTGAACCCCGAAAGAGCGGTCCTCAAAGTGAAGCTTGACGAGGAGCTTGGACGTGATGTCAGGCCGCCAAGCGGAAGGCGCGCGCGCGAGTCGCGGATCCTTGAACCCTGTTTACCATACCCCTGTCACGAAAGTCCATACAGCTGTCAGCAGCTCAAAACATTTCCTTTTCAGCTACGACTTCTCAAGCGCAAAAAATAGACAAGATGGAGTCCCTCGAAACTGCTCTCCGCAGCATCCTCACACCGATCACTCGCAACCTCCCCAAACCCATCAGCGATGCAGCAACTCAACTCCTCGGCGACAGCTGCTACCGCAGTCTAGTTCACGACCTCACAATAACCGACTCGGTCTGCCTCAAGCTCGCCATCTCCAAAGCCCTGGGCATCGCCATCATCGCCGCAAGCAGCATAGTAAAAATCCCTCAACTCATCAAGCTCATCAACAGCCAATCCGCCTCCGGCATAAGCTTCCTCTCATACCTCCTCGAGACCGTCAGCTACCTCGTCACACTGGTCTACAATGTCCGCAACCAGTTCCCGTTCAGCACGTATGGCGAGACGGCGTTGATCGCTGTGCAGAATGTGGCGATCAGTATTCTGGTCTTGCAGTTTTCGGGACAAGGGCCTATGGCTGCGGTTTTCATTGCTGGATTGGCGGCTGCGGGGTATGCGTTGTATAACGAAGGGGTTGTGAGCCTGGAGATGTTGCAGTATTTCCAGGCTGGAGCTGGATTGTTGGGTGTTGCGAGCAAGTTGCCGCAGATCATCACAATCTTCCGTGAGGGTGGGACAGGGCAATTGAGTGCTTTTGCGGTAAGTACTGCTGTCTAGCAGATGCTGGACGATTTTGAATACTAAATTGGTATAACAGATCTTCAACTACTTGGCTGGATCGTTGGCTCGCATCTTCACTACGTTGCAGGAGGTGGACGATAAGCTGATCTTGTACGGGTTCCTGGCTGGGTTCTCCTTGAATCTAGTGCTTGCTCTGCAAATGGTCTACTACTGGAACGGCTCGAGCACCAAACAGAAGAAGCTTGATCCAAGGAGAGAAGGAGCTCCAAGCTATGCCAATGTCGTCAAGGCGAGTGGCAGTGAAAAGTCGAAGAAGTCGCCCTCAACCAGGAGACGAGGATAGATCGCGCTCGAAAACAATTTCGATAACTAAAATGTAATGTCTTCTCTTCTATCAAAACTCGTGTTGATCAAATCGTCAATCGTGTCTTCGTTCGGTCATCCCTTCAACTAGTGCTGTTGCGCCCTTTCCAACTCTTCCCTAGCTTCAGCCAGCTCCGCCTCTGAAGGCATATTGACAATCATCAAATACAGTACATCTTCTCTCATAGCTCTCTTCACCGCACCCAGAGGCCCGCCTTTCCTGTTCCTCCTCCTGGCATTCCGAGATCTCGCCTCGCGCTGAAATGTACTCTGACTAGACGATGCCTCCACAGCACTGCCTTGTGAACTACTCGCAGCAGGACTGAGACGCCCCGCACTCGAAATCTGCTCAGATCGGAATCCAGTGCGTGAAAAGAGTTCTTCGCGATAAGCATCCCCATATCGCTTTCTAGATCGAGGCTCACAGCCCACAGCGAGACGACGCTGATCGCGAAAGAGATCTCGCTCCATCCGTCGCTCGCGCTTCGATGCTATGGGTGTCATCTTTCCACCTGAAAGCAGCGCAACGAGGCCGCCGGAGTACATTGGGTGATTTGGATCTGCTCGAGCTGATTTGAAGGCACGATGTTGTTGCGGCACTGCGAGCGAAGAGCTGGGATCTTGGGATGCCTATCGAGCTGTTAGCATATTCCACGATTGGGAGAATGAGGCCTCAGTACTCACGTAATCGAATTGAGCCCTGCGATCAAAGTAGTTTGCGAGGAACTTTTTGGCATCTTTGGTCTTGTCCTTGAAAGTCTCTGGCCCTGCTTGAGCTGCTTGGCGATCGAGCTCTGGAAAGATCAGGGGCGCAGATTCTGGAAGCATGGCAGTCCCTTTAGTTGTATTGCTAGCGAGCCTCATGTCTTTCATACGACTGTTCATGCTCCTGCTTCCAGACTCGTCCGAGTGCGTTCTGTTGTATTTCGCAATGGTTTGATTAGTTGTGACATCAACCTTCTCGGCTTTGATGAGGTTGGCGAGTCCAGCGATACCAGTGGTAGATTGTTGCATATCCGAGTCGGACTTGTACTTGACAATCATAGCGTAAAGGCCTGCGGGCTTGAATAACTCCTCGTTCATGGAGTCGAGGAAGGTGTTTGTTCGTGTTCTGGATTGAACTTCTGCCCCGACTCCAGCAGCGATTTGTACCGCCGTAGTCACAGCCATTGCAATGACCGATGGTACGAGTCCCGCTATGGCGGCAGAGATTTGGATGATAGGGAAGATGGGAGATGCCTGGGAAGACTTGTGGAAGTTCTTTAGAAACTTGAGGAAGACTTCCTGGTCGATGCCACAGTCCGCCAGCACTGGGCTGTATGCTCTGATAAAGCCTCGTGCTTTTTTTCTTGGGCGACGCTGGGGAAGTATCACTGGCAATGGGATCTGAGGGCGAGTGAGAGTGCTTTCTCTCGGCTCCGCTGGCGGGTTAGTATTCATGACCTCGCGGACAAGCTCCTCAACAGGAGTGTATTGTGCCTCGGACTCGTCATATGTGGGTAGGCCATTGCTATCAGTGGGCTCTAACGCTTCATCCAGTGCTTGGAGCTCCTCGTCGTCCTCAATCGATTCGGTATCGTCTGAATCTGAATCTTCTTGTGAAGAAATGTCGTCCCACTTCTGATCAGCTGAAGCTGGTGGTCCTGCTTCGAGAGTTCTATGCGACGAATTCTGTCGATCTGTATACGCTGGAAGCGCTTCTGTGGACTCCATTTGACGGTCTTCTGGTCCGGTGGTAGTACCATGCTCGAGCTCCTCTGTTGCTGCGGCACGGGCTTGCTTCTGTTCCTTGCGATGTTCCCTGTACTCGGCTCCCATCGCAATGCCTTTGCCGGCAAGCTTAGCAACGAGTCCGATTGGCATGTTGAGAGTAAATGTGGACGACAACCGAAGGGCTTGGTTTGGGATGATAAGACGAACTGCGAGCGGTCTTACCGGTTCCTATATATCTGCGAACACAGCAGCATTACCCTACTGCCTATTGATTGTCCATTGCATCCTTCAAGAATTCCGTCAGACCCGCTCGAGTCGCGCTCGGGAGCTCCGCCTCAGCTGTGCTTGCAGAAGAGAGTGACGAAGTGGATGCTCGGACAGGGTTGAACGAGCTTGATCCAATGCTTAGCCGAGATGCCAGAGCTTGAGCGGGCAGCCCGTAGCACATGGGCGCGAAGCTAGCCGTTTGCGGTGCGGCTGAGTGAATTGAGTTGCGCGCGAATCACAAGTCGGCGCGACACCTTCCAAGAGCATCGCATCCCAGGCATCGACATACCAGCATCACTCCCCATCGTCGCAACACTGCAACACTCGTCATGGCGCAGACGCAGACACAGACTCCGGCTCAAACACTGCCGCAAGAGCACATCAAAGCCATTGACCACTTGCGCATGCGACTGGCCGGGCTCTCGACGTCTCTGCACCTATTGCAGGGAGAGCTCGCGAAACCGCAGAACGATCCTCTGCTCGCATGGTAGGTCGTGGTCGCGGTGACGCGTCGCCTGCAAATGCACTCCCTTGCTATCTTGTAGTGTTAGAAGTCTTTGTCGCTAAGGTAAGTTGACAGGCCACAGCTGCAAAAGGCTTCAACGAATCTCGGACAGAACCTCGACGGCCTCGCCAGTGCGTTGAGCGCGCAACGCCAACTATTCACATCGTTGCACCTACATCCTCTTCCCAACTTTCCCGCGCACACGCAGCAGGGCCTATTGGAGCAGTTGGTGCGCAAAAAGTTGGACCCGAGAGCGGAAGCGTGGATCGAAGAAAGCGTCAATGTCGGCAAAGAGCAGAGCAATGGCGTTGCGGCGGGCCAGGAGTCGGGCACGTTGACCGAGGCCGAGATGCAGGACTTATGGTCCTCAGCCATGGATATACATCAAGAAGTTCTCGCGCCTTGGATGGAACAGGATCTCTTCAGCGATGATTTCACTGTGCTGGAGCGAGAAAATGGCGTGAAGAATGTCGTGACCGGTCTGAAGCGCGATCTCGCGGACGAGGACGATGACGATGAGGACGACGGAGACGATGATGGCGACAAGATGGTCGAAGACACCGTGAAGCCAGACGTCGTGCAAGCTCCTGCTGCGAACGGTCTGAACACCAGCCTTCCTCCGTTGCCGTTAGACAGCATGCTCAAATTCGCACATGGGCAGGATGTTCCTTGAGAGTCAGATATGCTGATCTAGAAGTACCTCTCAAGCCCACCCACCCTCGGCGTTTCCCTTTTGCGGCATATTCCCCCTTCGGGAGGTAGCTGTGTTGACAGAGCGTGGTTCAGCCGGCTTTCGTTCAGTTCGGATTCTGCCTGAACGCAAGGAAACCGAGTAGATGGCAAGCGAATACAACGAGCTCACATGCCCCACTGGCACTGTCCGCGGATAGCCTGGACTGCTTGCCTGTGCCGCTTGATTCACTTGATACTGTCACATGAAACTGTGAACGGATAACAATTGCTTTTCACTTCTAGTCTCTTCATGCTTCCATGCCTGCCTTTCCTGACTCATCACCTGGCAGAGCAACACAAATCTAGCTTTCGCCAACAAGTCCGAACACGTCCACCATAGAGCCACACCAAACCACGACACACCGCGCGGCACCTTGGTGACCATCTACACAAGAACAGTTCGTCCACATTCCAGGATGCCTTTACACAAAGTTCTGCCGATCAAGGCGGACATGGAGTACAGGCGACAGCGAGTCGGTGCTCCAAGGGCATTTTCCAAAGACTTCATACGTGAGGTGATCATCGCCACCATCGATGATTTCAACCTTCACAACCTACAGGATCCGGACAGATTCATTGCTGTGTCGCCTGCAAAGGGCTCGACTCCCATTTACGATATCCACAGACGCCCTCTTGGGTATGACAGCTACTCGTTCGAGGGTTGGCGATGGGAGTCGAAAGTCATGGAAGTCGAGCTTGATTCGGCTTGTGAGGTCTGGGTCCATGCTCGGCATGGATGTACATCTTTGGTTGAGTGGCTCCAAAAGGATCATCATCCCGATGATGATGATGATGATTCGGATCTCAACGCTGACTTGGGGCCGTGGCCGTGGACTGCAAAGGAAGCGCGAGAGAGACAGCAAGTCTTGTGGGACAAGCAGTGGCGTCTCTGGAAAATCAACGGTAAGCAATTTCAGTTTCGCAATCTGCCTGCTGAGATTCGGAATTCGATCTACGACTTCGCTCTTGGTCCCGAGCAGGACCAGTCCTCATACCGCCATGCACGACTCGGAAGATACGGTACTCGCCACATGGAGCGAGGTGCGCTTCCGTTGCCATCAATGAACATTCTATACTTGAGCCGCCAGGTTTACGCCGAAGCATGCCATATCCTCTTCGAAAGAACTGTCTTTCGCCTCACGAGCAGCAAAGACTTCTACAGACTGAGCGACAACAAGACGCTTGTCAGCCGCATACGACGTCTTGAGCTGGCGCTGCCACATGAGGATTTCCTCGAATGCTTCAAACGAGTAGCGGACTTGCGCCGCCACGGCCTCGAAGAGGCAAACGTCTTTCAACGCATGCAACTCAAAGACTTGGTCATCGATTTGGCTCGGCCGAAAGCTCTTATCGATATTGTGATGATATTTCACAACAACACGGGTTCTACGATGGTCCCAGAGTTTGCCTGCCAAAAATTGACGGTCGACAAGATTCTGCGGAAGGCGTTTCCATGGATAGCCGAGCAGCCTGTTCGTCTCGTCGGAGCGTTGAAGAATCAGCAGAGGAAGGACTTCGAGGCCAAGTGCGCTGCAAAGCGCAAAGAATACCTCGACTGGTGTCGTGCCATGTCGCTGGACGGCCAGGTTCCGACACTGGTGGAATATGAGGAGTGGAAGGCAGAGGAGGTTGGTGGAGTGTGGCTCGATGGCCGTGGAGCGGTGGCCGCAGAACCAATCGAAGAGACGCTTTATGGAGCTCAATCAGACGTCGTGAACGAGGCTGAAGATGAGATGGCCTTGGAAAAGTGTCGTTGTGAAGTCATTTGTACTCCAGCGCGCTGGACGAACGAGGACTAGGATGCGAAGGCGATGCTGAGTCACTGGTGTGGCAATATCTACAACGAGCAGACTATCCGGTCCTAGCAGGAATTGAGAACGCATATGGTCCACCTGCAGTCGTCACATGCAACATGCTGCATTGGGAGCAGCTGAGAGATGTATTATAGCTAATCTTCTCGCGCTTGAGTTGAGCCCTAGTAGATGCTAGAGATGTTCGGGATCCAGGGACTAGTTGGTAGTGTCAGAGCAGAAGTTTCGAGTCTACACGATGGTCTTCTCTAGCTTTTCTACTGCGTCTCGAGAAAGAGTCCTATGGTAGTCTTGTGGGGAGTGATCTCGCGATGAAACGTCCACGACTTTTGGGAGCAAGACTCGAGGCGGCGTTCACGCGTCTTCCTGCCTCTATGCACTAAATCAAAGTCTCCATCTACAGAATAATGTCAAACATTCATTTCTTTCTTGCATGTGATTAGTAGAAACTGATTGGTACTGTGCCGCACCGCGATGTTGCGAGACTGGCATGCAGGACAAGCGCGACTGTACCATCCGTTACCGCCTTCCTCCCCGAGGCTCCAAGAACAGCAAGACCACGACCAGTGCAGATCTGCAGCAACACATCAAGCGCAATTGACTTCACTTTTGGACTTCGGACCCGTGATCTGAGGAGCTTTGCATGCCACATGACTACAGCAACATGTCAAACCAGTCATCCGACCTTGCGTCACGATATCATCCGGCAATATGGATGGTCGCCGGACTGACCTTAGCCTACACTTCGTACAGGCTCCTCGAGTCTTACACCAGCCTACAATCAACCGACTTACGAAGAAGCAACGCAGTACACCGACCACGAAGGAACCGCCAAGAGGGCCACGTAGACTGGGAATCGCCTTCGCCAGGCGCGCCTCTGGGGACCATATTGATCCGCAAGGACGACGAGACTCTGGCAATCAACTTGGCAAACACGCGACTTCCATCCGCCGACATGCTTCGACGCATGTATGGATCTGGCAGTGAGTCGATCCGCCGAGAAATGCAAAGTCTGGCTTTGGATATGATCCTTTCAAATTGCTTTGCCTCCATAGACGATGCGGAAAGCAGAGCAAGGTTGAGCAATTTTGGCCTGGACGAGGTACTGGCCGCGCTGAGAAGTAGAGATGGGGAAGCGATCTTGCAATCCAGCTACAGCATTCCGCAAATCATGCATCTCGACACTGTTACCAGGGCACAAGTAGAACGCGCCATACACACGCTTTTGACCTCGGACCCTTGGTTTACTGCCAACGCTTCTGGATCCGACGATGAGGTAGTAGATCCAGCGGAAACAGAAGATTGGGAGGTGGATAAGAACGAGCCAAGTCAAGGATTGCGAGGTCTGCTGTACTATATCGCGGAAAACGAAGCGAAGCGGAAAGCCTACGAGCACCGGGGCATTGGATGTGAAGAATGCGGTGAACTCCCTATACGCGGTGTGCGATGGCATTGCCTCAATTGTCCGGACTTCGATCTGTGCTCGTCCTGCGAAACCCACTCGCGACATCCAAAGACTCATGTGTTCGCCAAGATCAAGATTCCAGTCCCAGTTCTGTCACAGCCGACACAAGAGATCAAGCTGTGGTATCCCGGTGATCCAAGAAAGATCCATGCTTCTCTTGATGCGAATCTGAGGAAGAAATTATGCCAAGAGTATGACTACGAGGAGCCACAGCTTGACGCACTCTACGACCAATTTACCTGCTTAGCGAATGTTCCTTGGGAAAGAGATCCCACCAGAGTCAAAGCTGGGATGGACAGACGAGCCTTCAACAGGGCCATGACTTCCGAGCGCTGGCCCGCTGGACTGGCCACAAATGCGATGTTCGATCGCATGTTCGCCTTCTACGACACAGACAACAATGGTATCATTGGTCTCGAAGAGTTTGTAGATGGCATGGCGTATCTGAGAGGACCTAAGCGTTTCGCCTCCTTGCGGAGAACAATACAGGGCTACGATCTTGATGGTGATGGTTACGTGGATCGGAAAGACTTTCTGAGGATTCTTCGTGCAAAGCACATCATACAGAAACAGCTTATCAGCGACCAGGTTGACTTTCTGGAATCGGAGCGAATATTGATGAGTCAGGATGTTCTGCGCTCGAATCAGCCTATTAGCTCTCTTTTCGCAGATGAGCAGATCCCGCCTGGAGAGACAAGGCCACCGGGTGGCAAACGACCAGATGCGTTTGGCGACATGCAGCCATTGCCAGGCACTAAAACAATTCTGGACGAGCATGACCCTTTTGTGCGGAAGCGACCACCTCGCGAGCGGCTACGAGCAACATTGTCTAGATTCGAAGAGTTATTGAACGAGAATGACATGTCCCAGCAGGACAATGATGGGTCTGAAGAAGATACTGGCGTGCGCGAAATCCTCCCTGATGCCGAAGATGATATAGAAGATCCCTACTTACAGGACATCCTCTGGCAGATCACAGAGAATGGTTTCAATGAACTACTCGATCCCCTGTTCCGGACTCGGGAGCTAAATGACCAAGAAATTGCCGACACTCGTGCTGAGAGGAAGCAGTGGGCGTCAGAGATTGAAGATGCCATCGCAGTCGAGGCGCGCTCGCGCCAGAAGGAAATGGAAGAGCTTGAGGCCAGTAAACCATCACAAGGAAGCACGAATGAGACATCATCAGGACGGAAAGCACCAGACTTGCCCGAACGTGCTCAGCCAGAAACTTTCAGCGACGGTATTGTGCCCACAGACTGGGTCAGCCTGTCGAGACGCGAAGCTGAGATCGCGGACGCACCGCTAGACGAACTGCTGAACAATCTCGGCTATGGCTTACGTGACGACGATGCTACTATAACTGGGAGTGATGTGGCAGATTCAGATCCTCGTATTGCAGATTCTGGTAGCTCGACAATCTGGAATGGCAGACCTGCCAGTCGAGCCACTTCTCCGCTCAAGACAGCGATTGCCGCCAACGACGAACCAACCTCCACTGACCCAACTCTTCCTCAGAATCGTCCGACTGCCGATTCTGCAGAAGGCAGTAGCAAGAGCCCTGCTCCAGCGAAAGCACCTTCAAAGTCTCGACTGAACAAGCTCGCTCAATTGAATGACTTGGAACGAGAAATGGAAGAGCGTGGAGGTCCTGGCAGACTGGCGTATGATGAGGTCGAACATATTGTCGTCGCGGACGAAAAGCATGAGCTGAGAGGTTTGGTGAAGAGCTGGTTGGAATGGGCCAGCTTTTGATCCCCCGAGACCTGCAATACTTTGACAAGAAATGGTCAGCCTTCCCTACCACGACGCGCCGGGGCTGATTGTCCCTGGAGTGTGCTGAACAGAAGCGAGATGTCATGACTTCAGTAGACAGTGTTCTGCATAGTGTATGAATGAGGAAAGATGTTTGGATATGTCTTCTTGGCAAACCATTACCTGCCAACAAGCTCTTCTTGTGGCCTTTACATCGAACGAGTTCTCGACCTTGTGGAAAGAATATTCATCTAGCTAAGACCCAGAGCGTACGTCCCGTCTCCACAAATTCTTCTCACGATTGACTTCCACAACCTTACGTACAAAAGCGTGGGATTTCCCGCATATGTATGTATGCCACTGACTCGCACATACCTTTTTCGTGCCATAGACTCGGTATGGCAATGCACGTAGACGAAGCGCTTAGCTCGCTAATCTACATACCGCTGTGATTGTACTTGTAAACTTACGCCTTATACGAGTCATTGAGCTTTCGCAAAGCCTGTATTCGCAATAGACTCGGGAGCGAAATATGCAAGTAGACGACGGCTTCGCTGGTGGGTAATTAGTGGGTATGATGCCTCAGGCATACATCACCTGAGGTGAAATCCTACCACTATACTTGTATGCAAGTGGATGGAGAAGAACAGGACCCTGACTTTTAGGAAGCGAATTTGAACGATGTCTGAATTTGGTGATAGGACCGTGTCGCAGTACATCAATCTCCGAGGCGATGTGACATTTGCTGCTGAACGGCATGTGAAAGTACCAGTTCGTCGCAGAATCTGTCTGTTTCGATCGTGTTCGAATCAAGATTTTGCGTGACATTGCAGGTCAGAGAAAGTCCAATCGTCCGAAAGTCAGCCATCGACACCGAGGCAAGAATGCAAGTACTTCAACTGCCGCGAAAATGCACAAGCAGCAAAATCCTGCGACGCAGGAACACAGAGAGCGTACAGTACTTCGTCGCATCAGTGCTCGAGCCCAAACCTCGCTACCATCCCCATGGAGCCACTAACCCGCTCACTCACACGAAACGGGCCTACAGAGCGCCCCAACGTTAGACATAGTGGCGATTGATGGAGAAAAATGATGGATTCTTCCGGCCTAGCCACCACAGGGCGTGCGAACTACTCCAGATCCCCCAAGGTCCCCTGGCAGCCTTGAGCAACACCGGTCGTAGACCATGATCATTAGTCTTGCGACCAACAACGATGCCTGGCAATTTGGAATCGATTCCGGCTTCTGTGATCGCCTCATGGCCGCCGCCGAACTACGATGATCCCGAGCGGAGGGCGTGGATGCCGATTTTTGGAGGGATTTTGCAAGCTGTTACAACAGTGTTGTTTACGACGAGGCTGGGGTTAAGAGCTGGTGGGCAGGCTGGTGGGTTCGGACTTGATGATGTGAGTCGGACACAATCCTGATGTAGAATGCTGCTGACGCCGAAAGGCGCTTCTTGTGCCGGCATTTCTAGCAGGCACCGTATTTACGGCCTTCTGCCTGCTGGCTTCGGAGTCGTATGGCATGGACCGGCACATCTGGGATGTGAGGCCAGAGAAATTCGAAAAGATCGTTCTCGCTGGATGGGCAGCGCAGCTGGCTTTCCTCGTCAGTACCTGCAGCACGAAGATATCAGTACTACTCTTCTATCGAAGACTTACTGAAGGAAGTTGCCATAAGCTCTGGAAGGTAAGTCAAAGATCGGCGAAGACTGACTCGCCGCTGATCGTTAGCAGTATCTGATCATCGGCGCCATTGCGTTCACTGCATCGTACTGCACCGCATTAGTGCTGGCACTCATCTTCAACTGTTCTCCAACAGACGCATACTGGAAGTCTTACGACCCCAAATATACCGCGAATTACCACTGCACAGACACGAAAGTGCTGAATCCACTCTCCGGGGCCTTGAGCATCCTCAGCGATGTGTACCCTGTGCTTCTTCCAATGGCAATCATGGCCAAGCTCAAAGCCACGAGACGACAGAAAATCGCGCTCAACATCGTCTTCAGTTTCGGATTCCTGGTAGTGGGCGCAGGAGTCGCGCGGACATACTACCTTGAACGCTTGGGCACGCACTGGGATATCACCTGGCTGGGCTTCGATGTCCTGGTCTGGTCGCAGCTGGAACTTCAATTGGCCATCATCTGCGCAAGTGCACCGGCGCTCCGAGTCCTGTTCCGGCGATATCTGAGCAGTTCGATGACACGAGCCATGATCACGTCGAAGCTCAGCTCAGGCAGGAATGCTCCTCAGCAACAACATTCACCGCCAGATGACACGGAAGCCATCATCAGTTATTCCTCGAAACAATGCAGGCGATCGATGGAACACAGTAATGTTGGGGCGGCCGCGTTGAAGAGGAAGGATGTCGAGGCGAGCGTGAAGAGCATCGATGACATGGATGATACCTGTTACCCCATCAATGTGCGTTCCTCAACGACATCAAATATGCCAGTGCAGACGCCTGAAGCGTTCGAGACTTTTGCGTTGGAAAATCTGCGAGCGCAACGGAGGCACTTCATACGTTGAGGAGTGGTGAAGCTCCTGCTGTTGCTGTCGCCGCTGCATGCGTGCATCATTACGATCGAGGAGAATGCGTCAACCAGGTATGGAATATGTATTAGCCAACGGTGATGTGTTCTGCATCGGTCAGCCCGCGAGGCTTTGTCCATGGTAGCGAGCCACACGCACCCCTCTTCAGCCGCGCATTGCATCGCATGCAAGCAAGCGACTCATACGCACATCTCATGTCATGCTTGTGATCATGCATCGCCCGGATCAGTCGTTACGTCCCTCCTTGTCTCATGAATACGACAGTGCATACGATATTGCTGGGCTGTCGGCTGCTCCGGCGGTTGACGTACATAGATGTGGCCTTTTTTGAAACGGTGTATGCAGGCTGATGAGGCTCCGTCAGCTCCGGAACAGGCTCCAGGCCAGGAACGCGTATTTCTGGGCGCGTGAGGATGATGGAGCCGACATGAGTTTCGAGTCTCGACCCTCTGACGGTGATGTGAGGATGCTGCCTTGTCCCACGTTCGAGGACTACTGCGGTACCTGCGTGAGACACGTGGGATGGCGTAGTGGCGGAGAGCAGAGAGCGAAAAGGGTGCAAGAGCAAGAGCATGTGGTTGGTGGTTGCGATTGGACGGGCGGAAGGTCCGCCCGAATTGACGGTCTCTTTTGCACGGCCACTTCTCAAATTTGAACCAAGGCAAAGCATGCAGTGAGATGCGGCACTTTGGCATGCACAAATGCACATCATCATGATTACCTGATGAGAGCTCCTGATCAGCAACACCACGAGCAAGTGTGATTGAGTTCAAGTCGAGCCCACGCGGGAGGGACAGCTGAAGAGGCAGCTGCGGAGTAAATAGACTTTCGCCTCATTACATTAGCTTGTTCGGCAGTGGGGTGATTGTCGCTGTGTGTGTGGACTGTGGACTGCACGGCTACGAGCGGCGCAAAGCAGACAAAACTCTCTTGCACTCCCCTCTTCACGTGAAGAAGCCCCCATTCTGCTTCTGCTGCTTCTGAAGTCCTAGGAACGTCTCTTCGTCGTGCCCCGGGATCACTTGACCTCTCGTCTGGCGCTCGATTTGCTTGAGTCGGCAGGTGCTGCGGAACCAGGCAGGATGATCGCGGGCGAGCCAGCCTTGGGGAATGCCGTCCCGCCACTGGAGAAGAGATCGTTAGCATGGATGAGGTTGAAGGAAGTACGGGACCGGACAAGGAACATACGTTCTCGATGACGTGGCAGTGGTCGCTGATGAAGAGGAAGGTGCCGCTGTTGGGCATGTTGATTTGCATTCCGATCAAGCCGTCCGTGTGGCCCGGTAGGTGGTGAAGTGTGATACCTCTATTGAGCGTTAGTGCATGCTGGTTGTCTGCAAGGTGTGGGTCGATCTCACTGGCAGAAGTCCAACGTCCTCTCATCGAATGTCTTCCAGTTGCTGCTGACTTTTAGCAGTCCGAAGCACAATGAGAAGCTCCAGATTGTACGACTCACAGATCCAGTCTCAAGTAATGCTTCAGATACACGCCCACATCGGCACCCGTAGCGACCGACCAGAATGCCGAGCGCAATTCAAGATCATGCACCCATATTTCGATGTCCTTCCTGTCGAGGAACAAATCCAAGCCGCCTGCGTGATCGAGGTGAAGATGTCCAATGATGATCTTCTTCACATCTTCCAGTTTGTGCCCTGTCGCTTCAATCGCGGCGTCGAGCTCGTGGTGCGATTCGTACTTGACTCGAGTAAAGACGTCGGAAAGCTGAGGTCCCCAGACGGTAGGATAGTCCTTTCCGCAACCTGTACAACACGGAAAGCTTTCAATATGTCATTCCGTTGCCAACGTGTCTCGAGTGCTCTATCTCACACACGGCCAAGAACAACGGAAAAGAGTTCCTTACCTGTTTCCCACAAAATCACACCTTCGATGGGATGATCAATCAGGATGCAGTACATGGGCAGTTGTCTCCGTTTGTTCACAAATGGCTGATCTTTCGTGCTGTGCAAGCTGGTGTTCCCGCCTCGTACAACGAAGCCTTCATCGCACTCCAGCCATCCGACCTCTAGCAGCCAGAACTTGGTGCCCTTTGGGCAAACATTGGAGACGTGGTTCGGAACGGCACCTTCGTCTATTTGTCGTTGAATTGCAGCCGCCATGGTATATGGTATTGCGGTGGTGACTCCGACCCCGACAGAGGCGCGGATGTGTTGCAGCAGGTGTTGCAAATGTCGTATCTGCAGGCTTCCGCCCTGCTGTGACTGCAGTCCAACTCAACCATTATCTATTGCTCTTTGCGACACATCACCTCGCAGACCTTCCCTGCTGCCCTCCATGCTACAACATGCGCATTGAGGGGATTGTGCGGGGAGCTCCAGGGTGGTGACAGGGAGTTGATAGGACGTCGACCCCATGAACATCGATGTTCCCAATGCATCCTCGCGGGCTTACGGAGTGTCCCAATCGTGCTGCATTGGTCTGAATGCAGCAGTCGAGCACGCGAGCTTGTGAGTAGCCGGTGCTCGCCATTCCGACCTGGTTGTCGGCAGCTGCTCCGCGCGTCTCGACTCTCGACTACTGTGTGCGTCGCGTGCGGTCGTCGTCGCGTGATGTGCAACGGGGCAAACGAGTCAGATGCACGGTCGCCGGCTCACGGCCACGCGAGCCGATGCCACACTGCGCCCGTGGGGGTGGGACCCAGAACACGATTCAAACCACCAGCAGCAACCGTTTTCGCTGTCGACATCGAGGATCCTGGAGAATGTGACGGACCAGTCACAGCCCCGCGGCTGACCCAAGAGATCTGCTAGTCGCGCATGAGATGCATCGACGCATGGGCGCATCGCTGCGTGTGCTGCAGGAGTGCTCCGACGGCCTGGTCTGCACGCTCGGCCGTTGCACCAGCTGGCAGCACACTGCGCGCGAGATTTGGGCAGACCGAGTCCTGTACACGGACACCCGTGCGAAAGTGACTGATCTCCTCCACGCTGGACGTGTCTGGCCGCCTCCCCATGTGTCAGTGGCCACTCGCGACCTGCTATTTGTGGTTGCCAATTCTGACTACAGACCAACAGCTCCACATCATGGCTGCGCAACAGGCAACTCCGCGTGGGATGCAAAAAAGGTATCGGCCGGCCTCACGACACAATTCGGCGGCTGACGCTTCTCCTCACCATGCTGTCCGAAGTGTCCGTCCGTCACGCGGTGACGCTGGCGGCTGTGTTAAATAGGACCGACCCACTGGCCTCGCGACAATGGCCCATCACGTTGCCACGCCTGGCCGTTTGCTGGGACTCGACCTATCATCCTTCCCGCATATGATGCGTAGCACCTGTGCTTGACAAGTCATATTCACTGCTCCAAGCCGGCCGACTTTGTGCTTGTACTCCCTCCTCGCACGCCCTTTCGATATCGTGCTTCTCGATCATATCCGCGCTTCTTCCTTCCCTCTCATAAGAGGCCGTCTCAATCCTTCTGTTCCTTCAAGATCACCCACCTTGGGCACCTGACACCATGTCTCCTCTCATCATGGATCAGTATCGATCGACCTCAGCCACTCAGTCAAGACGCCTTCGATCAAAAAACTATGCCCTGACTTGGGCAGGACCGGACGATGCCCCGAGCATTGTTGCCATTGAGTTCGACGCTTTCAAGGGCGAGAAGACCAACCACATCCTGTCATATCGCGACTTCACTCAACCAGCACATCGCCAGCGAGCACTGCTCATGTACCAGAACGCCATGACCGGCTCGGATAGCATTCGCAGACGCAAGAAGTCTGCTTCAGCTCGCCGGGTTGAGCGAAGACCCAATACTGATATCGTGCGATTCCGAAAAGTGACAGATGTGGAGAACAAGCTGATCATCTCGTGGGCAAAGACGGAGATCAAGACTTACACCGAGGATGAGCTGGCCAGCCCGGCGGACAGCGGGCACGAAGGGGAGGCAGTGATGAACCGGGAATGGTTCGCACTGAACGAGAAGCTGAAGAGGGATTATATGGGTACCCAAAAGCATTGTTGTATGTTGCTCGTCTTCCCATTGGGCATACGTCTTCACTAACACATTTCCCAGACATCAGCATGCTCGCCACTTCACCTGCATATCAGCACAATGGTGCAGGCACAATGCTACTTGAAGACATCCTCCGAGAAGCCGACGATGCGGGCATCGAATGCTATCTCGAGGCTACCGACACCGCCAAGCCTCTCTACGAACGCCATGGCTTCGAAACGGTCAACGTACTGGAATTCGATCCCTCTCACTACGGTGTCCTTGGGTTCCGCGTAGAACGCCAAACGATCATGATCCGCGGTGCCTTGGACCCCATCACAAAACAGCGAAAGCCTGTCCGAAGCTGGCATGAGGCGACCGGTCGTGAAGGTTCACCTTCACCTTCGCCAAGTTCCTCGAGCGAGAACAGCGAGAACGAGGGTGGTGCTTGATGTGACAGCGAAGATTGCAGTGCACGGAACACGGCGTTGGTGGATGAGCTCGGTCTGGAGAGGCTGACCGGCTGGCGGCTTGGCGTTGCGAAAGAGACGACTGCATTGCATCGACGGTGGTGAAGGCGATCTGATCATCGGTCTATGCTGTACGGTATTTCGTTGTATGGTATTCACCAGGAGTTCAAAAGCGGGTAAAGGAGTAAAAAGATGGACTATATTGATAATTTCTTGGGCATTGGCAACGGAATGGAAAGGTGGGTTGGTGGTTGCAGAGGCGTCAAAAGCGATCAGTGGGAGAATGTCTAGTATTCTTGGATAGTTGCTGGCATGAATCGAGCGTATTGTTTTGAACTTGTTTGTTGATCTTTGATCATGATGTCGGCATTGGCAGAATACGGTTGGGGTGGTGATGAGGTTGGGCAATGACCTTCCCGATCAATGGACTCTGACTCCCGACTAAGAGGTAGCCCGCCAGAATCCCAAGTTACTCCAGGTGCCCTTGCCAACCCCTTCAAAGTATCAGAAGACAAGCAGGTAGAAGTTCGCGATTTTGAACTGGTGCTTGGTGCAGCAAGAGTATGCTTAGTCGTTCAACCTCGTACTCCGTACCTTGGTTGTTCAAAAGCTGCCGAAGCTGTCTCTCGGTCTGGTTTCCGAGACACCTTCGCTCAATACCATCATTGCACTCCTGAGGGAGGAGGGGCTACGCGATGCGAAACGCAGTCGAAGCCCAGAAGTGCGAGAGTGGGGACACGAGACGAGGAAGGAGAGCCCCACGAAGCTTTGACGAAAAGTCGCGCTATCACGTGCCGTGACTTTGCGATAGCACATGCACGTCATAAAATCTGAGACTTTAAACATTCGAGGTCGACGAGCTTCCTTACCACTCACAGACGCTCGCCTGCCTTCGTCAAAATGTCTCTCCAAACCTCCGCAGGACCGATCAACGCCGAAGATGCCGACAACTTCGAGGAGATCGAGAAGCAGTTCGCCGTCAAAGGTGAGCCAGCCCTTCCACCATCCCACCAAAAACCCAACAACTCCAGAAATCCTAACATCACCTTCTTTCTTCTGATCTAGTCGTCGAACACATGTCAACATACTGGTCCATCCTCGAAAAACTCCCCGGCTCCAAACTCCGCCTGACAAAATACGACGACGAAATCCTCGAGCACTTCAACAAAGAATTTCCCGACTTTGACCTCAAAGCTACGATTAATGAGGATGATATGAAGAGTAAAGAGGGGAAAGAGAAGTGGAGAAATTTCATCAATGCGTATGAGAAGAAGATTGAGGATTATAATTTTGGGGCTATGGTTAGGGCGAATCCGGCGTTTGAGTATGATGAGAAGGGGACGATATTTGGTGAGTGAGAGGAGTTTGTTTAGTTGGTATTTGTGTTGTGTGGGTTTTGCTGATAATAGTTTTTCGTAGCTGTTCGCATGCAGTTCTATGCGATTGAGATTGCGAGGAATCGGGCTGGTTTGAATGACTGGATTTATGAGAAGGCTAAGGCTAGCAAGTCATGAAGCTGTGCTGCGAGATGTGCAAGCTTCTGCGATCAGCGGACGCAACCTTGGCTCGGTCAGCTTGCGGCATAGAATTCTTGATGGGAGATACTCACGGCCGTGTTGGATTGTTCCGCCTCTCGACGCTCGGAGCAAGAATCAGAAGGTGCCGCGGAAGATGTCGAGTACATCTTTGTAGACCTTGACAGCCGGAGGACACATTTTGGAGAATGCGACGAGCCAAATCATCTGCAAAATGGTAGGTGAGGTGGATATACCCCGTCAGGCGCGCAAGGGGCGCAATAGATAGAGCACATTGCATTGTTCGGTGAGCGCGGGTGAAGAACAATCGTAAGCAAATTCTTTCTCCCGGCTTCGTGTACACCTCACCAAACCAGCAAATTCACGCCTCAAACGGTGAAAGGTCCGTGCAGTTCGAGTGCCACTTCGAACAAACAGCGTTGGAAGCTTTACTTGGGTACAGGAAATTCTAGCTTTACACATGGCACTACTTGCGCATCGACAAGGTCAATGGCCACCGAGGACCCGCGCAAATCGAAGGAACGCCGGCGGAAAGGTTCGACAGACAGCGATGTCAGATCGATAGCTGAGAGCGAAGTATCAAATGCCAACACCATCGAAGAAACTCCCACGAAACCGGCACCATGGCGCTCGTTACTCGCCTTCTCGACCAAGCGCAACCTCCCGATCTTCATCTCGGGCATCATCGTCTCGGTTCTAGCAGGTGCTGCCGGACCAGCGCAAACTCTCATCGTCGGCGAGCTGTTTGACGGCTTCACTTTGCTCGCCAGCGGACAAGCTACTACCGACGAGTTCATGAAGCGCGAGTCGAAATACATTGTCTATGTGACAGCAATCGCAGCCGCGAGCTGGTTGTTGCATTCCCTCGAATTTATGCTCTGGCTTGCTTTTGGAGAACTACAAGCGGCATGTGCTCGCGACCGTTTGTTCCATGGTCTGATGGCTAAAGAGACGGAGTGGTATGATATGCGGAAGAATGGAATTGGTGCCCAGTTGCCTCGGATGCAGGCGCAGATTCGCGAGTTGCAGCTTGCCTCTGCTCAGCCGTTAGGATCACTTTTTGCGCTGGCGTCGACGGGTATCTTGTCTTTGGTGCAGGCTTTTGTCAAGTCGCCGAAGCTCACAATGGTTACACTCGCTTCGACGCCTGTCATTCTTGGACTTGCGGTCCTGGCTGGCAAGCCGATGCAGGTCAACCTTATCAAGATGCAGGACAAGCTCACTGAAGCTCAGAAGTATACGACCAGTGCTTTCACTGCTATCGAGACAGTCAAGTGTTTCAATGGACAAGAGATCGAAGCGGCGAAGTACAAAGGCATTATTGATCAGGCAGCCATCTTCTACGCCTGGGTTGCGCATGGCAGTGCGCTGCAGATGGCACTGGTTGTCATGCTTTCTGTTTCCATGTTTGTCCAAGGATTCTACTACGGAGGTGTGCTGATTGCCAAAGGCGAGATCACGTCTGGCGATGTGGTCACCACTTTCTTCTCAGCTGTGGGCGCCTTCCAAGCCATTCAGGGTATCTTGCCTCAAATGATCGTTCTGGAGAAAGGCCGGGCAGCGGGTTCCACATTGCGCGCCATCATTGCACAAATCGAAACGAAGTCAAAATCGGACGCTGCACTAGAGACTGTGAAGCCCACGGCATGTGTTGGCAATATCGAGGTTAAGAATCTCACATTTGCATATCCTTCTCGACCAGATGTGCCAGCCGTACAAGACATTACATTGTACATACAAGGCGGCGACGTTTCGTTCTTGATTGGCAGAAGTGGATCAGGCAAGAGTACAATCAGCCAGCTGCTCATGCGCTTTTACAATGCGCCACCGGGCACCATCATCGTCGATGGCGTTCCACTGGAGAGGCTCGACACCCAATGGCTTCGCTCGAATGTGACACTTGTTGAGCAGACAAGTATGCTTTTCAACGATACTGTGTTCCGCAACATTGCATTTGGACGAAAAGATCACGAAGATGTGACGAAGGCAGAAGTAATGGAGGCAGTACAGTTCGCACTCCTGCAGTTGATGATATCGGACATGCCAGATGGGCTCGAAACCACGGTAGGAACGAAGGGAGGCGCCATGTCTGGAGGCCAGCGTCAACGTATGGCATTGGCCAGAGCAAGACTCAGAGACACTCCTATTCTCATCCTGGACGAGTCAACCAGTGCTCTTGATCACATCACCAGGACTCTTGTCATGGAAGCACTTCGGAACTGGCGCAAAGGCAAGACCACGATTATCATTACGCATGACATAACACAGATCTTGTCGGACGATTATGTTTACATGCTAGAAGCTGGCAAAGTCGTGCAAGAGGGCTATCGCAGACAACTGGAGACTACAGAGGGCACTCCTTTCCAAGCGTTCCTCGCGGAAGACGAAGTCAATGCTGTCCACTCACCACTAGACATCAAGGATCTCGACTTCAATGAGCGCGACTCCTGGACTTCAGACATCTCATCGGAATACTCACCTCGACCATTGCCTCAAAACACGGCCACTTACTTTGATCCACTTGATGCCGAGCTTACAGCCACTGAGAAGAAGCGACAGTCCAAGCTGCCAAACGTGTTCCAGGAAGGTAGTCCCATGCCGATCATGAGGGCCCCCAACCAGCATGGTGTTAACTCGCCATTCGCCTCACCGTTTATGCGCGTGACCTCAAACTTCTCGCCTGTGGACATGGTAAACATCACCTGGAATCGCGCCTCACCAATGGAACCCGCGAAAGATCCCGCCCAAAGCGAAGATTCTGGAGACAAGAGAGCATCACTGGCGTGGGAGAAGTTTCTCGATCAGACTGGAAAGCTCGCAGTAGACTTGAGACGAGCACGACCTGGTGTGACGAGAAAACGTCGCCCACTTGAAGACATCGAGGAAATTCCATTTACAGGCCCTGATGAAGCCCTTGCTGCTCTGCAGGGGCAAAGTGCTGCGCAACAAGAAGCTGCAAACAATACTTACAAGGTCATTTTTGGTACAGTATGGCCTGGCATCGATGCGAAGGGAAGACTTTGGTTGATCATCGGCTTCTGGGGCGCAACGGTACATGCTGTCGGGACACCAGTATTCTCCTGGATCTTGTCCAAATTGCTTGCTACATACGCAGTACCTGGTGGACAGAAGTCGAAACAGCTGGCGTACTCGATGGCAATTCTCGGCGTTGCTGTCATCGATGCTGTTCACACATATGCTTACCGGTTCCTGCTGGAAGTGGTTGGCGAATGGTGGGTAGATGGCATCCGCAACAAAGCCTATGAACGCATTCTCGATCAAGATAGAGAATTCTTTGCAAAGAAAGAGAACAGCATTCCGATTTTGGCGGAGAGTCTGGACCGCAACGCAGAGGAAATGCGGAATCTGGTCGCTCGTTTCGCTGCTCTTGCATACGTCGCTCTGATCATGACGACCGTTTCGATCACCTGGGCTCTGATCTCACAGTGGAAGGTCACGCTCATTGCGCTGACACTCGCGCCATATATCTTTGGCGTCACGAAAATGTTCGCAAGAGTAGCAGAGACTTGGGAAAGTCGGAGTAACGATGCCTCAGACAAAGCTTCAGCGATCTTTACAGAAACGTTCACCAGTATCAAGACGGTACGCGCTCTGACTCTGGAGGACCACTTTCTCGAGAAGTACACCGATGCCACTAATCAGGCTCTCGTCGTTGGTTTCAAGCGGTCTTTCTACGCCGGCTTCTTCTTTGGACTTTCCGACTCAGCAGGAAACTTCGCAACAGCCCTCATCTTCTACGTAGGCGCCAAAATCGCAACCGAAGGCGCCGACATCAACGACATCATTACCGTCTTCGCCATGTTGATCTTCTGCATCGTCAACGTCAGTGCCATCCTCGAATATATTCCCCAAATGGCCTCCTCCAAAGACACAGCCGCACGACTCCTTCGCTTCGCGAAATTGCCCAAAGACTCCCACGAACATCTCGGCAACACTCGCATTACCACAGTCGGCGACATCGTCCTCGACAATCTCAAATTCAGCTACCCTTCCCGGCCCGATCAAACGATCCTTAAAAACATCAACCTTCGCCTCCAACCGGGCACAACAACCGCCATCGTTGGCGGCTCCGGCTCCGGAAAATCCACAATCGCAAACCTCCTGCTCGACCTCTACAGCACTTCCTCCCTCCCAGGAAGCAAGCCCACAGACCTCACCTTTGGCTCCCGCTCAATTCAACACATCTCCACCCCTTCCCTCCGCAACATGATCGTCCCCGTATCCCAAACCCCAACCCTCTTCGCCGCAACCGTAGCCCAAAACATCGCCTACGGTCTCCCCGAAGGGCATCCCCAGAACAACGAACAATCCATAACCTCCGCAGCAACCAAAGCCGGAATCCACGAATTTATCCTCTCCCTTCCGCAAGCCTACTCTACCCCCATCGGTGAAGGCGGACTAGGCCTCTCAGGAGGCCAAGCACAACGTATCGCGATAGCTCGAGCTCTAATCCGCAACCCATCAGTCCTTATCTTAGACGAAGCGACCTCAGCTCTGGACATCGAAACCGCAAATCTCATTCGTCAGACAATTCATACTCTGATCGAAACTTCAAGATCAGATCCTAGTCGTTCACAGCCTATGACGGTGATTATTATCACGCATCATAAGTCTATGATGGAAATTGCGGAGAAAGTCGTCGTGTTGGATGAGGGGAGGATAGTAGAGACTGGGACTTTTGCGGAATTGAGTCGACGGGAAGGAGGCGCGTTGAAGAATTTATTGAGTGGAGGGGAGTGGATGGGAGAAGTTAATAGTAGCAAACGTGTGAGTAAACGCGTGAGTAGGGCGGCGAAGAGGAAGTCGGGATTGCCGGTTTTGAAGGATGTAGATTGGGGGATGGAAAGCAAGGGGAAAGAGAGGGCGAAGAGATAAGAGTGGTGGTACAGTAGTGGACTTCTGTCTTCGTTTTGCAAATAAAATTTTCGTGTTTGCATTTTCTCTGCCTAGCTCTGTGTGTCTGGGGTATCTCTCTTTCCTAGTTTTCCTTCCTATCTTTTCACAAGCACCTATTACAAAAGCTGGAAGGAAACTCGCTAAACCGCTGCTGATGATTCGATGTTAATGTTGATACATGAAATGCTGTTTTTGGAAAATCGAAGTCTTTGTTTTCATGCCCAGTTCAGTGTCGTAGCACATGGTGCGAGGGCGTGATGGTGTTGTGCAACAAAATTGTGTGTTCAAAGTTGAACATATCACTGGTAGACCTTGCTCAAGGTCCTGAACGCTTCTGCTGCATCAATATTGTTGCGTTGTCGATGAAGCCATCGACGATTTGCACAAAGGCCGACTCTCCACCCTGTAAAAGTGGAGCCAGTTGCTTTCGAAGCGCGCCGGCATCGACTTCCAACTCAAGCTCAAACTTGGGCGCAAGACCAACTTGATCTACTTTCGTCAGATCGATCTGATAGATGCCGTTCAAATGCTTGTAGGAGAGTCGGTTCTTCACGCGTGCGGGCTGATTCGGCCTATCTGGTGTCGGAGCTTCAACCAAAGCTCCTGGGTCAAGGTCTGCTCGCATCAGATTACATTCCACATTCATCGTTATTCGGAGATCGTAGTCGGCAAGAGGGTTGTATATGTGCAGATCTGCGACTTTGACCTTGATGATGCGAGCCTTGACTTGGCCCATACGGCCGCTCTTTGGACTCGACTCCGTTGTTGTGCGCATTTTGGGGTCGCGCGGGAGGTGGCGTCGATGTATGGCTTCGGGTAGGGCATTCAGGCCAATCTTGGAAAGTCTCTCGAACGTGTCGGTCTCTTCCAGGTGCTCATATGATAGTTTTTGACGTCCTGGGTGAGTATGCGTATTTCGCACCTCTTTGTTCAGGAAGTCATTCATCGCCTTATGCTCGTGCTTTTGAACATGTCAGCAACTGATCAAGACCAGAAGCCTATCTATTGGATCGAGACTGTTTAGAACTCACCTGCTGCATCTCGCTTTCAAAACTGCAATTGACTTCGGCGTACTGCGGCGAGATGACGACCATATTCTGAACTGGCATTGTGAAACGTTGACCATTGCCCTTATTGAAGAGTCGGCCAACTTTGGCTTCGATCTCAATCTGGCCCTCTTTTGGGTCTTGGGCTACATCCTCGCATGCCATAAGCTGTGAAACGAGCCAATCCGTTACGGCTTTTGTGAGCGACGGCATTGGGGTAGTCCACTGGATTGTCTTCTCCCAAGCACCGCCCATGAGTCTGCGCATGCGTAGCATGTCATGATCAATGGGCGGATTCTCGAGCCAAGGCGCTGCGAAGTTGACTCCGGGGGCACCTTGCTGGGGTGGTGGCTGTTTTTGGCCATTGGCTTGCGGGACCACTTGAGGTGGAGGGTTCGCGGGTGGTCGGTTTCCAGATTGCTGGGGTTGCGGACGAGGTTCCGGACCATTTGGCATCACACCTGCACAAGTTGTCAGTATTGCGTACCTACTTTTGGGCGCCACGTTTCGTACCTGGCATTCGGAGACGAGGGTTGGCAGGATGAAGACGCGCCCATACAGGTCGCTCTGTATACTTCCGCCGCCGCTCTCGCTTCACTGGAGGCTGGAATGATTCCGACTCGGCGGCTGACCGCTTGATTCCACGATTGCTTGCATTCGGCGACGCTTGCAAGATGCCATTCTGCTGAGCAGGATCAGGCTTGATAGGCGTGTGATGTTGAGGTTCAGGCTGTTGATGCGACGACATGTTCTGAGGAGGACTTGGTCGCGGTCCTGACTGTGATTCGTGTTGGGTAGGTGCAAGCAGATGGCTCATTCCCATTGGTCGCGGCTGATGCTGAAGTGCGGTTGCCGGAGCTTTGTTTGCATTCGACAAAGAATTGCTCGAAGCGGAAAACGCCGGAGGCTGCCCAGACACTTGTGAGTGGTTTTGTGGAACTCCGCTTACCGCACTGGCCTGATGGTAGTTCGCCGGCGATGGCTGCACGTGATTTTGTGCTTCTGAAAACGACGCCGCGCTCGTCGTGGAGGGTTGCAGTGAATTCCTAGCGCTGTACACCTCGTGCTGGCTGCTGTGGCGCGACCCAAGTGAAGGTGGGCGCGGCGGCACCTTTGTCTTCGGGCTGACGGACTCACTTCGCCCGCGATCATCAATCACAGCTGTGTATTCACTTGCACTCCTGCGCGGCGATTGTCGAGGATGCGCAACTGGCGATTCAATCAAACTACCGATACTTGACTGATGTTGTGCGGGCGACTGCGCAACATAGCCATTGGAGGCGCCCGAGACAGTTCTTTGGTGGAACGCGCTCGTGGCATCCATTCCATTCATGGCATGTCGAGGCACGTGTGTTGGAGGGCCCAGCGGAGTGCTCGGTTGCGAATGCTGGTGCTGGAAATGAGGTTGGTGCTGAGGTGGCGGGTGGCCCATCACTGCACGAGGGCTCTGACGCATTGAGTGTGGCGTTTGACTGTGGTGGGAAGATGCACCCGGGGACTGTGATGGATGGTGGGCGTACTGTGATGGCGATGGCTGCGCTCCGTATGGATTGCCATAGCTCGCAGGTCTCCCGCCTGGGGTGGTTGACGGATATGCCTCGTACGGTCTGTATTGCTGCGATGGTGGCCCCGCAGTAGCCGGACTCTGCAACGGCTGCTGCTGCTGCTGCTGCTGCTGCTGTGGGTGTTGCTGAGGAAAGGGATACGAAGTCGAGCCTGGAGTCGAAGCTGATCCGGGAGTACGCAGCGGAGTCAAACCTCTGCTGTGCGGTTGACTCGGCGGGCCTGATGAACCCGGAGGCTGGCCGTATATTGCGCCTTGCTGTTTTGCGTCGGTTCTGCCAGGCGGAGGAAATCCTGCGGCAGGATAGACCGCTGATGGCCCCGGGGCCCCATTGCTAACTGCAGAGGGCGGCGGCACATGTTGTCCACCGCTCCTTCCTCCCGACAATGGCGGCGGTGCAGGAGGCGAGCCCTGCGACGCTTTCTTCTCCGGTGCCGGTCCATCATTCATCAATGAGCGTAGATCCATCTCGTCCTCACGCTGCGCCGCAGCCCCGACACAGCGTGTATGCCTCGATGCGCCGGCGCGTGAGAATCTGGCTGCTCAGTGCGCGCTGCTCACGGCGCATTCCTCGATTCGCGCAACCGTTGTGGCCATGTGTGAGGCTCCAGAAGTATGCGCAGTCTGCGGAGGCTCGCTCGGGGGTCGCTCAGTACGGGCTTCGCGCGGGACTGCGCTTTCGATTCGGGAGTTATTGATGGGCGATTGCGATGGCATGCGCCTGCAGAGACGATATACGGCGATGGAGGAAATGGCGACAGCGACAGCAGGGCGCTACGGGGATGCGCAGATGGGTGGGTGGTCTCGTCGTGCCGCAATCCTGAACAGAAACGGACGACTTGGCGCGTGAGATGATCGTCTGTGGGAGCTGCCTCAGCAGTTCGGGGACCAGTACACGCAGAGCATAGCAAGGGAGTAGAGATATGTAGCGCGAGAGAACAGGAACGGCGGAGATCCAACGTGGTTCTGTAGAATTGTCGTGCAGACGTGCAGCGGGCGTAGACAAGAAATTATTACGACGTCGCGTCAGACGTGGTTCGGGCGGCGGACGTTTGCGCCAAGTGTCTGAGCTGTGCAGCGCTGGTGATGCAAGCGTGTTGACGCCTGCAGACTGAGGTGCGCATCAGCTGCTGCGGCATCACTGCTATCTCTGCTTCCATCAGCACGCCCTTCGCACTGTCATTCTCGTCGCCGTCCACCTTGCCGACACCCTTGCAACCGCACATCATCCCCGGCGCGCCTGCCGCTAGTTCGACCTGCTCTGTCACCGAGCTCCATCTCCTTCGATAGCACACGCCATCTATCCATCAACCGTATCAGCGACCACGTCGACTGCACGACATCCCGACCGAATCAACGCGCGCTCACGATGGTCGGCTTGACCTCTGCCGCCGGCCTGGTGGGCTTCCTGACCGAGCAGGACCAAGAACTGCAAGCGTTTGCGCTGGAACGCCTCAACGATGAGGTCGACAGCGTATGGACTGAAGTCTCGGGTTCGATCGGTACAATGTGAGTTCTGCCACCTGAAAAGATGCCGTCCCGATAGCTTTGGCGATGGCAGTGGAAAGTGGCGATGGTCAGTGGGGATGCCGAAGTGCTAACACAGTGTTCCAACAGAGAAGCACTCTACGAAGATGAGAACTTCAGCCATCGCGAACTCGCTGCTCTTGTCCTGTCAAAGGTTTACTACCAGCTGCAGGAATATGACGAATCCATGGTCTTTGCACTGGGAGCTGGGAAGTTGTTTGACTGGAAGTCACAGGACGCCGGCGAGTACGAGGAGACCATCGTCGCCAAATGCATCGACACATACATCTCGCTCTGCGCGCTTCACAACCCACCTACTCCTGCTTCAGCCACCGGCCGCCACGGCTCCGTAGACGCTGACAACGCCGCGACTGCATCCCCAACAACACCTTTCTCGCAAGCAGCGCTTCCATCCAAATCCCTCCTTGCTCGTCAAGACGAGAAAGCATGGGACTCATTTGCACCCGGAGGAGGCAACGCTGGTGTTGCCGGTGCTCACCCACATCCTCTGACTTTGCCAAATCAGACCAAAAAGGCACTGCAGAATGTGGTCAAGCGTATCTTCGAGAACTGCTACGAGAATGGTGCTTACAAGCAAGTGGTCGGAATCGCGGTCGAGGCTCGCAACATGGAGGTTCTGAGGGAGGCTATCCTACGCTCCAGCAAGGCCGAGACCGGCAAGGGCAAGAAAGCCGCAGTGGGAGGCCAGACAGAGGATCTGATGGAATACGTCTTGGACATCTGCATGAACGTGGTTCAAGAGCGTGGACTGCGGAACGAGATATTGAAGCTCATTCTTGACCTCCTGAATGAGATCCCAAGCCCGGATTATTTCGCCATTGCCCGCTGCGTGGTATACTTGAACCAACAGTCAATGGCTTCGGACATGCTCCGGTCTCTGGTGCAGAAGGGTGACGGCAAGTCCTTGGCGATTGCATACCAGCTGTCTTTCGACCTGTACGAGAACGGCACACAAGAGTTCCTGCAAAAGGTCATGGACGAGCTACCTGAAGAGGACACCGATGAGACTCAGCAGAACGGCGACGCAGTAAGACCCTCAACACCACACCCAAACCAAAGCGAAGAGGCCACCGAATCCGATCAACTGCTTTCCGAGCTCAATGACTCCGCTGGCGCGCCACAGACATCTACTGTCGTAACATCAAGAACGCGGCCCAAGGACGACACGCAAAGCAAAGCATTCAAATCGATTCGAAGCATCTTACGCGGCACCACGAGCATCGAATTGAACATGGAGTTCCTTTACCGACAAGCACGCACGGATCGTGCCATTCTGAACAAGATTCGGGACTCGCTGGAAGCACGCAACAGCATTTTTCACACCTCCGTCACATTTGCTAACGCTTTCATGAACGCGGGCACCACTGTGGACAGCTTCTTCCGTGACAACCTTGAGTGGCTGGGCAAGGCCGTCAACTGGAGCAAGTTTACTGCAACCGCTGCTCTCGGAGTGATTCACCGAGGCAATATCAACAATGGCCAAAAGCTACTCGAACCATATCTTCCAAAAGAGAACGCACAGACCAGCGCGGGAAGCACCTACAGCCAAGGTGGATCCCTTTATGCCCTGGGCCTGATATACACCAACCACGGTACCAACGTCCTTGATTACCTCCGACGTCAATTCAAGGCAACCCAAGAAGAGGTTGTACAGCATGGAGGCGCTCTGGGTCTTGGAACTGCTGGTATGGCTACCGGCTCTGAAGAGATCTACGAGGAGCTCAAGAATGTGCTATATGCCGACTCTGCCATTAATGGTGAGGCAGTCGGTCTGGCTATGGGACTGGTCATGCTCGGAACAGGCAATCTTCGCGCCCTCGATGACATGATTCAATATGCACACGACACTCAGCACGAGAAGATCGTACGCGGTCTTGCTCTGGGCGTGGCACTCATCATGTATGGCAGGCAGGAAGCTGCTGACGAGCTCATCTCAGGCCTTCTCGAGGACGCCGATCCGGCTCTCCGCTACGGCGGTATCATGACGATTGCGCTTGCGTATGCTGGCAGTGGCAGCAACAAGGCAGTGCGCAAGCTTCTACACGTCGCTGTCTCGGATGTCAGCGACGATGTGCGGAGAGTGGCAGTCATGAGTTTGGGCTTCGTGCTCTTCCGCAAGCCGGGCAGCGTGCCGCGAATGGTTGAGCTGCTGTCAGAGAGCTACAACCCGCACGTGCGGTACGGTGCCACCATGGCTCTTGGTATCGCGTGCGCAGGTACTGGCTTGGACGAAGCCATCGATCTGCTAGAGCCAATGATGAAGGACTCCGTCGACTTTGTACGACAAGGCGCTTACATCTCCATGGCCATGATTCTGGTTCAGCAAAACGATGTCATGAATCCTAAAGTCACTGCACTGCGGAAACAACTGCAAAAGGCTATTGGCGACCGACACGAGGATGCCATGGCCAAGTTTGGTTGTGCTCTGGCACTAGGCATCATCGACGCTGGTGGACGAAACTGCACTATTGGACTGCAGACACAGACTGGCAACCTCAACATGCCCGCCATTGTTGGAATGGCCGTATTCTTGCAATACTGGTACTGGTTCCCACTGACACATTTCCTCGCGCTCTCTTTCACACCTACGGCCATCATCGGCGTCGACTCGGATCTTGAGATTCCAAGCTTCAGGTTTCACAGCAACACAAGACCGAGCCAGTTCGACTATCCACCTGAAGTCGAGGTCAAGACAGAAGAGGCTCCAGAGAAGGTCAAGACCGCTATCCTGTCCACGACGGTCCAGGCAAAGCGAAGAAAAGCCGCCAAGGACAAGCAAAACCGCCGCGAAAGCATGGATGTGGATCCGACACCGGAAACACCCAAGCCCGACGCAGATGCAGACAAGATGGACACCGATGATAACGTCATCGACACCAGCAAGATTGGCGAGGAAGGCGAGAAGGATACCAAGAAGAAAATTGAGAAGGAGAAGGTGGGCTACGAGCTCGAGAACATGAGCCGTGTGCTACCAGGACAGATCAAGTACATCAGCTTCTCTTCCGAGGGCCGGTATCAGCCTGTCAAGAAGGTGAGTCCACTAACAATCCATGTTCGAACTCTAATAACATGCTGACACCTGTTTAGCCTACTGGCGGAGTCATCCTTCTCACTGATACGAAACCCGACGAATCAAAGTCTCTTCTTGAATTGAAGGCGAAGAAGAAGACTGCCGCCGCTGCTCCCGCGCCTGGTGCTGGCAATGCTTCATCATCAGCGCCTCGGGACACAAACATGGGCGGTTTCGAGGCTGCTCTTGCCAGTGCTGGTCTCACTGGTGCAGCTGCTGGTGCTGGTGTGCTTACTGCGGTCGATGAAGATGATGATGGGGAGGAGGCGCCTGTGCCTGATGCTTTCCAAGTTGACGAGGACGAGGCGGAAGAGGAATAGGTGATCCTTTGAAGCTCTCTTGCTCGCCTGAGAGCTGAGCTTGCGGGACTTAGAGACGATGATGCCTGAGTGTCTGATGGAAATGGACGAGTCGGCGGCCGCTCGCCTTATGATACTGGACACGCTTGCGCGAGTGCCAGCAGCGATGGTGCTTATTCGTGAAGTTGGCGATGGAAATGATCATCGCGAACTTGTATTGCATTGTACTGTACAATGGAACATGGAACTACTGCATACTATTTGTGTCGTAGTGTATGAAGAGGAGTGGGGTGGAGTGGAGTGAAGTGGAAATGTATAAATACATTTTATTTTCGAAGTGTGCCCTGTCCCATTTTCATGTTTGGTACTGTCTGCGCGTCGGTCTGGTCTGAACGGTCTTACTTTCTGTGACCGGTGATTTTCGTTATTCTTGTTGAGTACTACTAATTGCTGTGTGTGAGTCTCGGCTGGCATTGACGAGATTGTTTGAGTGTTCAACTGTGGTTGTGGGTTGCATTGAAATGCTTCGCATTTCTTACTCTTGAACTGGTGAGCGCTCGTTGGATAGAAGTGGAAGACTTTTTGCTGTCGTAGCAGTTGAATTATTACTTGACGCTCACGACCTAGAATTTTTGGGTTCTGATGCTGTCACTGTCGAAGCCTGTCAGTGTTGCTCACTGACTCGCTCTTGCTTTTTGCTGGCAGAAGGTGATGTTCTGGGGACTCATGTTTCCGGAAGTGTCATGCCACGCTGTCCATATTCTCTTTAGGATGAATCGGCAGTATCAGTGACATTCAGTGTTGTCGTTGAGGCTGTGCTCGATCATTGGTATTGCTGTTGTGCTTTATCCGCATGGTGACCCGCGCGTAAGCTGTCAACCAGGTATGTGCTGTCAGGTTTTGCCGTGTACGGATTACTCGTTTGGGGGTCTCTTTCAGGCTGCGCACATTCTTCGATTGCGACATTCTTCCGGTATCGTTCGGGTGCAGTGGGGTTGGAATCTTCAGGATCGCTTGGTCTTGTGTGGAGGCAGGTCTCGAGACGAGTCAGTCTTTGTTGGGTGTTGCAAAATCCGGTGTTACGAGCGCTGGATGTTGACGGGAAGGGGTGGAGAGGTGCGGTAGAGCTCTGTCAGGTCTGTCATGTCTGTCATGCCGTGGTGACAAAAGGCAACCGATGGGTACAGACACGTGTTGCGCGTGTGGCGATTTTGTCGTTCGCCTGCTGTTAGTCGCGTTGCCATATCTGGAGAAGGAGATGAGAGCAAGGCGATGCTCTCCGTACACCTTACCCCTTCGAGTATCGAATCTGCCATCTTTGCGTGAATACGACACACTAGAGCGTGCTGCTCGCGAATGAGAATCCCGAGTTCTGGGGTTACCAGCAAATCGGATACTATATGTCAGTTGGTCTAGGATGCTCGACCGAGTACTGAACGGCCTATCCTGGAGGTCAGCCGCTTTCCGAGCTGCCGAAGAACAACCCAGGTAAGCAGGAGGTCGAGAAGAAGCAGAAACGAGTCAAACGACTCCAGTCTCAGGATAGGGCTGCCGGGCGAATGGGATGGACAGGCTAGGTTCGTTCCAGACAAGAAGAACGACTGCGAGGTTATTGAAGATCTCCACAAGCATATGTAGGGCCGAGACTACAATGTCCAAACTTGATGCTTGGCAGAGAGTTGTACGCATGTCTGCCGACTTCGACGAGCATAGAGGTCTGAGACTGGCTAGGTCTCAGAGTCGTGGAAGCTAGGTACATCTTGCTGAGCGACGTGTCATTGAGGATTTCCTGCAGGTTCTGTCAACTCAAAATGCAGAGGCGGCAGAGGAGAGATGATTCGTGGTGCTGGTCCCGTGTAACCAGACACAAGAGGAGCAGTTCCTGTTTCAAGTGCTCTGCCCCGAGATCCCTGTCCCGTTGTACGCGTATGGATGACAGCGACGAGATTCTTGACGCCGCGGCATCACCGTTTGCGGACCCGACACCGGTGCACAGCATGAGAAGATGACAGTAGGTGTGACGGTTATATCCACGTGTCGCGGGGAGTGTCGAAGATGGAAATAATGGTCGGTCCGTGTTGCCGGAAGAGGTGTTGGAAGGGAAGGAGTGAGGTTAAAGTTCGCTAGCATTTGTCGCGTTGTGACTGCCGAAGTTCTTGCACACCTCTCTCTCTTGATCCCATCCAATTCTGGCCCGACGTGCGGCATCCCTGGAATGCTTCACTGACGCCGTCGCGCGGGCAAGCAGATGAGATGGCGTTTGCCATGTAGCTAATGCGGCGGCGATCACACACTCCAGATCCAGCGGGTCAGGACCACACGTGTCGAGCAATGGGTGTAAGGCAGCACTCTCCCTCGCCGTGCCACGACAAGAGCTCTTGCCTGTGATCTGAAAGCACGCTGCAGAGGCGGTGGCAATCGGCGTGTCGTTTTCCGACACTCTGCATCAAGACCGCACTCTCCAGCCACGAGGAGCTATTCGAGGAAGCGCAGGCCATCAGCATGTGGCTCGATGGAGAATGCGATGCCTTGCGTCCGAGGCCAGTTTCCGATGCCGTGTAACACCGCACGGCATCTCAGCAACCCAACGGGGCTCCACCAAAGCCCGTCACTCAATCACATCGCTCGACGACTGCTCGCATGGGCGTAGCATGAAGATGCCGCCGCCCGCTCGTGGTGCCGCCGTCTCGTGGGCGGTGTTCCGCATTGCGTCTGGTTCTGTTCGCGACTCGACTTTGCCCCAGCATCATCCCGGTTCGCAGTCGTGCCCCCAGTTGCGAGTCCGTCTTCGCGAACTCAGAGGGGCCCGCCGCTGCCGTTGTTGGCCTTATGTCGAGCTGGCTGCATGAGACCAGACGACAACTTCATCGTACTCGATTCCTCTTTCTGTCCGCCGCTCATACCACGCTGTGGCGATCCATGGTGCTCTAGTGGACTGCGGTGCTTGGCCATGTTGATATCGCGACAATTGCCTCACCTACCTGGTATCCAGGCCCGACAGCACTCATGCAGTTTCCTCCCCTCACGGTCATCGTTACATGGCCGCCGGCGAACTATGATGACCCCGTTACAAGAGGACACGCTCTGTTCGTATTGATGATCTTCTTCTCCGTGTTGGTCGTCATCTCGTGTGCCGGCAGATTCTACTCTCGCATCTACATCAAGCACTGGTTCGGCTGGGATGACGGCTTCATCATCATTGCTCTGGTGAGTCCCTTGGTCACAGCTCAAGACAGTATCAAGCTGACTGAGTACAGGTATTCGTAAGTCATACTTGCGCCCTCGCGAGCTCACTTGCTAATGTTGATAGACCATTGCCATGAATGCCGTCGTCATCCTCGCGAATCAGAGATATGGCTGGGATCGACATATCTGGGACGTGAAGCCGAGTGTATACCAAAATGCCGGCATCGTCGCCTTCACTGCAAAGCTGCTCTTCGTTGGGGCATCATCGTTCACACGCATATCACTGATATGCTTCTACTACCGACTGGTCAAAGACAGTGGCATCAGTTGGTTCAACAAGATCCTGCATGCGAGCATGTTCTTCGTAGTCGGCCTTGGAATTGCCTTCACTTGCATCGGCATCTGGCTCTGTATTCCGGTCCAGGCATACTGGCGGTTTCCACCCAAATGGCCCTACAAGTGCTTGGATGAAGGCACTACGACTCTGATCATCGGGATATTCAACTGCATAGCGGACCTCCTATGCACGTTATTGCCAATACCTCTAGTCTGGCGACTGAAGATGCCGCTCAAGCACCGCGTTGGTGTGTGCATCCTCCTTGGTCTTGGCTTCATAGTCACCATTGCAGGCGTGCTCCGGACATACTTCATATGGCAGTCCCTTATCAGCAGCTGGGATGTGACATGGTACTCGTATCCGCTTTGGATATGCGCCACTATCGAGATTGATCTCGCGGTCGTAAGTTCGAGCAAGTAAAAGGGTAGCAGCGACTGAACTAACCGCCGACTTTAGATCTGCGCCTGTGCACCATCCTGGAAACCCATTCTACACCAACCAGTCGTCCTCTGTGCAACCAAACTATCTTCGAAATTCTCCAGGTCTGGAAGCCTACAACCCACCCCCGTCGCCTCCGGATCTCGAACATCGAAACCCACATTTTCCTCGTCCGGCACCTCAAGATCGATCAGATCCTCCCTCTTCAAACTCCACTTCCTTCGAAACGGCGTCCTACCTTCGGCACATGACACGCAATGGAGTAACCACGAACGGGACGAAGAATATGGGATGCTACATCTCCATAGCAGCCGAGGTGAGAAGAATAATTGCGACGTCACGATCACTAGTACAAGTCGCGACGAAAATCTGCCGAGTTGGCCTGCACGAGTCGCTACGGAGCAAGGCACAGGAGAAGCACGGCGGCCAGCATTGGAGATAATGAAGCAAAGAACTGTAGATCAAGAGGTGGAATATATTAGTCGGGCAGGGAGTTCGAATGGCTCGAGACACTCGCCTACGGAATCGGCATCGAGAACGAACGAATTTGACAGATAATTGGAGATTCCGGATTTCTCTCGTACAATGAAGAGTTCAGCAAGGCATGGCGTACAACAGAAGCTGAACATTTTCGGGCATTTCGGTGGATTTGGAATGATTATACATGCGGAGTGGGATTTGATTTTCGGTTTTTGGTTTATGGTTGAGATACCCGGTCATCAGAGCTGAGGGAAAGCACAAGGAGAAAGTATGCAATGTTATTGATGAGATGTTTTTATGAAGGTTTTATAAATGTATCATTAGAAAGCGCGCGAGAGCAGAGCGAAATGTTTATGCACTACGAATATGCGAAGAGAGGAACAGAGAGCAAATGTGAAGAAGTATTATTATTATTATTATTATTACCAATGATGAATCTACCACTGTCATTTCTGCAACGACCAAAATAATATCGCAAAAGGTCGACTTTCTGTTCTCGTTCTCGCCATGTTCGCTGCATTTGCGCCGTCCCTCCTGGTAAAATCTTCTAGAAAATCTTATCGTGCTCCTCATCTGGTTTCAATTGCTCCATTCCATAATATGGTAACTGCTGATCGTTTTGTCCCTCTTCTTGCAGATTGGATTTATCGTTTAATGGACGATTTTCTGCGTGGCGGCCTGATGGACGGAGATTCGCGAGCGAGCCTTTCAAGATAGATTTTGGTTGTGGTTTGCCGGGAAGTTGAAATTTCACGTCTTGTCTTCTTTTTATCGCCGCTAGAGATTGATGTTGATGTTGAGGTGGGGGTGTGCAGGCGGGTTCGACGATTTGGGAGGTTGTGCTGTGGGCTAGGGAGGTTTTACTACTGCTGCCGAGTTGGCCGGTTTTCCAGGCGGCGTTGTGGTTGCTTGAGGAGGCGGAGCTGGTGGAGTTTCGGGGGGAGGGGGTTGTGCTGCTTTGAGGGGAGACGGAGGATGAGGAGGACATGGCGGCGGTGTAGATTCCGGAGGGGGAGAGCGGTGGGACGCGGGTTGGGCGGTAGGGAGCAGGTTGGTGGAGGTTGTGAAGAGGTTGGTGGTCGAGGTGGGTAGGGAAGTACCCTTCTACTGCACGTGAGGCTGAGGCAGAGGGCGTGCCGTCTGGTATGGTTTGGATCGTGTTCATGCTGGACATGCTCGCTCGGGCTGTGACAGACCTGCTGCGCGCGGAATTGAGATGCATCTGCTGGATGTCTCGTAGTCGCAAATGGTCGTTTCCGGACTCTCCGACTGGTTGCATCCATTGGCCGTATGGGACTGCACCAACGCCTCCAGTAGTGTTCATGCTGGGAGGATAGTTACCGCCGAGCACGCCTGTCCTGTGTTGCTCCGGTCCCAGATTCTTGCTGGCGACTTCATCAACCATGAATCCGTTGTAGCGCGGACCAATTGATTGTCTGGCCTTCATCTTATGAGGTATTATCGTTGACGAGTAGACTGGTTTGATTTCAGGCGGCAGTTCGACGCCTGCCAATGCTGCTCCCAGGTCTGCTTGATCGGGCGTAAGGCCTTGCTCAATAGTCTGGACCACTCTGTTGTCGAGCTGGTATTTGAGCTGCTGACGGCCTAAGTGGTGACCGAACCTGCTGATATGGGTTTCGGCATCATTGATGTGGCCATCGAGCATTGCTTCGATATCGAAGACTAGCTGCTGAAAGGCTTCCTTTTTACTCGGAGCGAAGTTCCGTGCTGCGAAGGTATGCAGGAGCATATCCTCGCGAAAGTGACCCAGTTCAGGCAGGTCGTCCATGATTGCGAGAGCGGCGCGCCACATTTTCGAATGCGAGCCACCCCGTAGAATGAAGAGATGGACTTTCGAGTTCGCGATAGGTCGCTGTCCGTTTGAAGAGAGCACGATCAGCGCAGTTGCTGTGATAAAGCATTAGCTGAAAGTGCTGGAAGTGAGTAATATAGATACATCACGATTCGTGACGTGGGTGCCACGAACTTATGAAGTCGTTTCTTTCCGCCTCTGTTTGCCATATTTGCCAACCAAGTGGTCCCACTTTCTTTTTGCGCTTGGGCGAGTAGTCATCTGAGCCTGGCAGTATGTCTTCTAGGCATTGTCGAGCGACTGATGTTCCTTGTGGGCGAGCTTTCACCGCGAGTGATGGCTGCCGTTGTATGCTCTGGACTGATGTGTCGTCGACGTCGTATTCCGCCTCGTCATCATAGTCTTGCGCATATTCATAGTCGTACTCCTCGTCGGCGGCGTAGTCAGACTCCACCGAATACTGAAGCTTTCTTCGCTGAAGATCATCATGTAGCGCTTGTTTTATTAGACCATCGACCTTTTCTTTGCTAGGCGCAACGCCCATCTCGTCAGCTACGACTTCATCAAGTTGTAATGAATGGAATGGAGGAAGAAACGCGGGAAACAGCGCAGGCGCATTGCTTTGTGGGGAACTTCATTGATTCCGGCTTTTGAGCCTTCCGCGAGCTCCGTCCGCCAGAAGAGGCAAGACAGCGGAAGTCGAGGAAGAGAGCTTTGAGTGTTCCTGGCTATCGTCTTGTGAATCCACGCATAATGCTGTCGCGCACCAATCCGAACGTAGCAGACAGATCAGGCTTTCCGAGACCATGGTACCACCTGTGAACCAACCAAGCAGTAAGGCCCACCATTGGTAAGATCGAGGTGACTGCCATTCCTTCCAACAGAATCTTCTTCTGTCGCTCTACCACTTTGACGACCTCAGAATAACGCTGGTTGCTGAAGCTGACTCTGCTATATTGAGTGGCGAAACCTGTGCTTGGCAACTTGTCCGAGAGAAACTCTTCAATCTTCTTACGAAGCTGCACAACCTTCGAGGTCACACCAGCGCGCATATCGTAAAAGTTGGACAAGGAGAGATCGTTGATGGCGTGTGCATCTGCGATGCGTTCGCTGTTGTAATCTCTCAATGCCTTCGCGCGACCTTCCTCGTTCATCGGATTGGCATCCAGATGAGAGAACAAGACCCGCACATCCTCGAGCCCAGCATTCATACCTTGCCCATAGAATGGTACCATGGCATGAGCTGCATCTCCAAGGATGACACCACAGTCCTCGAAGGTATGTGGCGAACACTTGATATTGACAAGTGGCAGGTGAGGATTCTCCATGAACTGCTCTCTGATCAGTTCTGGTCCAATGAGGTCAACGGCTCCTGGGAAGTGCTTGTTGAAGTAAAGCTCGACACCCTCTGGGTCCCTCTCCAGAGCTTCGAAATCACCAGACGGTGCAAACAACGTCGAGGTAAAGGTCCTGTCAACGCTTGGGATGGCAATGAACATCTTGTCCGAACCAGGCCAGATGTGTAGATGATTCGGGCTTGTTCTGAAGCCATCCTTTGCTGATGCAGTTTTCACATCTCCTTCCTCTGCAGGTGGGATTTGAAACTCGCACCACAGCGTATCGATGTACGTTTGCTTGAAATCCAGGCGTGCGAACTTCATCATATGAAATCGAACGCTACTGTGAGCGCCGTCGCAGCCCAGAATCAAGTCGAAATCGATTTCAATCTCCTCAGGTCTTCCAGGTCTCCCGCTGAAGCGAGTATTCTCGCTTGGCCGCCTCGAAGTGCCTTTGAGTTCCAGCCAAGCGAGTCGTTGGCGAAAGTCCACACCAGTGATCTTGTGGCCGAAACGAAGCTTGACATTTGGCATGTCGTCGAGTTCGTCCAACAAACGTGTGTTAAGATCTCCTCGATCAACGGCGTTGATGGCTCTTCCATTGACATCGTAGGCTTGGGTGGCCTCAGTGAGACTGCCCTTCGAGTCTTGACTGTGGATCATGCGCCCATACATTGGAATTGTCTCGTTCATGATCCCATCGAGGAGCTCAGGCGAGCCTGAGTGTCGAAGTGCATTGATGCCTCGTTCCGAGAGCGCCAAGTTGATGCTCTTGGTGAAGTTGAGGGGCGTTGTAGATGCATCGCGCAGATCTGGCAATTGTCAGCTACTGAACTCGTTGTTAAAGAGAATAACGCATACCCGGCCTCAAGTCATAGACCTCCACTTGCCACCCTCTCCTTGCAGCGTACAGACCCGCCAATGCACCCACCGGCCCTGCGCCGATCACGACACACTTCAGCTTGGCGGATTCATCCATGGCCAACGAAGCCAGTTCCTTGTGCGAGAATGAGTTTGGTCGAGATAGTCATTGCCTACCTCAAGCACAGAGAATGTCGACTCACTCTCTGAGAATCGCACAGTCGATGACTACATATAGTAGGAGGAGGTAGGACTTCCGGTGATGCGATCCGTCATCGGCCGACATCCTCAGGCACAAACTTTGTGCTAGCTTTTGCGTCGCGCTTTCCGTATGCACGACATCCGAGCACCGAATACCCGCACACGACCAGACACGATCTTGCAGCAAGATACTTGAGGCGCGACTGACGGTCTCCTCGGCGTGCTCCACGAACTTTCCTCCAGCAACTCCCGTCGTCGCCGACACTCGACTACAAGATGGATCAAGCGCCGGCGAAAGAGGTGGTAGTCGAGAAGGCAGCGAAGTGCGAGGGTGCGGATTGCGACAACGATGCCGGCACACTGCAATGTCCGACATGTCAAAAGCTGGGCAAGGCTTCATTCTTCTGTAGTCAAGATTGCTTCAAGCGGAACTGGGTAGGTCAGTGGTGGTCGTCGTAGTGTTGCATAGAGGACGTCAGCTACGAATGTAGGATAGGATGTAGACTGATGTGAGGTAGGGTGAACACAAAAAGCTCCATAAGGCACAGAACAGTACGCTTTCCAATATCATCACGCCCAAGGTCGTGTCCTTACCAGACGCAGATGGCCACTTCAACCCATTCCCTTCGTATCCATTCACCGGCAGCTTGAGACCTGTCTATCCTTTGTCAGAGAAGCGCAAAGTGCCGGCCTCGATACCACATCCTGACTATGCCCACAACGGCATTCCACAAAGCGAGCGGGTAAGCGACCCGTCTGTCATGAAGGAAGCGATATGCTGACAGCGAATGAGGTTTTCGTTGGACGAAATAAGATCAAGGTCCTTACCAAGAAAGAACAAGATGGCATGCGCAAAGTCTGCCGTCTAGCGCGTGAGGTGCTAGACATTGCGGCACGGGCAGCAAAGCCAGGTGTCACGACAGACGAAATTGACAAGATTGTCCACGACGCTTGCGTCGAACGTAAAGTCAGTACTCCTTTCGCAACCTTGAACTGCAGCAGAGTTCTCGGAAAGCGCTATTTGCTGACGCCTCGCAGTCGTACCCTTCGCCACTTAACTACTGCCACTTTCCCAAATCAGTTTGCACATCACCCAACGAAGTCATTTGCCACGGAATACCAGATCAGCGACCGCTCAAGGACGGCGACATCCTCAACATCGATGTGACTCTGTACCACGAAGGTTTCCACGGCGATCTGAATGAAACATATTACATCGGCGATTCGGCTGCGCAAGATCCAGACAATGTGCGGGTGACGGAAGCTGCACGAGAGTCGCTGGATGCTGCTATCGCCATGGTCAAGCCAGGCGCTCTATTCCGAGACTACGGAAACACAATAGAGAAGGTGGCAAAGGCCCGGAATTGCCAAGTGGTGAAGACGTACTGCGGCCACGGCATCAACCAACTCTTCCACACTGCACCTAACGTGCCCCACTATGCGAAGAACAAGGCGATAGGAGAGGCTAAGCCGGGCATGTGCTTCACAATTGAGCCAATGATCACCCTTGGCAGCTACAAGGACAAGACATGGCCCGACGATTGGACCAGCGTCACATCGGATGGCAAGAAGACGGCACAATTCGAGCATACCCTGCTCGTGACGGAGACCGGCGTTGAGATTTTGACGGCGAGATTGGAGGATTCGCCCGGCGGCAAGGTTGCTATGCCTGCAGGGTATCTTGCTGACGGCTCAAAAGCGCCAGAGACGAACGGAGAAGCGAACGGCGACAGCCAGAGTTAGGAGAAGCTGCAGTTGCGAGTACTTGCAGGCAGGCTGATGAAGGGCCAGCACAAGTTGGAAAGTCGCGATATGAGAGAGCGAGCCGGGGTCGTTCTTGCCAGTTGAACGTACTTGCTCGCGTAGGTGCAAGCTCAATGTCTGCCTTCATCTGCAGGCAAACGGTTGACCCACTCTTAGCTCCCGCATCGTCAAAGTCGTCCAAACTCCAACTTCAGTGACGACGTCAACTTCGCTGCCTCTCAAACTTCACTCAGCTGTATTGCGGTACATCTCAGCGGTCTCATCTGCCTTTATTCTTCTTTCGTCAGTCCTTTCTGCTGCTATTCTTCCTGTTATGTCCCGCTGATTCGCGTTCTGCTCCACAACATGGTGAGCGAAGCATCCCCGTTGCGCGACTTGACCCGTCTGCTGACATCCTCCTAGTTCTACTCTCACGAGGTGCTAACCTCGCGCAAGTATGGGGTGGCCACCGTCTGGCTGGTCGCCACGCTCGGTGCAAAGTCCACGCTGAAGAAGGTCTCGCGCAAGGCCATTCTCAATGTCGACGTTGCAAAGGCATGCGAGACCATCATCACTCCGGAGGCACCCATGGCTTTGAGACTGCAGTCGAGCTTGCTGTAGGCCGCAACGCATGCAAGTTACATCCTGTATTCCACTGACGCGGGATAGGTACGGAGTCACACGCGTCTATCTTCAGCAATGCGGCTATGTCTTGACAGACGTCGAAGCGGCACGTAACAATCTTCGCGCCATCTCACGGGTGATGAAGCAAGCTGAACTTGACGTAGAGGGCGCGAACAAGGCTCGGTGAGTGATGAGAAACCCGTGGCGTGTGTGCAAGGCTGACCTTCACTTCAGCGCCGACCAACTCCAACTTCCAGATGATCCAGACTTCGTCCCGGATTTCGCCTTCCTGCCAGACCCAGGCAACCTAGACATCGAACTCAACGAAGAGACTCAGCAACTGAGCCAGTCCCCTGGCGGCAGTCGTCGATCCATCACCAATGGCTCGCAGCAGAGTATCGGTGGACTGGTGATCCCAACCTCAAACAACTCCTTTGTTGGCGGTCCTGTGGGTGGTATGGATCTGTTCAGCGTGCGTGGAGATTCAGGCCCAGGCACGACAAGAGTACCGGCGCAGCTGCTAGACGATGACGACCTTGGTCTGGATATGGGATTCGATGAAGACTTGCCGGGCGGGGCAGATGGCAGTTTTCCTCAGCGTCAACCACGTGGACCTGGCATCAGAGCAGACGGGACTGACCCGATCAGTGAGGCACGCAAGCTCACGAGCGAGCCTCCTGACCAGCCGATGGTGAGTGCATCGTGTTGGCGGCGTTGCTCAGTCACATGAACATCACACTGATAGATTACAGTTTGGTCAAGATGACGACGGAATGCCAGCTTTTGACGACTTCAACAATTTTGCTGGTGGCGAAGCCCAAGACCAAATTCAAGATATGACACACCAAGAAACGACTTCCGAAAGTGCTTCAGCCCCAAACGTGAGGAACAAACGCCCGGCGAAGCCAAAGAATGTGCAGATGGATCACCACACGTCGATGACCAATAGAGATTTGGCAGAGCTGAACAAAAACTACTTGGACCGCATGCTTGAAGAAGGCCTGAAGCATCAACAAAAGAAGCTGAATGCAAATGCGAAGAAGAATGCGGAGCAGTGGGTTCTCGGCGCTGGATCTATCCTCGGCCAGGGTATGCGTGGACCGCTGGACATGTTCTCAGGCGCTGCCTTGCTCGAAGCTTTCACTGGCGTTGACTTCATGACCGGCAAGAAGCGAGCTCGTGACGAAGATGACCATTCGAGTGACGGTCAGTCCAAGCGCAGTCGCGTTGGTGAATCGTCTGACGAGGTCGGCCGCGCCGATGATCTTCAGATGGGAGACGACTTCGTGATGATGGGTGACGATACCATCGAGCAAGGTCGAGAGGCGCCAACGCCGTTGGACGACCGTCACCTGTCAAGCCTCTTGCCATGGAACCAAAGTCAGGGCTCTCGACGCCCAACAGACATCGGTCATCCAACTTCAGCATCGTTCGGCGGTGGCCCGCAGATCAATGTCATCAGTCGACGTGGCAGCCGTCTCACTTCAGCTTCCCCTCTGATCGGCCGTGGTGTAGTGGGAAATGAGCTCGATGACTTCCAGCTTCCTCCAGGCTCAGACATTCACGTGAGCGGTCTCAACGATGAGGAAGAATTCGAGCTGTACGGCACTGCTGCTCAAGTCGACACTCAGACTGCAGCTCAGACTCAGTGGCAGAAAGCCGCCCTTACTGGAGAGAGTGCCAATTTCCTCGACTTCGTACGGACCGCCATCGACGAGAATGGCGACCCAGCTCAGCCGAACCAGATCGAATTCGAAAAGTTGCTGCCACCGCAGAGCAACACCTACATCGTAGCCGCTCAAGCCTTGCTGCACGTCTTGGCCTTGGGCACGACAGGTGCTCTCAAGGTTGAGCAGGAGGAGCCATTCGGTACCATCGCACTCAGCATCACTGCTGGTGCACTCTGAGAGGGATGGAACGCGCTGGCTTCTCATTAAGGATCATGCTGATTCAATATTCGGACATCTTGGAGCCAAGTATGGCATTATAATTTCGACGGGAAGAACGGCGGACTTGATGGTCAACGTGCCTTAGCGCCGAGACCTGGGACGTCTGGGAGTTTTCGCTACTGTTCGATGATACCCAAAAGCGATGTTGCTGTGTTCTTAGCCTCCTTATAGTGCTGCAGTACAAGTCCCAAAAGTTTGAGAGCTCTCTGCCGAAGGGTTTACCGGCATTCGTATCGAGGATTTTTCATGCTGCTCCTAGGAAGCTATCTCGAATACACGAGTTGCTTGCCCGGCAACACTCGTCATACAGAGTGCTGTTTCATCTATGTTCGCAGGGAATGATTCTGTTTACATCAGCTCCTTCGGGAATTATTAGTCAGACAGTTTGTGCCCAACGGCCGCGCCGTTGCAGAAAACCCGGCAGCGACCTCTGTCCATTCTCTTTCATCCTTTGCTCACCATCATCACGTCTGCTGAGCAGACATCCGCTATCTACTATCTGTCTGAGGAAGCGATAGCACGCAAGCGCCGAGCGAAGAGCTACCCTGGTATCGATAGCCCGTAACAGACTTTCGTTGGCGAGTCATGGCGGTGAAGACAAGACTGGCGATATTGGCGCGCACAGCGAACAACACGTGATGGTGAACTACGCGCTGAGCTGAGCTGGAGCTGCAGCTGCAGCTGCCATGTAGGAGGTAGGTACCAGGAGGCTGTTGCGAGTGGCACTGGCCGAGTTGAGGACTGGAGGTGCAGCAATGGCCCTGCCATCGAATTTCGCGACAACGATCATCACACTTCCCTTCGCAGCTCTCCTCCCTCGCCCTCCTCTCTCCCACCACAACACCAATGTTTTGACGACGACATAGACAGCATTGTCTCGCGCGCCGCCACCACCTCACCCACTCCGCCATCACCACACGCCCGCCCGTCCGCAACCCCCCAATTTCTTCCCCGTCACCCTCTCCGTGTATGCCAAACCCCACCTTCCGCGCTCGGAGCTGCCGCTGTAGCACTGTACTGACGTCTGATGCTCCATGGCTAATAGCTCTCTACCCGACCGACCGCACCTTGCACCACTCACCTTTCTTCCGACCTTAGCTCCGGAGTCTACCAGGCCTCATTATCCGGTCCTGCTTCCACCCGCTGCAGCTCTACTCTAGCATAGCTCCTCCCTCGACCTACGTCAACTATCTCGACATGTCGGCAGAGGATCAGAACTCGCCCGCTATCGATTCGGGCATCGATGCCATCACTGATAAGCTGGGTGCTACCAACATTCAAGACGACCGGCCACGGACGGAGGAAGAATATGCCCAAGCACAGCTTACCCTGCGAGCGATTGTGACGTCCAAGGAAGCCGGCGTGATCATTGGCAAGGCAGGCCAGAATGTGGCAGACCTCAGAGACAAGACTGGTGTTCGCGCCGGCGTGAGCAAAGTCGTGGCTGGCGTGCACGACCGTGTTCTGACTGTCACTGGAGCTCTCAATGGCATTTCCGACGCGTACGGTCTCGTTGCCGATAGCTTGGTCAAAGGAGCTCCTCAGATGGGCATGGGAGGCGCTGTCGGGAACCCTAACACTCACCGTAAGGGAACGTCCATAACGCAAGTGGTCGACAGTGCTGATACAATCTAGCTATTCGCCTCCTGATCTCACACAACCAAATGGGCACCATTATTGGCCGACAAGGACTCAAAATCAAGCAGATTCAAGATGCAAGTGGCGTGCGCATGGTCGCGCAGAAAGAGATGCTCCCGCAATCGACCGAACGCATCGTAGAAGTACAAGGCACTCCAGATGGCATACAAAAGGCAGTGTGGGAGATTGGCAAGTGCCTGGTCGATGACGAGCAGCGTGGCTATGGCACTGTGCTCTACAGTCCCTCTGTTCGCGTTCAAAGCGGTGCTCCAGCGCTCCCTCTGAATGGCACTGGCGATTCGCGCGGGTACGGCGCACCACGAAGCTTCAACAGGACTGGCAACGGTGCCGACTTCACCAGCGCTGCTCCAGCTGCATACTCACCACGCCGAAACGGTGCTCCAGAATCTGGCGGCGGTCCTCCTCCCCGAGTTGAGGACGGCGAGGATATCCAGACGCAAAACATCAGCATTCCTGCCCACATGGTCGGCTGCATCATTGGGCGCGGCGGCAGCAAGATCAGTGAGATCCGCAAGAGCTCAGGAGCACGAATCTCGATCGCCAAGGCACCCCATGATGAGACTGGGGAGCGCATGTTCACCATCACTGGTGGCCCACAAGCCAACGAGAAGGCCCTGTACCTCCTCTACGAGAATCTGGAGCAAGAGAAGATGCGCCGCAGCCAAATTCCTGAGGCCACAGCATAGGGTGCTGATCCATACTTTCAGAAGGGCGGTGTTCCAGCTGGCGCTCAGCCTGCGCAGATTTCCCCATCTCTGCTAGGCCATTGACTGCCGCCGCAGAGTCCTTCACCACACTGGAGCTCGACTGTCTGAGCTCGACTTCTTCCGAGATTGGCCTGAAACCACTTCGACACCGCCACATCGCGTATTCTGAATACGACTATGTTCTGTTTATGGCTTACGACCATTATGACCTTTACGCTTCGACGACACGACCTCGAATGCCTAATGACGTCCTCCTGGTGGCCTCTTCACCACTCCATCGACCTCTCCCACCACCACTATTCGAACACCCCCAGCCACCACCACGACATGAATAAAAGAGTACGGATAATGCTCATGTGCTGCTTGACGCGGCGCTCACTGTTTGGGGTATAGCGCAGCGAGCAGTTGTACGTCTGCTGAGCAGGCAGGTCTTTGAAGTTGCTTATGCATAGCGCTTATACCAATTTCGACATGTAATGCTAGCAGAGAGCAGTGAAAATGAAAAGGAAGCAGTTGCAGATCTTTCAATCTTTGTTCCATTCTTGGTGATATGTGTCCATTGACAGCCAACTTGGTGGTGTCATATATGTCCCCCATGTGGCCTTGCATGTTAGTCTCGTTTGACATCTGCGACTGTACGAGTATGTCCAGACTCAAGTATTGTGAACGCCGTGAATCCTTCCTTATACCACACCTCCTTTGCCCCAGCGCCTTGCATCCAGCCAAACGCCCGACCCAGCCCAAAAATCTCATTTGTCACGTCATGTCATATTCTCTCCTGTCATTTGCACAAATATCCACATACCGCACAGCTGCTCCGTCTCCTCATCCCTCTCCTGTATCATTTCTCCCAGCCCTCAGCTCAGCTCTTAGATCAATTCACCTGACACAGCAACTCCTGCTCCAAGATGAATTTCCCCTCTTTATACTTCTCGGTACTCTCGTACGCGCGATCATACTTCCATCCTACGATCTCTTTGCATTGTCGGCAGAAGATGTCGCGCACGACGTGTCGGCCGGTCGTCATGTTGCGTTCGCCGGCTTCGCCGGCTTGGATGTTTACTACGCTGTTGAAGAGGTAGGCTTTGCCGTGTTGGCCGCGGAAGTTCTGGATGAGATTGATCAGTGGGGATGGGAGGGGAGAGAGAGGAGAGACGGGGAGAAGAAGGGTGGGGTGAGGGGAGAGATTACCCTACTGATGATTTCGTCGTGGTCGGCGAGGTGGGTTTTGCAGTTTTTGCAGCCGTAGATGCGTTTGGCGGATAGGTAGACGTTGTAGGCGAGGCCCATGGTTTGGGAGGGTCGTGGCCCGTAGAGCCCGGGCTCTGGAGCGAGGTGTAGAGCAGGATACGAAGCAGTTGGAGGTGGTGGGTTGTGGAGTTGCCGGTCGGCGTTGGGGCTGGGCCGTTCGGGTGTTGAGGGTGTTTGCGTTTGCGGTGCTCCTCGTGTTGTGTGTCTCTGTGCTCTCCTTCCTGTCTGCTCGGTTTTGAGGAGTTCGTTATCGGAGTAGCCTAGGTAGACGAGGTTCGACGTGGCTGATGGGATCGATCACATGAGCGGTCAGGTTCGGGACTCAGAGCTTGAGATATGGTATGAGATTGAATCGTCGGGATGTCTTGAGGTCAAGTCTCAAGATACTCGAAGAGCTACAGGTGACGCTTCCTCATAGTGAGAGGTAAGGTTCATTGCCTGGGAAGGTCCAGCTTGTGATCTGATGCACATGAAGGAGTCAGTGAGCACGGGACAGTGTGGGGTCGGCTAGACTCCTGAGACATGTTGACGACATATCAGTAGTCTACCGAACCAACCGATAAGGCATCAACCTTTCTGCTACAGAACCATGAAGTGTGGTATTGACCATGAAGTGCAGCTTCGTGTTTCAATTTGCAAGAGATGGGGGTATCTCACAAAGTGTTGTGCTACAACAAGACAAGAAATTGGAAGCTATGTTCGAGATCGCTATGCAACGTTCGCGGGGTAGAGAACGGATTGTGGACCGAGTACGGAGTGAGTAGCACGACGCACCTCCAAGTCTGCATCCAAGGTGTGGTCAAGCATGAACAAGCGCGACATCTGTTGATCAAGCTTGCTCTATTTTCATGAGCGACCTGACTGTTTCGGCTGGAGCTCACTCTGCACAACCTGATAAGTGTAGAAACTAGTACTGTAGCTACTGCCTGCGAAGCCACCCGAAAACGACTTCTCCCGCACTAGACGTTTGTCGGTTGTTGTTGGGAACGACTACGCCTGGTCTGGCTCCCTATGATCTCGTCCAGGCAGAGGTACAGGGTCTCACTCTTTTGAGACGTATCCGGCTTTGCATGGGAGGTCCGGCTGTAGAGAGGCATATCCACAAGCCTGCTCCATATGGAACTATGGGTCGAGAGGCTGCGAGCTTTCGTTCTCCACGATCTAGCGCCGCCTGCGGAGACAAAAGCCATCTTCCGGAAGTCCGTATCATTGGAGCAGTTGACAGAACTGCCCCACTGCGTAAGTGTGGTCGCACAGCATGACGATATGAGCAGTCCGTAGCTTCTCGCGTGAAGCTTCTGCTATGCGTGTCAGCTTGACAAGATTAGCTCTTGATAGAATCTTGCCTGAGTCGCGAGTTGCTCCACCAGAGACTTCAGCGGGAGGAGAACGGCACTTCAAACCAAACCTGAAGGCCACAGCGTTCAGTCACCAGCGATCATAATGGCACAACCTTTCACGCTCGGCCGTGGACTCATCCTCCTTGGCAATGTGGCATACTCACTGGGAGCATTCATCGCCGACTTCAACGAGACACATGTGCTGAATCCGCGATGGCCACCTCATGCCAAATTCCACAATGGCCAGACCATGACGCTCGGAGTCTTGCTGGCTTCGATGTCGACCTACTTCCTGTTTCGGCCGACGCGTAGCCTCGAGCAGATCAAGGACAATCTCTGGACTGCAGCAATGATCGGTTCATTCTACTGCGCTGCTGGCCTGTGTGCCATCTTATATCCTGGAACTGCTTGGCAAGAGTATGTGTTCCTCTCTGAGAGCCATTGTCGAACACTGCTAATGGAAAGCAGTCCCGAGTTCCCAGGAAATGGTGAGCAGCGTTATGTCTTTGGTGGTGTGTGTATCCTCATGTGGCTGGGCTATTGGCTCGAAGGAAGGAGGCTACCAGGAGTTAAGAACGCTTGAGCGCGAATGTCACGCGAGGAAATTGTTCGATGACCGTTCGTGTGTTGTTGTATCCCAAACCATCCATGTTCATTTGTAGTCAGCTCATTTCCCCCGCTCCTGCCAAGCAAGACATTGGCCCCATGGCGGAACTCCTACATCTGTGATCTGTGACTTTACGGTCGAACTACCTTCTGCAATTCTTCGTCGCCATCATGCCGGGTCGCGGAGGAGCCGGGAACTGGCAAGCAGCGCAAGAAGCGCAGAATACTCCCAAGGTGGTAGACGTCGAAGCCCAACAGTCCTCCGCCTCGATCGAGACCCCCGTCGCCGGCCCCTCAGCACCTCGAGCGGATCAACAGTACGCTTTCAGCGGTCGGGGAGGAAGTGGGAACTCATACAACCCAAAAGAGCTCCATCAGAAAGGTACATTTCAGAATACGGATTTGTCCCATGCTTCTGCGTCGGATGCCGCGGCTGGTTGGTCTTCGATGCTTTCGGGAGCTCAGGCCAAGGGCAGCGATGTTGTGCGAGCGGCTGGGCGCGGAGGCTCAGGCAACATGGTCTATGGTGTGACAGATGATGAGAGGGCTGCGCTTAGAAAGATGCAGGAAGAGCAAGAGGGGAAGAAGATCGCGGCGGATGTTGAGGCAAGTGTGAATGCTACGCTTGCTGAGCCGCCGAAGGCGAGGTTGCCTGGCACGTTCCCGTGAAGCACCGGCTCGAGTAGAAACCATGGGGCACAGATTCCACTGTCGTCACGAAGGAGTTCTGGCAACGTCTCGCGACAGCACAGCGGCATATCGTGAGAAGGGGACGAATTTATGGCAAGAGCAACGGGTACACGATCGAGAATAGGTCGATACCAGGACCGACGAACGCGCTCGACTTCCGTCTCCTCCCCTCCGCTCTCGACTTCTCCGGCCCTTGAACAGCTCAATCGCAGAAAGCCTGCAAAGCCCATCTATAATGGGAAATGACTGCTCAGTCCTCGGCAGCGGCGAGCTTTCAATGAGTCCTTGTATGGATGTCGCTACCTGTACATCTGGCTTTGCTCTACAAATAACGCCTCCAACGCCTTGCTTGCCATGTCCGCTGTCCAGCACCGGTATACGTGCTCGTCAAGTTCGTTGCGCCTGCGGCGAGTACCGCGGCAGCTCTTCGTATAGTCCTAGTTGTGGCATTGTCGCCTGACCAATTGTCTTATGGATCAAGGTCGCAGTGGTATCAAGTAGGCCTTGCAGAACCATCGACCATGGCTGCGATGTCGCCCACGACTGGCCTTTGATCAGAGGCGTGTAGCCTCCACTTGGATTTCGGCGGACGACCATAGCATATTCCTGACACGCGTCAGCTCTTGTCACTTGAACCAATAAAGAGAGGGTCAAAACTTACCCAGGGATTCTCATCTTCTCCCTCGCGTGCTTTCGACGCGTATACGATCTCGTACGGATTGCCTTCGATGAGTGGGTTGGGACTTGATGGGAAGAGCACAGCTGTGTTGGCTACGATGGCATCAGCAGAATCTTCAAGACATAAACAAAAGGACGGCATATACCAAAAATCCGCTTCCTCATCTCATCGTCGCTGAGCTGGGCAACAGTATGTTTCTTCGACTTGAGAGCCGATCGCGGAACAGGCCACCCGCCAGGCTGCATTGTGCTGAACAAACAGTGAAAGACAAAAGCTCACAGCAACAGAGAAACAACAGCGTAGTTATAGAAAATGCCACAAATAGTCACAGTTGTCAGCTCTGCAGCAAGTCCCCCAAGTTTATCTTTTTGCTAGGATGTGGTCGGCGTTGGTACATAAGTACCTGTCTCGTGGTCTTTCCAGACCCCCATGAACCTGCCAAGCTACATCGCCGAATCTTTCAGTTTGCGCCGCATCCCACACTTCATTCTCGTGGGCACCGCGTTGGCCGCACGCCACATGTGATGCTAGGCTCGTAGGGTATGGTCGTTTGGTCATTATCGGTACGCCGAGAGATAAGGATTGAGCTCTTGGAGTCGCGCCAACCTCCCGACAAAGCCCGAAGCGGCTGAATTGCTGCTTCGTTTCGGCGGCTTTAAGTAGGTTGTGCGTGGCACACTCGAGCGGTCAGGATATATTTGTATCCGAGGCTCGATATAATGGCTTACGATGAGGTTGTGATGATGCTGGGAGAAATTTGTTGCAATGATACAAGTTATCGATGCTGATTGATTGAATGCCGATCGGGAGGTAGTGCGTCCGTGATTGGTACTTCGTCGGCTCTGATACAGCGCTGACAGAGTCCCAAGTATCGGACGAACAGATTTCGTCTTCTTTGAGTCGCATTGGGGAGGCGCCATGAGAAATTGTACAACGTCTACGAGCCTGAATGCCTTATTGATTGCCCGCACACTCACACCAGTTATACCTTCCCTCGTCGCGGTGCAACCAGCCATGCAAGCCATGGCCGGACAATCTCTGTAGTGTGTTGTTCACGATGTTTGAGGTGAAGATTGGCGAAAGCGGGGCTGGTATGCCAGGACGAATATCTCGGTATGTGATGGCGAGACTAGCCATGCCATGTTTGTGTCGTCGAACGGGATTGTCGCAGCTCCCGTGTCCACGGAGCTCTGACAGCCTGTTCAGGAACACACGAGCATATTCCAACATTTGCCCGTGTAAAGAGTCGTGGTTGTTGTAGTATCCGCGCACTTCACAAGGCTCTGATCTCCGTTCATCGCTGTGTTCAAAGGCATCGGGCATGTACAGTTTCAGGGTGAGTGTCTTGAGAGTAACATGTCGCCCATCAGCTTGTCGATGTATGTCGAAGATTGCAGGGCAAATTTTGATCATGCGCAAGCAAACGTGTTCGATATACGGCAGCACGCGCGCGACCTCTGTGCACAAGTGTGTCTGACCGTTTCCATCTAGGAGACGAGTCCCGACAGTGTCTAAGACCAGAGCACGTAGGCCCTGTGTGATAGGCAAATTTTGCAACAGTCTGGAGATCGTCGGCGTATGCATGTAGTCCCAATCGAGACCGACGTTATGAGGATCTGAGGTCGCTGTAAATTCCAGATACTTCAACTCAGTGAAATTGCGCAGGTCTTCAAGCAACTCGTCAAGTCTCGGTCTCAGTTGCTGGTCACGCCAACTCTTGAGAGCAAGCTTACCACTTGCGCTTCTGAAACTCAAGCCCGGAGGCACCTCGTTCAAAGGCGCTGGTCCAGACCAGCCGTCCTCTGCATGCCAACGTTCGAGGTCCTCTGCTGAGTTGAGATCCCAGAAGTGGCCAAGGAGTCGTATGGTTAGACTTCGAGTGTTGTTGTGCACCAAAGTTCTCGATTTCTTATAGCTGAGCTCGCCATCGAGTCTGTCGAGATTGCATGCATAGAGACGCAGCTCAGAAAGGTGCAAGCCGGATAGGAAGACAGGTCTTGCTGCTGCGTACCATTCGCGACAAAGCATCAACTTGTCCGTGGCGCGCCAGCCAGGCCCTGAAGTCGCTGGTTTGCCAGTCTGACTTCGTCTGAGCTCACGACCTCCGACGTGTTCCAGGATGAGGACTAGCAGCTCAGTGGGAAGAGTTAGTAGTGAAGCCATTCTCAAATGTCAATCTTGCGAAGATTTGCTTATGTTCAGTGGCATCAATGGCCACAGGCTGGGATTTCGAGCAGGAGCGATATCGCGCTGGCTTCAGCTGTTGTTGATGTACATGTCAAGTGTAAGGAGGAGAGTTGTGCAGCGTTTCAGGCATTGAGGAAGGCCCAAAGGACCCACTTTCGTCCGCCAAGCGGGCCGCATACCTCACTTCAGGCGCCCGTCATACTGCAGGTGCAGCACGAATTGAAGACGATTGCCGCGACTGCGAATTGCAGTTCAGGCTTGTGCGCATTCTGGTAATCGCGTACAAGATCATATAATACGTGTCGCCGCGCTCTGCGCCCACCATCCGCCATGGTCAGAACCACATCCAATGTCTCCATGGCCCCGCTGACGATGGACAGTCGCAATCACTACGGCCATACCTCTCCTGCGTGAGGCAGACTCTCACTGCGGCGCTCTCATTATCGAACTTCGCCTCGCAAGCTTCCGAACGACACAATGTCCCCGAGATCGAAGCGAAAACATCTCCCGAAGTCGTCCTCAATCCACTCACCGTTTCCCGAAATCAGGAAGAGCGAGTATTGGTAGAGCCTTCAGTGAACAGCGTGCGAGTCAGCATACGGATCAAGCAGGCAGATGAGATTGAACACATCCTGGTGCACAAGTTCACGCGGTTCTTGACGCAGAGAGCTGAGGCTTTCTTTATTCTGAGGCGGAAGCCGGTGCCTGTAAGTGCTTCCGGCGAAGAGATACTGGATAGAGACTGACTGAAGAAAAGGGCTATGATATTTCGTTCTTGATCACGAATTTTCATACGGAGGAGATGTTGAAGCACAAACTTGTGGACTTCATTATACAATTCATGGAGGAGGTGGACAAGGAGATCTCGGAAATGAAGCTTTTCGTAAGTGCTGCCGCGAGGATTCTGCCAACGTCAACATCGACTGCTAACGCTGTGACAGCTAAACGCTCGAGCACGTTTTGTTGCTGAAAGCTTCCTTACGCCATTCGACTAAGCTCTGCTGCGTGGAGGGCTCTTCGCCGCTGCGGGGACAGGAGGGTACTGAGCTGCGAAAATTGCGAGGCAATCTGTTTGCACGTTTAGATGAGTCATGACAATGAGAAAGCGCTCGAAGCGTCGGCTAGAAGGTGTACGTCCGCGCGAATGTGGATCGATTTCATGCCAGGCCATAGATATGCGAGACGACTGGAGGCACGTAGGCTCGCCGCTAACCACTCCGCAAGCAACGAAGTCAATCACATCCGATTCAGCTGTAGCATCTCACGAGTCCATAACGTTTCCTCGCACATTCTGCCTTCACTTGGTATGCGGCTTTTCTCAACGGTCTCGCATGGGAGGTAACATAAATCAGTTGACCTGGCAACAGCTTCACGTAGGCTCCTCAGCTCACAGCTCACCTCCGTCGCGTTCACTCTTCATCATTCACCTCACCACGCACATGATGTTCTCGTGACAACGACATGAACCCACAAGCTCAACCCTTTGTACCGACTCAGCACACCTGGACCGACGACAACGGCATACCCGAGCTGCTGACTGCTGCACGTCGACTTCTCGTCATCTCCGCCTGGCACGGTGCTGTGGTGCGCAAGCAAAAGGACAAATCAACTTGGGTAATACCGACTTCTTCGCGGCATGGAAGCGCGCCGTCACTGACAAGTGCTTCGAGAAGTGCAGCAGCAAAAGGCGAATCGAGTCCGTGGGCTCACATCGACAGCGTAAGTCCCTTCTCGCTTCTTTTTCCTACCATCGACCTTCGCGTCGGTCGTCGGCGGCGGGCTTGTGACGCGTTGGTGACTGTTTTGGCGGTGGCCCATGCGCGCACTGATAAATCGGAGAATTTGGCTGGCAACTTCCTCTTTTTCTTCATCGCATTGCCATTGCCGCGATACCCCCACTACACATAGATAGCGGTTTTGGGGCAAAGCTGACCACCCACCGCAGTATCTTAGAAGCCAACATCGCTACACCAACACCCGCGCAAGCACACCTGTACAGCAACCCCCTGACGGCACTCGAGCACTGACGGCGGCCATGAACGGCCAAGGCCAGGGCAACTGGCAGCAGCGCCATCCGCCAGTGGCAGGCGACGGCGGCGCACACGCTGCTCGCTTCCCATACCCACCACCACCTCCGCCTCAGTACGGCGGCTACCAAACGAACCAGGCACGCAACAACACAGCTCTTCGTGGAGGTGTGCACAACAACTTCGTCCCGCGCTCGAATGGCAGTCCAATCGGCTACCCACCGATGAACAACGGAGGTACCACCAACGGCTCGATGGCTTCAGGCCACTCCTCGCTGAACGGCAATACGTACGCCGATGACCCGTACGTGACCCGCCGCCCTGACTCTGCTCTCGGAAACGATATGGCTGGCCAGAAGACCACCTTCCTCAATGCGCAAACTCCGCCGGGACGTGTGAACAGTGTCCCTCGCCGCCATAGAGATTCTTTTGGCTCGAACGGCACGTTCGCCACTCAGATCGAGCAACCCATGTCTCCACCAGCCAACGGCAATCACTACCAAGCTACGCACCCTCAAATGCGTCCTACCACCCAGCTCGTTCAGCATCGCACGAATGGTGGCCCACAGCACTTCGCTGCTCCTGTCGCTCAGCGCCGTGCGAACATTGGCCAGCAGTTGCAAAACGCTATGCACCCTAATGTCCATGACATTGCGGCTGGTCTCGGTAACATGCAGCTGTCGCACACGAGTGCTCAGTCAGAGAGCAATGGTAGCATGTCCACATCAGTCGGCTTCCCTGCTCACTACAACCAGGAGGGTACCGCACGCACACTCGCTGAGATGATCAAGCGCGCCGAGACCGAAGACCCGTACGATCGCAAGATGGCTCTGTACACGACTGCACCACGCCAGCCAAATCCGACACTCGGCCCTGCTCGTTTCAAGGACAGCCGCATGTTTGCCACGATCGGCGGCTCATCCAGCAGCACCCCACCAAACCAAGCTGTTGGGCTGGTCAAGAAGGGTCGTCCAGACTGGCTCGACCTGGCTCTGGAGGGCAACATGACCCCCGACCTGGAAGAGGCATTCAACGCTTTGCCTTTCGACGAGCTGTGCCGTGGCTGGTCAAACCATCACGCCGGTGTGGTCCGCATCAAAGACATCCCCTATGCCACCACGCGCCAGGAGATGACGGCTTTCCTTGGTCGCAATGCTCAGATTGTCCGCCAGCCAGAAGGTTCCCCATTCCACGCAATCCATATCCTCATGGAGCGTGAGAGTGGCAAGACCATGGACTGCTTCGTCGAGGTTTCAACCCCGGCTGAGGCTTCGTGGGTTGCCCGCCAATTTGCTCGTCGAGTCGACCAGAAGCGCCCACCAAAGGTCGGCGATCGTACTGTGGAGGTAGTTTACAGCTCGCAGGATGAGCTCATGTTTGAGCTCTTCCCGCGCGCTAAGCACGTTCGGTGGAGCAATGGCCAGCCTGTGGTTGATCGCAACGAGCGAAAATACTACAAAGACCAGGCTGCCGTCGGGTTCCAAGGATTCCTTCATCCCGAGGAGCTTGTCGCTCTGTCCAAGCATGCGACTTTGCATGAGCGTGTAGGTCATCATGGCCGCCCTTTTTTCGAGCATTTGCTGATACTTCGCAGTCTCCATTCGCGAGCAAGAGCCCTTGCCGTGTGTACGAGGCCATGATCACACTTCTCTACAAGTACCCATGGCAGGCGATCGAGGAGATCACTATCGCTGAGCGTCGAGCGATTTACGACGCGTGCATTGGTCTGATCAAGACTTTGATTGTCGCCCTTCGTCGCAGCAACCTCCAGCACTCCGCCAATCAGCCAACTCCTGGCCTGCTTCAGGAGCTCACCACGGCTGCTCTTGTCTGCCCAGGATTCACCGAGAAGCAGAAAGCTTCCGTCATTGCCGCTGTCATCCAAGGTGGTTTCAAGGGTATTGCCGACGGCCGTGACTTGAACGTCAAGCTCGGTGGTCATCACGAGTTCAGTGCTAGCTGGCCTTTCTCTGCACTGGGCATTCCGATGGATGTTGAGCTAGATGTCCTTGCTTACTACGCTCGTCTTTTCCGCGAGGCTACCTACGAACCAAAGGCCACCTCGCTTGCGGCACTCAAGGCCAAGCAGGCATCCGGCCAGGGACAGAACCCAATGGGAGAATGGTCCATCGACTACGGCAACAACCCGTCCAGCCTCACCCTCGCGCAGATCGGCCAGATCGAGTACGACGCTGTCGAAAAGCTGCTCAAGTTCATCTGCGACGAAGCACCAGCCGAGCAACGCCCCTACAACAGCCACAGCGCTCCGGGTAGCATCGGCCGCCAATCGAGCAGTTCTGGCGGCAGCGGCAGCGCTGGTCAGCGAAGCAATGCTACCTACCACTCCCTCTTTTGATCTCGCAGTCTCTGCTGCATGTCCATCGACTTGATACATTGGGTCGATCGCCGGCGATCACGGTTCTTGCTTCGGAGTTTCACAAAATTGGGTCAAGGATGGGAGTGCTTCGGTTTGCAGCGAAAAGGCTTTTTTGTAACAACATGGATATGGGCGCATGACACGAGTGAACGATGGAAATGAGTGCTACGACTACTATGCATGAAAAAGGTACTGCAATGCGGTGCCAACGATACGATGAGAAAAGCGAGAGAAGAAAACGGAAAACAGCACAAAAAAAGAGTAATGACATGGGCACTCAGCGCAGCGAGAAGGACCATACACATAGAACGAGAGGGTCGAGGCAGACGCAACATGAAGACGGCTTGAAGATGATGAGATGTGCTGGGCGACGGAACGGTGGGCTATGGCTGCTGGGCTGGAGGTTGGTTTCATCGCACGATCAGTCAGTATTGGCTTGGAGGTCATCGTCAATAGCTGCTTCAAGTAACGCAAGTTTCCCCTCACTCTTTCTCCTTCTCACTTGCTCTTTGGACTCCATGGCTGTTGCACTATGTTGCTGTATGGTGCTCCGCTGGAAATATAAGCACGCGCTGGCGAAACGGGTAGGACTGGGACAATGGTGTTGTGCACTGAAAACGCTTGAGCTTGGGTACTTTCAGCGTCTTCGTGCGCGCGAAGCTACTTTCGAGTCTACTCTAAACACACAAGATCTTTTGTACTCGTACACGCCGGGGCATCATGATCGCTGCTCTTCATATGCTCATCTCTTTGACCTCTGCGTCCTCCTCTTCTGCATACCCATCACCCTTTCTTATTTATCCTCTCCCAGACTTTCTTCTCCGCCTCAATCGCAGACTGTGAAATGGTGCTCGCGTAATTCTTCATAGTATCCCACATGGTTCCTTCTCCTGCGCTGCCTGCGCTCGCATTTCCTCCTGCTCCACCAAGTACTCCTCCAATTCCACTGAACGACCCATTTCGATGTTCTTCTGCATCTAGACTTGCTCTCGCAGCAGAAGACATCTCTTGCGCCATAACATTTTGTTGGTAGCCTGGAGGATGGCTTGGAGGAGCGATTCCCCCTGCTATGGGTGATACGGCGCCAAAGTTCAATGTTTTGGGACCGCTGTTGTTTCCTCCTGCTCTTGTAGGGCTTTGAGCGTTTGTCGTATGTGTGGGAGCGTAGTTCTGTTCGGGCGGGGACATTGCCATTTGAGGCGGCATAGCTGTCACGGCTGGAGGAGGTGGCTGTTGTTGTTGGTGTTGTTCGAGAAACTTTGCTGCTTCGCCGGCTTTGGGTGGAGGTGGGAGGCTCGTTACTGGTGCGGACTGCTGTTGTGAAGTAGGCACTGGCACGGCGCCGGGTTGTGGAGGCGGTGGTCCATAATTGCTCGTGGAGTCTGACGTTCGTGTGGGCTGTGGTTGGTAGCGATTTGGCGTTGGGGCTGCGCCTGTGGGAGCTGGGACTGCTGGTGCGCCGGGCTGAGCGGGAGGGTAAGATGGAGGCTGCTGCTGTGTTGTCGATGCTTCTGGAACTGTGTTCGCTGGTTTCTGTGGCGTTATGGGCGCGTCTGGGAGAAGTCAGATGTGTCTGCTCGAGGCGAGGCAAGCATACTCACCAATGTGAACAGGAACTGGCGGCATTGTGGTGACTCTCGACTCGTGCAGAACTGTGAGGCTTAGTAGAGTGTAGAAACTGAATCGCAGATTGTCAGAGATCGATCTGTTGCAGATTGTGGACACTTTGCACGAGCTGTTTGGAGAGCTCCAGCTGTTTGCCCTTGCAGGAGGCAGATGTGACTTGCGATGACGACTGTCACGTGAGTGGTTCTGTTCGGCGTTCGTGAAAGGCGTGCGAAAAGTGTTGGAAGAGAGTGAAACAAACAAAACTCTATACGCCTTTAGTACGTGCAACCAATTGTAATACAGGGAGAACATCTGCGAGAGCCGGATAAAGTTACATGCGTTCCACGCGCTTCGACTGGAAGCAGCGCAACGCCCCAATGCCACTTCGTCCCCGCTCACGCCAAATTTTCCGATGGCAGAGCAACAGTAGTGCAACCCGTTGTCTCCTTCATCATGTCCACAATCGAATCGGCATGTGAACCGCTTTTCTTGTTCGTGAAATCGCCTCTTACTTGACCATGTAAATCGACGGGGCGAGTCGTTTACTTGAACTTCTTGCCGAAGACAATGACCTGGAGCTGATCGTAGATGGAGAGCACACCAGCACCAGCGACACCACGGAGGATGTTGGCACCGGCACCCTTGAAGAGAGACTTGACACCCTCCTTGGCGACGATCTGGCTGGCGGCATCGAAGGAAGACTTGTACTTGACGGCCTGTGCGGATGTTAGCGCCTTGCCACGTTTTCAAATAGCCGATGTCAAATGTCCAACTCACCTCACCAGAAGTCATCATCATACGTCTGCGGACAGTGTCGAGTGGGTAGGAAGCGATACCAGCACCAGTGGTGACAGTCCAGCCGAGGAGGAAAGAGGCCAAGAAGTTACCCTCGAGGGAACCGGTGAGAAGGACAGGCTTGAGCGAATCGTACATTCCGAAGTAGAGACCACGGTAGACGACGATACCAGCGACGGAGGGACCGAAACCACGGTAGAGACCAAGGATACCATCAGAAGCAAGAGTCTTCTTGTAGACGTCCACGAGGCCGTTGAATTGACGGTCACCACCAGTCTTGGAGTTCTTGGCGTCGTTGGCAAGACGGGTACGGGCGTAGTCGAGAGAGTAGACGAAGAGGAGAGAAGTGGCGCCGGCCATCTGGAGAGCTGTTAGATAGATGCCTTGGAAGCTTTGCGGCTGATAGGAGACTTACACCACCAGAGGCCAAGTTACCAGCCATCCACCAGGCGTATCCATCACGCTCCTTCTTGTAGCCGAACATCGACTTGAAGGTGTCACGGAAAGCGAAGTTCAGGGCCTGGGTTGGGAAGTAACGGATAACGTTGGCAGTGTTACCACGCCAGAGGGAGACGACACCCTCATCGGCGGTTGTGCGGCGGAAACAGTCCATGATACCATTGTACTTGTGCGAAAGACGGCCAGTCTTCAACATCTCGTCCTGTTTGGGAAACTCGAGTCAGCGCCGTGTTATTTTGATGGCAGAGAGAAGCTGATTGAGCTTTCGTTGGCTAGCTACCTTCGTGGTAGCTGCCGAGCGGCTTCAGACGTACCTGGTTCTGAATGAGGAGCTTGACACGCTCGATAGGAGCGGCAGCGGTCTTCGAGACGGCGGCGGAGACACCACCCACTGTTATCCGCAGTCAGCGCGATGTCCATTGATGGTTTCCCAGCTCCCATGCTCTTATCGCCAGCTTTTGCGGCGCTTCGGCTATTCAGGCGTCGGCGACACGGGGTCGGCGCCAGGAGACTGTCGGGGTGTACGTACTCAGGAAGTCGACGACGAAGGGCGGCATGCCCATGATCGTCTTCTCCTCTTGCTTAACTGTGAGGGATAGTTAGTTTCTGAGCTCGTTTCTTCCAATGCGCGGCCAATGTTTGGAGCATCGGCGCGCACGCTCGAAAGGCTGCGGCGTACCCGGTGGAACGTTTGCCATTGTGACTGTGAGGTCCTTGACCGAGATGTGACTGGAAGAAGGGGATGTGAGAGTGGAGATGTTGATGTCGTGGATGAAAAGTCGAGTGTTCTGAAGGGTCGGAAAAAAGGACTTTCAAAGGAGCTGGCAGATGCACGGTTGACAGTGCAGCCATCCCGAGGAATCCCGCTACCTTAGCCGATTCCCAACAATTCTTACGCCGATACAGAGAAAGCAACGCTCAAATCTCGTACTTCTCCAGCCATATCATTCTGGACTCGATCTTTCTCGGTCTCGTTGCGCCCGACAGATCAAAATATATACAATCCAAATTTGCCATCATTCTTCTTCCCGATCACGCAGAATCTGTCTTTGTTTACAGCGTACTGCAGAGGAAAGCCAAGGCCCTAGAACTTCGCCCGGATCTTTCGTACAAAAACTGGCACTCTGGCAGTCTGACAGTTTGTTGCGCGGCATTGCAGCACCATCGTGCCAGCTGTCGTCCTTCAAGGATTGTGCATAAGTTACAATATGGCCGACCTACGATTACTACGAGTTCTTGCACTTCCTCATTTGGCAACGTGACCGGCAGTCGAAACATCCGCTCTCTTCGAGGCTTCTCAGGTGGCAGTACATACAACGATCTGCCGAAGAAGAAAGCGGCTGTCGTTCCGCAAGCCGTCCGAACGTCTACAGGCAGCACGGCGTCTTGGTCATCCTACAGTGCTCTCTGAATATCACGTGAACTGCGTCCGAAGTTCCATTGTCGCTAGGAGGTAGCAGAGCCTTGAGGAGCCGAGTCCCATGTTCCATGAGGGTAGACGATCTGATCAAGCACGCAGTAGTCTCGTTCTCAGTCCTTGATGAGAGGGAATTCTGCTTCTGAACGTTTCTCCATGGCTGCCACATGTCAGAATTCTCCACGTTGGGCTACTCCGACATCCCACGACTTATTAAACTCGCGGATTCTCTGAGGTCTGCTGTCTTGGCACGGTCGAGCCCAGCAGAGATTATTACATTTGGAACAACCCCCTCATCATCGCTTTCCTAGTCGACCATCCTACGCCGACGTGGCCTTCTCGTCCACTTCATCACCGAGAGCTCTCAGCACTCGAGCCCAAATATTCGTTCTCGGCCTCCTCTATGCCATCCTCCTCGTCCTCGTCCTGGGTCTCATCCCCCTCATCTCCATGTTGCCTAAGCTCCTCTTTCAGCTCGTCCAGATTGCTCCGCAACCGCTCCAGCATGAACTGCTCGTTCTCATTATCCTTGTCACTGCGCTCCTTCACATCGTTTCATACTCTCTCGGCAGCTATGCGATATCTTTCGCCCTCCCAGTAGGCGGTCGTACAACCAGACACAAGAACACAGTTCTTGATGTGCCAATATGCAGGCAATCTTCGATTTCTTAGATTGCTTTTGGCTGCTGTCACAGTCTGCGGATACTCCTCCTGGTGGGAAACCGAGTGCTTCTAGGTATGCTTGGCAGTATATCGATCTTGCCTCCGGAGGGCCCGAGGTGTGTGTAGTTGGCATAGTATTGATCGAGTGGGCGCACGCGAGTTGAGGCTGAAGTTCAATGTGAGCGTGCGAAGTGGCATCTGAAGCTCAGTTGTCATCTGGCAGGCACGGTGGCTCCAGTCTGTCCTGCACTTGCAACGGTCGTTCTTGCCGCGCCCAAGTGGAAGGAGCAGGAGCCACAAGACCAAACACCGCTGTCATCCTCAGCAGTGAGAGACTTTGAGACCGAATACTGGAGACTCGAACTCTCAAGGAACGCTTGCGCCGCAGAGTCACTGTGTGAGAAGAAGGTGAAGGTTACTGCAGATCCTTGAGGCGCATGGGAGGGAACGCAGTCTGACATCTTAGCCATTAATCTATAGCGACGCCTGCTCCTGGCTTCTCTGCCCACTCTCCTTCTGTGACCCATCAACGATCTCAAACACCGCTTCCACGCCCAGATGATCCGTCACCCAGGCCTTCTCAAAGCCCAAGTTCATGATCTCCTCCGCCTCCTTCTCATCCTCCACAACTACATCTCTCCCAAAATACCCAAACTTGGCCAACTTCAAGCTTCCTTGTCCTTCCGATGCTGGTGGCGTATAATACACCTTATCCATCCTACTCGTCCCGAATCTCTCTCGCAAAACCGTACTCGCCTGCTGGCCCCATGTGTGACCTTCGGTGTCACCTTCCTTGCCGCCAGATTCCAGATAGGCGTCTAAGAGATTGTTGTCTGAATGCAGTGTCTTGTCGAAGGGTTGTATGGCATTGAAATCTCCTGCTGCAACGGCTGCGGAGATCTTCGGGGACTGGTGCATGTAGGATGCTATAAGAGACACCTGAGGCGGGCGAAGAGCAGGTGTGAAGGCCATGGATTCGAGGTGTGAGTTGCAGAGTCTGATAGTGAAAGGGTCTTGCTGTTGCGAGGGAGAGGCGACTTGAATGTCTGAGATGAGAACATCACGCTCCATTTTCGTGGCACTGTAGTGCACGCGGAAGAGGGAAGTTGGAGGTGTGCTGCGGGAGAGAAGTGTTATTGTGCCTGATTTGTTCTTGGTAAATTATTTTGAATTGAGCGGGTGTGGACTGATGTCTATGCGTACCATAATGCCCCGATGCCCAATTCGATATATCGATATCCGAGATACAAAAGTTCTGCTGAATCCAAGGTTGTTCGGAGACAGTTTTGAGGTCTGACTCTACACATTCTTGGAGATATATTGCTACTGCGGTATCCTCGGACTGGACAACATGCTTCTGCAGGTACCTAAGGCCGGCCTTCATTCTTGACTCTGGAAAGGGTAACATGAAGTCGATGTTCCAGCTGTGTAATGCTAGTTTCGAAATGTTCGCAGAAGGAGGTGTGTCTAAGGGCTTCGCTTCACGAGCGGTCCATTTATCACCATCATGGATATAGTACGGCTGATGCCAGGGTTCATCGAGTTTCCAAGGGATTGAAGGTCTTTTCTTGTCTGCAACTAATTGGATTGATCGTTGAACGAGAGCGTCCATTATGGAACTTGTGCGGGCTGTCGTAGTTAGTGGTCGGATGAGATTGTTGAATCTGTGAAGCATGAGGAGAGAAATGAGAATTGAGTGTCTATCTAATGTCAAATGACGTTCTGATGGAGAATATGTATTGCCTGCGAGGAGCGGAGCTGCCTTCTAAGCTGACTGTGGGAGCGATCGAGCGTGACAAAAGTCGAAGTTTACTACCAGCTCGCGTTTGAACTCGCAATGATGAAGGCGTAGATTGTTCGTCTTTCGCGAGGAGATTTAACAATATGCTGGTACTTGCATACCCACAAGTGCAAGATGGATGGCATGGATGTGCAGGGGCAGCCGGTGCCTCAGCGCCGATGACATCTCCTGGCCAACAAATTGGCCGCACGACCGCGTCCTCCAAACGCGACTTTGATGTTTCTTGAACTTGTCTCAGACACTTTTAACATCACACACTCTCTGCACTTTGCGACTTGCGTCTTCAGCTGCCAGCGTGAATTGTCTAAGCACTCACTTCTCAGTCTCTTTTGTTCTGCGCAATCAATCTTTTCGGCCAGAAAACAGAACGTTCCACAATGTATCAAGCATATTCACTGCGCCAGCAGCATCGCCCACCGGGCATGCAAATCCATGCTGTACCGGAATCTGAGCGCGCGATCGACTCAACAGGACGCAAACTACCGTGGGGATACGACTACAGCGGACCCATCCAAGTCGAGAGCGATCGCAGCACGCCAGTCGAAAAAGGCCCATTCGGAAAGAGCATGAGATCGATGAGGAGAGCAAACAGCAGATCGCGCAGCACGACTGCTGTGCCGAGACAGAATGAGGATGCGCGAGCGCGGCAGGAGCAGTTGGCTGCTGAGGACGCAGTATTTGGGTCGTTGCGGAGAGTAAACACAGCGTCAAAAGAGCAATCGAGCCCCGATGGTACAACACAACCAGCGAACGAAAACGCACGAGCGCCTGCACCGCCCATCGAGGGTGAGAGCGAGCCTACGGAAGTCTTCCTGTTTGGGTTCGGCGAGGACATGCAATGGGCTGCGATCGACTTCTATGAGCGCGTGTCGGGTGGGATTGTGCTGGAAGATTACGACCGCACACCGAACGGCGCGCGCTTCGACGTCTCAAGAGTGCGGCAAGCAGCGCAGCGAAGTTTGTCACGGGCAGCGTTGAAGAAGAAGAATACCTACAGAGGCGGTAACAGCTGGATCAAGGTCACATTTGATACGAGGCAAGCTGCGGAATTGGCTGTTGCGAGGAGTCCGCATACCATTAAAGGATACTTGGTCTACGCGGAATACTTCACCGGAAAGGGCCCAAGCAAAGATGAGGCGATACATGCTACGCAAGCAGGTGCTCAGTTGACAAGCGAAATCCTCCCTCGTTCGCTGAACACAGAGGCGCCAATTTTGGAGGGTGATGGCAGCAGTCAAACAGCAACGAGCGCGACCGCGACGAATGCCACAAGCGCAGCACCAAGCAGATCAGGGCGAGGAGGCATTTCCGGACTTCCATGGAGCGTTGCTTCAATAATGCAAGATTCGCCTACGAACAGCTCGAGCACGATGCAAAACGGATCACGAAATAACAACGCATCTTACGAAATGGAGCAAATCCCGAACACACCTACTCCAGCGCAAACTTCGAGCTTCCAACCTCGCGATGGAGCTCCAGTCATTCAGCATCGTCCTAGCCGTCTCCTCGAAGGCACAGTCCGACTCGTGCCAAAGGCGCCTGAACTTGCTCTTGCACCGAAGCAGCCCAAAGCCAGCTGGACGAGCTGGCTCGGGACAGGCGAGATCATCGGAGGTGCGGTACCGAGGAAGGTGGATGGAAGTTTTGATTGGGAGCTTGCGAGTCTGTACTGGAGATTCTTCGCGTGGATAGACTGGCTCTTTGGAACGGATCTGTGTGGGTTGAAAGGGGATGAATAGAAAGTGCCACTCTGCAAAGCGTTCTATGATGTTCTTGAGCGAGGAGTTTTTAAACTGGAAATGGTTCACTTGGGCTGGTTTGAGAATGAGGATGCGGACGTGCAGATTCGATACTGAATACGCACGAGAGAATGGGTTCGAGAATGAAAGAAGTTGTAAGGTACCTGGCCCAACTCTGTGAAGCACAAAAATGGATGGGAATGACTTACGCAAGCACAACTGTACACTGAAGCCACGCACATTCACTCCGTGCCCAATTGGGCATCGCTTCACAGACTCCATTATCACACAGGCCCCTTTTCCAATACAATGGTACAACTCCCTCCCCACGCGGCAGCCCGTGCTCATTTCATGGCATCAACCACGTCCCGTCCCTGGTCGTAGAAGATTCCAAGACGTCATCTCTCCAAGGACGTGGATGCATCGAAGCAGGAGTGCACTAGGGCTCCGCCGCATCAAGCTAGTCATCCGGGGCCTGTGCCATGAGATCCGAAATCCAACCTTGGAAAATCCCATGGGACGACGGAGATATCAACTCACCAGGACGAAGAGGCAGGGTCAACAGGCTTGCGGCATTGCCTGCAAGAGGCAAACCGCGAGAAACTTCGCGGAGTTTTGTGGAGTTTCTGTTGAAGCTTCAGTGCTTCGCTGCAATGCTCATCATTGCTGTGTCGACGCATTGTTGTCATGATGAAGTGGACGTACCGGACATGCTAGGACAGCCTGACTTGGGAGAATCGCGGACTGCTCAGCAGAAGCGATGAGTACCTCTGTATTTGGAAATCCTTGTTGATGAGAGGCTTATGCGGGATCTTTCAAGATCGGTTAGGATGTTAGCGAAAGTGGATTGATGAGACTTGCGTGGGCACATTGTCTCGCTACCAGACGAGAGGTGGGTGGAATTTCCAGAAAGTTGGAAATAGATCTTGTGCTTCGTATGCGAGATTGACAAGACGGCAGACGGCAAGCGTTGTTTGGTAGAGAGCTCGTGTGGCAGCTGTGATGGAAAAAGTGGCAGAGTGGTTGTTCAACGGATGCAGACCCTTGTCTTCCGTCTGTCGATGAGGTTCGCAGAATGTAAAGTATATCTTTGATATCTGTGAAGAGCCGGGAATGTGCCGACAGCTATTGCCATGTTGTGAGAGATGTCTTCTGTTGGCATTCGGCTTGTCTTGCATCATTGCTAAAGAGCGCAAGCATTCAGTGCGTGGATGATGGGCTTGGAATTGATCACGATACGACTTGCTTGCTGTTTAGGAGTCGTCCAGATTGATTCTAGCCTGTTCCCAACTTATTCACAAACGAGGTGTGTGGTGGCGAACGGAGTATTATTCCGGCCCAGGTCCCTGAGTTCCTATGGGTTCCCATGGAAGCCATCGACCAGGTTTGGCCATGCAAATTATTGCTCGAGCATCGACTTCACTCGCTTCATGCAGCCAAGTCTGTATTGGAGGTGAAAGTGGACGTTCTGGGATGGTGGGCAGACGTCTCGAGCAGTGGCACGCGAAGCCGAGCTCGCAGGCGTTCAATTGCACGTGTGAAAAGGCCTCTCCTCGGCGCTGAGACATGCACAATGTGGGTGTGGCGCCGCCTTCTGGTGCCAATGGGAGCAGTTGTCGACGTTAGCAGGCAACGAGTCTGTGATGGGAAAAGCTAGGGGAGTTTTCTGGATGTCCGTCGAACGGCGCACATGCAAGCATGGCTTCGTCCTGGACGTGGCTTCCACGTTTCCGAGAGCATGAGTCGCGTACAGGTGTAGAGCATGCAGAAATATAAGGTTCCATCGTCGGTGCATTGATCGCCAGCATTGCAGTTGACGACTTCATCTTTGCCGACGGCCCACGGGCAACGCACTCGCTGATATTTGCTCACTGCTCCGCCAGGTCGTTGAACCGAGATCCATCATCGCGCCTGCCACTACTTCGCTCCCTGCAAGACATCTATAGCCCGATCTGCTAGGCCACGCCTTCCTGCACGTACGCCGAGCCGAGGGAGCGGGACAAGCACCAAGTGCACTTGCCTGGAAAAGCAAAGTGCAAAACGTCTAGTGCTATATCCTCCACCTCACGCCGTCTGATACGAGTCTTCGTCCCTCTCGCCGAGGATTGGAGACTGCCTCGCCATCTCTTCCCTTCACCTACGAGGGTGTGCACCTCGCGCATGTTCTCGCCTTCCTGAGGTGAATCCCTCGCACTTCCATCCTCGCGTCACAATTTCAGCGCCACGATGGTGTACAACATTACCTACCGCCGCCCTTCGAAGGTCCAGGCATCGTCCAGTGATTCCATCAATGGAGACGAGAAGCAAAAGTCTATCAATGAGTCCATTGAGTCTGGAAACTCTGGCATGAGCCATGGCATTCCAGCAGCGTTGTCCTTTGACCGCATTATCGCTGGTGGCACTTGTCCTGTGAGTGCACCGCACGATATCTCCAGGATCACACTGACCTCAGACGCAGCCCGTGACGCTACGAGAGTTCATGAACTACCTCAAGTACATCGAGTATGCAGCTGAGAACCTGCAATTCTTCCTCTGGTACAAAGATTATGCCTCACGTTGGGAGCAGCTCAAGGACAGCGAGAAGGCCTTGTCACCAGAATGGACGATACCTCCAGAAGCTGACATGACCATCCCGCCTGCTCGGCCAAAGCGAGTACCCGCTCAGATCGCGGCAGTGCTCAAGGACACCGACTTTGCAGATGCACCGAAGCAACCTGTGGAACGACCTGACCCTTTCAACATGCCGCCGAAGTCTGGGTCCTTTGAAGACAAGAGGGAGTTTGATTCGGACTATGCGATGTCGATGAGCGACGACAAGACTCTGTTGAGCAGTACGAACAGCAACAACCATCAAAGTGTCACGAACCACGCTTTTGATGAGGCCGGCATGAAGTGGAAGCCATGTAAGCAGTGATGCACCCCCTTCCAGTGAATCGACTCTGACGAGATACAGTCACCTCGCAGGCATACCGCGATGAAGTCTCCCGCATCGTCAGCATATACATCGCTGAAGGTAGTCCCCGTGAGCTGAACTTGTCCTCACGCGAACGTCAAGCAGTATTGCATGCTCTGCAGCACACAACCCATCCCAGCGCGTTCAACTCCATTGTCACGAGCGTTGACTTCTCTTTGCGCAAGCAAGCCCACCCCAACTTCATCCGATGGACGATCTGCAACGGCAACCGATCTCGCGTCATTTTCGCCCGTGGTCTGGGCATCTTTCTCATCCTGGCCGCCTTCATCGCGGACCTACTCATCACTCTCAGCTCTGCTGGACGTGGATGGAGGGTGCTGCCTATCATCGGCTGGCTCCTTGGCATATCCACTTTGATCGCTGCCTGGAAGGGCATGTGTGTTGTCTTGCATGGCCTGCATCACAGACACATCCGGCCATGGGAGCTTTTCACGGACGAGACGGAAGAACAGATCAACGAGAAATTCAACTCAAAGGATGGCCTTGTCTCTGAATCTCGCAATTCTTTCGAAGAAGAGCCGTGGGTGCCACGTTATAAGAAGCGAAACATCATTCGAAAGATCTTCGATCGCGAAGTCTGGATTCAGGAACCTGCTCTACGCCAGATTCAGGACACCATCTTTCTCCAGTCGCTGCTCGGCGCATTTGTGGCTTCTGTGATTGTCGTTGGCATCTTCTGTGCGGTGCCTCATGGTAACTTGTTTTAACACTGACGCAAATTGCATGAGGGCCAAGGACGCTGTATGATTACGAAATAAAAGCACTGTTAAGACAGCGATGATCAAATATATATTCATGGGCAAAACATGGCATGGTGCTGGGGCGTCGAAATTCTGTGATATGCTACATCGAGCATGAGTACAGCACACTCAACTCGATCTGGCGCTGGGAGCGGGTCAAGCGGCATTTTTAGAGGAAACGGTCGCTTTCTGGGAAAGGGAAATACATTTTAACGAGACCATGTATCACGTAACGAATTGTTGTGCATATGACGTAGAGCACCTTGTAGATTTGAAGGATTTCCCGTGTTGCCAGTTGCTTGTGTCACCTATCGTGATGGGGGCAGGAATCTTTTTGGCAGACTTTACTCGGCATGGCTTACGCCTTTCATCTAGAATATGGTCACTCTGGGCATTCGTAAGCCACCTTGCATTGCACCGCTGCTAAGAATAGCTTCAGCTCGTGATGAAGACGTTAGAACATACAATGGAGCAGGAGTTTTGGAGCACGAAGTCAGCTTGTACAATGTGTAATATGCAAGGCTGGAAACAGAAAATGGTCACAGATCCGAACGAATGGATGCTGGCCAGTCGGTCGGGAGGAACAAGTGAACAAGCTTCTTTCCCTTCATGCAGGAACGTGGGCTGAGATAAACTTCATGTACTGCGATATACACTGCACAATGCAGCACAGCCTGGCGTTCTTTGGGAGAGGTGTTTCAGCTCTTGCGTAGAGCCTCCGTGTAAATATTTTGATGTGTTGTTGAGACATCTTGAAAGATTTGTTCAGTTTCGTGTTTCTTACTTCCTCAATTGTTCTGCTAGAATCAAGTCTCTGAAGCAGCTGCGAGCTTTCCCAGCTATTCTCAACCCATCCCATTGGCAAAGCAAGGTCCAATTCCCTCTCACGCGACACCACTACAACACTCCCCTTCTACCTCGAATTTCTGCACGACATACGCAAATCCACCATGTCCTCCGAACCCAACGGCTCCAACGCCCAAGCGCTCTTCTCCCCCTCCCTCATCTCCGAACAAGTCGCCTCGCAGCTTCCCACAGGCTACTCGATCCGCCCGCTCGAACGAACAGATTTCGAGAAGGGTTTCCTCGATGTTTTGCGGGTTTTGACACAGGTGGGAGAGGTTACGAAAGAGGAGTTTGAGCAGAGGTTTGATGATATGAGGGGGCCTACGACTGGGGAAGGTGCGGCTGCGAACAAGGGCGGGTATCATATTTTGGTGATTTTGGATGGGGAGAAGAAGATTGTGGGGACTGGGGCGTTGATTGTGGAGAAGAAGTTGTGAGTATATTTCTGGTTTCTGGTCGGTTTGGTCGCGCGGTGGCATGGAGGTGTTGGGGAGCGGTGTGAGGGCATAGTTTGAGTGGACAACGCGACTAACTGAGAAATCACAGCATTCACCACCTTGGACTCGTAGGACATATTGAGGATATTGCAGTCACGAAAGATCAGCAAGGGAAGAAGCTGGGTCTTAGGATCATTCAGGCATTGGACCACTTGGCTGAGAAGGTGGGATGCTACAAGACTATTCTGGATTGCTCAGAAGCGAATGAGGGGTTCTATGTCAAGTGTGGGTATAAGAGGGCTGGGTTGCAAATGGCGCATTATTACAACAAGTCGTGAGCGTGAGCATGAGCGTGAGGAAGTTTTGATGAGGCATGGTACGAGGTAACGGCAGGTAAATTATGACAGGACTCCGGGGACAGTGCGAGTGAGGGCGCTTCGGCAGATGAGAAGGGCGGAAATTTGTGAACGGAACTCTATAGAGACAGATCAGCTAGAGATATGAGACCATGAGTTCGAAGTCCGGGCACATTCATGTGCATGTCCAACGACGACTCATCCTTGCTGTACCTGCCAAGCCAAACAGCTGCTTCGCATCTCGTACCTCGAGCTGCAACATCCGAGAATCTTACATACCCAGGTTACCACTTCCCGCATCTTGGTCAGCAAAGATATCGATCTCCATGAGGCTGGGTCTTTCCACTACTCACTTGTCCTTTCGAGCATCAACACCGCAAAGCTCTTGGCAAATTTCTGACTGACGCAACCACTTTTTGGAAATCTCTCAAGCGGGCAAGAACTGTCGACAGATCGTACATCTTAGACATTTTCTTCGCAGTGGACGATGGTCAGTCCGATTCAGGAATCAAAGAAGACAGGCGAGGATGGCGCTCCGAGCAAGCCCGCCTTCGAGCCAAGAGAAGGCAAACAAGTCAAGACATCGATCACTTTGCCAGACGAACTATGGCACACAGTCCTCGAGTGTCCATGCACATTTCCAACTGCAGTGTTCAACACGGTGATGCTAAACTTGATCAAAAATCCCAACATCACATCAAGTCATCTGTTCCGAGCAGATATCTTCTATGACAGCGAGACCGACCATTCTTTCAACCCAGATGATGCATCAGATCCATACCGAGATGGTCTTGTTGCTCATATGAAGAAGGAGTTGCAACCAATCCGAGCGAACTGGCCGGAGTTTCGACTCGAGCGGACGATAGTGAGACAGCTGATACCGAGAAATCCGCAACTGGACAAGCCTATTGTGCAGACTTGCCACATCTTCGAGCAAAGTAGAATTGAGGGAGAGCAGACTGAATATCGACAGCTGGTGCTGTACATACCACATGTTCTAAAACTGGAAGATATGCCGTTTTATCATCCAACTGTCTCCCAGCTGGCTTTTCTACACACATGGAAATCTTCATTGAAATCGCCAGCATCAAAGAAAGACCCCACCGTCTCGGAACACCTGAATGGGAACGCAGAACCTCCGGGGACTCTCACGCTCCTGTACCGCCTCTTTTCAGACGAGACCCTTACGACCAAACTCTCACGCACGGCTCTCAAGCTGCTCCAGACTATCCATAAGCACGGTCAAGGACAACTAGCTGGCTACGAGAAACGCGTTCATCATGATCAGATCATACCGCAAAAGCGCTATCAAGACACTTATACCCGCCTCAAAGCGAAATATGGACGGCACTTGAGTGAAAAGTGGGTAGAAGTGACGGATCCAGGCAAACATGTGTTTGAGGATATCGCGATTGCTGCCTTTTTGATTGAGCTTTGGAGGGATATGTATGCTGCTCCAGAATTGACCGCTGGGGTCAATAGAAATGGTGACCCACGGCAAGAGAGTGAGAAGGACGACGATACATCACGTGACGATGAGCAGCTGCCTAGATTTCCTGGCTTCGTCGATATTGGCTGCGGCAATGGCATTTTGACATACATTCTGCTCGCTGAAGGATACTCTGGCTCCGGCTTCGATGCAAGACAACGCAAGACATGGTCAATATTCCCCGAAGAGACGCAAGCTCAGCTCGAACAGAAGATACTGGTCCCGAAAGTCTTTCAAGACGCCTATTCTCCTACCGACGCATCAGAACCCTCTCCAAACAAGCCAACCGATAGAGAACCCTCCTCGAATTCATCCCCACCAGAGGTCTGGCACTCCGGCATATTCCCTTCTTCACCCACACCTTCACCAGCAGACTCCTCAACCAAAGAAGGCCCCTTCATAATCTCCAACCACGCCGACGAACTCACAGCCTGGACTCCTCTCCTCGCCTACCTCAACAGTTCATCTTTCATTGCAATACCCTGCTGCAGCCACGACCTCAGCGGTGCAAGATTTCGTGCTCCGGCTGCCACAGCTCGCGCCAGGGCCGAAGCAAAAGAAGAGAAAGGGAAAGGAAAATTGGATCATCCTTTGGCTTTTGAGACGAAGAGGTTACCTCAGCAGCAACAACACGGAGCCGATGAGGAGGATGCTCAAGCTGGTGCAGAACGAGACAGCGCATCAACATCGCCAGTCCCGATAAAGATACCCGAATCCGGCTCCCTTCGCAAATCCCTCATTCAACAGCGCCTAGCATCCGCATATTCAACTCTTTGCTCTTACGTTGTAAGTCTTGCTACAGATGAAGATTTGAATTTTGACAAAGTGGAAATGGAAACGTTGAGAATTCCGAGTACAAGGAATACGGCGATTATTGGGAGACAAAAGCAGCAGAAAACACGAAGTGATGGCGGAGAAGGCGTGGAGGAAAGAATGCAGCGAGTGAAAGAATTGGTGGAGAGGGAGATGAAGAAGGACATCGGCGCTGTGGCGGGAGAGTGGATTGCGAGGGCGGAAGGGTTGATGAAGAAGCCGAGTTCTGGGCATTGATTGGACTTGTGTATATGAACTCTTGATACCGCTTAGTCCGCCGAGCGATCGAGACCTGTTGGATTTTATTTCAACGAGAGCGTGTTCTGAAAAGGCTTACTACTTCCTGTTGTGGAGCGTATTGAACAGTTACTTTCGAAGGCGTGTGTAGATGCCCATTCGAGACTGATACCAAGAGAAGAGCCGATTTCAAGCTTTCGAAAATGGTTCCAATTACTTGCTACTGCAAGAATTATACCAGCTATCCTGTTTTCATCGTTCGTTCGTAGGTACTCGCCTCAGAAACACACGCTCGCTTCTTTCAAGATCAGCTCTTGTCGCTGGTAAATGCAATAACACACTCGCAAAACCAATTCAGGCTGTGGAATCGAATCGTAACAATCCTCTTATCCATTTCATTACCCAAGATGCCGCATCATGAAGGAGACGCCGGCGGCGCGATCTGTCCCTTCGCTTTCAGGCTGGAGACGCTGTTGCTGCGATTGAGGTGGGGTTGTGGTGCGGACTGCGACATCAAAATCAGCACATTCCAAACATGACTGCAGAAGGCCACGCAATTCTCACCTCCTAATCCGAGTAGTAGCCCGCCTTGCGCAGATGATACTCCTTCTCGCGAGCTTCCTCCTTTTTCCTGCAGCAAAAACACTCCTCGTTAGTCTCATTTCTCACATCACGAAACACCACACTTCAACATCGATGCTGCTCCGCAACCACACCATCTACCCGAGTACTGTTCTTACCTCGAAGTGGAAGGTGGTGGCGGCGGGTGTTTAGTACGATCTTGACTCTTGCCGCGCACAGAGGAATAATCATGCTGATGCCTATTGATACTGCTGTGACGAGAGTGATGTGATGTAGCACGATGACGAGGATCAGCATACCTTTCCCTTGCTTGAAACACGTTAGCAGCTATCGCACCAACGGCCGTGGCGAGTGCTCGAGGCACAGGCCCTTTTCCAAACTCGCTACCGATGAGACCGCCGGCGAGCGCTCCCACTGCGCTGTAACCTAATCCTCGCTGGCTCGTGTCAAATGGACCTTTGACTGTGGACTTACTCTCTGATGCGACTGTGGGCGGTGGGACGTCTCGAGGGGGTGGACGGGATCGTCTTCGTCGGCTTCGGCTTCGTTCATCGCGGGAGTCTTCGGAGTAGTAGCTGTCTTGCGATGGCGATCGGTCTCGCCGCGATCTTCGAGACCGGCGGCGCTCACGTCGTGATTGACGAGCGGTTTCGTCGGATTCGTAGCCGCTCCTCGATTTGTGATCGTACCGATCATCATACTGTCTACTGCGCTGTTCCTGTGGGTTAGGCATATATCCAGGCTGGGTACCCGGTAACGCTTCCTGGGCGTACGGGTTTTGCTGATAGTCTGAGGGTGGAGGTGCCACTTTGGTCGCAGCGACTTGGTTCATGTAGGTAGGCTGCACTGAGCCCACGTCGGATTGAGGCGGTGGGTATCCTTGAGCATGTGTAGGTCCTCCGTAGATGTGCGCGTAGGGAACATATCCAGTAGACATGCCGCCGCGCAATGTTGATGTTGATCGGGCTGGTGGCTGATTAGGGTCGTGGCCGAATGATGAGTTGACACTACCAGCAATATTCGGCTGAGGTTGGAAGGGTTGCGGTGATCCATAAGCGCCGCTAGAAGCCTGCGGTGACCCATATGCACCATTGGAAGGCAACGGAGAGCCATACGCTCCGTTCGAGGGAGCAGGCGAACCGAATGCCCCATTCTGCTGGAATGCTTGGGCAGCAGCAAATCTACCTCCCATAGCCGCAGCGCCAGCCATCGGATCTGTGTATGTTACCGAGGGCGGAGGTGGTTCAGCAGGAGGAATGGCACCGTCTCCATACTCGATGCCACCACGCTTTCGTGACGACCGATGGTGGCCATCGTCTTTCCCATACTTGTCGTCGTCGTCCCTCCGCCGCGCTCTACTACGCTTGCGACGCGGCCGGTTGTTAATCTCGTCGAAATCGTCTGCCCCATCGACCGGCTTCTTAGCATCAGACCGTCGCGACCGATGTCCGTCTGATCGATAACCATTCTCTCGGTCGTCTCTCGAGTCGCGATCGTCTTCGTATTCGTCGTCGCTGTAGCGTCTCGATCGTCGTTTCTTCATTTTGGCGCTGCTCTTCTTTTCCTCCTTCTCGAGCTCGTCCTCAAGGTCGGCCTTCTTCTCCTTGGCCTTGTAGTAGCCGCCAGGAATCTTTTCGAACCACTCGTCGGGCACCTTGTCGGCCTATATTTACCGCCAAGTCAGCCCTGCAGCCATGACACCACGTACCGGGATATGGTCGCTTGGATAGATAGACTTACGCCCCACATGACACCTGTGACGATGATGGAGGTTAGTTCGAGACGCGATTCATGGGCTGCAGTCGGCTCGACTTCACTTCACGCACCTCGCAGAATGAGCTTCTCCATATGAGGTCCTATCCGTACGAATGGCGCGGCTCGCGGGATTCAACTCGTCGCTGCGTTGCGACTGATTTCGACTGTCTGAGGCCTTCCGGCTGGACTGTTCGACGATGCTGGAAATTGGCCGTGCCTGTTTCGCGTGCGTCGGGTATCAAGACGAGCAAGGAAGAGGCTGTCGCTTTTGGTTGGGCTTCTGCAGCATGGCGAGGATGCCGCTGTTACACGAGCCCAGTGATCGGCGCCAGGTCGCCAGTCAAGAGAACCACGTCGCCGGTGGCTGCTGGCGTTGTGAGCTGTTCACTGCGCGCGGCTTGGACGCGGCTGATGGAATATGTGCTGTTTACCTCGCAGGATGCGGTGAAGAGAGTGACGGATATGAGAGATGAATGATGGAGTGAGTGACTCGGCGAAGAACGGCGGCCTACCTGTTTGCTCGATCTCGTGCGACGAAATGCTCGAGCGTGTGCTATCGTGCTATCTTGCAGGAAGGCGCAGACGTCACTCTGCAGGAGCACTGTGGGCTTCACTTGCAAACGGTATACCCGCCGGCAGGAGCCCGAATTGCGACTGCCGAAGTACCGAGATAGGATCCGGTGCAGCACCCAAGAATGTGTTGGTGGGCGATGCTTTCTTTTGCGCTTGTTGATGTGCCAGATACGGATCACACGCAAGATCGTGAAGATGTGGAGCCGTATTGGCCCTTATGAGTTTCGGGAGGGTCGCTGACTAAGTATGCTTGGCATCACAGCGTTGCTGAACCGCATGTGCTAACTGCGAAAGAGAGCTCTCTTCTCTGATCTCCTTCCTCATGCAAAGTGGTGCTAGAAGAACCATTCAGACCGACAGATTGATGCCCCTGATCCAACGTTAGCCTTACACGATCAGTGCGACGAGGATTTGACTGGAGATATCAGCGGAAATAGTATCGTATCGTCGCGACAAGATTTGCAACTATAAGCCTTGAGTCCGGAGGAGCAGTCTTCACTTGCGGCATGCTACTACATCTCAGGCCCTTCGAACAAGGTGAAAACTGCTCGAGCCCAAAGGTGCGATCAAATTGCGCTATGCGGGGGAGAAGCGTGGAGAATATGCCGAAGCGTACACTTACGAAGCAACACGTTGCGCAAAGAGTTGAGTACGAGAATACAATGGAAAACTGGCTGTTGAAAAGCGTCTCGCGAAGTAGGTCCGAAGAAAACTTCACTTCGAGAAATATTCGCCGAATAAGAGAGGAGTGAGATGTAGAGACCGACAAACACTCTCCGAGACATGGTACCTGTACAGTCGAAACAGTCAAACTGGCCAGTGAGGAACATTCTCCAGCGCACAGCATAGAGCAGTACGCAGCACAGGAATCTACAACTTTGACCAAGACGACTGGGATGATCTAGTATGCTAGTCTAGTGGTCAGTCTGTCTTGGCCAGTCTGGGCGTAAGCTGCACAGACCGTGATCGAGATCCAGTATTAACGAACAGCCAGTCGGAACATTCGTTCATCATAGAGACCAGATATGGTTGCCAAGGATCAATTGCGGACGCTCTTTCGTCGAGGTTGTCTCCTACTTCTCCTTCGTCCATCGCGAGAATGGGTGTTCTTCTGGAAATTTTCGGATGGAACTGACGATGCTCATAGCACCATCCGCAACCAACGCAGCTGTTGCGTAATTCTACTATTGGTCACCCGACTCCAAATCAGCACTGCCTACAAGCCCGCGTGTCGATTGAGCTCGGCGGCCTTGGTTCCGCGTCATCAGCCATTGAACACGTTCATGTGTAACTTGCGGTGTTTCCATAGCACTAATCACGCTGCACATTCTGTTGCCTAGATTCCACTACTTCTGTCCAAAACACATTCCCTACAAGCTCAGCTGTCGACTACACTCCGCGCCCTTGGCCAGCGTCTTTCACAAACAACTAGTGAGGTTCATGGATACTGTTCCATGAAAGACAATGAGGCTGTGAGGTAAGAGAAGAGAATGCGGCCGCATAGATATTATCCTATATAGTCTCCTGTCCATCCTTATTTCTTGCAACATCAGCCCTGCAACAGTACAACAAAAGCAAACTTTATACAACCAAGCTCTTCATCAACCCCTTCCAAGCAACCCAACCACGAACCCAAAATGTTTAAACTCACCTTCCTCATTGCCGCCCTCCTCGCCGTCACAGCAAATTGCGCCATTTTTTGCAGTTCTACTACAGCGATCGACTACCAAGGTTGTGCTCTGAATCGAATGCCACTCTGCGTACGTGCCAGCCAAAATTCCCTTCCTTTTCACATTGAGAGGGTTTCGTAACTTTGGTTCTTTTTTGCTAACATTGGGTTCTACTCGTATAGTGCCGAAAAGAGAGATCACTCGCTTTCACAAACGAGTACGCCGCTGGGTATGCTCCTCGTCGAGGAGTTCCGTGTGCTGAGGGAGGGATAACGTACTGTGTGAGGAAGTAGGGTGGGAGAGATATGTCGGAGGGTCGGAGTGTGGCTCAAATTGGCATCCGTGGAGTTGTAAGAGAGGGTTCGTGTTGATGATGGATATGGTGATTTGTATGAGGAACAGGTCTACCTCGTACGAGTGCAGTTGTGGTCAGGAATGGAATTATGTCGACCAGTCAATGCTATGCGAATGTCAAAGCGGATACTTTTCTGCAGCCAAACTTGATGCATTGAGATTCGTGTTGCTTGCGAACATTTGGAGCACTTACGACCGCGGTCGAATGATCTGGCACGAATGTGATGTAATTTGTGTGCACAACATCAAATCATTTCATCATCAGCTATATACTCCTCTCCATGCCATCACCACTCCTATCTGCTCATCTCACCTCGACGCAAGATCTCATTCAAGCGTAGGATCCCCATTGTACCTCGGGTTCTTCGGCTGTTGTACATACGTGCCATCGAAATCCTGACCAAAATCATTCTGTACTTCAGACATCGGTCGCATCTCTGTCTTTCTCTTCCGTCGCACGAGGAAGTAAGCTGCTGCACCAATCAGGGCGAGTCCTCCTACGCCGCCGACAACGCCTCCAGCTATGGCGCCCGTGTTGACAGGGGTCGGATCTGGCACTGGTGTGTGGGTACCTGATGGAGTAGGAACACCACCGGAGGGAGTTGCGGAGGGTCTGAGGCTGGCGGCCACTCTGGCGACTTGACCCGGGCCCGCTTCGATTGCGATGATATTAGAAGTTTCGGCCACTTCGGTAGCGGCTTGCGCGATCGAGATCTGATTGTTGTCCATGTCGAATACCATGAACATGCTTTCCAGAACTGGCCCTCCAAGACTGTACCAAGTCTTCTCGTCTTCGTCTTCCCTAAAGTCCGGAGTGATCATGAATGTACACTGGTCAGATCCATTGGCGTACTGCAGCGGCCTGCCAGCCGCCAAATCAACCGGCTGCTTGATAAGGTCCTTGACACCCACCTCAATCTTAATCTTGCCACCAAAAGTGAATGTGATCTTATCTTCGGTGTCAGCGTAATCGCAGATGCAAGACCCGTTTGGAGTGAGAAATGGAAAGTAGGGCAAAATATACGCCGCGTAATGTCCATAGGGCAGTAGCATGGTCTGCGAAGCAGTTGACGGGATCACAGCCACAGCAGGATCGTCGAGGTTCCAAGCCGCCATGCCTTCTGCATCTGATGACCACAGCGTTGTCGTGTTATTGCCAGCCGTGAATTCGGCTCCAGTAATGGTTGTGATGAATCGACGGGGTGCAGTGGTATTCTTGCCATCAATACCAATATATGGTCTGGTATTATTCATCAGATCAATAGTTGCAAGCTCTCCAACGTATCGCGTTGTGTCAAGGCCACCAAATACAAGGGAGCCTGATGTATCTGGCAGAAGTGCTGTTAGCAATGCATTCATCAGAGATGGGGGTGGTCGCTTGCAGCTTACCTGGGCGACCGAGCGCGATGGAGAACAGTCTACTTTCAGACAGGTTCGCGCGTACCATGACCTCAGGCACATTTTGATATGGCCGTGACAAACCAGTGCGGTTTACGGACGATAGTGTTGAGTATCCAAGCCCCATCATGGCTAGGGGATACTCTTCGTTGACATTGATTTCTTCCCCGACGCCGAACTGTACATCTTCAAGTTGTAATTGCCCAATCCCAAGTACATCGCTCCCAATAGGGCCAATAATCTCATTGCCATCTGCATAGCTGACTTCAAAAGCGGGCGATTCGGCAACTTCTTCGTAGGTGCCCGATGCAGAAGAATTAAACGTTCCCCCGCGACAAGGTCCTGGTGTAGCAGAGGAGGAGTTGCAAGTGGCAGCGGTGATCGAATCGACGTAGAGGTCCACAGAGCCGGTACTGACCCATACTGTCTGTCGCTGTGGCGGAGTGCCTATCGTGATGTCGATGTAGTAGCCACCATAGGGATACCAGTAATTATTATAATATATGTCACCTTCCAGCGGTCCTTGCGATTGTCTGGCACGAACTCGAGCCCCGCTGTGATGACCCTTCGGCTCTGAGAAGACAGGCAGTTCCAGCACGCAATCAGCCAACTGGAATCCCAAAGCAAGCCATAGGCATGAGGTGATGAAGAGCGTCATCGCAATTCGCTGTCGTTCACAAAGTCTCCCACCGTTGCCGTTGAAGCTTGAGAGAATGCTGCGATCACAGCAAACGAGAGAATAAAGTACTGGGCTGACTCGATCAGGCTGGAAAGCTGTAAGCGTCGCAGAATCGCAACGTGCCCAGCTTCAGAGAGATATCTCACCGACCATTGAAGGTTCTATACACAATCAACGATAGACAGGCAGGCCACATAGTGCAGTAGAGCTTTGATCGCCTTCGCCACGCAGGCCGAGACTCCTGTGCCCTTGTCGGTCGAGGATATCTTCTTGCGGCAACTTGCATTCTGGTGGCACCTCTGCAGGGACCCAGACGCGTAGGCCGCCCTTCCAGCCTCGCAGGATTCCAGAAGGAGTCCAATGTAACACCGTTGTGTCCTACAGCGTGGGATACTGGTAGATTGTGGCCTTGCTCCGCTTCGAGGCCTCAGCCAATGTGCATCAGTGCATGGCTTGCTGATCGTGGACTGATCATAACTGGCGGCCTCAATCATGCGGCGGATTGCATGCCGAAATTGGTGTGGATGGGCACGCAAGGCTGAGTTGTGGAAAGTCTGTACAACACTTCGCGCATGAAGCGAGAAGGTCGATCGCGGGTCACCTCTCGGCGGGTCTGTGTTGCAAACGTCGTAACAAATCACTTGCCCCGCCCTGCCTCGAAGCCGATGCAAGTTTGGGCGGGTGCGGATGGTACACAGAACAGAAGATGAGAGGCTTGTATCTTGGAGTTTGAGAAGGGTGAAGTACAGTTGCATTTCCTGCCTGAGGCCAGAGGCGCTCGAAACCCCGAGGATGAGCCGGGCCGAGCACGTGCACGTGCACGCCCAAGCCATCGCCATTGCCATCAACTTGCACACAATAATCATCTAGACTCATCGAAAATAACGCCCTACTCATCCCCCCTCAACAAACACTACGGATATGGAAATTGCCAAAGCGGAGAGAAGAACAGTCGCACCAGTGTTCCCCACCCATCTAGCCCACACTTATGCATAACGTGCGCCAGTCTGTCTAGCCGTGGGCGATTTTTGTGTTGGCATAGATCTTCGTCCGTTTGAAGGCGACGCCGGAGAGGGCAATTGTTCTGATGGATCCATAAACTCGATTGTAAGGGCATCATGGTCGGAACTCAGCAGGCCATTCGTCCCTATAATCTGGAACTTGAGATCAGCTGGTCCAAGGTTGACCACGAAAGCGAATTCCGCTCGCCAGTACTTCTTCTTTAGCTTCCACATCTGGCGGTTCTTCAACTTCATGTCGTTCTCTGTCAAGGTATACTGGACCCTGGCAACTTCCTTGCATCCGGCATGCGGGTATCTCGTGGGGAGCGATTTGGCTGCTAGACTGGACATGACGATCCGAGCCGTGCGTGGATTCTTGTGCTCCTCTTCAGAAAGTGTGATGGAGTAGTTCTGGCGCGCACCAAGCGTGGTATCAAGTGCTTGACCCTGTCTAATGAACCACCTGGCGTCGAGCGTCAGTTGGCGTTGGCTGGGAGCTTCAAGGAGAACGACTTACTCAATACAGTTTGGAACGTAAAATCGGTTGGTGTTCGGGTTCCATGTCTTCGGGAGTCCCGCGTGTTTGGTTTCGTCGAATGGCACGTTGACTATGATACCATAGCTATTTCGACACCGTCGGGCCGTGAAAACTTCTTGGCCAATCTTGGTATCAACACCAAGTTGCTGCGTACGTTCTCTGACAAGTCCTCGCACGACTGCTAACTGCCTGCTCTGAAGTTAGCTGAGGACTTTGGCATCCACTGCCGGACACTCTGCGTTAGCGTCACTTACGGTTCTAGGACTCTCATAATTCTGGTTCTGGCCGTGGTCTTCGAACTGAATCCCATGTTCAGCTCGTAGCGATCCTTCATCTTCTCAAACAGATATTGTGAGCTTCCAAGGCCTCCAGACATGATGACATATGACACTCGCTCGTTAGGCATCTCAGCCTCGAGCGCTAAGAAGCGATCGTCAATCAGGCCGTAGATCTGTTCGAGCTGTTGGTCGAAAATTTCAGTCAAAACTTCTCGATCAATATGCATCTTTGAGTTCTTGATGCCCGCCTGTTCAAAGGCATGAGAGCCAGCGAGACCCTTCACTTCGAGAGTGAAATGTGGAACCATTGGTTTGGGGAAAGAGTGCTTCACGATCTGGAATCGTCCGCTAAGCATCTCCTCGGCAAGACAGTAAAGGTCTCCTTCCAGGTGCTCTTCAATGAGTTTGAGGCGTTCAACAATGTACTCTGCCATGCGAAAATCGATCAGAGTTGAGCCTATTGGAACGCCCTCCACGTGATCCAAAGGATTGAGCTCAATTTTCTGTTTGGTGGACATCACTTTCAAGAGGTTGACATCTGTTGTACCGCCACCGGCCTTGTCGCGTCAGCTTAGCTGCCGCATCTGCATACCAGGTTTCGACTACTTACATCACAGATGAGGAAAATGTCGCCAACCTGGTATTGGGTTGTGGCAGCTTCAATGGCTGCTGCTTCAGCTTCCGTGAGGGACATACGAACACTCTGGCGGGGCGTGCCGCCAAATCCGGCCGTCTCGATGAGCTTTTCCATGCTGGCAATCATCGCCGGATTCTTCCACGTGGTTGGCACACTGAAATTGTACTCAATGTGCATGGATTCCCAGCGTGGAACTTGCTCGTCGAAGAATCTCTTGATCTCGCCATGCAGACAACGAAGGTAGTCCAGGTACCATCGCCTTGCGTCTTGGCAACTGAACCCTCGGTCATCCTCATATTCGGCGTCCAGAGTGAGCTTGAATTGTTCGCGCAGATCTATGCTTTCGTCTCCGAATGTGGATTCGAAGCCCCAGTTCTTAACGACATTGGTTCCCTTGCGGTACCCAACGCGAGTCGCGACTTTGTCAGCTCGCTCAACGCCATGGTAGCCAGGCCACCGATTGATCACTTTTGGCTCACTCCAATCTGGACCGATGGAGTAGGCCACACCCTGTGCTTTGCGTCAGCGCATACAACGGAATCTACTGAACAGTGAAGTCATACAGAGCATGTCTGTCCAACATCTATGCCGACTACGATCTGCGGTCGAGGCTTGGCACCAGAGGTCAGGCCAGGCATGATTGATACCAATTCGTCGAGGTAATCAGGCTGAGCTTCAAAGTCAAATGATACACAGTATGCGGACTGCGCTTTGAGCGTTGTGGCAGTAGAGAGAGAGAGCTCGACTCGATAGCTCTGCACTGCGGGCGCAGATGTTCCCAGCTGCGCTTTTCTTATGCGTAGACCGTGCGTGTGGTGCGCTAGAGTTGCGGACAGGATTCAGCTAGAGCTATGGAAGGTCGATTCTGAGCCACGAGGCAAAAGGCACTGGCTGCAGGGTCTGTGCACCTCATGCTCTGAGCTGGAGGAGGAGGAGGAGGACATGCAGTAGCGTGCTTCAGACGGGCATTTCTCTTTTCGCCATATCCATTCGCGAGCCGCGCGACTAGTCTGGATCATCTGCAGTGATCTTATGTTTACGAATGACCTTTGAGATCTGCACACTGCGCTGTTTTGGGCGGAGGGCGCAGACAAGGCTGTGCCTCAGCCTTGCCGGTGCTGGAGATCGACGCTTTGCAGCCAACCGCTGAGATTGCGGTTCGAGACCCATCTCTGGCGGTTACCATGCAGCTACACGCCAAAGCTGCGATGACTGGTTACCTTTGCATTCGCAGGTACCCGTCGTGCTCGGACCTTGCCTTGTGGATTTCTGTGGGTATCTAGCTAACTGTTTGTCCCAAGGACTTGCTCACTTTGTACTTCACTTCAGGCATGTGTTGCCAGTAATCCAAGATTTCCGTCTTCGGAGCACTACTCCTGTATCAACAAGAAACTACCACGAGACATTACCGGAATCATGGCCAACACAATTGTTGACCTTCCCGCCATCGAGACACCCCCAGTGGTGGGATATGCTGCATATTTTGCCGAAGATAACGTCTCGACTTTCTCCTCAAGACTGCTTATCGCATCCGTGGGTGGTGATGGGGTCGCGACCACGACTAGGGCACTGGATCCTGGCTTTGTGCTATACTTACCATTTTCGGTCACAGGCTCGACAGTAGTGAATTGCTCTGCTCTGGTCCCATCTCTGACTACACCATACCCTGGACTCGCTGCCAGGGTCACTTATCCGGCGATTTGGTCAGTCGGCGGACGCGCTGTGGCCGTATTTGATTCCACGGTCGATTTCCCCGACGGTGGCACAGTATTCATTCCTGTCACGAATAGTCTTCCCGCTCGGGTCGATATGAATCTTGGATTATCAGCACTGAGAGCCGCGGCCCTAGCGACAACAACAACATCCGTCATTCCGACATCTAGCTCAAGTCTGGTCGTCACACCTACTGCTGCGCCGAACACTACAACGAGCACCCCAAATGCTTCTTCGATGGGGACACCTGGTCCTACTACTAATCCTCGCAATGATGGTTCACCCTATGGTCCAGGAGCTCTGGCCGGCGGTATTGTTGGGGCATTTCTAGCAGCTCTGCTGCTATGCGCATTGCTCTGGTTCTTCTGCATTCGACGCCGGAGGTCCAGGCGGTCCGCCTCGCAGCAACGTTTCAGCGACTCAAGCAATGACTATGCTCTTGCCGACATGGCTCGAAATCCCGAAAAGTCGCAAGCTGTGGTTGCAGCTTCCGCGGTGACAGGGTGGCAGAAACACTTGCCACAGGAGAAGGACGATGGCACCATCACTAAGCTATTCAAGTCAATCTTTGAGCAAGCCCAGATGCATATGGAAGGTTACTACGGATCAAACACACAGGATTTGTCGGATGCTTCGATTGCCACACTTCGAGAGCTCTCCGAAGATGATTTGCCATTGATGCTGTCACAAACTCAGAAGCAAGTCTTGTTGTTGGAGGGTATCTTGCTACGCTTTATGATACGTAGGATCTCTGGGCGCTCTGATGTACAAGACTCATTCCTTCCTGGTGATTTGAGCAGGATTGCGAAGAATAATAAATGGTACATGGAGCGCGAATCAGGGCAAAGTGGATTCGCCACTTCAGGAAAGAAAAGAGGTATAGTTCTCACTTGCTGGCAGTCGAACATATCGCTAATATGCCTCAGGTTTCTCACAAGCTCTCGCTCAGTGGCGTCAGCTTACTGGCTTTTTGCTCCCCAATCATAGGGATGATCAAGCTTACCAAAAAGAGCTCCGTACCAAGATTGAGGCTGCGGTGCAAAATATCGACTCCGCTTACTCGCCATGGGAAATTTCTGGCAAGAGCAGCGATAAGCGACGTGAGAGCCTGAGGGGGATTTTGCAGCAAGTCAGCGATGCGGGAATTCTGCTATTCACACAGCCATCGACTTTCTTGTTCGATTGGTCCACTCCTGCACAGAGCGATAGTCGCACGGTAGCGATCTCGCCTGCTTTGCTCAGGGAGAATGAGGGCTCGGCCAGAGAGGATGTGTTGATCAAGGGTTCGCAGGGAAAGCTTTGAGATTGTTCGTAACATGTCGTGACCGATGTTGGATGACTTTAGGTGTCTGTTACTGCTATGCTCGCTGATGAGAATTGAAGTATTGATTGTCGCGAGAATCATTGCTACCTTCCTTGACTGATCTGGCTAGTGTACAGTCCAAGGTCCTTTCACTTCTTGTGGTATCTGACCCTCTCCATCTCATTCTGGTGTTTTCCAAAACGTGCGCGCTTTGCAGCCACCGCCCGTGCCCAATTAGCAACGAGTAAAACGAGGAAGATCACGGCGACAGCTGCGCCGGCGCCCATGGGACCGATTATCGAGAATATCGTGAAACCCCAGCACACCCGTCGGAACACAGCGCTATTCCCATACCCATCAACTGCCAATCCGACCTGCATCGCAGTAAGAACGAGGGCTATGTACACCGTAAGACTAGTGATGAAGCCGATGTTCGCAGAGAAGAATTGTCGATATGTTGACATGCCTGTCAGGCTAGAAAACCCGTGTAGCCAGTCACCACCCACACAGCGGTAGATCTTGTTGAGCCTGCCGAGGCGTAATTCTCCATATTTATAGCGCATAGGCAGGTATTTGCAGTCGTAGATACTGTTATCGGGGTAGTTCTTGCGCAGCTGACCGCTAAGATCTTTCCACTTTTGCCATGACACATCTGGGTCAGATGGCAATAGATGCTGCTCTTTAGCTAGGTCGAAGTCAAGTTCGTTGGGTATGAGGGACGTATAGGTGAAAAGAAGCCCTAGAGCCGAGCCGTGTGTGTTGTCGCCTTGCAGGTATTGCTGAAAAAATGACGGGGTGAAGAAGTATCTTGGTAGTGGTTTGATATAGATTTTCCCAGGCACCCATACCAGATGTAGAGAAGCATCTGTACAAGGAACAATGGTCCTTTCAAGTACAGCTTGCAGATTCAGTGCGCGTGGAGGATATGATCTGCCCGCGAGCCACAGATATTTCGCAATGTGCTCCAGTCTGTCCACGGAAAGATCGCTTGCTAAGAAACTCTCCAGATCGTCAAGTGGCGATGCCAGACCAGAATCTTTGGTACGGAATGTCGCCGGGAGGTCTTCATCTTGGAATATCGTCGTCGATGCTCTGGTCTTGGGTGCCATTGCGTGCAATAGATTTGCCCCTGTTCGCGAGGATGGCACAATTCGGAGCGAAAATCGATGTACATGTTAGCAGGCTGTCACTTACTCTTCTAGCGCGATGGCTTCCGGCATTCCACGATATGGACATCGCCTCTGGTTGTGGTCAATCATCAGGCTGAGCCGCCATGGCTGCACAGGGTGCAGTTGTGACCATCGTTGGTGTGGAGTCCAGATCCAGGGCTTTGCGTCTCGGTGCACAGTTCACTTCGCCTAGCGGTCCAATAGGCTAGCGAGAAGCGGGCCGTAGCTTCGCGCGCCAAGAAACCTTCTCCTACGTTCCCTGCCCGAGCACATCACGTCTTCCCAAACAACTTCCTAGACCTCCTGATAAGTATAGCACGACCACCAAAATTGCAAGACCGGTAACTAGACAAGATTTACTGCCTGCCAACAAATCAATGGCGAATCAGACACTGTGCTGCGAAATGGCCGAAGAACGCAGCCTTGTCCTTGCCCCGACCGCCCACCCTCCGTGCGATCTACACTTTTCAGCCTTGCGCAGCCTTGCGCTGGTTCCACGAATTGTGGGTTGCTGCAAGCCGCTGCATTGACTTTATCGATAATCTCTGCTGCGGAGGATTCATCGCCTTCGTGTTGCCTCGCTGCATTGTCAGGCTAGCGACACCGCGGCCTCATTGGGTCTGCCGAGTACACAAATCTGCAATGCAACCTCACAGATGACCAGCGGTCACTCGGTACTGGCGTCAGCGGGGCTGAGGTCCAGATGGAGTCTTTCGCCCTTTGCTCGCGCCTGGACGCGAGATGAGCCGTGTATCATCTGGACGCGTCGGGTGCACCGAGCACCGTTCGCTCTAGCCTTCACAACAGACTTAGCAGCTGAGCAAGGCTTCCCCCTCCAGTATCGCAGATTGCGGGGAATGTATGGCAGCGGCTTCTGCGTCTTGAGCCTCCCACAAGTGCTTAGCTAGGTCGCGTCAAGATCAAGCATTCGCTGTTGTTCCGGAGTCCCTGGGCCCACGATAGCTCTCGTCCATTGCTGCAGGTCCAAACAGCATCCTGCATAGCCATTTCTTCATATTGAATTTTTTTTTGGCGCACCAAGTCTAACTGGAACGGATCCAGCAACAATGTCTGTCGAGCTCGAGGAGAAGGTGACGAGGCGAACGCAGATTTATCGTCAGCTTGGACAAGGTCTGAGAGTGTTCCATGAGCATCAACATCCAGAAGTAGAGTACGTTTGAGGTCGCTATGCCTAGATGCCAGAGCTGACCCACCCTTAGTATCATCGCGATTCCCGGACTGGGGACCAACCCCGAAGAATGTTGGACGTGGACTGCGCCGGCCAAGAAAGATGTTGGACGTGCGAGAGCTACGAGTAATTCTGCAACAGCAGAGTCCACAGAGGGAGACGCAGGACCTCCTCGAAAGTTCAACTGGATTAGAGACCAAGATGGCCTCGCTTCGCTGTTTCCGAAATCGAGAATCATGCTATATGACTATGCTTCGGCATGGACAGGAGACAAGAAAGTCAGGGCCACCATGAAGAGCATCTGCATGTGGCTGTTAGATGACCTTCGCGAGAGAAGAAGAGTGTGTACAGAGAAGAAACAACTGGTCGAGTGGTCACTGATGTATCACAGGATGGTACGGCAGCTGGACGACCCATAATATTCATCGGACACAGTATGGGAGGAGTTGTTATTGCCAAGGTACGAGCGATGCTGAATGCTACACTGCTCTGCGACTGACTATTCAGACACTATGCATGGCCAGAGCTCGAAGGGAGTTCGAAGCTATCGTCACCTGTACTGTGGGCTGTGCCTTCTTTGGAGCACCCTTCCGTGGATCGAACATGGCCAAGCTTGCATTGATGTACAGTTCTGTCTTTGGGAACGAAGCCTACGAATCGCTGCTGTCTTTCATGCGCTCGGAGAAAAACGATACTCTAGAAGAGGTCACGCATGATTTCATGGAGATAAGCAACAAGCTGGTGCCGCCTATAGACTTGTTCTGTGCTTACGAAACGGTACCTACCGCGACGTCATACTCAGAGAGATACACACCTTGGTTACTGCAGTCCAAAGCTTTCAAAGCAGGTACGAAGGCCTTATTGGATTTCGGAGGTGCGGCATTCTCGGCCGGCACAGTAAGTCCTCCGCATCATCGTATTGCAGGCCCCGAACTAATGTTATCGTAGTATTTTGTGGAGAGAGAATCGGCCGTCCTGCAAGGCGCTCATGACTCTGGACTGACTGCCGACCACAGAGATCTCATTAAATTTGAGAGCATAGCTTCCGAGAAATTCAGCACAGTGAAGGTAGCACTCCGCAACATGGTCCAAATGGCTAAGACCAACGCTCGCAAGCGTGTAATGCTTTCTGGGCAGAGCTTGTTGTCCCAGAGGACCATTCAGCAGGTTCGGGAAACACTTGCAGGGGTGGACATGCGACTCAAGTTTCGAACCAAGGTGAACCAACGCGAAGTCAACTCCTGGTTAGAGTCGGTACCGTTGTACCAGAGCTGGCTTGCACCTGCTGAGTCTTCCAAACCGAATTGCTCATACCTGTGGCTCAGAGGCGGAGGTGGCATTGGCAAGACAACTGCTTCATACGCAGCAATCCAGGATCTAAGCAAAAATCAAGCCCACGATCAACAACTAGAGAGCTCACATGGGCATGGCGGAACACTGTTGGCCTATTTCTTGTGCGAATGGACGCCAGGCTGCGATACCGCCGAAGAGCTATTGAAAGGGCTCATTACACAAATTGTTAATCAAGACGAGGCTTTGGCCCAACATGGCGCCAGATGGTTCGTGTCCAATACACGCTCTCGTGGGGCTGGTGATGGAGGCGTCAATGAAGACATCGGTGCCTCTGGGGCAAAGGCCACGACCACAGTTGACAACCTATGGAGATGTTTGCAAGACATGCTAGAAGACCCTGCTGTCAACAATGCACACATTGTGATCAACAATTTGCATTTGTTGGAGTCTAGTAGCTCCACGAATGCACTGTTGGCCAAACTGCGGGGCGACGCGGACTCTCTCACAGGGCAACCCCAGGCGTCGCAGAGGGTCAGATGGCTCATAACCAGCCGCAACGAGCGCCATATCAACCAGTACCTGACTGCAGCCAGCGTCTCGTTGGTGGATGTCGAGAATGATCTCAAGTATGGGGCGGCAATCAGCGAGTCGAAAAGGCAGCATGCACGCGATGCAGTCTCCCAGTTGCGGACCAGCAAAAGTTACGGCTCCGATCTTGCTTACTACATTCGCAACTCGATTGACACCCTTTCGGCGGACGAATCGTGGATAGATGTGCTTTGTATTTTGCTCAAGGACATGCCAGAAGATAGCAGCAGCCTCAGCATTGAGAATTGGGTGAAGGAAGCTAGTGGCCTCAACATCAACAAGCTGATTGATCACGCCTGGGAAAAGGTATACTTACCCCAACTCTGCTGTGGAACACCAGTCACTCACATTCTGATAGGTATTAAGTGATAATCGAGCCGCCAGACTTGAGCTCGAAGCGCTTTTGCAAGCACTCACGATCGCTTATGAGCCGCCCACAATGGCCGATCTGGCCGTGCTCACCAAGATTCATGACATGACACGGCTTTCAGCCTTGATCCAGTTATGTGCGCCAGTGATCGAGCTTGGCTCTGCTGGTGAGGACCAAGGCAAGATTGTCTTCACCCACGAGGAATTCTCCCGCCGACTGAGCACCATCTACCATGGTCAATCTGGCGGGCTGGATGCCCTGCAGAGAAAACGGTATCATGGCCTCATGGCAATACGCTGCTTCAACTACATTCGAACCTCCGTGAAGAGCCTCGGCTCCCCCACCCGATTGGCCAAAGTTGCCTCGAAGCGCGTCAGATCTTCAACGGTCAGTGTTCGAGTTAATGACGGCGACGTTCTCGAAGTTACCAATGATGATGACGATATCGATGGGGCAGGCGTCACGACAAGCTCGTCCCCCACGACCACCTGTCCTTACCCTATCAAGTATTTGTTCAAGCATTTGAGCGAAGGAGGTCCCGACGCTGCGCAAGAGCTGTGTGAGGATGACCCAGATTTCTGGGGTCAAAGTTCGAGTTTGAGGAGTGCTTGGCTACGTGAATACCAGCTTCTGACCACTGACCTCAGAGAGCTTGACACTCGCGGCATGTCAGCTCTGCATATCGCCGCGGGTATAGGTGCGAAGGAACTGGTCTCTATACTAGTGCGTAGAAACAGCACAGCAGCATTGTCCTGGAAAAGCAATGATGGCATGACCGCGGTGAGTATCCAGCAGTGCGATCACGTATCATGACTGACCGAAATAGCTCCACACAGCGGCCTGCAACAACCACACAGATGTCGTCGATGCCCTGATTCGAGCTGGAGCCGACATCGAAGCGGGCGAAGGGAGCTCGGGCACAGCTTTGCACCTGGCTGCCCTTCGAGGTCATTGCGAGGTCATGGCGTTACTCATAAGTCAAGGCGCCAACATCAACGCACTGAGCCAAAAAGATGGCCCTGTGATCAACGCTGCGATCTTATCTGGCGCAGTGAAAGCCGTCGAAAAGATCATGGAAGGCGATGTGCACTTCGATCTGGATTATTCTCAATATGATGCACCGCTATCACTGTCCGCCCGAATCTTGGAATCGAATCTGTTTGCGGACATTCTGGAAAATGGACGCGACAAATGGTTAGAAAATGCCAAATTACTGGACCGGGCGCTGATATCTGCTTCCTACAACGCGCCCGTGGAAACCGTGCGGATTCTTCTGCGGTTTCCACACTCATACACAAACAACACCATGGAGAAAGCCATCTTGTCTGCTGCCGAGGAGAAGAAGTGGCACTCTGTACATGAGCTTCTCGATCATGTCATCAGTGGCAGTAAAGCTGGTCGCCCTTGGAACTTCAGTGTCGACGATGCATTTTACCTTGCTGCGACCACCAGGGAGGAGAATCTGGACGTGCTGAACAAACTCTGGTACTTCTCGAAACAGAGCATTACGCCAAACGTTCGCGACTTCTCGCTGTATCAAGCCACAGTCATGAAGAAGGACGCGACTGTCCTTTGGCTACTTGAAACATGTGGAGCGAACGCCAATGCCACGGCAAGCAAGCCTGATCTAGTTGGGCCCGCGACTGCCGCAACAGTAGCCGATTACGCAACAGCGTTGAACGCAGCAGCAAGCAGAGGCATGACAAACCTGGTCAGCTCTTTGCTACAGAAAGGAGCAAATCTCGATGGCGAATCGGGCTATGCATTGCATCTGGCAGCAAGAGAGGGTCACGACAAGGTGGTCCAGATCCTATTGGATCGTGATGCTGCGGTAGACAAAGAAGTCCCCAACAGTGAAGACATTGGGTTCTTCAGTAGCACGGCACTCCAAGCAGCTTGCGAGAACAACAAAGTCGAAGTTATCAAAATCCTGCTGGCGCGTGGAGCCAATCCAAACCTCGGCGGCGGTGCCTCCAGCAATCCTATCACTGCGGCCACAGAGCGAGGTCTACCAGAAGTACTCAATTTACTCCTGCAGCATCCGCGTATTGACGTGAACGTCACCGGAGGCAGCGAGAACTCTACACCGCTCATCAATGCTGCGACGCATATGCCCATGGAGACCGTCAAGTCATTGATCGAGCATGGAGCTGATGTCAACGCACTCAATGCTCGAGGTGACAGTGCACTCATCATGGCTGCACAGAAAGGCGAAAAAGCGACAGTGGAGCTCCTCTGCAATCACGGCGCAGACGTGACATATCGCAGCCCACAGCGTGGACTTCCCATACAAGTCGCAGCCGAGTCGTTGAACGCTCTTTGTGCCTGGGTTTTGGCTGAAAGAATGGCCGACATGATCGAGACGTACCGCCAGAAGATCATTTTCGATACTGGCGTTGCGAACGAGCGTGACACCAACATTACGATCCTGAAAGAGAGGATTGAAGAGGCTCAAGAAGCCCTGATAATTGCGAACAAGGATGCTGAATTCGCCAAGCTTGAAAAGACGCAGCTCGAGTCAATGGGCGCTCTACAAGGACAGACGTACGCATCCGTCATGGAGCAGTCGAAAAGCATACAGGCTGAGCGACTTGAGCTGCAGAAGCAATACGACGCCTCCAAGGGCCAGCTTGGGCTCGCTAATGAGACGATCAATCGCTTTAAGCTTTTGCTCGAAGACGAGCGGCAGAACAATGCCGATCTCAGGAAGCGTCAAGGATTTGTCGCGTTGCAAGAAGAACGAAACAATGCTCTGGAGATGCTCGAACAGCAAAAGAAGGCCTCTTCATATGAAGTCGAACTGGAGAGACAGAAACACCAGCAACTTCAATCCGAAATTGCGTCGCTCCAGAGGCAGACGCAAACGCTACAGAGTGAAGTTTTCTCTGTCCAGACTGCAGCGCAAGCCGCCAACGAGAGAGCGGAGGCGATCAGACAAGAGAAACAGACCTTGCAAGATCAAATTGTCGCCTTGCAAGAGCACACGAATGAGCTCAAAGAGGCACTAACGGCAGTTCAGACAGCAGCCAGCAAAGCGACTCCGGCTCCAACTCCAACTGCGGAGGCTCCGAAACTCCCGGAGAGACCTGCCCCAGCTACTGTGGATGAATACTTCAATACTGATGATGCCGATGCGGCTAATCCAACTGTCCTCGACACCTCTTCAGACGATGCCGCGGCCAGCGCTCCCATCCCACTTGTATCATCGCCACTCAGCGCCAATGACAGTAGTCCCGGTATGTCTCCTGGCCAGCAGGTGACCAGCCCCCGGTTCCCGGGCCCCAGCGGTTTCAGAACCATACACGGCACTCATCGACCAGACGGCAGTCTGGGCGGGTATCGTAAGGACGCTTCACTGCGAAGACAAATGAGTGAGGGAGTCCACGGGTCTTCAATCAGAAACGGACTCGGAGCGGGAGCACGCTCTTTATCGAGTTCACATTCCCGACAGTCGTTGAGCGGAGGGAGAGGAAGTCTTTCGAGAGAGGCTTCGATTGAAGAGGAGCAGGGAACTGTTAAAACAAACGGAGGGATGGGAGATTGGCCACAGCAGAACCAAGCTAGACATGGGGTGGCAGATTTCCAGAATCATGCTAGAAAGGTCAGCCAGGGAGAGTGGCCACAGCAGAATCAGAGTCCTGCCAGACAGAATGGGATGGGGGATTGGCCAAAGCAGAATCAGAATCATGCTAGACAGAACAGCCAGGGAGACTGGCCGCAGCAGAATAACGCTGGATGGAATGGAGTGGGAGATTGGCCAAAGCAGAACCAGACGCCGCGGGCGCGAAATGGGGATGATGGGAGGTACTATAGGGTTGTGTGATTAATTGGGTGTGCTAATGGCGATGTTGTATTTTAGTCTCCTCGATTAGTAATCATTCTCTTCGCTGGGCGAACATGTTCGATGGCGCATTAATCTATCTGGTATCTACGCGTAGCATGGAGTCCGATTTTCCTGATGCGGAACGTCTCCATTGTCCTTCCAAGTGCCCAAATCCGGCTGAGGAGCCTTTATGCATGGCTGGTCCAAGGATGTTGTCTTTGTTCGATTGTCGATGATATGAGCTCGAATCGCTATGGATCCTTTCCGAATTGTAGTCAACAAGTACAAGTTCTGCAATTCTCGAGGGTTTCCTAACATATCACTATATCAGTAGAATTCAAGCCACGATGCCACCAAAAAAGTCCAACAACGGAAAACGCAAAGCGTCAACCTCCCCAGACCCCAAAACCCAATCTGGCAGAATCTCCAAGCAACCCAGACGCCTCGGTAGACGAGTGCCACTCGGATCTCCTCCATCTCCTCCCGCAGCCCAACACCAACAATTCCTCGAACTCCTCGAACCCTCCCCCATCAACTCCAGCCCTCCACCCTCCTGGGCCTACCAAGGTCCCAATCCTCGCGTCCCTCGCATGACAGCACCTGGTACATCCGACTTGCCACGTCTCCCCTACAGCACTCGCGGCATGCACGACCATATCCCTCGCCAGGGAATTCCATACTGGGAATTGAATGATTGGGTTTTTAGAAATTATGATAATCCGAGGAGCTTGGGGTTTAATGCGCGGAAGGCGTTTAATTTTGCGGTTAGGAGGATTGCGGTCAGGGATCGGGGCTTGTTGATTGCGAGGAGAGATGTGCTTGCCAGGAATGAGACGCCGGAGGCGAGTGAGGATGAGGAGCAGGATGAGGAGGGAGAGGAGGAGGGAGAGGAGTACGAGGAGTATGATGAGGGGGGATTTGATGAGGATGCGGACGACAATGAGAGTTTGGTCAGGCTGCTGCGGTGAGGGAAGGCTGACGGAAGTGTTATGTTTGAAGGCTGGATGGGAGGAGGAATTCTACATTTGTAGAATCTCGTTGGCTGTGGATTTCTTCCTTCTCCTCTTGAATTTGGTATGAGTTGATATTGGTGCGCGAGTAATATGATCCTGCTGCAATTGCTTTTGAGCAACAATTGAGTCGAGTGTGGTAGCGTACTTCATTGTTCGCGGAACTGATTTATGTCCGAATGCGGTAAAACTCTTCCTAGTATTTTCCCTCGCTCCGGAAGCTGGGCGATGAACGCCTTAAAAGACGACAACTAATTTTCGCTGATCTGTAGTTGTGTCGACATGGACGTTGCGTGTGAGAGCAAGATGCTATAGCAAATCTGAGCCGCATAGCAGCTTCTGTGGTCATCGGTAACAGTATACTGCTTTTTCTGCACCAATGTGCACTTCGACGCGTGTGCTCAGCAATCCGGCGAGATGTACATGGTGCAACCAGTTCTCGTTACACCGCACTGCAAGCCTTGTGGCACAAGAGACAGCTCGATCGGGATCGCCAGGTGTATGAAGAGCAAGTGCTCACAGTCGATGATGTGCCGTCGAGAGGGCTGGGCATGCAGAGAAAATGAGTGACATGACGTTACTCGAACGAATAGTTCATCGAAGAAGGTTGTCGAGGCTGAGGAGTGGAGTGGAGCAGCAGCAGCAGCGTGCATAAAGTTCGTCTAGAGAGCCTGTTTTTGGCATCCGGGAGGAACCCACTTCGCGTGCTGAGCGTGCACCGCCTTGCCGCCACGTGAAGCGACCCGTGCAATAACGAACCTTCAGCCGCGCGTCAGCTCGCTCAGCACCCGCGGCGGCGTGCAGTCGACCTTCTGCCCTGTTCCCAGTCGCCGTCCCCCTCCGATCGCTGTTCTTCGCGCGGCGGTTGTTGTGGATTGCGACAGCAGTTGTGTGCACGGCCACACTCTGCAGCGAGCCTTCTCAGAACCTCACAGCAAACCGCTAGACGCCCATGCGATAGCAACGCTCTTCGGCGCATCGGTGCTGAATCGCCATGCTGCTTCCCGCTGATCAACACGCTCCCACTCTGCACATCCGTCAGACGAACAACAGCACCACTTCGCAGAATGACGCAAACAACAACAATGGCAGGAGCAATTCCACCATTATCATTATCGTAGGTGAAGGCCGAGATCGCGAGAGGACAGTACATTGACCGCTTGCAGGTCGTTATCGCCGTCGTAGCTGTAATACTAGCGAGCATAAGTGCCTACATCGGATTACGATCCTTGCGCCGACGACACGAGAATCCGAGATATGTACCGACGCAATATCTCAAGAGCCGCTGGAAGGCATGGCGGCCCAAAGGACTGTCGACTAAGGGAAATTACAGCTCCTCGTTGCAAGATACATCATATACACCATCTGTGCAGATGCAGACTGCCGGCTCAAATGCCCGCAACAGTCAGGGCAATCTCTCCACAGATGTAGAGAGAGCGCAAGCAGATGGAGCGGGCGATGCTGGCGTAGATCGTCATACGAGTGTGCGCTCGGTCATGACACTGCCAGCTTACTCCAGTTCAGCTCGTGAGAATGAACAGGTCCTGGCTCGTGAAGGAGAGAGAGACGGAGTCGATGTGGTACTTGAACTGCCAGAGACAGAACACGAAGAGGAGGCGCGTCGCGAAGAAGAGATGGAGAGCCTGTTCCAAATTCGCCAGCAACGTAGAGAGGAGGTGGCAGAACGTGAGGATCGAAGAAGACGGCGGAATGAGGCAAGAGCACGAGGAGATTTCGCTGAGGTGGAGCGGATACGACAAGAAGGCCGCGAAGCACAACGACTTCGCGAACGCGCTGGTGCAACTGCTATGATAGCACAACATCAGGCTGCCATGGGTGCGAGGGAGCGACGGGTTAGCAGCGTGAGCTACGCCGACCTGGGTGTGGCAAGGCATGATGGAAGCAGAATTCGAGCAAACTCGCACGACTCCGATAGTAGGCCTTTGCTGGACTCTGCTGCGAGCATACACGGTGCAAGCCTGCGACCTTGGAACACACAAGAGTCCAGACCATATTCGACCCATCATCGCAACCGGTCGCAAGTATCACAGACGGGCTCTAACATGGACGTCTCCGATGACGAAGCCTCGATTGTGGACCTGGCGGATCTACCACCATTTGGACGAGCAGGAAGCGACTTCGAAATAGTCACTCTGAACGGGGCCAACCACTCACGGAACGGGTCGCTAAACCATACTCCGATCGGCGGTCGAAGTAGATCCTCGACCACCAACACCGCTCCCGTGCGACCTTCAATCGATACAAGTCAATACAGTGGTGACCTGGGTGATGAGCCTATCCCGCATGTCGATCCTCCCACATATGATGGCGGATTCGAAGAAGCGCCACCTTATACATCACCCATCGACGACCGCAGACCTGAACTGCGAATCTCACCCGTGTCGGCGCCGAGCCCATCAGCAGAGCAGACGGAGTCAAATACTGGTGCGCCGTCACTACCAGCGATCAGCCGACTACCTAGCATCAGAATCGCGGAGGCGACGCCTGTCGAGCCCAGGAGGACGTTCCCAGAGACTTTACGGGAAACTTCTGCCGAGCATCGACCAGATACAGATACATCTTGAACGAAGAAGAAGTGAAATGACGGAGACATGAGACTCGAGCATGATGAGCGTAACAGCGTGACAGCGTAACATCCGTTTTTGGGAAAGCACAGGCGTACAGGATACCAAAGGTGCGATTTTGACGAGAAACAAGATCTAACGAGAGCGACATCACATCACTATTTTCCGCTATGGAGACATTCCGACTGCCCTTAATTCGACCCCAGGATTCTTATTGTAAATAGATGACTGTCGTAACATCGGGAAATGAAAGGAGTGGGAGGGCGACTTCAAGAATTTGCATATTCACATGATATGGCAGGCTGCTATTGCAACTTCATTTCCTTACACATGTCTGTATCGTGAATTCTTGCTAAAGAGGAGAAGGTTTCGAAGGGCAGCAAGGTGTTTCGCCGACTCGGCCCGCGTCTCTCCACCTTCTTTTGACCCCCAAACTTGACCCCAGCTTCTCCTCCTCTTCAAACTTCATCACTTTAGCCGCCAGTTGATATGCCTCATGGTAGGCTGTTCTACCTGTATTTCGGCGAATGACGAAGCATACGACCACGACTGGAATAGGCAATAAGCTCGTGAGCTTTCTCTTTCTGCAAGTATACCGGCTCTTGGAAGTGCCATTGTGACACGGGAGCTTTCCTCTCTGATCTTTCTTTCCTTTCTGTCTCTTGCCTTGCGCTGTCTACATCCTATCGCGAGACTCGGTTGAGAAGTAGAGAAGATGTCGACCACGCACCTTGTTGCAGAAAGCAATCAACCTTTCCCTTCTCATCGATTTTCGCAGAATGCTTTCAAGACGAGAGAAGATGTCATTGAAGCGTGTAAAGCACTTCTCGATCCGCTAGAAGCCGGCTTTTCGAAAGAGAGGGCTTTGGTCAGAGTTGGTGGAACGGGAACGAAATGTACATCCAATCCAGCTCCCATAAACACAAAAGCAGCAGCAAACTAACGCAAGAACCACGAAATCCACAGTTGACGAGACCGCTGCCCAAATCGAAGGCTTCGCTCGGCCACTCTGGGGTCTCTCCTCTCTCCTCGCCAGCGGTGACCCTTACCCAAACCATGCTCTCTGGCTCCAAGGCCTCATCTCTGGCACCGATCCTTCCTCGCCAGAATTCTGGGGCCACATGCAAGATCTCGATCAACGAATGGTAGAGTCTTGTCCTATTGGCTTCACGCTCGCCATTGCAGGCTCGAAATTCTGGACTCCTTTGACAGATGCCCAGAAACGAAATGTCGAAAACTGGATCGGGAGCATGAATGACAAGGAGATGCCAAATACGAATTGGCTCTGGTTCCGCGTGTTTGCGAATCTAGGATTGAAAGCCAATGGAAGTGAAGCATACAACATGGAACGCATTCGAGCTGATGTCGAACATCTTGATACGTTCCATCGAGGCGGAGGGTGGAATAATGATGGGCCTGGAGAGTGGTATACACAGATGGATTACTATTCGGGCTCGTTTGCGATTCAGTTGCTGCAACTGCTATATTCGAAATTGGCAAGAGACTTCGATGCCGAAAGGTGTGAGCTTTACCGACATCGAGCGAGGGAATTCGCGCTGGATTTCGTGCATTATCAGGATCCGATATCTGGACATTCGATTCCGTTTGGAAGAAGTTTGACCTATCGATTCGCGACCATTGCGTTTTGGTCTGCGTTTGCGTTTGCAGATGTTGAACCGCCGGAGCCGTTGAGTTGGGGGATCATCAAGGGACTGATCTTGAGAAATCTACGCTGGTGGAGTCAGTTCCCTCACATTTTCCAGCCAAACGGCATGCTGAATATCGGTTACACGTACCCGAACTACTACCTCGCGGAAAACTACAACTCTCCAGGCTCGCCTTACTGGTGTATGCTCGCATTCCTCTGCCTCGCAGTCCCGAAAGAACATCTTTTCTGGTCTAGCGACGAAGAAGCCCATCCATTACATCCACAGAATGGGTCTTCTTTGATCCCCTCAATCAAAGCTTTACAACAACCCAAACACATCCTCATCAACAGCGGCTCGCACACATACCTCCTCTCCTCCGGCCAAAAGTGTCACTACCCACTCAAATCCACTCAAGCCAAATACGGCCACTTCGCATACTCGGCTTCATTTGGCTACTCTGTCCCTACAGGCTCACATACCCTCGAACAATTCGTTCCCGAAAGCGCATTGGCCTTTTGCGATGAGCCAGAGGGAGAATTGTGGAAATTGAGACGGGATGTTGAAGATGCAACGATCCTCAAAGTCCCCATCAAAATCCCCGGAAGCGAACAAGTTAACGAAATTCCAGTCCTAAGATCTGTCTCGCGACCCTGGAAAGACGTCAAAGTCACCACCTGGCTCATTCCTCCCACAAGCCCAGAATACGCAAACTGGCACATCCGCGTTCATCGTGTCGAAACGGGGAGATGGCTACAGTCCGCCGAAGGAGGTTTCGCGATCAAGGGAACGAATGAGGTTGATGGAAGATTCCTTTTACCTTTTGCGGAGGATACCTCAACAGCAGCGATGGCGTATCAAGGTGGAACTCAAACGACTCCAAATTCTGCCCTTATTGTATCTCCTCGTGCTGGCGTTTCTGGTGTTGTGGAACTCCTTAGTTCATCTTCTCGATCAGGCAAAGTCATCGAACCTGATGCTAATAGTAACCTCATTGAAGCGAGGACGCTTTTGCCGACTTTACATCAGGATTTAGAGCCTGAGTCGGTGACGATCTTCGCTACTGGGGTGTTTGCGATTCCAGGACAGAATTTGGAGAATTGGCAAGGAGGAGACTGGAAAGCTGCGTGGGAGAAGAGACCTGTGGTGCCTGAGGAGATTTTGGATGAGGCGCGGAAGGGGTTGTGAGATTAGTAGATACACTTTAACGACGCGGTGACTGGTGTGTGAAAATGGAGTGAGAGCACGCTTTTCATGCATTTCATCATGAACAAAATCACACTCTCAATGCCGCATAACCTAATTTACAGCAATGCCACACCACCGAGCATGTACAAATTCCCGCAAACGAGATGCCGAGTTGTTTGATCCCCATGCCCGAATCACAAAGAACAATGAAACACAAGAAAGTAGCCCGTTTCGGTCATTTCATAGTTTCAGAGCGCGCCTGCTTTTTTGTAGTGGCCGTGGTAGTAGTAGCTTAGCTAGACTAGCCCAATGGGAATTGGCTACGTCGGAGATGGAGGGCATCTGTTTACTCGACGTCGTTCTTGCTCTCAAAGTTCTCGCCCTCGACGAGATCCGGTATCTCATCGTCGTCATCGTCTTTCTTGTCCTCGCCTTCGGCGCTCTTCTGCATGCTCTGGTAGCTCTCGGCCAGCTTTCGGAGAGAGGCTAATGAGTCTGGGCCGAGCTGGTTGAGGATACCTGGGACGAGCTCGGTGAGCTCCTTGTCCTCTCCGTTGCCGTAGATGGCGAAGGTGTTGGATGGGACGGAGGCGTGGACTGGTCCTGAATCAGTATCTGCTGTCCTCGCTTCTCGAGTTGTACAGAGATTGGTTTGTTTGTACTCACCCTTTGGTGCAGAGAAGTGGATGACGTTGCCGTCCTGCTTGAACATGTTCACCTCCTCAATGGCTGGGATTGGCTGCACGTTCATCTTCTTGAGAGCAGCCTGGAGCTTCTTGTCATCACCGCCGCCGGTCCTGTTGACCTTCTTGACCTTTCTTCGCGGAGTTCCCTTGCCACTATAATCACATAATTGTCAGATCTCTGCTCCGTCGCATGTTCAATGGGTGTTCTCGAGTCGTGTGAGCTGGGCGGAGCTCTTCAGGCCAAGCGCGGAAACGGGAACTCGTGTAGGCGGAATTGAAGGGCGAAAACAACCCGACTTACCCTACAAATAGGTCAGCGGAGCTCAGGAGCGTTATTTCAAGCGCGCGCAAAAGCGTGGGCGGCGGTGCGGGCGGACATACCAATACGCACCGCATTTTGCATGCGTGCAAGCTTCTCGTGATCCATGGCGGGCGGGCCGGAGTTGGGCTGTCGCGGCGGAAGCCTCGACAGATGCGGTGATGGGAGTGTTGGTGGGTGATGTGAAACTGCCTCGGATGCTGCTCGTTTATGCCAGCACTTTCATCGACAGACGGGCGGGCGAGAGGGTGAGGTGCGGTCGACGATGGTCACGTTTGCGGGACGCAGAAGTTCGGAGCGCAACGCCAAGCCAGCACAGACAATTTTTGGCTGCTGGATGATGAGCTTCATGCTGTGACAACATGCATTTTCCATTCATTTTTAACGACATTTCATGTACGAAACGGGTTGCTGGGAAGACACTTCCAGCACTGCACGCAATTGTGAGGTCGATGGCGAAGTCAAATGAAGTCCACCGGTCACAACACGAAATTCGACAATTCAGGCTCTCTAGCTCTATACCATTCAGGATGCTCCTACCTCCTCCAACAATCCGCCAACAACTCACTCCTCCTATACTTTCTTCGGCCTCACCAACCACGCAAACCCCCCCTTGGGCCTTCCCTCCCACTCCTCCCCCTCC